TCACAAAAAGGAGCTTCTCTGATTATAAAATATACAGGGATTATCTTCTGATGGTATTAACTGTAAAACATTGAGGATAAAAGACGCATCAGGTCATGTTGGACATGTTTTTACAGTTTTACTCTTCTGTATTTTCTCAGAACATTTTTATCGAGATGTATTTCTAAATTGGCTCTGCTGTCAAATCCTCCTCCATCCCATCACCACAGGTCCCTAAAACCACCCACCCACCCACACCTCTCATCCTCCCTCCTTCTCTCTCCCTCTCTCCTGCTGGCAGCCCTTGATTACACTTGTCTCCCGGGGAAAGGTTTCAGGTCCTCAGAGATAGTAATATCAAGGGCACTACTGGCTAGTCACTTCAGATCAGGGCGGGGGGGAGGAAATGGCGACGGACATAAAGCTAAATATATAATTCCTCCCATGCCGGTAATCACGATGTCCAGACGATTTGAAATGACAGTTTAACCACTTTAGACTGTGGAACGCTTTGTTCCCATTTAAGAAGCGGGTGGTGTGTGTGTGTTGGTCGGGGAGCCTCCTCGTGGGTCTTATCCAAAGGGGCCCGTGTGGTCCTCGCTCTCTAAATACACATGGGGAGGAAAAAAAGAGGAAAAGGCGCACGTTCCATTGAGTTAAAATGACTCGCAGACCAGACAGGAGCAATTCTGTGAATGACTGACGGAAGGAAACACTCTCACCACCCGGTATTAGTTTACCTGATTATTAGGAAATCCAACTTCCCCCCAAAATGGCCGCCCATTTCCATGTTAGAGGCGGTAAGAGCACCCACCTGGATTAGGCCTAAACGTGGTCTGCATTACTCCAGCTACAACAGCGCCTGCATGCCGCCCAGCTCCACCAATTACACCTATAAATATTAATAGGCTAATCTGCACATATTCTTCTCCTGCTGCATCCCTGTGAGGGTCAGAGATGCTCTTATGAGCGTCAAATCCATTTAAATCTTTAGTTCAATTTGCATATGCAGAGATTTTTTCACCCTAGACGGGCTCTCTCGGTGTCTTTCCCCCCCATCATCACGTCGCAAGAGGAGAGGGCATTTCTGTATTCACGCTCTGATTGGATCCTTGATGAGATCTTCAGGATGGCTTCTCTCACTCTGGCGCTCTTAACACTCCAGAGGTGATGAGAACAGAGAGGGAGAGGGGGGAATAAGAGGAGTGTGTGTGTGTGTGTATGTGTGTCCAACTCTGCCTCTGGTGAAGTGGTCAGCTCTGTCACAGCTCTGCAGACTCCTCAGAGTTCAGCTGAAGACCGAGCGAGCGCAGAGTGGCATCACATAGACATCCCCACCTCTCTTTGAAACACCTAGAGGCTATATGATATACAGTATTGTTGGTCCGTGTGGCAAAGTAGTACTAGACTGTCGTCGGGATCCTCTCTTCAAGGATATGAATAATGCAACGCAGACATCTGCATAAAAGTGAGGATACTGAGATGTAGAAGACCAGAGCTGAGAGGGGATGGAGAGACAGAGAGGAACACTAGAGAGGCTTTAGATCCTTGTTCCAATACGGGTTTGTTTCAACTGTACTTTTTAGGTGTCTGTTTCTGATATCCATGCTCTCTGAAAAACAGTAAAGGGATGAAAATGGGTTCAGTAAGGATGTGTGTTGTATCTTTTCAAGTATCTTCAATTGCATGACCTTTTCTAAAACCAAAATCACTTATAACCAACTACACAGTCCTTTGTGCTTTATAGTGAGGAGTTGTGCTTTTGATTGATATCTTTATTTTGATCATGTAAATGTAACGTAAAAACTGTTAAAAATACAAATAAGTAACAATCAGAAAAAGACAAAACAAAACAAAACAAGACAGTAACTGAATCTGCAATCCTCTCATTTTTTAATCGCCTCAGCTTACATGGCGAAAAGGAGCAGGAAGAAGTATAAACTTGTTTAATTCTACCCCCTTAAATTTTGCTTTACCTCCAAACTCAAATCATTACACTGTCTAAAATTAACCAAAAAGAAACACAATCATACCAACTCTATCATACCAATCTCTACAAATGTATTTATCATACCCTACACGGTCTTTCCTCCAAATAATCAACAAGCATCTTTGACACGTTTAATAAAAACTACTGTAAAACCTGTATAGGAAAGACCACGGTGGTTGTAACATGGAAAGACTTGTAACGCCACCATGTCCACCAATCGGTGTTTAGCCACTCCCCTCCACATTCTGATTTTTGAGGCTGTAACTGAGTTTGGGGTATGAAAGTAGATTTTTTTTTAACCAAGACTGTATTTTGTTTTGTACTAATTCTCTGGCCGATAAACTCATATGACTAATATTTGATAAAATCAGAGTTCCTCAAGTAAGAGTGACAAGGATTAACATATCAAATTATTCCCAAATATGTATATTTAGGTAAAATGTGATAATAAAAACTCTAACCTATCAAAACTTTGGTACCACTACTATTACTACAGCTGTACTACTCATACAGTATGATCTGCACACTGCCTAACTTGTCGCTATTATGCTGTTAACTATAAACTAATGCACAAACTTTCTGGATCATATGATTTCTATCATGTATTACTAGTCTGAGATTCAATTTAATATCATTACCAAACATTTGTTACTCCTACAGCTATACAGTGATTTGAATATATCCATATTGTACTCATTATACATACAAAATGTCTTAAACACACAAACACATTCACGCACACTTCTGAGTCAAAGAGAGAGTAGATTCGGGTTTGGTCACTCACACAGAGCAGCATCACTCTGAGTTCCTCTTATGCGTTAGTGCACTTCTTTTAGTAGTATATTATATAGTGTGGACACTGTTTGCTGCTCCTCACCCCGGCACATGTTACAACCTCTCCTGATAGTGTGGAAGGTTGTAACTAAGACAACATCTTAAAATTGTAGCTCAAAAATTCAGAGAGCCACAGGTGCTGAAGCAAAAAGCGTGACAACCATCCCCGGTCTCCCCTAATTGAAATACACAAAAAGTGCCCCCCTGATGATGGTCATTTACCCTGTATGTGCTGCACCGGGAATAAAAATATGAGCAATGATGTAAGACAAGGAACACACCTACACAAATTCCCCATTAGTGTCCCACAATTAGTTTCCATCTTGGAGAAAAACTCCCCAGATGAACCTTTACATAGAAATCCTTAATGATGGAGCAGTGAACATGTACTACTTTCAGACTCAGACTTAGTCATTACTGCAGCTGTCTTCACATATGCACAAAACTACCAAAAATGTTCAGGTTGGGAAACATGTGAGTGTGCAAAAGAATTGGGTTTACAGCCTGGATTTACCTGGACTTGCAGCACCGTTTTAGGTTGACGGACAGGGGCTGCAGGTTTGACTCTGACACTCAACCTGCATATATCTTTATCAGCTCTGTCCTCAGTTGATCCAATGAAGGTTTTAAAAAAGAGCCCCCCCCAAAAAAAATGTTACTCTTAAAAGGATGACCTGGACTTTCCCCTGTTGTAATATTTGCCAGAACACAGCTGGAAGTAAAAATTCACCAGATGAGTGATTGGGTTTGGATCATGCACCTAATGCGGACCCAGAAGAGCCACATAGCACATGAGGAATAAAAAAGTCAAAGACTGAAGGAGACTCAATTCCAAGCTTTCTGCAATCAGCTCCTTTTGCAGTACAACCTCAAATTTCTAAATATGTAAACGTGACTTTTGCTGCTAATTTCACTTTGCTATTCAGCAGCAAAAGTGACTCCAGAGATAACTCGTTTACATCGATGATTTGTGGAAAAAATACACCTCTGGAGTGAGTTAAATCTGTACGTTTTAAAGTGGTAATGTATCCGTATAGACACGAGCAGTGAATTAAAGGCCAGACTATCAACTCAAATGTTTACCGGACTCATTCAGCGTTGTATATTTTTGTGAGGAAACGCCAAAAGACACAACAGTACTTACACGGAGAGAAAACTACACTGCTCTCTCTTATTTGCACACAGATGCAGTCACACACACACACACACACACACACGCACACGTACGTCCAAAGGCGGTGCTCGTAGTAGTAGTAAACATTCAAAAGGAGCAGGGGTAATTCACTTGATAAATGTCAACTGAAATGAAGCTATCAGCTGAAAGCAATTTCCTCGTGCTCGCCTGTGTTCTGCGCCAGAGAGTGGGGAGATTTTCACCCCTCCATCGATCATGAAGCCTCTGTTTTAGGCCAAGGTACACAATGCCCTCAAATTGCTGACATATGGACCTCGAATCACCGCAAAAACCTGCCATTTCCACCCCGCCCCTCCTCTGTCCCGACCCCGGCCACTCCTCTGCTAAACTCTTGTTTATCCAATGACTGCGCTCTGTTTCAACAAACAGAGCGCAGCAGCAAATGTAATAACACCGCAATGTGTAGCGTGCAACAACAAAAAAACCACCTTTGAATCTGCGTTGTCACTATTCCTCAATCCGTCTGCTTAATTTGTAAGAGGCTGACAGCGTTGTCGTAAACATGATTAGAAGTTTGCGATGTTGGAAAAGCGCTGTGACCCTCAAATGAGCGGGTGCCTGAAAGACCCTGTGTGTGTCTGCTGTGTGGGCCGCCTTCGACCAGTAGCAGAAGAAGCAAAAACAAATCATGACAAAGATGAAGACAGCGACCACATAATGGTACAGAGAGCTTCTCGCTGGTGTAAACAGAGGAAAGATGAAGGGCAGAGGCATGTGTGTGTCTCTGGGAAGGTTCCCCGTTCAAACAGCTCTTGTTGTTGATGCACTGTGGATAACGTCTTGAAGAAATCCTGAGTGTGGCTTTAAAAGTGCAGCTATTTGGAGTCAAAAAAGGGGGCCAAGTGTGCAACATTAAAGCCTCTTTTCCTGATGGACAATTGAGCCGGGGCCCTAGAGGTCCGTACACAGGAAAAGTCCATTATCACTCTTAGTAATGGAGGTGGGGGGGGCTTCAAACTAAAAGTGTAGAAAAAGAAAAGAAAACAAGAAAGAGAAAGATGACGCACAAGGTACAAAGCATTTTTCCTTTAATGGAGTCCATCAATAATGTTTCTTTCCCGAGATAGAAGCCATATTTTCAATCGCAGACACAGGGCAGAAATTAAAGAACTTTTTCCCCTTAAGTGCATACTTTTTTGAACAGACTTTGCATCAATGTGAAACAAATGTTTGGCAACACGTTAATGACATCCTGTGACTCTGGAACATATTCTTTTGCGCTCTTGCCACCTAGACAAACCCGCAGCCAGTTTACACACAGACGGGAGCGCTTGTTTTATATAAACAGACAGCCCTTGTGGCAAGAGGTTTGATTAGGAGGAGGCCCGCAAATCCCATTAAAAGTCCATTTGTAGCCCGTTCGGTGTGTATTTGAAGACAGGAAGAGCAACAAGGGTGGAGGGGGGGTGGTGGCAGGCGGTCTGTTGTTGTTGGTGTTGTTTCCGTGCCAATTTCTGTTTATGTACCGATGGTTAAAAACAGATATCGACCAGCAGAAGACGGAAGATCTTAATCAGATCAAAAAACCGAGCAGGACTGAGACTCCATCCTCAGCGTGAAGCTTTCAGTCTGAGCAGGATTTTGAAAAAGACACCTCCCCAAAGTGATGGAGTCACCGTCTGTTATTAACACTGCTTCCAATATGTCCATCTCTGTCCTCCAAATGGAAAAATCATGAAAATAAAACTTGTTCATCTCTGTGCATCCTCACAGTTATCCTAACAGCTCCTTGGTCTTAATCGCGAGCTGTTTGTCGATATCTGCAGCGATCTTGTCCGACATCTGCTGAATCTGTGGAGGCAAGAAGACAAAGACAAAACAAAACAAAAACACTTTTTGAGATAATTCTCTTCCTCCTTTTTCCATCCTGCAAAGAATGACGTTACAGAGCTACAATGTGAGAAGATGTAACCGTGAATTTCACCCAAGTATGATTTCAGATTGTGTTTTTTGGTTACTTTGGTTTCCTGGATCAATAAGGAGAGAATGTGAAATGATTATATTATGGGATTACGTCAGAGAGGATATGAAGGTTTTTGCTTTTAATTACACATTTTTCCATGGGCTATAGAGCTTTACTGAAACATCATCACATCTATAAAAACTGAGTGAAAATGTAGAGTGAACCCAATTACACAACAGGGACCATGGCTTGATCCGGAGAGAAAATGGTTTAATTATATTTTGCTCATAGATACAGATGCATGTCCAGACTGAGCACAATGATGGTAGAAGTAAACCTTGGCAGCTCTTAAAGCTCCTGTGTGGAATTTTTTTTTAGATTTAGAAAATTGGCCAAAATTCATATTGATAGGTCTTTATGATCAACAAACACAGACCAGACCATTTACAACAAGATTGACCATTTTTTCCACTGAGTATTTTAATGCTTAATGCTGGTGGAAGGGAGGAGGTGACAGTGAAGTCGCTTCAGGTAAAAACTGTTTTTGGACTTTCAATATCAAACTTTCACAGTTAATTATGTATTTGATTGTTAAAAGTCAGCAGGATGAGGATTTTGTCAAAAGATACGACTCAAACATGGAGAAGACAAGGAAGGCAAAAACTGCTTTGTCCACAGGGGGCGCCAAAACTGACACAAAGTTCCTCACAGGAGCTTTAACCTTTTCGTTTTGTTTTTCTTTTAAATATTCAGGAGGAAAACAAGAAAACAAGAGTAAAGTGAGATGAGAATGAACCACAGTTTTTTGTGTTGCTTTTGATAAGGAAAGAAAATCTCCTTAAATCTGTTTTGAATTCCTGTTTTAAATCTTAAATTGGCGACTTTTTTTTTCCTGAGGCCCGGAAACATCGGGATGACTAATACCTTCATAAGCTCTTTGGCTCTACTCTTGGTGTCCGGTCTCTTTGTTTGACTTATCGTGACTTGTAGCCTGGGTTAGGGTTTGGGTTAGAATCAATCAATCCCACTTTGGTTTTGTTTGACAGGCTCCTGTTAAAGGTGATTCATTAAAAAAAATAAAATACGACCTCAGTTATACATGAATTCCTACTTATGTTGTACTTGGGGACAGTGTGACATTGTCATTCTTAGAAAGCAATATTATCACGACCCCCTCTCTCTTACCTGTTTTTCTACTAGTCGTATTGTGTCCTCTGAGTGCCCTTCCTTCGCCTTTTTGGTCTGCGTGATGGCGTTCGATCTCACTTTCCTCAGGGAGTCTTTAGCCTTGTTGCTAAACTGCTTTGCCAGCTTGGCGATTTTCTCTCGGTGTTCCCGCGTGACTCTAAAAGGAAACAGATAGAGGATATCAGCAGACATCATCTACTCATCATCTGATGTCCATAAACTAAGGTGTGATATTACTCCAAGGGACAAACTCAGACTGTACTTGACATCTGAGGAAATGTGGCTTAACTTTCAAAAAATTTTCAGGCTGCCCACAGACATTTTTCAGAAATGAGTAAGCTGGTGTGTAGTGTGCAATAAACAGAGGAACACATTACTGTGCACTTGCAAAATTATTGAGAAAAAAAAAACGTGTCCTCTCATGTGCAAATGAGACTGTTAAGTACTCGTAGGCCCGCAGTCTAATCATTTCAGTATCAGCCATCTACCAACAATCACTTCCCAAGATCTCAGACCAGAGCTGAAACATCCGTCATCCCAACAACTTTGCATTCACTTTGCATTTTGTTAATCACTCAGAAAATCCTACTTCCCATTTCACTTTCCTTTTTGGGTCCTTAATTGGCTTTTTTTTTAGTTGTTTTTTGCCTCGGGGACTATTTGCAAACAATCCAAGTGCAGCGTCTATTTACCACAAACAATACGGCCTAATTACTGATTCCAGGGCCAATCAAGGAGCGCCTTCTCTTTGGAAATGCAAATGGAGGCTCGGAGCGTGCCGAGACTGATTGCAGGGGGAAAGCAGTCTGACTCTTGCCTCCCTCCTCTGCCAGACTAACACCTGCTGCTCCATGCACAACCACACACACACATGCACGCACACACACATAAACACAAGCTGGCATTTACGCAGAAATACTTACATGCACGTGTGTATATGTAAAAAAAAAAAAAAAAAATCATATATACAAATAGAGTGCGATAGTGAGTGAGTGACGGATAGTTCTGTGCGTGTTTGACTTGGCAAAGACAAAGAGAGAGAGAGTGAGCGAGCGAGGTTTGGACAGAATCAAAGAGAGATGGTGACCCAAACCTCACATCATCACATTGGGGGTCTCTCTGTAGCTACAAATAAAAGTCCATAAATCTGTCAGTTGGAACTCACACTCGTGGATTTATTAAAGGGCAGAAATTCAAAACCATGAATGAGGCTCATTGTAAGGTTAAGTCTCAGTATTGAACGTAATGTAAGTTGTTATGTTTCTGATGATGAATATTTAGTGAAAATTGAATTTAAATGAACTTTAAGTGACCCTCACAGATCAGCAGAGCATTGGTTTCAGAACTGATCAGCCGTCGTTGGCAGTGAACCACATGTGACTTAAGGACTGATGGACAACTGTCAGCCCAAAACAACCTCCAAACAAGACTCCCCTTCAAGTATTCTCTGCACTGTTTACAGATTTACAACCCATGTCAAAAACCGCAGTGTTTGCAACTGGTTTCAATGAAAATAGTAAGTTCCCCTGAGCCTTTACTCTTTTAATTTCAAAGCTGAAGAGGAAGTAGATTTCTTGCTCTTTACTCACAGTTGACAAACTTTAAATTGGCCTTAACACCAACATGATGCAGATTTTTGGCGAAACATTTCTGATGCACTTTAGGAAGTCCGATCACTGAGCAGTTGACAGTTTTTATTTAATTTATTTCTATTTTAACCAGGTATGAAAACCCATTGAAATCGAGATCTCTTTTACAAGGATGACCTGGCCAAGAGGTCAGCAGTACACATCACAATAATAATAACAAAATTCAAGGACAAAGTTGCACTGTTTATGGTGATGAACGAATGAATTGCAGTCAGATTATTTTCCATTGTAGCCCCAGTTACTGCGTACTCAGAAGCCTACTGATACATGTTTGGTAAACACTACTTGGACTATAAACCGATTACAAATGAAGACTCGAACTACAGGGCCCCAGAGTAAATACTACTGCGAAATGGAGATTAAAGAGCAAAAAAATAAATAAAAACCAGAATTATAAAAAACAATTAAATTAAAGTGCTTAAAGTAGGACAGAACAGGAGTTCCAGACTGATTTGGGGTGTGTTGTGTTGTGGTGTGGTGTGTGTGTGTGTTTAAGAAATATACTCACTTGGGAACTGGTATCCTGATGATTGTCCCGTCCACGTCAGGGTTAAGGTTCATGCCACTCTCTCTCAGGGCTTGGGTGGCAGCAGCTGTAGCCTGAGGGCACATACAGATACACACACACACAAGCTGTAAGACACACTAACTCAAACACACACACGTAGAAACACACACTGATGTGAATGGAAAAGCAGCGTTACAACTGCAGGTAGTGGCGAAGCTCCAGCTGGCAACCATTAAGGTGATGTGGTGTGTATCTAGTGTGTGTGTGCATGTTTGCGTTCGGGTGGGCATGTGTGTATACTTGTGTGTGTGTGTGTGTGTCTGGGGAAGCCGGTGTAGTGTGGAAGTGCCTCGGGCCACTGTCAACGCTCGGCCCTGTGGGAGCGGACTGAGAGGTTGCAGGGCAGGGCGTCGACCCGTGGTGACCTCACAGGAGAGTCTGCCTGTGCTTGTGTATGATGCATGGATACACACACACAAACACACAAACACATGTGGTTTTGAGACTTTACTAAACTTCACTTCTTTAGGAACGTTTTTTTCTCAAGTTGATTCATTTTCTTTGCTATGACAATAGTAAAGTAAATTATGTAAAGGCGATGAGGTAACACACACACACACACACACACACACACACACACACTTGTATAACTGTGTTCACTCTGGTAATGGCGAGGTGAAAGTGAGGTCTCTGTTCTGCAGGGTTCAACAAATACGCTGGAGAGCCGGTTTGACATGAGTAGAAGTTCAAATACAGTGATTAAAAAGTAAAAGTGCCACTATTGTAAGAACAAAATATGATTGGGGCATTATTGGTTTAATGAATAGTGTTTAACGCAGAAGTAAAATCTAGTAACTGAACTTTTCCACACGTCCTCCTCTGTGATCCTGTTGTAATTTTCATGTTACAAAACACACCACTGCTACAGCTGTGTTTAGTCAGCCCTCATTAATCCCAGGTAACACTTCACTTTTCCTACTTTGCCGCGGTTAGCATCAGTCACTGATTGGATAAAATTGTGTTTTTATTGAGATGTAGTTTAATTTTGAAGGCCGGCTTCATGCTACAGATAATACACAATAAGAATTCCTTTAAACCAAACATGTAGTGGTATGACTGGCATGTGGTGTGACTGAATAAAAATACTGATGTGAATCCAACCAGGTGAAGAGCTGATCTAACATAAGATATAAGAGAAACATCAGCGCGAAAGAGATCATCTAAGTTTGTGCTCTTTGAATTACATGAACCAAAAAGAAAGGAAAGATTCTGTCATATTTATCAGACGGACCAATTTGTCAACATCTGTACCTCAGCTGGTCTCTAGGATGGCTTATTGAGAAAGTTGGATAGATTGCAATTTTTTATCGCAACAACACCATCTGTTGTCTTTTTAAAAGATGAAGATAATCAGAGGGAAATGAAAATAAGAGCATTGTGTGTTTTTCTGAGGAAACAAGCAGTCCAGTGTCGATGGTTGGAGATGCAGCTGTTCTTGTAAATGCTGGATTTGATCTCTTCAAAACACACACATGAAGTTATGGTCTTCGGTCATAAAACACCCAGATAATACCAGAGGTGGGGGCTTGACGACTCGACTTGAGACTCGACTTGGACTTGAGTCCCGTTTTTGACTTGCTTGATGATCAAGAAATGACTTGGACTTGCTTGGGACTTGATTGCTAAAGACTTGAGACTTGACTTGACTTGAGCCCAGTGACTAGTCAAAAGTCAAGTCAAGTCTTTTCAAGTCACTTAATGCCTTACAGCAAACCGTTTAAAAAGTGTCGCATCAACTAATAGTCAGGAATTACTGCCGTTGGTAACACTGTGTTGTGTTGCCAAGTCTGCTTATTTCCCGCAAAAAAATCGCTTGTTTTTGGCTTGTTTCTGGAGGTCTGTTTCCTTGGCAACACTGTCTCAAACTCTAGCCTCCCTCATAACGACAACACCGGGAGGACTGAACATAAATCGCTTGCTAGTATTGCCCGCCTGTTTCCACGTGTTGCCTTGTGTCTCTCTTTTGTTTTGGAACAGTGAATTAGAGTATCAGTTTAATGTTTAATCGTATTTGAGTCTTCCTTATTTTTGTGCACATTGTCTAAGTTTCCAATTATTGAAGTTTATCTGATTATTTTTTGTATGACATGTAAAATAGTTTGGTTAAAGCTGCACTATGTAACTTAACACAAACAAGAACCCTTGTTTAATAATAAATGCAAATAGTGAAAAATGCTCATGATTTATGTAAATCTTTACATATAACAAATGGTTTATGACTTTGATATGACTTGTTTTTGACTTGAAAGAAACGGTAAGGACTTGGACTTGACTTGAGACTTGAGACTCGACTTGGACTTGCAACATAAGGACTTTCCCCACCTCTGGGTAATACCAGATTATTGGCAGGGTGGTATCTTTGCACTCTCACCTGTTCATACAGATACATTTAGAGGGATGAATCAAAAGCAAATGAAAAGAAATGAAAGTCATGTTCCTTCTCCTCTAACTAAGTCTGTGAACACATGACATCTCCCTCTGCTGAGCTTTACTAAGTCTGCTAATGTGCAACGCCAGAAAAAAAAAGAACATTTCCTCTTTGTAACCCCTCTCTACCCTTTCCTGACAGCTCCTTCTGGCGTTATCCACCGGGGAACAGAGTATGGCAGCGAGATTAAAGGAATTTATTTGTGCGTATTAAATGAATTCATGAGGTTTCTTTCCTTTTGTTAAAGTCATCCGGTGCACAGGCCTCTGGTTGCTCCCTTTGAGTGTGGGGTGATAGATTCAGCAAATACCTATGTTTGATTGTTCTCAGCATCAAATTCATCACCATTCCTTCTCTCCGACAACTGCACCGGTGGTTAAGGAAAAAAACAAGGCGGAATTTCTCCCTGAAAAAAAGCAACGTGAGGTTCTGGGTAATATGTTGGGGAGGAAGAGAAATTACTGCAAAGTTTTACATCAAACGCTGGACGGCTCGGTTCAAAGCAAAGGGGAAATGCGTGTGAGTCTGGGTGTGTGTTTGTGTGCGTGTGGATCCTGAAGAAAACACTTTATGAACAAAGTGGTGAGTCGCCTTAACATGCACATACACACATTAACCTGCCCTCTGCTCTGAGCGTGCTGGTAGTTGCTGGTCCCACTGTTGCCTCTCAGGCTGCTCTTAATGAATGGAAAACAATAGAAGTGCCCCTGGAGTGCCTGGTAATGGATAGGCGTCATTATAAGCCTATTAGCTCTGGGTACTGACGACTCGCCTCCGTGCGGGGCACGGGTAACGGAGGGCACGACGGGGCAGAGGTGCATGAGTGTGTCTGTCAGAGTGTGTGGTCCGTGGTGGGACTTTCTGGGAAAGACACAGACTCATTGAAAGATCACCCAGCTTGATTCAGGTGGAGAACTGGATTTCCAGATTTGAGGGGCTGATAAATATGTTGATTTGCATGTTGTTTTGAAACATCGGAACAAAAGACGACAAAGAAGTGAAACCAAACATGCCAGGCTGAGGACAGGTGACAGGGGAGGGAACAAGAGGTGGGGGAGGAAAGCGGTGAGTTTTGTTGCTGTTGTAGGTGACAGGTGGTTTTAATGCATAATAAACAACCTTTAAATGTCATCTCTACTCAGAAAAAGTGGCTTTGGGTGTTAACATGTCAACAGTGCTTTATATTTCTTATCAGCTTTCTGTAACTACGCCTGTTTTTCTCCTCTGGGATGTGAAGGTTTGCTAATAAATCAATAAAAGCAACATTTGCTTGTTGTTGTTATAGGACCATGTGCTTTATATTAACAAATAAGTGATGACAAAATCTTTCCTCTATCAGTCCAATCATTAGGGGTGGGAGAAAAAAAATCGATACAGTGTAGTATCGCGATATTCTGCCTGGCGATATATTGTATCTTCTCATTTACCAAGTATCAATTTTTTTAATTAATTGTTAATATGAAGTCAAATCTATGATAATGGGAAAATAAAATTAACTGTTTGTCCAGTGAGGTTGGCAGATGTGACATAGTGCATAGAGCAGGAGAAAGTTAGTGCAACAAATATATATATAAGGTTTGCAAGATGTGCTACATGAAAATAAAATACAGCAAAAATAAGACAAACATAGAGAAAAGAGTCACTTAGTCATTAAGAGCTTAATATCATACAGCTTCAGAGCACAACCCATAGACTGTAAACAGAATGGACTGATACACAAGAATGCATCTCTATTGATCACTAATCTAAAAAAGTTGTAAGACTAAGTATATGCATTGTAACTGCTTAACATCAGGATGTCATCTTAGTCATTCAGAGCTGAATATCATACAGCTTTAGAGCACAACCCATAGACAGTAAACAGAATGGACGTCCTCTGCCTCCTCGCTGGGTGAAGCCACTGTGAGAACAGCACCCCCTGGTGACTGGTTGCAGTATAGGTCAAAATGACTTATTCAGCAGTAAAAGTCAAAGTAAGTTTGTTGACAGGTCACATATTAGCTAAAGAACAGCAATCCTGGCCATCCTGCCACAAAAGTTGATGTGAAGATTAAACTAGTACTAACCTCCTGTATCCTCTTGAACAAAGGGGACAACTATTTGACATTAAACCATTACCCACAGAAGTGAAATGAAGTCCATCGTTTAACAAAGGACCAGAATCTCAATGCTTTATCTGAGGAAGATTCACAACGTTTCTACATACAGATGAAGCCAAAGTAGATATCACACTGTTAACTCTTTTTTGTGGACGCTTTAAAGAGAAACTGATTTTTATTCTCAAGTCCAAAATCCTTCCCAAAGCAGTGGATCAGAGGGTTTCTGGCTCAGCTTTTATTCTAAAAAGAGGAGGAGGTTCCTTCAAACCTTCACCCTAAATTCTTAATTTACTAATGTTGATTAATTGAGGGGTTTTGGTTTATTTTCTGGATGAGGTTTATTTTCACTGCCGCTTTGATCAGATCAAATTTTCCCTAACATTTTTACAATAAATTAAGTTATTCAACTAACCTGATTTACGGTATTTAATCCTTTTATTTGACTTGCATGTTTGTGTTGTAAATATTGTAAGTAGAAGATTAATTTTTTAGTTTCTGATTTGCAAATTATGCATGTAACTTAAAAAAACCTTGCTTATATGACTGGATGTAAAACCTTCAAAACCCTGTCAAAAGCATACTTTAACTACAGCTGTATGCTGCTGTATAATACTTGGAGTGATTCACCTAAATCAAGGTATAAAAAGCATTATGTAGCTGTAAATGTGTTCCATGCCTAGTAAGTCCTTGAAGACCATCAGACTTGATATTATCCTGTTAAATGCTAAAAATAAGCATTTTTAAGTTTTCCAGACCACCAGAGTCCAACCACTAATAAAATGACTTCCCCCCATGGACGACATTTCTTTCTGCAGCTCTGATTAGTACGGTGTTGTATCATCTAGGAAGGAGCAAAGGGAGTGAAAAAGGAGCAAAAAAAGAAAAATAATCCATTCCTTCCTAACCTGAGGGTAAAGTGAGGTAATTTCCTTCACTCTGACAGCTCACACGCAGACATAACCACATCTCAGAGCGTGCACACACAGAGTTCATGTTGCTATCTTTCAGCCAAGAACAAAGGGCTCAGCGAGTGATCAATCAATTAGCATCTGAGAGGAGTGGCTCAGGTTTCATTTACACAGAGATGTGGGCTTAGTGCTCTGGTCTGGCTCACTTTTCCTCCTGTGAGCACCGTCGGTCTATCTGTCTGTGCTGTGGATTGTTTTTTTAAAGCGTTCAGTTACTGTGTGCTTGTTCACAGCAGACAAACAGATACCGGAAGAATCTGTACGTGTATGTGTGTATGTATGTGTACACGTGTGTGATCATCTTACCTCTGGGAAGCTGCTCATGTTGACCATAATGACCTGAGGTGTTTTCATGGAGATCTGACCCAGCTGGTTGAGAGGAAACTTCCCGTCTTGAGTCGTCACCACAATGTGATCCAGAGCTCCTAAACAAACACAGATACATGCATTTATTCATTTTCTGTATTTCAGAACCAGAATCAGAAACACTTAATTCATCCCAGAGGAAATTCAGTCCACACAATTCCCCTTCATATACACACCGTGATGACAGCATTTCTAGATATTCAAACTTTATGTGTCTATGTATTTACCGTAAAGTGAATGTAAGAATAAAAAATTAAAACTGTTGTTGGTGGGATACAGTAGCTCTTCGTGTTTTGGACCACTCTTTTCATGTAGACCTCCTCTCGTGGGGGGAAAACACGGGCAGTTACTCACTGAATCAGACAGAAAATGTAAAAACTGAAGGGTAAATGTGCAGCAGAAGCCACCAAGTGCTAAAAATAAGGGGGGAAAAAAATCAGATTTTCCATGATCTATTGTCCCTCCTCACTGTCAACACTTAGAGAAGTGAAGCTACTTTTGCCAACATGAGTTGACTTCTGTCCCCTGCCTCCCTCCCTCCCTCCATCCATCCATCCATCCACCCCTCTCCCTCTCCTCCATCTGGCTAACTTCAGACACAGTTGTTTCCTTCTTCCCCACCTCTGCCTTACATCACCCGCTCCCTGCTCACCCACAGGGGGGGCTGCGCCGGCGGTGTGTGTGTGTGTGTGTGTGCATGGAAGATAGGAGGGGGGGGTGAAGGGGAGGTGAGCCAATGGTGTAATTTTCCCCGCACGATCAATTTGTCATATGATTTCAAGGGCCAAAAAGGGATCTTTCAGTTTGGTATTAAATACAGAAGAAGAGATGAAAATGAATGTTTGGTAGGATGTGACAAAAAGAACTTTTTGTGCAGCTCGGTTTGTCCTGATGTGAGTCTCTGACTCTTCAGGACATTTCTGTTCAGATTTCTGCCTCTCCTGCCAGCCTGTCGATTTCTGTTACCTGTATCCTGATAATGAGCACCTAAACATCTGCTTGTAGTTTAGAAGAGCAGACAGACAGAGAGACTTTTCTGTGATTACAGAGGTGGATGATGGGAAGGGGTAGAAGGTAAACAGCTCAAATAGACAGAAAGTGTTTGTAATATTGACGTAAACCTTGTGTTTAATGCTTATCATGCTAAAGTAACCAAAACTCATAAGAGTAACCTTTTAAACTTTTCCTTTTATATTATCTCAGGATGATTTTATTTTTTAGTTAATATTTGTGGTAACACCTAATTTGACGTCAACTTTATAACACACTATAAATAGATATATAATGTGTTATTACCACGTTATAGTGCTGTATAACTATAGTTATAAACACTCAGAAATTATTTACGATGCTGTATAGCAATAATCATAACACATTATAAAGCATTTTATCATGACTTAAAGGTCAGGTATTTTAATGTGTTAAAACTGTTAACAACTCACTGGCAATGCCCACATAGATAATGTGTTATACATATATTTATGATGTGTTATAATTTGCTTATAAACTTGTATAACTATCGATATAAACACTCATTATCATAAGGCTTTATAACAATAAGCATAACACATTATAACACCTGACCTTGTAAGTCATGATAAAATGCTTTATAATGTGTTATGATTATTGCAATAAAGCATTATGATCATTTATGAGTGTTTATAACTATAGTTATACAGTGCTATAACGTGATTATTATGCATTATACATATGTTATAATGCATTATACAGACAGGCGTCAAGTAAAGTGTTACCATATTTGTATCATCAAACAGGCCACACAAGTAAAATCACGGATTTGCATTTTCTTGTCTTCAAACATTGTTACCCTGGCTTGTCAGCACCAGACCATGTCCACCTCCTTTTGATGTTCTTACACAAAACATGACAAAATATTATCCCAGCTCTGATTTCTCATCACCTTTTCAAGTGATTTAATGAAACTGCTCAAATACAGATACTTATAAACAAATACAGCTTTCCCAGGGAAACATTAGAGTAAGTTTGAGTTTTGTTTCTGGGACCCAGGTTAACCTGAGACTATCATTTAATGTGTTTTAATCTCTATTTTGGTATCAACCACAATAAGGGAAGTGCTCCAAATGACTCACTATGTTCACCGTGTGTATTATCCCTGTTTCACCTGTCTTCTTTGGGGCTGGATGAGTTTCACACTGTGGGGTGTTTCCATGTGAGTGAGAGTGAAGGCCTTGAAACTTGGGGTCAATTTTTTTTATATGAAAATGCTGCGGTGCACCGACTCTGACACTTCAATCTGACTTTACTTTTTTGTGAACAGGTTTTTGGAGATTTTTTGCATCCACCCAGTGTGCTGTGGAAGGTTTCTGGGAAAATCCGGACAACAACTGACAATGATCTGGTCTGAATATCCACTGACTCAGGTGTTGATGCACACGTTTCCTACGCCACTTAATGGATTTATATCAAGAGTATGTGTGTGTTCCTCAAATGTACTTCTAGCCACTGACCAGAATCAACTACTTTGCAGAAGAACAGGGTTAGTGGTTCCGGTATCGCTAGAAACCTTTCTAAGTGGACCACTGCGTCCTGAAATAAACCCGGGGTAGATCAGGATAGCTCTGCAGCTCCTCTATTTGAAACTCTCCTTCTTTAGGAGTGGACTGGCCTTGTGTTTCCTTTTTCTCATTTCGATGAGTAAAAGAAAAAACTACACCATTCTCATGGTTGATGACCCGGTTTTGTCTCTTACTATATAAACTTACAGTGACTATAAAACTACATTTATTCAGTGTGCAAGGTTTCTGTTTTTTATAAAATCAGATTACTGATCTGCAAAACACGGACTCGGCATGCTGAGACCTTCAGATTGGAAAAAAGATTTCAAAACTGGGAGAGTAGCTGATATCTGTCAACAACTTGCACAAGCTCTTGATATAATAAAACATTTAAACATCTTTTCTCCTTTTTCTTTTTTCAGTTTTTGATGTCTTAGTTCGCCACGTCATTAAGACAAGATTATCCATAACCGAGGACTCAGTAGACCAAACAACGACCACATTTTTCTACATCTACTCTGCTCTACCTTTGCCACAAACAAATGCATTCACTCTATAGTGTGTGTTTCTAAATTTACACACATATGTACTCATGATCCTAATGAGAGCCAGATGAGGGGTCGGTGGAACAAACGCACACACACACATTCGGACAGCTGACGTAATTTCATTCCACCATCTCATCTCTCCTGTCAGCTCTAAGTCCTGCTGCCTCCCTGGATTACTGTGCAGCTGGACAGAAGAGAAGAGAGTGGAGGGGCTGGAGGAGAGGTGGAGGGATGAGGGGACAAAGGAGGGCGGATGACAGAATAGAGGGAAGGAGACAAAAATGACCAAAGAAACAGTAAAGAGAGGGGAGTACTCTTCATGGCTATGTGAACAAATGTCTCCCTGTAGGTTAGTGAGAAATTTGAATATATTAGTATAAAACAGAGAGAGGCCAGAATAGAAAAGCTGGGAATAATAAAAAATTAGAGTAGTGTAAGTAATAAGGAGGGGCTGGAGGCAGAAAATGACTCAGACTACAAATTGCCAAATGATGACAAAAAAAGCTAAAGATGAAAAATTAGAGGAAATATCAAAACTGATGAATGAAGACGCTGGAAGAAATTTGTAAGACAGACTTTAAAGTATTAACCATCAAATATAAAAGTTGTGTTTGATGTGAGACACAGTGTCCACATGCTGCAGGTCAAATATCAGAGAAAGCCGACTTTCATCTGAAGGGTAAGAGGCAGAGAAGGATCAAGTTTGAAGTCTGAACCAGCGGCTGCCGCCTCCTTTGGGAGCTTCCATTACACACCCTCACCTCTGGCTCCTCTGAGCCCAGATCCAGTTTGTTAGAACCCAGAGGCAAAGTGTCATGACCTGGATGTAGTTTAGGAAACAGAGGTCGACCTGGGGGTCAAGGTAGGGTTTCAGTTTAGCTTCATCTAAGCACTCAGATACATGCAAATAAAGAGGAACTTTTGTTTTTTCTATGAACAAAAACATGTTAAAAGTGTTTATTTGTTAAATTAAAAGTTGTTATAACCAAATGAAACCTCTTTGGTGTGAGAGCAGGGGTCTTCTTACCCTGATACCAACCTGCATGATATGATTATTTATTATTGGACAGTCAAAATCCATAATTAAGCACAGCTGTGTAATAACCTGTAACAGTATTGGCTTTAACCCACATTAGGAAGAACAAATACAATTTAAAGAGTGTTTAGAGTGACACGTGAACGCAGTATGATCAAATATCAGCCCAATTCTAATGTCACTGACAAAGTGGTACTACAGCAAATTACTAAAATTCGTTTTCATATCAAATCAGCTGTTTTTTTATGTATTGTATTTCCTGAAGTTTCATGAAACTAACAAATGTTACATACAATAAGTAAAAACTCTCATTATATGAAAATATGATATTGGTCAAACTGGAGTTTTACACACCAGAGTTTGATGGACACAGAGTAAAGTTAGCAGACACAGTCAGGCAAACATCATGTGACCAGGTCCGAGAAAGGAAAAGAGATAAGTTAAATACCCGGTGAGGTACGGATGCTGAGGTTGCGTGTGAAATCTTCTTTGAGTGCGCTGAGAACAGCCGTCATGTCTGCCTCCACTTCATCCAGACTGATGATGTCTTCCACCAGAGCCGAATTAATATTCACTTTCGCTGGCTGGCCTTTTGCCTTCGCTACGGAGACAAATACATGATGAGAAGCAGAGAAGAAAGATTAGAGCCGCGTATCTCAGACAAATAACATCTAATCACGTAACACACATTCACGCCAACAGAGCAGCAGAGGTTAGTCTCAGGTGAACTCCAGTCTCACCTTTAGATTTCTTTGTGGCATAGAGTCTGGAGCAAGCAGCAGGTGGGTAGCAGGAGGTGCCTGGATTCAGAGGTAGTCTGGTGGCGATGACTCTTGGTGAGGCCACTACGGGGGACCGGACCTGTCGCACTAAGGTCTGGCACAACAGCGGTCGCAGCAGGTTCAGCTGATTTAAAGCCATGACTGTCAGAGGATTAAAACAACAACAACAAAAAAAGGCTAATAAAGTTTTGACTTTGGAGGGAGTAGATTTGATTTATTTTCAGTCAGAAACTGTTCAGAAATCAGCTGAAGTCTCCTCTGTGTTATTTACTTAAAATGAAGTAATAACTCAAATCAGCCAGTAGGAGGTGGGCCTATATCTTATTCAAAGGGATTAAAGCAACATCATATCTTGATGCTCTGACAACTTTTTGATGCTTATTTGGCGCAAAACAACAAAAGATGAAACTTAAAACCAGCCAGATCAACTTGATTATATCTTACTTTCATTTCTGCATCTTAGACTCCGACAATAACAAGGACAAAAAGTAAAAAAGGAAGCTTTTCTGAGTCTAATTACAGGTGACCGTGACGATGAAAATGCCCCGTACTGTTCGCAAAACTTTACATGAAGTCACACAAAACTATTTCCTTTCACATACGGGACAAAATAAAAGTCCAAAATAAAAGTCCAAAACAAAGTCCGCAGTCTTCCACGCACGTTTGTATGGGAATTCCTGAAGGGGAACCTCCCTTTAAACAACAACATGAAACCAACCGCTCCCTTTCTATTGCCTGAAAACCTCCCACCTCGCGACACAGCTCTATAGTGTGAACTGTGTCAGTGAACCTCGGCGCACACACACAAGCACAGACAAACCGCGAGGTGTGGAGGCCCACAGACTCAAACACTCGCTAAAGCCTGTCTTTCACAGTCAGTGGTTGTGAACAGCTCTCAGTGTACTTTGGCATGACTGACATCCGCCATTGTATGATGTGCATTTCTAACTGTTACCTGTGGGGAGGTACAAAAAATACTGCATGTTCGAATGTGGTTCAGTATGAAACAGTAAAACATTTCTAAATTCAATCTGAACATGTATGAACACACTTATTTTGCCAGATAGAGACACGTTTCTGAGTTATGTGAATTTGTCTATAATAACCTGTTACAGTTTTGTGTACTTGTGGATTATTAAACCACTGTTAGGACACTAGAAATCTACAGTATGCCTGATGTTGATCCAGCATTGTGGATATCGTAAACATATTCCACAGGCTGTATTTTGGCTACATATTGCACCACCGCCTTCAATACAAACCCACAATGTGTATCCACGGCTGGCAGGTTTCCTGATATGAAACAGTGCACTGTGGCAGAGCAGGTACTCTCAGATGTGGGATGCTGATGGATCTCTTTAGCTTGGAAGTCAAGCAGAAAAAATGTAGCGCAGGTGTTCAGTGGGATACTGTAGCCTCACATCCTGTGAATTTCACACACTGCAGCAGCTTTAGACACGCCTCTTTTCCTTCAGGTGGCAAAAGACAGCTGGTGAGCCTGCCTCACCTGTCCTCTGCACAGTTTGAGCAGAAATAATACTGCCCAGTATCTGACAATGCTCGGCCTGGTCATGGGAGCTGTTCATACCACACTTGCACGAAAGAATGACTACATATATCTGCTATATTTTCATGAACTATATTTTTCATATGTTTTGTAGTTGTTTTTTGTCATTAGCCATTTTTATGAATTATTATAGTTTAGACTCTTTGTATTTGCTGTTGTTTTGGTGCTTCGGGGCCGCCGTAGCTTCAGAGTATATGGATTTTTAATCCTCTATTATTCCCTGATTTAACACGATGAATAAGCTATTCAAGTAAAAAGACACTATTCACGCAGACATCCTTCACTTCAAGAGGCAGACTGATGAAATATATGTTAATGATTTCGCCATCATTATTTTTGATGGCCTCTGAATTATTTTCTGATCATTTTACGGTCAACATTACAGGGATTTATGATCATAAATGTTCTTCCTTAATTAAACTTTATTTATATGGCACTTTTCAAACCGGAGATGCAATTCAAAGTGCCTCACAGAGGCTAAAAACAACAATAAAGACAAAAACCCAACCCTTCCACCCACCCATGGACCCACACACACAGAGACACACACCCACCCTCACATACACACACATACAACCGCACACAGTGTGAGAATTTAAGATAAAATTTTCATAATTCCTTGAGCTGTGTCACCCCGCTGTAGTCCGTCATGGACTGTGGCTATGTGGCTATAGAGTGGTGTTTATGTTGAAGTTTGTATATGGCTCCTCAGACCGCTGTGTATTGCTATCGTGCCGTCGTCACTAAAGTTGGTATTACTAGAGAAGCAAGCGGTCGGCAACATTCATCTCTCGGTGGGGGTGGGGTACCCTAAATTAATTTTTCACCGGAATATCCCTTTAAGGTAAAGTGATCTAGTTGTTGTTCAATGACTGCCATAAAATACATCCATTAAAGTAGGAGAAAGCAGGCTATCGACGTGGAAATGTTCACACTAAATTAATGAAGGTGAAGGTCGGTGTGATGTGAAGCGCTACTTCGCCCTCTGCCCACAAAAACCGACATAACCATCACTCTCTCGGTACTAAATGAAGCCCTGACGTTGGTCTCGGCCACAAACTCAAAAGAGAGCCCTTAATTTATCCGTGTGTAAACCCACACAGCATACTTACCTCCAGGTCTACAGTCCTCACAGAAGCGTGATAGCACAGAATGAGCCACATATGACAGCTATGTGACGGCATCATTACGCGCCGGAGGGACATCCACTTTCATATTAGATTTGTTATACGGGGCTCACCGAATGAGCGGGGTTTCCCTATCTTGAAGTGACGGAGTATAACTCAGGGTGGATACGGAGGAAGCCAAACAACAAACCGAGCGCTTCTTCCTGAACGCGTAGGCAGTTAAACATAAAACGAAATCATCCAGCGCCTTTGTTGTTGGACGGCAGAGAGGCGGCTGTAGCTAAAGTGGTCCGTTCAACGAGAGGAAAATATATATTTACACTGAAATGATCGGTGTTATGTTCTGACGCAGCTCAAGTATCCCGAAAGGGGAGGATCTATGGTTCAGTAGGTCGAAGAATTCATCCGCTAACAAAGAGGAAGTTTGACAGATCGAGGAGGTAAAGTGGAAATATTGACGCTAGCTAACAGCTGGAGACGAGCTGTTTACTGTTCAGGGGGGAATATTCCTATTAATAATCATCATAACTGGATTTCACTGCTCTCGGTGCCTGAGATTAGCTCAGTATTTCACAGGTGATTTTTGCCTGCTAAGAAAGCACAACCTGAGAGATAGAGATAGTTCAGTTACAGACGTGTGGGAAGCTAAGCTAATGTTAGCTCAAATAAACCAGATGGCTCAAGTAAACCTACCAGAACTTGTTCGAAAATCGATATTAAAATCTTATAGAGTACTTCTGTGATTGTTTATATCTGTTTACTTCATGCACACCTCACATTCAGAAAGCGCTAAAAGAGTGTCGCGATGGTTCAATAAAGCGATAAGGACTTTCTAGTGTGTTTGATTGATTATATCGCGATATTTGAAGGGGAACTGGTCAAGCTTGGTGTTTTAAAATTGAGGATGATTAACCAGCCTGATAGCACATGACTGAATCTTAAAAATGTCTAAATAATGGTGGTAAATACTAAGGTAAGACCACACAGGTCAGTTTTAACATGACTAACACCTGAGCAAACTAATGGCATCATCATCGTCATCATCATCAAAAACAATCTGAGCTCCTTCACATTATATTTCTGCACCTCTGTCTTAAAAGCTTTCAAGTAAAGGCACTCAACGGCTGCTTGATTCGGTACCATTTTACAGTCTGATTCATACAACACAATATCTGTGCTATAAATTCTACTTGTAGTTTAATACTATACCTAATTTTAGGGCTGGGGGATATGGGAAAAAGTTTATCACGATATATTTTTTCATATCAGTCAATATCGACATATATCATATTATAAAAAGGGAAATTTAACAGTTCTTATTGGTAGCATTAGGCCTGGACGATATAGAAAAAAAGCATATCGATAAAAAATAAATCATATTGATCGATATCGATAATTATCGATATAATTATTATAATTATTTAACATATATTTTAATTGCAGCCCTGGATGTTTTATGCTATTGCTTAATGACCTACTTTTAATAAAGAACACACAAGCACTAAAATCAAATTCAAACCTTTATTCAACCACCTTTTTATTTATTTTTTTACCACAACTGAAAGTTTTTTAAAAAAGAACTTAAAAAAAAAAAAAGAAATCAACTTAAGTGGCCTGAGTGACGTCAGTAAATACTGACAAACATAGACTAAAGTGACCAGAAAATCTGATAAATAAATATTTAAATAGTCTTTTGATGAAAATAAACAAAACAAACAAATATATAAATAAACAGAATAGCTTTAGGTGGGAATAGCATACTACCAGTTTTAACTGTGTGGGAAACTGCCCACAGCCTGGTGTCTCCCGGGGTCGGGAGATTTCTTTTTTTTAATTATCATATGATTGACTTAATACGCAAACTGAGCACGAGAAGCAGGACTTATCCACGCCGGTGTTGTGTCGTAGAATGCACCCCTGCCGAACGCACCCCCTGCTAGTAGCCATGATCCAAATACTCGCGTATGAGCTCATTTTCTTCCACTTTAAGAAGCTAATGAGTGGACGGGATGCAGGGGTGCATTCTACAGCACAACACCGGAACGTATTTCCTCCGCACCGTTCTCAGCTTTTCAACCCCTGACCCGTTTTCATGCCTGAAGCGCTGTGTTTGAGGAATACTTGCGGCCGGGCACTTCATATCGCGGGTCGAGAGTGGCTAGAAGCTGGTCGAAGCCAGGCTTTTCAACGGTAGTTATTGGCAGCATGTCACTGCATGGGTGATGTCCTTATGCCGCTTGGACGCTTTGTCGTATTTGGCAAGAAACGAAGTCCAGTTTGGTCTGCTTCACATGCTTTGTGCTGGTGCTGGCAGCGGTTCCAGAGGATTCCTCCTCCGACGACGTGGAGCCGCGGCGCCGCCGACACAGCTCGTACTCCTGCGGGTGCGATCGGTTTAGATGGTAGAACAAGTTGGTTGTGTTACCAGACTTGGTTTTTACTAATTCTCTGCAAATTTTGCAAACGACCGCTGTTCGCTTTTTGTCAGACTTGTAAAAACCAAAACATTGCCATGCTGGTGAACTACTGAAACCTTTTTTCGGGACAATTTCCTCCGCTTCTCCGCTTCTAATACACGTGCTGTCTGTTGTGGTTTGAGAGGGGCTGGGCTTGGTGCTGTAGCGTACCTGGGTCTGCGTTTGTGATTGGTTGGGAGGAAGTAATGACTGTAGTAAAAGCTACATGATAGGCTATGATGAAAAAGAAAGGGAAACTGTGTTTTTCTATCGAACTTTTTATCGACCCGTTTTTTTTCTATCGCACCACACGTCTATCGATCGATATATATTGTTATCGAATTATCGTCCAGCACTAGGTAGCATGTCACCAATGTTTTCGTGCCAGTGTTGTCGACATTGTCATCTGTTGAGCCTTCATCTGCATTTCTGCCGGGGGTAGCACTAATTTTCTTTTTTTCTCACCAACAGTGCCATCGGCTTCACATGTTAAAGTGCTATGGTTATGTGTAGCTGCTGCCTGCTACTACGTTGTTGTTTGCTACTTGGTTCTAGTTCAGCACATGATTGGCTCAGCGCAAAGCGGACCCGGAGCAACTCCCCTTTTCATTGGCTATTCGTATAGTCTACCGAAACATGGCAAAATGCCGACTATCGGAAAGCATATTGACCATGTTTCATATTGATATTTAGGGAAATTAATTTTCGATATATCATTACCGTTTTATCGCCAGCCCTACCAAGTCTGATGTAGCACGTATCAGCAAGTTAACAAGGCAGTTTCAAATACTTTACACAAGAGATCAAAAGCACTTTGACAAGGAGCAATACAAAAAAGTGATTCCTTGTCTGGTCTGACAGATGAATATCTCTATGTGGTGAACATGTAAGAGGATGGGTTTGATTGTAAAGCAGTGTCGGAGTCAGGGTTATCAACTCAAAGGAAACCATGTTGACTTATTTCTGTCTTGTCTTTGTCTTCCTCAGAGTACACATGTCGTCTGCAGCGGGGACAGTGGAAAATGCCTCCATTATTTCAGAGAGTGTGGCCCATGATGGAAACCGATTATGGATAGGCAACATTGATCCCAAAATCACAGAGTGAGTTTCATTTTAATTTTATGTTCTTTTCAGGTGTCCATGTCTTCAGCTTTGTCTTCTTAACAGAGCTTGCATAAAACAGTGTGAAAGTGTTTGTAGAAAAAAAAAAAATGCAACTCAATCAGCTGGTCGCATTTGAACTCATTCCTTAGGAGCGAAACTACCTGTGAATAACAAAACGCACACATCCGCTAACAGAATCAGATGCTGCTAGTGTCTTGCTGCATCTGTCCATGTTATGAACATGAAGCTTTGCGTTTTCACTTGCCTCATGGCTCAGGCTCATAGAGAGGCAGTGCATTGTGCATGCATATATGATTGATGAACTGTGTGCATAGTGTGTGTGTGTCGCAGGCTGAGACTGAGCAGACAGGGCTGGGTGTGTGAAAGAGAGGCAGCGAGGCGTGGAGACCTGCTGTGCGAAGGAGCAACCATCATTCCTCACTCACCTGCCCTGTTTACTCTCTCTGTGTCAACCTGGACCTGATTGTGTGTGTGTCCAACAGTGTGTATGTGTATGAATGTTAGAGTGCACAGTTTATGTTAAGTTTGCAGCTGGTACGGGTGCTAGCCTCAACACACAGAGGTGTCTGTGTATATTATTGTCTCACTTTACACACCATCATAGGTGCATGCAAACATCCCCTCTTGTTGCATCTGTGCAGAACTCTTAACCTTTAATGCGGAAAGCAGCACCCCTACATATATTATGATGGAGAGGAGTCAGTGCTTTTGGGGGATGAGGGGTGCGTTTTTGTGCCTGTGGGGGCTGCTGGAGAATGTACAAGCTGCAGCTCTGGTGGGCGTCTAGACAGGCGTTTCCTTCCCCTCTCTCTGCTCTAACTCTCCTGAAATAGCCCACCACCTCACAGCATGGAGGGAAAAACAGGAGAAATGCCTGTGGCCCCTGGTGCTGATTGGGAAGATTAATTAGCTCCTGTGTAGCATACGTAATGCTCCCTCTATCCCTCTGTTTGTCCTGGTAAGCCAAACCTGGGCTCTAAAATGCAAGGTGCTGATTCTTTGTACATGAGAGCAAATCACTGAAGACCACAACACATTTTAAAATTGAATATGAAAAGTCAACCGAACTGATTTGATATTTTATACAACAGGTTCACGGCCCAGCTGTCTATTCATTTCTTTTATAAAATTCAAAGTGCTGATTAATTCGTCATAAGGTTTTCTTTCATTTTTGAGCTCGGCTGCAAAATAAATGGCAGTTTCATCTTTATTATGGTATGAGCAGCCATGAAAACCTCATTCCTTCCATCTGCATCCATTACAATAAATAACTAAAAAAGACATTTAAGCATACAAGCAGTATTTTTCCCCTCTTTTAGTGTGCATTTTTTAAGTTCTTGATGGAGGTGGAGTAGAAACATAGACATTGTTTAAGAAAACATGAAGTCAACTTGCAGTTTTGAGCTGAAAATTGATCATTTAATTGTATAGGGGTATTAATTTACTGTCTTTAAAAAGGGTATAAATTAGGGCTGGGACGATATGCTTTTCTCCCGATTCGATTCTTCTGAGATTTTTTTGGATGCCCATTCAATTTAAATTGCGATTCTACGATTTTCCTCTGCATTTTTAACACCAGTGAAACAGTTGGATGATTATAATTGTCTTGTGACTATTCCAGGAACCATACTTCCCAAAAAATACACATCACATGTTAGTCAGTTTTTATGGTTTATTCTTAAATTGAAAAAAACAAAATGATTTTTGAACATAAAAATCAATTTAAAAATTGTAAAACAAACAAAAAAAAACCACGATACTGATGTGAATCAATTTTTTCTCCCATATTTATCCCTAGTATAAATGAAATATCTAGTGTAATAGTACCTCATATTTGGCCTAAATGAGCTTACAAGAGAACATGTTTGAAAGTTCTGCTGTTTTTTAGACATTGTTGGAAATAAATTGGCTGCACTTTTCTGTTCTGTAATGGTCCTCTGAGAGAAAATTGATTGTCAGCATGTTTGTATGTGTAGAAACGGTTATGAGTGATCTCCAGTTTCAAGAAAGTGTAACAGATTCCTGTAAAAAGTCTTCATAGTCCACACACGGGTGAAGTTCAAGTCCAAGTTTGTGATCTTGAAGAATGAGTTCAGCTTTTCTCTTCCATCTCTGTTTTGCAAACTCAGATTTTTTTCTATTCTCGTTTTTTCCGCACACTGTAGCTCCACCACTCGCTCAGCAGAAAAATGACAGAATTGGCATCAAGTAAAGAGTGACATGCTTAATTCTTGTCTTTTTCAATTATCTCCCCCTGAGTGAGTTTTCTTTATAACACCCTGTCAGTTTTTTTTTCATCTTTCTTGCCCTTTGCAGAGAGCAGAGGTCCTACAGGTGTAACAGGAGCTTTCAGCACGTATTTATGTTTTTGTGCTTTTGGCTTTTCAAAGAGGGAATTTCTCATTAGAGGTAATCCATCACCCTCTTCCTCTTTGTTGTCTCTCTGACCTTTGAACATTCTATGTTGCGTACCTGGAAATTGTCAAGATTTGTACGTGAAAGTTGAAGCCTCAGCTCCCTGTGTGCAGCTCTGATGAAATCATTAAAACGAAAAAAGCTCCCTCCTTCTGGCTGAAGTTTTCCCTCTGACCTGCACTTTTCTGGTCCAGATTTTTTGTCTTATCTTTTTCTGGACTGGGCTCACATCCCCTGTTTTTTTTTTCTTTCCTCTCATACTCTTCCTCTATCTCGCATCCCTCCTACCTGGCTTCTCACCTTTGCATCTTTTTTTGGCATCTCTCTGCCACCAACATCCCGTTTCTGAACTTTACCCCCCCTCTTTCCACCTTTCCCTCCCTTTCCTCCCACCTCCTCTTCTCCTCCTCTTCCTCCGGTATTTTTTTACAGCCCCCAGGAGGAGCGGTCTATTGTGGTTCAGCTCCAGAGCATTTAAAAATGTTCTTAGAGTGTCAGCCATCTAATACTTCACATTTATCTCATGCACGTACACAAACATTTTAAGAAGAAATAATTGATGTAAGAATCCACCAAGTAAAAAATTTGTAGTTGTATATTTGTTCCCCCACTCACACTTTTTCCTTGGATTTGAACCTGGGTCAAAGAAGCCACTTTCACATGGGTATTTTTCAGGGTGTTGTCTGGGAAAAGCAGAAATTGTCTTGGCCTAAAGCCCTCCAGGGAGTCGTACAATAGTGGAAGACATTAGTGCGACCTGTATCTAAGACACACACACTTCACCCTCCTTATCCCCCACTGAGTCCCGTTTACACACAGAAATGCACGCCTGCGCACAAACAGTCATGTAAGGTGTGTCACACACGCACAAACTGCTCCAGGATTATAAATAACAGCATCTAAACAATAAAAGTCTGAAGTATTGATTCCTGTTGAATAGTTGTAAAGAACACCTGGGGTCACCGTGAGGCCTTCACGGTCACACAAGGTAGAAATACCAGAACAGAAACACAGGAAGGTGATTGTTGATTTTGTTTGTCCGTATGTTCTTTCTAGTAATTGTTGACTAGTACACCTCTTTACTCATCTATCTAAGATATTGTCTGGTTGACTACTAAGGGTGGGAGGAAAAATCGAAACAGCATAGTATCGCGATATTTTGTCTGGTTATATATAATATCACCTCATTTACCAAGTATCTATTTTTTTTTTAAACTAACTCTTAATATGAAGTCAGTTCTATGATAATGGAAGAATAAAATCGAATGTTTGCCCAGTTAGGTTGGCAGAGGGGACATAATAGGGCAGGAGAAAGGTAGTGCAACAAATATAGCAGCACCTGGGGAAAGACATTAGGAACGCAAGCAGGGCGCAAATGAGATGGACCTGACACATAAGGTTTGCAAGATGTGCTACATGAAAATAAAATACTGTGTAAATAAGACAAAAATAAAGGAAAGACAAATGCTAAATTAGCTTAACAGTTGAAAAAATTGTGAAAATAGCAATATTTTGAATCACAAAATGTTAAAAATCGCAATAATATTGTATCATGCCCCAAGTATCGTGATAATATCGTATCGTGGCCCAAGTATCGTGATAATATCGTTTCGTTGCCCAAGTATCGTGATATTATTGTTTCGTGGCCCAAGTATCATGATAATATCGTATTGTAGCCCAAGTATCGTAGCCCAAGTATCATGATAATATTGTATTGTGATAATATTGTATCATGCCCCCAAGTATTGCGATAATATTGTATCATGGCCCAAGTATTGTGATAATATTGTATTGTGGGCCAAGTATTGTCATAATATCGTATCGTGCCCTAAGTATTGTGATAATATCGTATCGTCGCCCAAGTATCGTGATAATATTGTATTGTGGGGCCAATGGTGATTCCCACCCCTGTCGACTACTGTTTTGAAAAGCTCGGAAACTAGTAGTTGTCATGGGAGCCCCGTTTTTATGAGAATAGAGAGAAAAGAGAGAAAAAAAGAGGGAAAGAGATGTGATGAAACGGAAATGGAACTGTTCCGGCAAGAGTCCACCCCTGCAGGGCTTGGCTGTACCCTCTACCTCCCCCATATAAATAATACATACCTCACATGCTAATAAATGAACAACAGGAACACCAAAAAAATCTGGTTTTCGATGAACCAAGTGCTTGTACTGTTTTAAATAGAGTTGAACTGTTTAAGTTAAAGTGGAGCAGCTCTGATTATGGGAATTATTGCAATTGTTGTACTACTGTATTTAAAATGATGAGGATTTTATTGAATAAATCTACAGGGTAACTTACTGTGAAAGAAAACCTCAGGTCAATACAAACTGATGTAGCGCACACACAAGAGCTGCATCAGGTAAAAAAGCACCTGCTGCCTAACACGCAACTCAGCCGTTCCACCAGCATCCTGACTGGACTGAACACACTTCACAGGTGACCCTGAACTCGTTGCTCTTTTCCACACAGTCACAGGATTATCTTTCCCATGGCTAACCCTTAGTGCTGCATAGCTCTTAAATGAGCGCATATCTATGTTCGCTCAGAGCCCACCAGTCACAGGCAGACCCGCACAGTGAGTGGATGTTGTTTGTGCAGAGTGTGGTGCTCAGGGGGGATTTGAGGCTTCCTCTATTTTATTCCCTCATTGTCCTGCTACTGTATCCTCAGCATTGTCTCAGTGAGAGATTTACTGTCTCTGCACCGCCACAGCAGCTGGCCCGCTGCTAAAAAGGTGTCAGGGAGAGAAAGCTGTCATTCTCATTAGCACACTTGACAGATTCACAGATTGTAAATTTGCAATACAGAGCGATGAATTGTGCAATGGAAATGTAAGAAAAGTGTAAATTTGACTTGATATTATTAATATTTACTCTTCATTCTTCATTTTTCCATCCTTTGACCCATCCTTGTCCTATCTTTCTTTGTGTTCTCTCTTTGACATGGTCCCTCTCTTCGCAGGTACCACCTGGTGAAGCTGTTGGAGAAGTTTGGCAATGTAAAACAGTTTGACTTCCTGTTTCATAAGTCTGGACCTTTAGAGGGACAACCCCGGGGCTACTGCTTCGTAAACTTCAGCACCAGAGAGGCAAGTGCGGGGCTAAGTTCATGGCCGTCTAGATTTTATTTTAAAGCTTCCCTGGGGAGCTTTAGGTTTGTGTCAATTTAAGCAGCTTCTTTCTAACAAAAAAAAATCTCATCCTGCTTAGGGATGTACAGATCTGATATTTGGATCGGATATTGGCTCTGATATTGACAAAATAACTGGATCAGATATCTGATAAATGACACCGATCAAGTGTTCCTAGCCAGTCTTTTTTTTCTTCTTTTAATTAATTTTTCTTTTAATACATGGAAGTCTTACTTCTTTTTGCTGTGAGCTAATGTGAAACTTGTGATTTGTTAAAAAAAATATATATTAATTATTATTATTATTAATTTTTTACCTTTTTTTTTTAACAAGACTAATGTTAAGCCTGATGCCTTCACTCACAGGGCGAGGTGTACAGTTCATTCATTCAACGGTAGTATTGGATCGGTATCAGATATCGGCTGATATGCTCAGCCCAGGTATCGGTATCGGATTGGATCGGAAAAAAAATGGATCAGTGCATCTCTAATCCTACTTTATTGTAACGGTTGTGGGGTGACACTTACCCCCTCACAGCACTTTGATTTTTCATTTGATTTTTATTTTTTGCACACTTTAAAAGAGTACAACATAAAACATGATAGGTAATAATGAAACAGAGGCAAAAAAGCCACGATGGGCATATTTAGAGCCTCCACCTTATCATAGCCTAATATTATTATTACAATTTAATGTACAAAAGCACAAGATAACATGAAAAAAATAATAAAAATAATAGTGACTGACAACAATAATGTGTTAAAAAACAGAAAATATAAGACATTAAAGGTTACAATGTTAACGCTCTTTTTCTATCGTCTTAGAGTAGTAACGGCCGCACGTGTCTTCCTAAAAATGGACAATATTCCTAAAAAAGCCACTTTCAAGGAGCCGCTCAGCCTCACAGGTTCAGTTTGTTTATTTTGGAGTGTGCCTGAGGGGATCGTGATAAACATCTAGTTTCACAGCTAGTGTCCATCAGTGGGATATGAAGCCCTCCCAGAAGGATTATACAGAGGAAGTGTGTGTTTATCCTCCAATTTTACACACACAGAGACACTGACACACATGCGTACACACACACACTCACGCACGCACACACACACACAGAAAGAGTACTTCATTAATATCATTTAGCATCAAAGCCACTTACTCATTTGATTAGACAAAACCGCATTTTCTTTCCTCTCCCTCTCAAACACAGAGACACATACTTGCACACACATTTCATGGTCGATCTGGAAGCAGGGAGGCATGTCATCATCCGTCATTGTTTTCGCCATCTTTCTGTCGCGAAGACTAATTACTTAATGACCGGGAGGCAATCACGAAGGCAGATTTTTAATCATAGTTGTAAAAAAACGTTTCCTCTTTTCTCCTGTGTGTGTGTTTGTGTGTGACAGGAAGCAGAAAGAGCCATCCAGTGTTTGAATGGGAAGCTAGCTTTGTCCAAGAAGCTGGTTGTGCGTTGGGCACACGCACAGGTGAGGGTAAGTGTCAATCTCGGTTTCATTTGATAAAACAAAAAAATCTGAAACATCCTGATGGCTACTGCAGGAGTCCGTTTACAGAGAGCAGTGAAATCCCAGCGAAACCTACGCTTGTCTCTTAACAATAGACAGCCTGCTGGCATTGGGTGAAAGGATATCCTGTATAGAGACGAATCACACCCAACACACACACACAAACACACACATACGCTCACATACATAGTAGAGCCAGGTCAAGGTCAATGCTGCCGCCTCTATGACCACACACTGTAGGATAAATCTGCCCACAGATTCCATCAAACTTGGCTCAATGCACCACTCCAACCAAATACAGCTTTTGCTACTGATGCCATTATATATCAGAATTTTATCGGCTGGTTGAGTTCAAACTCCTCTGTCTGTCAGTCAGCTGAGACCTTGTGCCGTCAGGTCACTTTAGGTGTCTGTCAACATCTTCTAACTATCAGTTTGTTTCTACCATTTATCGTTTTTCAAAGTCGATACTGCGCTGTGATGGTTTGATATTTATTTGTGCTGCATCAGTGAGCTACAACAGTTTATTTGCATACAGAGAGGAAAAAGTTTGTACCTTTTTTTTTACAGATAGAGTGTAAGTGACTCATAAGGTGATGATTTAACATATTTATTACGGGTGGGAATCATCAGTGGCCCCACGATACGAAACTATCACAATAATTGGTCCAAGATACGATATTATTGCAATTTTTACAATTTTCAATTCAGTGAGTATTGCGTTACAATATATTACGATCTATTTTCAACTTTTTTTGGTAATTTTTTTGCTAACCTTACTGGAAAAACAGTTGATTTTTTTCTATTATCATAGATTTAACTGCATATTAACAATTAATTTGAAAAAAATCAATACTTAGTGAATGAGACGATACGATGTAATATATCACCAGACAAAATATTGTGATTCTATGCTGTATTGATTTTTTTCCCCCCACCCCTAATATTTTTTCTAACATATACCCACATCATAAAGGTGATAAGTAGGTCTGCTGATCTGAAAGATATTTTTACCATAAAGCAGATTGAACTTCACGTCATTTTCAGGGGATCTTCCTCCATGGTCAAGTTCACCTGACTTTTGTCTCAATGTGTGTTTTTGTCATGTTTGTCATATAGGGTACACACTGATTTACGTGTAAGGTGGAGGAACTCATGTGTATGCACACGTGTAACAGTGGTAAATAATGTGGCTTTCTGCTGGCAGAGTGAAAAGCTGAGATTATCTCTGTATTGCATACACTTCCACCAACATGGGATTTTAGGTCTGACTTTCACCAGTTAATCTAACTTACTCAGTACAAACAGACATGTCTGCAGAGCTTTATAACCTCACTTCTGTACCAGTGCTCTGATAGGGACAAGTTTCAACAGCTGACTGGTAATTGCAATCACTGCAATACATAAAATCAAAAACTACATCTTGAAGCCCTGCCTTCCCAACACCATGATGACTAGGACTTAATGGACAGACGTTGTGTAAATCAGTGTGTACCATACGACAATCAATGCAATTGAAATCTCCTTGTAGTAACCAGCAGCTCTATTCCTACTGCCAGTTCAAGACATAATATTTTCTCCCTGACTGTTTCCATGACTGTCATAAAGGTATGGAGGTTGTCTCCTCACTGTTAGAGGTGTTACAGGGCCGTACTGAAACCAAGCAGCCAGGGTGGAACAGCTCTATTTGTGTGTGTTAGGGCTGGATGATATTGCCTCAATCAATATCACGATATATTGAGCAGTTCACCTCGATAGCCATAAATGGACGATAACTACTCCACAAGCTGCTCACCCACTCCCACATTAACTTTGTCTACTTCAGCTGCCGCTCCAGCTGCTACAACTTTTGAACCATCCTCCATCCCCTCACCTGTCTGTCCCTCTTTGTTACGGACTGGATGGGGTGGAGTCACGGCTCCGATGTAGGACAGCGTCTTAAAGGGACATGAGACCATAGCCTACCCACACACCCAAAACCAACTTTTATTTATGTATTTATTCGACACCGAATATACTGATATGGGCAAAATGACGTCGATTATTGTCGTAAATTTCGGTATCTGTAAATTTTTGGTTTATCGCCCAGCTCTAGCATGTTCACCTCTACTGGACTATTATTGAGCTGTTCTGGGATCAGTATAAAAGTCCAAAGGCTCAAAATATGAACCAAGGCTTGTTTTGTGTTAACCAACGGTGAGATTTCTTTCCGTAAAATGTTTAATTCTGTCAGTGTACAAACATGGGCCATAAGACAATAATAATAATCATAGCACATCTGTGAATAACAACACATCCCCAGTGCATCCTTGTAATCTCTGTGCACTTTTCGGGGTCATTAATGGATTTAAGAGTTATGTTTCCTCTTTATTAAAGTGTGTGCTCAGTCGTTTCAACCTACCAAAGCTGGCAATGTGATTCAGTTGTCTTTCCAGGGACAGATTTACACAATACACAACACAAGACACGTCCAGCCTGTGCTTAATATCATCATCTTCTCGTGTTTTTCTTACTCAATTTGAAGCCACTTGGCCAGCTCTGTTCCAGTTGAGTGTAATATATTTTAAGCGTGTCCGTCCTCACTGGTTTCAACCCATAAGTGACACGCTGGGATGACTGAGTCAGAGACAGTTGGCGTACAAGTTTCTGTCTCGCTTCCAACCTGACATCTTGACTGTATTACTTCGCTTTGAAGGAGAGGAAGTCAAGTTGATGAACGTTTATTGAAATGTTTCCCCTGAACTCTTCACAAACATCCAAAAGTTTCCAAATAACAGCTAAGCAATTGTGTCCTTATTCATTATTCTAATACACCGTGTTTATCGTCGCACTGGTTGTCTGCAGCCGGATATTTTGCTTGATTTGTTCAAGTTGTGCAAATTATCACAGCCCTTCTGTTCAAAAAAACACTCATGGTGCATCTGTAATTTTGGCTCAAATCCTCTATATTATGACACATTTAGCAGATATCTCTATCCAAACTGAGCTTTCGACTGTGCCAAACATTTGAGCATGACTTTCACTGTTTATAGATTCAGAATAGTCTGATTGGCTCCGTCTTGATCTATATGCATTCCACTGACATGCCTTTAGAAATAGGTGGAAGGGAAGGGTCCTGGCCAGTGGAACGGTCATTGTTTTAGTCCTATTCTCAGCTATACATGTTATTTATTTCTTGGCACAGTATACGAGACCATGTGTGTTCTTCTGCACATTTATGTAACTTCTAACCAACTTGATCCATTGCCACTCACACCCCCCGATTTCCTCGCGTCACATTCCCACAAACAGCTGCTGCAGCTGCAACCGAACGCCGGAGTGTCGTGTGCTGTTCATGTACCCTGTGTGACCTTTGTTTTTGTTTGTCTTTTTCTTTCTTTCTTCACAGGTTTCGAGAGTTCAGGGTTGGCTGGTGGAGATGTTTGGAAGGTGGTTTGTGAAAGGAATGAGTGCAGACATGGTTGTTGCTCCTCAGCTGCTTCCTCAGGATGCCTTAGGGGGCTCTAGTGTGGGCTGGGTGTACAGCCCTGCTCGGTTACTCTCTGTTTGAATAGACAAACAGAATCAATCCCTGAGTGTGATAGTGTAGGATGCTTTTGAAGGATGCTGGGTCTGGCTCTCTAAAAAACTAATTTTGATTTTTGTTGAAAGTCTAATGGTTCCCAGAAGTCTGACGTGATTTATACCCTTACTCTCTTTCCTCTCCTCCTTGGCTCTCCTTCAACCTTGTCTATGCCTCGATTGTCATGTTTCTACCTGTTTTTTACTCCATTGTCTCTCTCTCCATCTGTGTTCCCATCATGGTTTGTTTGTTTGTATCATTTTGTTTTGGCCATGCATCTTCATCAGAGGTTTGAAGGTTTCCGTAACGAGAAGACGATGCCTCCCAGCCTTGAACCATCATGCAGCGGGGCGGCCGAGGAAGGAGCCGTGACCGCAAACCACCTCAGGTGGGTAACAAGCACACACAAAGAAACAACTTCAGATTTTTTTAAAACAATTTTCTGCTCTCTCAGAGATTATTCACAACAGGCTCACCAGATCTCTTGTCTTTCTCCCTATTTTGCCTTTTTGTCCACACTTGGTCAATATTTTTCACACCCAAAAAGAACGGGTTTAGTAGACACAGTAAGTCTGAAATGATTAGCCCCACATTTTGGAGTGAACAGCGATCATGTAATCCTGCCCGTCCCTCGATCACTTTCACTTTCTAAATGATGTCTGAATTATTTAACCAAGCTGCTAGTGTTAAATTGAAACATGGGTGTACGCATCCTCTTCCACCTAACACCCTCTGCACTGTTATCCCACTGCCTGTACTTTTTTGTTTGTGACCGGTTAACCACCATCAACCCCTAAACTTAAGTTCTGTGCTGCCTAATTAAAGTCGGAATAACATTAAAATATCTTGATGATATTAAAATGTAACATTTCTGTCACACCGTCAACAGGAAGCAGTGCAGTCATACACTGTGCACCAGATGTGCCAGAACTCCAAACTGCATATTGATTTGGTTTGTGTGATGACTGTGACTAGTCTGTCCCAAGCGTGATTCTGCTATTCAGAATTAATAACCATTATCAAGAGGGTCTGACCAATCAGGATCAAGTATTTAACTAAGCCAAGTGATAAATAAGAAAGCAGTGTAGCAGACAAAACTATCCCATGTGTTGGATCCATAGACTGTATATAAAATGGACGTCTGCCCTGTGAGAACAGCACCCTCTGGTGACCGGCTGCAGTATAGGTCATAAATCCTGCCTCCTCCAGCAAATTTAATTACACAGAACATAAAATTTTCTTCCCCCTGGTTGAGATGTTGACATGTAGTTACTATGAGACTGGTTTGTGCTCAAGTCCTCTTTTTTTTCTGTGAAGCTCCATTTTTAAAAGTTATCAGGGGGTTCAGTTTTTCTATGATTGACACTTGATACAGCCTGTGGGCGTACGAAGATTGCGTAGCTCATGTGAGGGATATGCTGTTTGAGCTGAGCGTCATCACAGCAACTCTCGTGCTGAATGCACACAATGCTACCACGCAAATGGTGGTTCTAGGAAGTGGAGAAAATCCCGGAAATACCGAGAGCAATATTACTTCAAATTTGTCTAACGACGGAAGGCGGAGTCAAGTTGTCCGTAGCATATACAGTCAATGTTTGGATCAGTTTGGGTTACACTTAAAGTGCCTTGAAGAATTATCCAGCGAGCTCCAGCTTTACTCCAAAGTTTTTTAAAGATGGTCTGCAGTCTCGTGGCTTTCACTGTAAAGTTAACCTGAGAAAAACACATCAAGGAAACCTGAGCTGAATTGAAAAAGTTGTAAGTGTATTTTAGAGTACCGCTATCCTGATCCACAGTCACATACAAACACTCTGTCTGTGCATTAGCTGAATAGAGCTATTATGTAAATAGCCTTTTGTGCTCAGCTCTTACATGGATTGGACAGTCCTCTGTGTAAAGCAATTTATCTGCTTTCAGGATTCCTCCCAGAGAATTCTCCGCACTTTGGCTCTTGTGCAAACTACGGATTCACTCTCTCCACATAACAGAGGAGAGGAAATATAAACACCCCCCCACTCCACCCCGCCCTGCTTTTTCCTCTTTAGGCTCCCTCTCTTCTTACACACTCACTCTTTCCCTCACTCACCTGCTCTTCTACTACTTCCCCTGCATGCTTCTTCAAATCCTGTTTTACCATTTAAATACATTTCCTTCCTATTTTTTTATGCAGCACAACAGGTAATCTCTCTTTTTCCCCTTGTGTCTGCACCCTCCTGTTACTTGAAGTGCTACCACCGCTTTACTTTCTCACTCAGCCTGCACCAAAATCTGTCCATCACACTCTCAGCACCAACACTAGTATTTCCCCCTCAACCTGGCCACTAACGTTTCTTTTTTTTTATTTTTTATTGTTCTCCTGCAGTACGAGTGCTAAGATCCGCGCCATCGAAGCCAAGCTGCAGATGATGGAGGAGAATCCAGACGATGACTACTCAGGCCCGTCGGCGTACATTTACAACAAACCGCCGGAGAGGAAGCGCTGGGAGCCGTACTCCAAATCCCACCACAATAACCAGAGCAGACCCTTCCGCAAGTTTAGGAGATGACCCATCATTCTGGAGAACCCCCTCCATCCCTCTTTCCCCCTCCCTACCTTTACACCTCAACTCCTACACACAAACTAACAACACCAGATACTTTAAAGACAATACACATCCTGTCTGGGAATCAAAAGTTTTGTGAAGTTGTTCCTACACTCTCAAAAACGGGACTCTTTTAGAGGAACTTGCAGCAAATCAAGATGAGAATCTTTGTGTTTTTTGGTTATTTTAGGTTACAGTTATTTAGCTTTGACAAACGCTGAACTTGACTGCTGTACATGTTCGGTCCTCTGCAGATCGATCTACTTCCTCACTTTCGCAGAGATCCGTCGCAGGTGAAACGTAGATCCAAGAGTCAAATGATGCTGCAAAGAAAGCGAAATTGTATTATTTAAGAGTTTAAAAAACGTCGATTCTTTTTTGTCTTTGACTTGTTTTTACTCAGATAACATCATTTCTAAGTCAAACGGAAAATTTTCTGTCTTTTTACACAACTTCAATGAAGAACACAGATTTCTAACTTTTTTTACAGAGATGAAACAATAAGCCACAAGCCACTACTGTTACTGTAAGTGCAGTATTTTTCTGTTGTTTTTCAGCTGAATAGTTTGCTTTTTTTCCTCGAAACTTATTTTTTTATACAACTTCAGTGTTTTGACTGATGTTTTTCGGTGTGTAGAGATTTGACATTTCTTTTGCCACGGTCCCTTTATTTTAATTAAAGTCAATTAGATATCATGTCCGCAGTGTGCTGTTTTGTAGCTACTCAGCATCCCCCTCAAAGGCTTCAGCTTTGACCACTCAGTAAAAACATTAAACGTCTTTGTTGGTATCTTGATCTCCAAGTTTCGCTAAAATAATTTTAAATGTTGTGTAAGATAGATGTTAAATCATCTGTACGTCATCAACGAGAGAAGTTTTTGAAGCAATTCAGCCATTATTAAAAGACGACTTCTGGGACGCTCCTTAACCCGTCAATGCTGAAAAACCCTCAAGTCACAGAGTTCTCAGTGCAGTCATAATAATCCTGGTTAATATTCTGTTTCTTATATTTCCAGGCCATGTTGTCCTTTACCCTAAGTCGTGTTTTTAATGTTTATTTTTGCACGCAGTCTAATGAGTGTTGCTGTGAATCATTTGAATATTCCACCTACCCTCAGCATCAAACTTCAACCTTAAAAATTATTTTGAAATGTCAACTTTGTTATTCGTTGTCTTAATGGAGAGCAATATCTTGAATGCAATCTGTGTCTTTCCTGCCGGTTTGACATGCAACATGAGCGCGTAATAGTTTTCATGACTGCAAAGAACAAAAGAAAATCACTCAAGTTCAAATGTGGTTCCGTTTTTCCTGAAGGTGTTTCTCAACCAAAGGTCCTTTTTTTAAAAAGCCAACAGTTTTGAGAGTTTAACAAGAATATCTAATTCCCATATTATAGATACATGCAGCAGTGATGAAGATGGAGAGATAAATTACATGGGAAGGGATAAAAGAGTGTGCACTGAAGAAATCAAATCCTACCTCTTGACATCAGAGAGCCCTTTTTCAAATGTCTTCTTTTGTGTGTGTGTGTGTGCGTGCGTGTGTGTGCGTGTGTGTAAAAATGGCTCACTTCCCTGCAGACTTTTTTCTGATAATTATCAGGAAATTACTGAGTTTTATTTTTTAATGTGTGTAACTGTTTTCAATAAAAGACATTTATTCGTTAAAAATTACTTTCAAATGATGAAATATTTTCTTTTTTTTTTTTTGAGGATTGATGATAAACACTTTTTTTTTGTCTGGTGTATTTAAATGGAGAAATTCCTAAAATAAAAAATTATTGTGGGATTTTTTTCGTGATTGACACGTCGATCTGTGATTATGGGGCTGAGAGTCTCGTTCACCTGCATGGACTCGTCTTCTGTTTGCATAGATTACCAAATAGTCAACCTTTCTGTTTTTACGCATTCACTTAATGGCGTGTTTAAAATAATTACAGCCTAATTCAAATCGATTGAAATAGGCCCTACAACAACAACCACTTTTTCAGCTTTAAAGTGCATGTATTTCTATCAAGCTTTGCAAATAACACAACTTTTTAATCATTTTTATATTCAATTTGATGTTACACCATTTTAAAATCTTTATTCAGAAGTTAAACTAAAATTACAGACATTAAAAATGTAGCAGCAATGTTTTCATTTTAATTGAATAATTTGTATTTGCAAAAAAAAAAGCTTATTTAAAAAAAAAAAATCATAATATATTTCGCGTCATCGTTAGTTCCTGTTGCAGACATGAGTGAGTCTGACTATACGGTCGGCCTACTAATCAGCCAACATATAGAGACGCTGTGTATGAAAAGCTCTATTTATATTCCCCTGCATGCACTCTAATTATTGCGTTGCAGCCTATACAGGTCGAGTTGTATATTTCTAGTTGCAAATAAATGGCAATTATATGAATAACTATAATTCACATTTGGTATTTTCTCCCCTGGCAGCTGCTACGAATGCCTGAGATATCAAACACACACACTCCAGCAGAGTTTGACTAAGTTTCTGTCATAACTGTTCCAAAGTGTGTCCACCCTTCTCACGCATATGAAGCTCTGTGTTCACCCTCCTCCCCCTTCTTTTACAGCGAGGCAGGCCAGAGAGCCGCGCAAACTTTCACTACAGCTCTGCACAGTCACTCCGGTCCTCTGCTCTCCTCCACTTTGCATTCTCTCGGAGCCTTGGAGTAAAAAACTGCCAACCCCTGAATCTGATTCACTTCCTGTAGTCAGACTCTTTTCCTTCAAGTGGAGAGAGAGGGGGACCCCGAGGGAAAGGAAGAAACCTTTCTGTTCCACACACAAAAAAAGGTTCTCTGTGGAGAAACGAGCAACTTTTCATCTCTGCAAAGCTTGAGAAAGAGAGTCAGCGTTAAAACATCTCCCGAGTCCACGCATGGTACGGATGCTACAAGTTCCGAACGACGTCGCCGAGACTTCTCCTGAATCCACGCACCAAGTTTGGGAACACCGTACGCTGTGAGACCGCGGGGGTTCATGTACTGGAAAAATGAAGTTTTGTCCCCTCTCTCAGAGGGAAATAAGATTTTGTCCGAGGGAATTCCCACGAAACAGGTACAGAAACTTTGAAAACGTCTGTGCGTAAACTTTGTGCGTAAAAGATTCAAATTGGATTTGTGGCACACTTTATGTTCTGCGTGGGCCTTCGTTGCTTTTCTTTGACTTGATTTCCCTTTTTTTTTAGGAGGAATGTTATTTAATTCATTTGCAGACAGAGAAAATGTAAAGTTGTGGTTAATTTTTTGCTCGATTTACCAAAGTACATATATTCTTTCTGGAGCGCTTAGGTGATGCGTATTCTGGCGCATACACGCACAGTTTATTCGCACCCCGAAGCGTGGCGTGTGTGCGTTTTGTTTTGTCTCTCTGTGATGTCACGAGAATCACCGCTTGTGTACTAAGATCAGCTGCACGCGCCAGCCGCTGTGAAGAGGCACGCGCCTCTCTGTTATGAATAGCGTGATTTGCGGTCCGCGAGCCCTCTCGAGCGCTTGCCAATTCGCCTGAGAAGAATTGGATTTTAATTACAGCCATTAAAAATCAAATTTGCAATTCTTTGGGTGACCCGTTGCCTTTCTCTGATTGACAGTTGAAATTGACACTCCGGGTCCCTCTTATCCGCGGCGTTTCCAGCTATTTGTAATTACAGGTAGTTTTTTCCCCCCTCCACTCTCGTGTCCTGGATTGCGAAGAAAATACTATTATTGTGAGAGGCATGGGTTAAGGGGAAGGGAAAAATCAATCCAAATTGAAATAGCTTCATTAAAATGTGTCTTTTGTTGCGGGGGCCCTTTTAACAGTTTTAACCGGGGGCTTTATTGTCAGGACTACTTTAAAAAGGAGTAGCCTTGGAGAGCAGTCTGCAAATGTGTCCCGAGGACTTCTCAGCTGAAGATGAGGCAGGGAAAGTGATGAAGACTGGCCGTTTACGAATCGTTGTCTTGTAGGTGATCTGTACGGAGCATCAGAGTACACCGGGAGGCTCACGCTGCAGCGTGGACTCGAAACACACTCAAATGGTAAGAGCGAAAATATTTGCACCATTCTCTGCAGAGATAAAGTTAAGATTCATGTGGGCCAATTATGTTTATTTGCATTTGTGTGTAGCTATTACGCATGCATTGCAAAATAACAATAACATGAAAATGGAGATATGTGCAGACTGGATGAAGGTGAATTTGTGAGCAGTTTTCTTCCTCCTCTTCTTGCAGTCTCACTCGGACGGAGAATCGCAGCGGTCCAACATGGAGCGGGAAGACACGCGCTCGTCCCCCAGCACCCCGTCCACCCCCTCCGTGTGCTCGCCCACCTCCACCACCAGCTCGGTCCCCTCCACCGGGAAGAACGTGTGCGCCAGCTGCGGCCAGGAGATCCTGGACAGATACCTGCTAAAGGTGAGAGGCCTTCAATAACCAGATTTGATCCTCTCCAGTGGAATCTTGTTTAGTTTTTTGGGGGGAGGCTGCACTTCAATTTCAAGCTCAGGTGTTAAATACAGAGATGATGTCGTGGCTTGATCTTGGAATCACAAGGGAAACGAAACGGCACGACTAAGAGAAGAATAAAGAACTAACAAATGAAGGCCTATTTAAAATAGGAAGACCAAGCCAAACAAATCGAGGCTACAGATCAATTTGCAGTAATTAAGCACATTCACACTTAAAGTCTCTTTTCTAGATTTGACCTTAAAATCAATGTTTTTGCTTCTGTTCAGTGAAATTTAAAGTAACGAAAATAAGACACACATGGCACTGTCGGAGCCCGGAGACACATCGAGGATGTTTTGGTTTCCACCTTTACAGCCTCACCGTCAATACGTTCTGTCTTGTCGCGTGCGCCTGCATGCTTTAGCAGTCTTCAGTCGCGCGCTGATGGGTGTGTTTGTCAGGAAGGGTGAGGATCATTAGTCCATCATATGACTGAAGGAAAGATAACGAAAACAAATCCTTATTTTTCCACAAGAAAGGAAATATAGAGAACATTTAGGCAATTTGTATTTACATTAAATTCGTTTTATATCCTCAACAGCTAAAATGCAATAAAATATATTTTTACTGTTTTAAAATTAGTGATTAAAATTGTATTTTTCTTTTACTTGACCATAGGGCCTCGAGGAATAGGCATGTTATCGAAAACATACTTTTTTTTAGGGGGGATCTTTTGCCTTATTTTATCAAGATATAAAATAACTGCAAATATTTTTTTATGTGCTGCAAATTTTAGATCTTGTTAATATTTTGCTCTATTCTTTGAAAAATTTCCACCCCAAATTTTATAGATTCAAATAAAGACGGACGTAAACAGAAACACACACTCATACACACACAAAATAAAATCTGATCTGAAATGTTATAATTTTATTTGGCTAATAGACCAAGTCTTGTTCGTCTGAATTGCCCTTGTATAAATAAGTTTTAGCAATAATTTAATATTTTGGCAAATGGATTTGTTTTTCTTTAGACTTTCTAGATCAATTTTCGGAAAATTATGGCCTGAGTAGGCTCCCATAAGTCATGTTAATTACAAGAATATTTTCGATAAGACGATAAAATTATTTTGGAGACGTGTGCGTAAACATTCAAAACGTGGCCATTTATTTTTCCTGTCGATTTTACCAACTGTAGCCTATACTGTTGTTAACCAGGCCTGACAAGTGAGCTCAATTTTCCTTGGATCACGCTTGAAATGATCAAAAAGAAAATGTTTCAGCCTCATTTTAATGCATATAGTTCGATTACTATATGTATTATTACTATAACTGATTTTAAGAGACGCGTTTATGCAGATGGCTTTTTCCACTTGCCTTTATCAGAACACGATTTTCGTAAGGAGTGCAACAAATTAATATCATACCAAAACAAAACGATCACAGATTATAAATTAAACTATCAACGTGATGCTTCTGTAAATGTGGAAATGACGAGCTGCAGAGATATTATGAATGGATGAAATGGCAGCAGTGCGCATATTCATGTGTGTGTGTGTGTGTGTGTGTGTGTGTGTGTGTGTGTGTGTGTGTGTGTGTGTGTGTGTGTGTGTGTGTGTGTGTTGACATGTCTGTCTTCCCCTTCGCAGGTGAACAACCTCATCTGGCACGTGCGCTGTCTGGAGTGCTCGGTCTGCAGGACGTCTCTACGTCAGCACAGCAGCTGCTACATTAAAAACAAAGAGATCTTCTGTAAAATGGATTATTTCAGGTAGGGTAAGTTTATGACCATGTTTTCAAAATACACCGTCTACTCTGCACACACACACACACACACACACACACACACACACACACACACACACACACACACACACACACACACACACGCCACCCTCTCCTCTCTTCATCCCTATCTCCCCTATCTATTTCGCTCTCTTACATCTGCACACACACCCACACACATATCCCACTCACTGTCTCGGGTGGATGGATACGGGTTGCCATAATGTGATCTTGAAAGACCTTTTGAAAAACACTCAAACAAAAGCTTTTAACTGCATGTGTGAAAGAGCCTCAGTTTTGTTATGGCTTCTGAAATCAGAGAGAAAAAAAGGAAACTGTTCGAAAAAGTAGGCTAAAGGATGTGTAGGCTACTGGTCGTGTCTATAAAGAGGACTATCCTGTCTGCATGGACTCGGCTGACCTGATTTTATTTAGCAATAATTTACTGAATTATTAAGAGTGAACGACCTACAACAAAAATCTAAGGATCCATACATTCGTTTATGTCAAATAATTTCACTACAATATGTATTTGTTTTCATCGATTAAACCTCGTTGTCTCGTTTGTTAATTTGTTTTAAATGTGTTTCTGTTGTATTTCGACACGTTGTAAATAAGTGAAATCTCAATAATCCTCGAGAATTAAATAAAGCTTAAATTATTAAATAGATCAATAAAAACTCAGATGTGTAGCTTCACAAACACGTATCAGCTAGCAACGTCCTATGACGTCTGTAAGCTAGGCTATCAAACCGAGAAAAGGCCGTTTAAATGTATGTTAGCACGTTTATTTTGGTCCTGGTGTGCTACAAAGCATTTAATACAGCAAAAATAGTGAAACAAATGACAAAATAAATGTGTTTTAATTCCTACTTGATACCAGTTACACTGAGGCTTGTTAATGCTTCAAACATGAAAATATAGGAGCACCATTTAAGCTAGGCTATTAAACCCAGAAATGTATGTTGGCATGTTTCTTTTGGTCCTTGTGTGCTACAAAGCATTTAATACGGCAAAAATAGAGAAACAAATGCCAAAATATGTTTTAATTCTTACTTGATACCAGTTACACGGAGGCTTATCACTGCTTTAAACATGAAACATAGGAGCACCATCTAAGCTAGGCTTTTAAACGAGAAATGTATGTTAGCACATGTATTTGGTCCTTGTGTGCTACAAAGCATTTAACATGGCAGAAACAGATGCCAAAATACGTTTTACTTCGTACTTGATACCAGTTACACTGAGGCTTAACATTGCTTTAAAAATGAAAATATAGGAACATGGCCCCGAATTAAGTCATGGGCCTGTCACAGTCACATAATAATGATAATGACAATAATGATATCATTATTTCATTTTTTTTCTTAGGTCGAAGAAAAAGCTACTGTGAGACATTTACATTGAGACAATATAGTTTTTCAAACATTTATCCAATTCACTATCTATCTATCTATCTATCTATCTATCTATCTATCTATCTATCTATCTATCTATCTATCTATCTATCTATCTATCAGTGTATCTATACAGAAAATCAGTTGTATATTCAATACTGTAGGTAACTTTTAACTATTACAGTTTAAGGGTTATGATTGGGATTGGCCCTTGGTCTCGGTTGTCTGAATATATTTTTCTTGATAGTTTCCGATCAACTTTTCTCTCTCTCTCTCTCTCTCTCTCTCTCTCTCTCTCTCTCTCTCTCTCTCTGTGTGTGTGTGTGTGTGTGTTTTATCTGAGGTGAAATGGGGTTCACCAGTCAGGGCATTTAGCAAAATTCTGTGCTGTAGCCTTAAGGTGGTGCATAAGTTGTTCAGACACCCATGCCTGTTTTGTGCACGTGAGTGAGTGCACACATGTGTGCATGTGTGTGTGTGTGTTAGTGCTTAGAACTATGAGCATGCCTTGGTGTGTGTCTGATAGAAACCTGAGCCCAGGCCACTGCTCTGAGGTTTATAATCACCAGCAATTAGTTGTCCTCCACCCCAGACCCTCAGGCCTCCAGACCAGCAATTAGACCGCCCCGAGTGCCTGGTCAGCATGTATCTGATCTGAATGAGAGTCTTATCCAAACTTAAAACACACTAAAACTGTTCTGTGCACACTCTAACATGGATACACACCTTAATATGTAAACATGAATATGATTAACATGCCAATATTAGTTAAAACACACTGCAAACATTGCCTCCTTTTACAACTCAAACACAGTAACACACACATAAACATACACTGAGATCTCTGTTTATTTATGCATGTCCAGCAGCTGCCAGTCATTTGGCTATTTTTTTCACAAAATGGAGATTTTTGTTTGCTTGGCCACATCATAATAATATTTTACCTGACCCGTTTCCATTGAAGTGCTTCTTCACTGTTCACCCCTTTCACCCTCAACTCGACTCCCAAGACCGTGAGCCGCTGATAAGCGTGTAGAGTGGATTCAAAATATGCCAGTGTATCAGAAAATGGTAATGAGTGGGAGCAATTTAGTTGTCACTCGGTCATATATAATATACTCATAAAAGGAATTGAGCTCTATAATTATGGAAAATCGAGTCGCTGGGAATAAGAAACATATCTGGTTGTGGAAGCGATAAATATGTTCTCATTATGTCCCTGATAAGAATGAGTCGTCTTTACCATAGGTAACTGAATGATTACTGCATCATACACACACTACACACAATTATTTAGCCCTATTATATTCATTGGACTAAGGAAAGGAAAACTCTAGCTCAAATCTTAGGTCTGTGACTGTTTTTAGTTGTTGGAAAAGCCGATTCTTGCAACACTTACAACCAAAAAGGATTACGTTTGTTCATTTTAAAGGTACAGCACTTGATCATGTGGGTTTTATAGTTTCACTCATGTTTGTGGATGAACTATACCTGCTGTGTGTGGCAGAGTTCTGAAGTTGAGTGACAAGTAATGTGATAAATAATCAGATCTGATCGTATGAACACACTGCAGGTCAAACTTGTGACCGTGTCTGTAACTCTTACTCAAAATTGTTCGAGTCATGAGAGAAAAATCCTCCTTTGCATCTGATATGCTTGGACGTCACACTGGAAAAGGAGAAATATTTAGAGGCTCTTGCAGTAACAGTGAAGCTTTGCTGCAGGGCTGGGGCCTGTACAAAGGTTACCTCTGTAAATATAAACTGTAATCTGGGTTTAGGCCAGATTTAAACAAGGCTAAACACCACTGTGAGTCCAGATCCTCTGGGCTGGTTTCAAACCTCTGGAGATATTTCCTCATCTGTGTCAGCCTCTCATCTGGCTTTGGACTGACAGCTGCTTTAATGGGGCGTAATAGCAGGAAATCAGACTGGGTTTCCCTCCATGTATGTGTGTGTGTGAGCGAGTATTTGGGGAGGAAGGTGGTGTGTGTGTGTATGTCGGGATAGGGGACGCAGGACAGAGCCCTTGCTGTGCCTCTCAAAACCATGTCAGTCCTCAGGGGCTCCACACACACACTTACACACACGCACACATGCACACAATTTCTTTATCAGCCTGACCCCCCTCGCCTCCCGCACCCCTCCTTCACCTCACTCTGTAGAAAGAGAAACATCATCCTCATTCGTGAGCTGCAGGCCACACAGGAAGTTGCATTGCTGTGCTAATCAGAGGCACCCTGATACTGACAGTGTAACCAGAGTCAGCGTATGTATGAGATGTGTGCATGCGTTTATATTTCTTTGTGAGTATATGTGTGTGCATTGTAATAATAATTATTCATCAACCTACCTCTAGTATGCTGATTAGGTCTCCATAGCAACAGAGACAAGAGAGAGTACAAAGCGTGATTGAGTTTTTTAAAATTTTATTATCAAGAACTGAATGACGCGAAATTATAATAAGCCATCTGTCACACAATACCACACATTCAAATAAAAACTATTCAGTCAAATCTACGAGACTGATTTAAATTTGTACAGTTACAAAAAAAATGCCTTTATTCGTAATTCACAAAATCCAAGAGAACATTGATTTATTTAAAATAAAGGTATAAGTCTTAATTATTTGTTTAATCTGTAAAAAGAAGTAGTGTCTGAAGTGTCTAGATCAATTTCTGTGTTTCAGGATCCCACATAAGTGTGAAGACAAATCTTTAGAGATCAGGATACTCTCACAGCACATCAGAAATAATAAATACCCACGGGGTCTCCTTCATTGAACAGCAGGTGACTTAGTCTAAAAAAAAAGGTATGATTAAAAAAAGAGTGCGAACAAACAGAAGAGGCTCTGGCTGAAAAAGGTGATGCAGATTTGTTTCTTCAGTGATACAGGAGGCTGTGAGAATTGACAAAATAAACACCAGGTTTTTAGCACAGAAACAAAACAAGATGCAAAATAGACAGGATATCGTTGAGGAGGGAGGGATGGAGGGAAGAGTAGGAGGAGACGGAGATGGAGGAGCAGGAGGGGGTTAAAACGAGGGATGATTTGCAGCTTTTCTGGGTTCTGTCTTGGAGCATGAAACTGACAAGCTGTCAGGCTAGATTAGCAGCAACGCTCCACAATGTTTCCCTCTTTACTGTAGAAACAGGCTGGAATTCTCCATAACAATCTGAAATGATACTTACATACAGAACAGTAAGTCAAGGAGACGATTTGTCCCCGGATTGGCTTTATTGGGTTATAAGAGGGTTTTTTCATGCTTAAATTTCACATATCTATGACAGCTTAAGCCCCCTCGAAGTGCTTAGCCAGCTAATTTTATTTCATGGTAATTACAAACACTATAACCCCATATTATTTCATTTCTCTACAGCTGAAAGGAATTTGTTTGTTCTGAGGAATAAAAGGTGTGGTGAAATGTAAAAAGGCTGGGTTTAGTTGAAAACTGCCGTGCCAATACTCAACTCACAGCGACTACTTGCCACATTTGGGTCTGTTAAATGCTAAAATAAAAGTCCTTTAAGTGTTGTATTTCTGTAGGGTATTTGATAATGTTATAAATTAATTGCCTTTTTGTTGATTAGCAACAAAAATAGCTGCTGTAAAAGTAAAAACCTGAACCTGGATGGACGGTGTTGAATGACGTAAGCTCTTTATCTATATATTGTATTTTTAGATTATATATTTTTTATATTGGTAAATGCCAAACAGCAATACCAGCTTTAAACCTTTTAGTTGGTTGTACTTTTGGCTAGAGGAGATGTAAGCTGTGGTTTGGCTTTAAAAAACATACCGTCCATCTATGCATCTAACACAACATGGGCAAAAAATGTACACTTTATTCAATGCCCCCGAACTGTAAAATTAGCTGTCAGGGATGGCAATGTTCTAGTCTAGTCTCTGCAGTGGCTAAAGCTGACGTTAACTTTTGTTTGATAGCAAGGGGTGAATAACCAAATATGTTTAGCTTAGCTTAACCGATTTTCACTGTCATGCTAACTCAGCTAGGAACACACATTAGCCTGACACTGAATCCTTTAAAGCCATTATCTCTGTTGTTTTAGTCCATGATCATTCTAGAAGTATAACGTTATAACAGTTTTGAGCCTCCCACTCAGAGCTTTAGGAAGGGGGTTGCTGTGTGAATATGGTAAATAACACGGGACTACACACTACAGATGAGACAGATCCTCAAACCCAAGCCGTTCGATGATTCCCACCAAATATCCTCCACTATATTACACACAGGGAAATGGGCCTTCTGCTCAACAAGCTCATGTGCATGAAGAGAGCTACGAGTTTGTGAGATGTCAGGGATATAGTGTGCTTTTACCCCAGATAGAGTGGTCTTGAGAGCACTGATGTTCTGCCAAACCCACTCACTTGGCAGCCCTCATGCTCTCTGTCCCCCTGCTCCCTCTGCCATCCACGCTCTTTACTTTGCTATTTCCCTCAGCCACTTACTTCCTCTCTCCATGTCTGCTCTTTTCATCCTGCCCTCACCCGCTCGAGCCTCTTTCATATACTTTTCAGCGACTGACTGCTCTTTGATTCAGGCTCATGTTTGCGATGCTGTGCTGTTCTTGTGTGGGTAGCTACATGTGTAAGTACATCTGTCAGAAATGTTGAGTCACATAAGCTCTAGAGGTTTCTGTCAGTGTCTGTTTTACAGAATAATCCCATCAATATGGAAAAGTTTCCAATTTGAGTAGAAAGCAGACCATTCAGTTCGCTGTTATTCAGTCTTACCCCTGAGGCAGCACTTTTTCTCAGGCTGCTTACAAATCCTGCCTCCCTCTCAAGATTTGGCAGCTGCTGACCTCGACAATGGCTCTTGACCTAACCATAACCCTCTCAAACCTAAAGCGTTTTATACCCATTAAAACCATAATGTGCTATTTAAACAAGGAGCTTAATGTCTATTTGACACCCACAGAGAGTGTGTGTGTGTGTGATTTCTCGCTTGTAAGAAGTACCAGCTGCAAAGAGAAGGCTTTTTAAAAATGTTTCTTAACATATTTTATTTTACTGATCTCATTCAAAGAGCAAAACTTGGTGTGTTTTCTCCACCTAAACCCAAATATACGTTATTCCTTTACCATTAAATTAAATCCTAGCATTTCCCCTCTTTTTCAATAAAAGTATGTTTTTAATCCCAAATTAAAAATGTTACAAATGACTCCAAATGCTGCAGAAAATAAATGAAAACAGGACAATCATTAGAGAAAATACATGTCAGATAAACAGTAGATACAACCCCTTTTGACTTATAGTCATGCAGGATTTTCCATCTTTTTCATGCTTGACAGCAAGCATTATCATAACAGCAGCCTTAACCTCACTCACTTTTCTTTTTATATTATGGGTATTACATTGTTTGAATCAGATCAACATAATCCTGCTGCAGTAGGTACTCTGCAAAACATCAAATGTGTATAAATCCACTGTAGAAAATAGTCTCTGTAGGAGGCATTATTTACATGAGACTCACAAAAATTGAAATGCCCAGTCCTGCTCTTTCCTATTACTTATCTTTTTTCAACAATTCATTTTTATTTTAACAAAGAAAATATAGAAAAGCACTAGCTTTGTGCACTTACATTAATGAAACAGCTGTTATCCAATCTTACTCGTCTTTACTTTAACCTCTCTTTCACTCTTGTGTTTGTCACCTGATCATGCTTATTCCACACATACATTAGGACTCATTGTCACAGACGTATACCACTTTCTTTCTGACCGTTTTAATTTTCATTGTCCTACTTTAGCCCTCAACTCCCCCTTCCCACACCTCCACCCATTCAGAACAGTAAGTCAGGTGGTTTAGGTTTATGTGCAGCCTGACCTCACTGTTGCTATCAGTTACAGCGGGGAGATCTCAAATGATGTCATGCAAGTCTTTCTTCGTCTTCCACCCCGTGTAAAACAACCCTAGTTTATATACGTGTGTTCCCCAGTGTGTGTGTGTGTGTGTGTGCTTGTGTGTGAGCGTGTGCATATGTCAGGGCCTTCATGCATCAGCCAGGAAATTGCAGGTGTTGGTTTGTTTGCATTCAAAGCTCTGCTTGCAGCCGCAGCCAGAAGTCTTTTCTGAGGGCCATATCCTCCTCCAAGGTTTCTTCCTTAAACCCTTTGAGTTCTGCCAGAAGGAAAAATCCAAAAATATTTATTTTAACTTTAGCGCACTTGTGATTCTCTTCGAGAAAGAGATGTCCATTTATTTCTGTGTACTACCTATAAATTGACATTTTTATAATATTTTCTCAAACAAAATTTTGCCACCAACTCGTCACTCACCCCTCATTCTTCCCCCTCTTCTGCTGTGCTCTTCTCTCTTTTCTCTCTCTCACAGTAGGTTTGGTACTAAGTGTGCCCGCTGTGGGCGGCAGATATATGCCAGTGACTGGGTGCGGCGTGCCAGAGGAAACGCATACCACTTAGCATGTTTTGCATGCTACTCTTGTAAGAGGCAGTTGTCGACTGGAGAGGAGTTTGGCCTGGTGGAGGAGAAGGTTCTGTGTCGGATCCACTACGACACCATGGTGGAGAACCTCAAACGAGCCGCTGAGAGTGGTGAGTGTTGGATCTGTCAGGTTTTCTGGATTGGCTCACTGATGTTTGGTGGTGATCTGAATTACTTAATACTTTTTACAGCACAGCTACTAAAATCAGATGCATTACATTATCTATCACTTCTTGTATCATTTATTTTGATGTTTTTTACAGTTTTCATTGTTCAGCCTGTTTTCTTATGGCTTTTATTTGATAAGTGGCTTGCTTGGTCATGTTAAGAACTCAATATTGTTGATATTATGTCAAACTGAGTGAACAATTTTGGCAGCACGGCCTCTTCTGGATTTATTTTATTAGCATCTAATTCAGTTTTTAGTTTACTCACATGTGTCTTTTTTCAGGCAATGGTATCACGTTAGAAGGAGCAGTCCCCACAGAACAAGACAGTCAACCTAAACCTGCTAAAAGAGCGCGGACATCCTTCACTGCAGAACAGCTGCAGGTCAGACAAACACAACAAAACTCAATGTTTTCTGAATTTTGATCAAGTTTCAGTACTCTCATAATTTTCATATTTTTGAAAAGTGTGGTTATTTTTCATTTGCTTATGTTTCGACTCAACATGCAGATCATGCAGGCTCAGTTTGCCCAGGACAATAATCCAGATGCCCAGACGTTACAGAAACTAGCTGATATGACAGGCCTGAGCAGGAGGGTTATACAGGTCTGTACGATCAGATTCACAAATTTGCTTCATTGTGGAACAAATTTATCAGCATGTTTTAAAAGTGCATGATGGTTAAATATTCCTACACTGTTATTACTGTGATTTGTGTCCATTTGAAATTAATATAGTTGTTCTTCATGATGTTTGTTTATAGGTGTGGTTTCAAAACTGCAGAGCGAGACACAAAAAGCACACGCCCCAGCACAGTGGGGCTCCCCAGGGCCATCCTCAGTCCAGGATCCCTTCATCCCTGCCTGATGAGCTGCATTACTCCCCGTTTGGCAGTCCTGAGCGGGCGCGCATGGTAGCTCTGCATGGGTACATCGACAGTGAGTTGCGTTTTTTTCTGCAGCACATAGGCCTCCTAATCACACTGATGTATTTTCAAAGGCAGGCTTATATTTGTTTTTTTCTCATTTAACCTTTTGCATTTTTTTTCCCATGTGCTCTTCAGGTCATCCGTTCTCCGTGTTGACCTCTCAGGGTCTCCCCCACCAGGCCATGTCGTTGCCCCAGCTCCCTCTCAGCCGCTAGCACTCCACCACTTTGACCCCTATAACCCTTAAACCTCTGGATTTTGGACCTGCCCTGGAGGTCACACAGATGTCAGCTTGAAAAAAAAAAGGACACGTTCTTCAGGAGCTCCAACTATTCGGAAACAGAAAAGACATGAAAAAAAAAAGACACATCCGTCCTTCTGTTGTTTTTTTTCTCTTTCTGAGGACAGGAATATTCCTTCTGCAGCCACTCTGTCAAAAATGAGAATAAAGCTATCATCAGGAACTCTCTGACTGTATTTTACACCACCTTGGGGACCTGTTTTGCTTGATATGTACAGCCGCCTCCACTACTCATACATCCTCCAGCTTGAAGGTGGAGGGAGTTTAAAAGGACTGATACTGAAGACAAACAAAGAGGGACTTTTAAGGGGCACTGTCATTGTGCCAGGCACACAGTAGGCCACGTAGAGGTAAGACTCCACCCCCTTTTCTCTCTTAACATGAAGGAATCCTACATGTAGATGAAATCTGTGACTGATTAAATGTTTTCTTTACGGATGACAGCGACTAAAAAACGTCTCAAAATTCCCAGATAAACTTTTGATCCACTCAAATGAGATTAGAAAGCAGAGTTTTGTAGAGGACTGAGTATTGCGTGCCTTATCCTTTCCACAATACAAGGAAAATTTGGTTGTTTATACATTAAAATCCCAGCCTAAAAATTCTTACTCAGCAAATATTTTGGATTTTATTTTATTATCTAAACAATGACTGGGAATTCAAATCTGCCAATGGAAAAAAAAAATCAATTTTATGTCCACAAAAAGCATCTGGTTTGAAATGAAAGAAAGGCACAAAGCAAGGGCATTTGTATCATTATAATAATGCCGTAAAATTAAAGGCAGCTGCTAATAGAGTTGAAGCCGCCACAGTCGAGCTAACTCAGAGAAACACGGGAAGTCGGACGTGCAAACGAGTCATTTCTTACAAAATCTGTACAAGTTAGATATTTTCATAATTCCAAATAATTGTATTGTTCCTAATTTATAGTTTCCACAATTGCTTGTTCAGCCTCCTGCGTGTGTGTGCATGAACGTGCGTGTGTGTGTGCGTTTGTGTGTGTGTGTCTTTCTCACGAGGAGGAAAATCGAGTGTTGGTATATTGGTACAATATAAAACTGACTGGGGTAGTACATGTGTGTTTTTCAGTGTGATTGTGCGTATGCGAGTGTGTGTGTGAGTGTGTGTGTATTGGCAGGGGGAGAGTGTTTATCTGTATTTTAGTGCCATGGCCATTGTGTGAAGAACAGGACCCAACAAGACCTCAATGTCCTTGTATTTATTGAGATGGTAAAATCCCTGTAAAGCACTTTTTTCCTGCTCTGAAAACTGTTTTGTTTGTTTAAAAAAAACTGAATGAAATGAAACAAAAAAGTTTATTTGATAGACTGTGCATCATAAATGTTTTGTGTACTAAAATGCAATAAAATAGAATGTGATATTTTTGTGTTTTTTTGATCATTTCTGAGGACAGAGGGAGATAAATCAACACAAGCGGCACAACAGAAAAACTAAGTTTAAATGAGATTGAGCTACCAAGATTTTTATAACCACAGAACATCCAAATAAAATAAATGCAAAACATTTTTTAGATTTTTAAAAGCATTTTCACTTCTTACTTGTAGATAGTCTTGAATGCTTTCATTGTGAGTTTCTTGAAGGTGCCTTCACCATGGGACAGAAAGTCAGCATCTTAGGGAAGATTTGAGGTTGCTTTAGAAGAATCAACGTCTATCTTTTTGCTAAACTGCTTCTATGAGTTTGAGGGCTACAGTCTATAATTATCAGATGTTACAGAATGATTTGGTCTTTCTTAAGTACATGACTCGTAGATTTGTGCTTAGCCGCACATATCCAATATGGTTTGGAAAAGTTTGTCTTAGAGACCGTGCAATTGTCATTAATTGCAATAATCATACAATTAGAATGAGTAATAGCTCTGATTTTTAAACTTCTCATCAAACTTCAGCCACAGATGACTAATTTTGAAGGCTGTAAATGTCACATTTCCATGTTGATGTTTAAAAATGACCTATAGTTTGTTTGCTGAAACACTCTCTGTCTGGGTTTAAATACATAGGAATATGGCATAGTCCTACCTGAGATAAAAACTGTGTCAGGAAAGTGCTAACTTTCTTATATAAATATTTAATAAGTAAAATCCATGACTGGATTGTTTTTAAGATGGTTGCTCTGTGAACGCTGTTTCTTTTTTTATTATTTGGAGGGTTTCATTTGTTTGCTTTTCCCTCAATAAAAATTAAATGATTTCAATGCAGGGAGAGATGATATCTATCACAGACTGCAGATGAGATTGGATAAGGTGCATCTGCACAGCAAACTAAACTCATAACAGTATGAAGCACATGTAAAGTGTGGCACACACAACCTTGGGTACACACACACACACTGGAAACAGATGTACTTACAACAGTGACAACTTCTTTAATAAATACAAGGAAGCTTTAAAAGTGTGAGTCATGACATAAACAGACGTTTGTTTTTATAAAGATCGGCATAAAAGAAGATCAGAAAGGACTTACACCCTTTTTATTTTACATAACTACACCACTATTGAGATGCCTAAAAGACGAGTTTTATGATGATCACCAGTCGCTGCTCTCTCCAGATCTGGTTGCAAAAGACTTTTCAGGATGAATGCCAAGAACCTCATCCCAGGCTTTCCGACAAGTCCGCACAATCCACTCATGCTCGGAGTCATCTGTTTGGGGGAAAAAAAATCATTCGGAATTATTGACAGTTGTGTTATAAGGAGTCGGGTAAAATGCTCTGTTCTAACCAGAATAAAAACAAATAAAAACAGCTGAAGGAGTGAGCTGTATCCACAACGTTGAGCTAACATGGGCCTTAAGCGTTCAAATCAAATCTCTAATGACACATAGGGAGCACAATTAAACCACAGGTCATTTTATGTGTGAGCCTGAATCGCTCAAGTGCCATTCAGGCCTCGGGTAAATTTTGTCAAATCAAGATAAGCCTGACAATTAGGAGAAAATAACTTCTCAGAGCCACTTCAGACACCAATAAATAATAACCCCAAAAATGGACCAAGGTATTTTAAACCGAAACGACTGCCAGAAGAGCTGATAATAAACCAGTTTTTCATTGTTCAAAATGAAACGAGTAGCTAATTGCAGGGGAAGTGAGCCTTCTCTGGAGCGCCCGCAGCTGCACGCACTTGAGGAGCACGCGGGCCTCACCCGCAGGTTCCACAGCGCGCGGGACTCCTTTTGTACGGAGGAGCAGGTCTGTGGCTCTCCGTCTGATTGTGTGTAATTGCCAGCGTGGGGCGTGAGCACTAACAGCCACTTCAAGTCTAAAAAAATACCTTCTATTTCTCTCTTCTCTACCCCCTTCTACCTGTTGTGAGCACAAGGTCAATTGAACGAGTTGGGCTCGCGGACAGCTGCCGCACAAACATCCCCACGAGGCTTTGTGACGCAGTTATTAGCGGGGGAAGGTAATTACGTCACTGCGTCATTACGTTAAGACTGGCACAAACCACAACTTGTCTTAATGAACACTGGATTGGGATGTTTCCCACTTGAAGGTGTAGCGTTTATTTCAGGATTTAAATCACGTTTAAGTCATTTATACAGGTGGCAGCTGTGTTCCGGAAACAGGACATTTCTGTGGTTTCACATTTTCCTAAAGCAGAGTATAGATATATAAACAATTAAAATAAATAAACAGAGAAATAAACAAACAAGTTTACTAATAAAGTGTAGATAGCGTCAAAATTGTCAGACATTTTCAATGAAAAAGGGGAAATAAAGCGTCGAATCACCTGTTGGCTACTTAAAGTGCAGATTCTTACTCTCTTTTTATTGAGTTGTTTTCTGGTTGACATCATCTCAAATGTACTAACCTGCATGTTCGACCTTTGTGCGACGTACACAGGAGAGAGAGTGCATGGAAGCGATAATGGCACCTTGTTAAAGTCTGTTTACCTTAATCCTTAAAATACACTCAGAGGGAAAAGTGTTTCCTTCCAGTCTAATGGCTGTGAACTAACACGCACACACACTCTCTAACACACACACACACACATCATTTAACACCCACACACTTATTTGCTTATTAGGCAATGCAAGAAGTTGTGTTTGTCTACTATACTGATTTACATACGGGCTCATTACAATATGCTGTTTGATTGTAAAATTGACAAATCGTACTTCATTTAGCTAGGACTCCCTGAAAGACAAACTGTGAACCTTGTCAAATGACAGTGACAACAAATTGAACTTACTCAGGATCACATCTAGGGTCATAAATTGTATGGTTCACAAATCTTAATGTGAAGTCTCATATAAACATTCAGATGTACATACAGAAGTCTGTCTTCAATTCACACTGAATGGAGCAGTTCTTGGTTTTGTTTCCTGATGACATCATTGAAATGTAGCTGCGGTTTTCCTGTCCATCGCTTTGAAGCAGAGATACTGATCTATAAAAATTATTAATCCATCTGTCTCTGCTCACAAGATTAAAAATCAGCCGTGTTTCAATGTGATTTTTTTCTCCTATGTTTGAAAAATGAGAGTCTACGGAAAGGCAGCATGAGTCCCACTCCCCAGGGGCCCCCCGGCTGATTTTATCTGTCTGTGAAACACCTCGGCTGGACGGGGACAAAGGGAGGGGCTGCGGTTCGGTCACCAGAGGTGTTTTCCTTGGCTGAGGAATGTTTGCAGTGTGGAGCTCTTTCAGTGTGGACTTTCAAAGGGAAGCGGTTATTCCACAAACAGGAAAGTGCTACAAACTATGGCAGCACATGGATCCTGCTGCTGCTCCTGCTGCTGCTGCAGAGTGTTGCTGTCTGTTGCCATGAGAGAGTATATACAACTGAGCATGTGTGTGTGTGTTTGTTTGTAATAACTCACCATGCTCAATCATTTGGTAGTACGGGTTTGATTGTGCAGATGTGGCCTATGTATCTTTCTCCTCATCATTTTCAGATTAAAGTTCAATAAAATTATGCAAATCTTTTTCATATCTCTAAACTCTAAACAATCTTAGTTAGGACGACAAATTCCCTTCATTTATGTGAGTCTGGGATTTTGGTGGACAGGAGAAAAAAATGACCTTTCAGCGTTGTTTGCTAAATATGTGATTTGTGTTTGAGATCTCATTGTGTTACAGTCTGTTGGTCTAATTGAAGCTGGACTGTTTAACTGTGGCATGGTAAGAGTAAAAACACATGTTTGTTATGATGCTCATATGTCACAATATAAAAAGGAAACAGTTGGACACATTTTTTCAAAGACTTGGTTTTCTCATACAGAAAAATCTGCAATTATGATTCACTTCTCTTTACTATTTGTGTGATAAGCCTTGTGAATTAAATTATCACCACATTGTCAACTCTGTACCTGTAAGCCTTAACATCTTAACACAGTTCACTTTAGACTGTTGCACAATTGAGTTGTTTGCAAGCATTAACGTTTTAAATAAAAAAACATACAAATGCACATTTTCTAATGAGCCCCAACGGCTGCACAGGACTGTTTTAAGAGTGAGAGTTCATCTGTTCATAATGCTGGATGATTTTAAGTGTAGTGAGAAAGACGTTTTTTAGCATGCACTTTTATCAGCACTGATTCCGTATGTGTATCTCAGCCTGCTCGAGGGTACTCCAAAACGGGGAACAAACCATCAACGCATTAAGTGTTGTCATGTCGCCAACAAACCCAATTCTTACTCCAGGGCAATATATTCGATCTCACCGCCTTCCTTTCCCTCTATCGTCCTACATTTCTCCATTGGGAATCAATATTTTTGACAACTCCCATAAATGCGGGCGCACAGGCCGCCAAAAGACCTGTTCGACTCCAAAAATAATCCTTAACCTCTTGGGGGATATCAGCAACAGATCCCATTGTTTTGCTCCATGGCATTGTGCCAAGATGAATTGTTTGTCTGAGTTAGCAACAGTAACTAAGAAGGTCAGGACTTTGCAATAAGCCGGTTCTGGCTGGTGAGCAAAGCCGTAGACTTGATGTTCAGTTCAAGGGGTCAAAACTTGAATCATCTGTGGTAGAAACCGTTTCCATATGCATCACTTCTGCAACTCCTCCTGATACGACTGGCTCATGTCTTTCTTGCCTTACATGCACCAATTGTGACGGCTGCATGGGGGGCTCCTTCCTCTTTCCTCGCAGCAGCAGACGTCCCCTCGGGGAGGGAGGGTGGGTCTTCCCAGTGTCCCCTCATCCTCACAGCTCTCATCCTGGGAGGAAGCCACGAGGCAATAAATTCTGTCTTCACACCCACTCTGACAAATGTGCCTTCACCTCCCGGGGTTGAAAAATAAATTCATACAGGATACAGGAGCATCCTTTTTGAGGATTGTATACCAAGACTTGAGAGGGGGTTGCAGAAGCTTTAAGTCGCTCACAGTCCATGGCCCAGGGCATATCTCACATACTTGACTTCATATTTACGGTATGGAGTATTGTTGGGAAGCTTCTCCTCTGTTGATGTGTCACTCAGCTGAACACCACTAGAGAATCCCTAAAAATGTTTTTGCCTTATGTGAGATTTTTGATCCCATGAAACTAATCTTCTTTATGTTGCGAGTAGCCATTCTGCATGATAATACTTTGCCTTTAAGGAGTTTGTGAGTCATTTCTTTACGTCCTCCAGGAATCATATCTCAAAACACATCTGAATTGGTTCGATTAAAAGAGGTCCATTTCAAACTAAGATGGATTCGTGAGTGGTCAGATGGGAATCCAGACGATGGAGGTGGACTGTGTCTGACTTCTTCAAAGATGAAAGAATCTAAAAATAGCGTGATGTGATTGTTTCCTTCTTTTCTGTAATCAAATGCAAAATTACAAGCGCCCTGCAAGTCTGTACAACAACCTCATGCGTGTTCTTGTGTTAAGAGCTGTGTAAAGGTACTATTAAGCATGTTACCAATAAAACAATAATGTGAAACACCTTTGATGCACACAAAAAAGTGGCTGTGTTTTCCATCTGGTGATGTAAAATCACAGAAGACATGACGAGCAGAGGATGTCAAAATTTGGGAATTCCTATCTAGACATATGACAGATTGAATTTACTTCAAATAGGGAACTGCAGAAGCAGACACTCGCTCAGTGGAAAAATGTGTCTTGAATTTTCCACTTTTAACCAATAGCTACAGGAAGAACTAGCGTTTTTTTTTTTTTTTTTGAAACGACTACATCAGCAGGCTTATCAGATGGCTTGTAACAGAAATCTTCCATCAGAGAATCCTGGAATAATCCATTTAACATCTCTCTCTAGGTTCACTGTTATCTAATCCTTCCCATATGGCCACACCGTATGCATTTTCAGAGATACAGTTATTATCACATTGGTGGAGAGAAAGGAGCCCGCCAAACTCAACTTAACTAAAGTGCTCTAGTGCAGCTCAGAGCACTTTTTAGACTTTTAGACTGTACTAACGTCAGGTTGTTGGAAATTCATTTTACACAAAGATAGCACCTTTTATGACAAATCAACGATGATGATTCACTCACTGCTAGTCCAGCTGATTGTATGGCAGTCAACTCGTGAATAATACTTTGTAAAACATAATGACTTTGAATTTATATCCTGACACAACCCACCAATGTCAGTAATATGAGCGATTTTAAACATCTACGTGAGGAGTTCACACCCAGGAACTGAAACAGTTTGATGAGGCAGGCAATAAGTCACAAGTGTTCATACAGTTCTGTGTTCATCTCTATATATGGAAGTGAACTGACAAGCACCATCTTGGCCACAGGTCTGAATTCATGGAAAATATACTTAAGGAGGTTTAAAAACTTTCGGATAAAAAGATTACTGGAATTCCTGCAGAATACTACAAACAAGCCACACTGCTTATTTCAGTCGCTACAAAAATAAATCTAACGTTCAGCAATCTATCACTGTCTAGGTGCTTCATTTGACATAAGACTTTGCACACTCAATTTGAAATGAAAATATGTGTTTGCTCTTGACTTTCATCTTGCAATTTTCTTTGGCGCAACAGCCCGAGATGCTTGGATATTACTCAACACAAGGAGGGAGCCAATTTGGCATCAAATTGGTGGAGCAAAAATGTGCACAAACTAATGTGGAATAAGTTGCAAGGAAAAGAGGCATGATTCTCGTATCATGTAATGTTATCCCTTCGTCATATCAGCACTTCTGTAGCCCTCAGTAAGTACATGGGTCCTGAAATGTAGGTTGCAAAGTACCAGTGATTTAAAGGATAATTATTATGGGAAGTAAGCGTCACATCTTTTATGAGCTAGTCACCGCTACAGTAGTGGAAATAACAGGATATTTCTCATCTCACCTGCATTCCTGAGAAATCTACCATTGTAGGAAGTGACAACTCGGGAATTGGGGTCATAAAAACCGTCTCCACAATCGTAACATCCATCAGGAATGTCATGTGGTGGATGCAGATCAGTCAGTTGGGATTCTCCTGTATGGAAAAAGCAGCTGATTGAAAGAGGAGCCATCTTTATGTGATTTAGAAACACTAATTCAGCTCATTAATGTTAGCTGAAAGGAAAGGTTTGTGACATGTTGTGTTTAAATGATAACATTGTTGACCATTTATCTACTTACTGCTCTTACATGTTAAATATGCAATGTCTGAGCAATAGTACTTTTTGATTCCACGGACAATGTGCAACATTACTGGTCCCTTTTCTTTCTGACTGCATGTGCAAAACTACTTTCACTCACAGTTAAACTGCAAGCACCATCATCACCTGATGTAGACAACCTTTGTTGCTGATAATAGTTCTATAGCTCAGCAATTCTAGGCATCCTTTAAATGTAACCCATAAACTCTGTATGTTTATATCTCACATCTATTTGATTCTCTCTTCAGTCACTCCACTTTTCAACTGTGGATTTAAGTCAGTCTGGCACTAGAACCTCTTTCAGGATACTTCAGTTTTATTGTATCTTATCTTATAAATCAGGCCAGTGATTGACACAGATATTGACTCTAAATCACCGGCATCCTTTCTGCAGTTGAGTGAATACTTGGGCAAACATTTAAATTCCAACCTGCAGGTCTAAGTCCATTGCACCGCTCGCTGTAGAAGCGCCTGTCATGGCCATCACAGTAGTCCCAGGCTGTCTCCTGGTACTGCAGACCATCAGCAAAGGTAAATGAGCCCTGGGGTGAAAACAAAATGTCAAACTATAAATATTTTTATAATATTTTTAAATTGGTAAATTTGCAAAATAATAATAATTTAAAAAAAAATAACTGTTACCTTTAAATCAGTTTTGTTTGTTTGGAGTTTTATTTGTGCTCCTTAAAAAGTCAGATCTGAAAAACTCAGCTGAACAAATACTTCATGATCATCAAAAGACCTCACTGTCTTCCTGACAGTTTTTTTCGAGGAAATTTCTTTGGCAGAGAGTAGCTGTGGTGAAAACTGTTGAAAGCAAGGTCCTGGGGTTATGCTACTATGCATCCCAGACATGGTTTCTTGGACAGATAGCTTGCTGTTGAGGTTTTCAGATGTCACTTTTCAGTGCTTTAAGCATCACAAAAACTTCTTTAATTCTCTTCCATTGTCTTTGAGTAAAAGCAGAAGCCTCAGAGATGGAAATCTCAAAACCTCAGCAAATAAAACAGAAGATGGCTGCATTGATATAAACCACTAGAGGAAAGTGGAAAAATATGTGTTTGGGAATTTTGCTTGAATCAAGTCACTGTGAACAGTATGTGCATGTATCGGCCAGAGAACAATATGAATAGCGGGAATATTAAACATACTTTGTGCAGCAACTGAAATGAGACTCATTAAAACACATTTGCTTCAGAATGCACAAAACAGTTTTCATTATAATAGCTGCATTAGTTGGACTTAAAGGCTTCTGTGAGGAAGTTCAGGTTTGTGTCAATTCTGGTGCTCCCTGTTGACGAAGCAGTCCTAAGTTATTTTTTTCTCGAAAGCTTAAGAAATGTCCCCTGGAAAAAAAAAAAATCTCATCCTGCTGACCTTTGACAGTCAGATGCTTCATACTGTATACTGTGAATAATTTATGGCGAATCAGTAAAAACAGGACCCTCTCTTAGGCTGCGTAGATGATGACTACCCCTTGCAGCTCTAAAAACTACAATATAAAAGTTGTCAATCTGAACACTGTTGGTCCTGTTTACATTTGAATGTAATAACAATGCATAATTGTGAATTTTAGCCCGTTGCATAAGGATAAAAAACTCCTTACGTGAGCTTTAATATGATACAGCCATATAAAGATATCAATTACAAACTAACAATCAAATAAAAATTATTTTAAAATGCAAAAAGAAAAGATTTGCAGCAGAAATTATACTGGTTAAAAGTTATAATACGAGTCATTCTTGCCTTGTTTTGACTCTACCTTCCCTGTCTCATCTCTCCTCTCATCCCTCATTAAAATGGAGGATAGGGGAGGTAACGCATACAACCTAAACCAAAGGGGTCAAGCTCCAGCCAAATCAAGCTTCTTCCTCTTTGTAAAATTTTGCTACAGATTCTAGTGTGTTTAATATTGTGGAGACCATTAGTTGTGTAGAGTAGGTTTGTGTATTCAGTGCCTGGGGCTTTCACGATGGGAGCCTGGGTCTGCTGAATGTGGCAATGCCGTATGGGCTGTGTAGTAATATAAAGGGGTACTGCTGTGCCTGAAGCATTGTCACACCCTCTTGCACACAGGTGATGTGACGGGTTAGGCCCACAGTGTGGTTGGATTCATCAGATCACAGGTAAATTATGTTCTTGTACAATACACCTCCTAACTCTCAGAACCTCCAAGAAAACCTTCCACAAGAAGAGAGTCCAAAGAAGAGGAGGAGGGGAGAGAAATGATCCTTTCCTTCATTTTTTTTGGACTGTCTCTTCTTTTCTCCCCTCTGTCCCAAAATCTGATTCCACTCACAACATCCCAGCCAAGACAGTGAAGGGGATGGCAACCTTATTCCAATCTCCCAGAAAACACCTCACCAAGCTCACCACAATCTGGCTCATGTTTTATGTTACTGCAGAGCATAGATAATCAATTTATGCATGTCTTTTTCCTGAAAGTGAAAGTATTAAGTCCAAATTCTTATTAAACAGTAAATGAACACCTATGAAATGCAGCTTGTTTTTTCTTCAATCTTAACACATTTCAATAAAATAAATAATTAGATAAAAATAATGGGACATTTCCAATAAATGATCTTTTCTGTGTCTCAAAAACTGATATATGTAGTAATGCATTAAAATAGGGGGAAAATATGGGTCCAGGATTGTCACCCAGGTTTTAGATTACTTGGGGAGAGGGTAAATTTTCCAGAGTTTTAAGTTCCTAAATTTCCAAGCGGTTCAGATCTGTTTTTAATGGAAATCAGTTTTGGAGGGCTGGCATGGATGCAGGTGTGGGGTGGCCTCAGTCTCGTTTAGTCATGGTTTAGAGCTGCTATCATTTCAAATGAATCACAACTCAAATGATGATCATGATTGAAGGTGATTGCTGTTGTGGCAAAAGCCAATGGAAGAATGCATCAGAGCAAGCAAGAGTGTAGTTTCATGTAGGGACAGAAACAGAAAAAAAACAGAGAAACCAAATAAGTACACCAATAATGGTGAGTGATTGCTAAAAGAGACCAGATGTAATATCAACTATAACCAATGAGAAACACACACAGCTCTGTATGTGGATGTACTCTGACATGGACACACACACACATACACACACACACACACACACACACACACACACACACACACACACACACACACACACACACACACACACACACACACACACACACACACACACACACACCTCTTTAGCTCTGCCATTTTCCCAGGTGGCCTCATATTTACTTCCATTTGAAAAGTGTAGCACTCCTTTGCCATGAAACATCCCGTCTTTCATCTCTCCCACATACTTCGTTCCTGTGGGGAAGGTGTACTCTCCTTTTCCATCCATTCTGAGGGACAGAGACAAACACACAGTGCTGCTTACTGTAGGGGAGAGTGGGGTAAGATGAGCCATTTTTCATATTTCAGCCATTTTCATATTCAACTGGTACAATAATTCTTTTCATTATTATTGCATATAACTGCTAAAAAGCTGTTTTGTGAAAATCCATTTTAACATGAGAATGTCTTTAAGTGATTCAGAACATTCACAGCTGTATTTTTGAAAAGAAAAAGTAACACATTTCAACAATCTGAACTAAAACTCTGATCCTCTCATCAGACTCCTTTACTTTCTCAATTGAGTCACTGACTCAACTTACCCCAGAACTACTATTATGATTTTAATAGTCCTCTAAGCTAAAATGGTGGACTTTTATACTGGGTTTTTGACCTCATGTTGTGGCTCATAGATACCACAATTGATGTATAAAACAAATTAAATCTAAAAATAATCTTTTTTGGTCTGAACACAATTCTGCTAAAACTTATGACAGACTAAATTCACTTTCAAGATTTATTTATTTTTTTTTAAATAAATGTCTAACCCCTTCACCCATGTGCTTCTAACCTTCACAGACTCCATGGATTGATGCCAATCTCCTAAATATTTGGTCACATGATCAATTTGTTTGATCATTTCCAAGAAAGAGGAGGTGGCTCAACTTACCCTTTGGCTAAACTTACCCCAATCTCCCCTATCCTTCAAGCTTGAAGTGAATGTCGTTCCTAGTTTTCTTATTTTAATTTAATTTTACAACATATTTCAGTTTACCTGCCGTTTTTTCGATCCCCTTTGTAACTGCATTCACCGGTGTTCATTGCTGCATTAACTCTCTGGCAGTAGAAGCTCAGTATCAAGACAGCAAAACGGTTCAGTGTATAGTTACCATAGCAACACGAGCACGACACGAAGAGCCTGGACAAATCTTACAGCTTAAACCTGATCAGTATGAAAAGTACACACGTTTGTCAAATTGAAAATTACATCGTTAACTTTTCTAAAATTAAACACATTTTCTTCATTTTACAGCTCCTCCGCCGGCAGCTTGTTACGTCATCAGCAGGCGCCTTCCAGCTGACAGCAAAAGCAGGCGCAGTAAAGTGACCTTCTCCGCGGCCTCGTAGCTCGTCCTGGAGCCGACACCGGACGAGGACCTTGAATGTTTTTCAGCAGCGGTGTATAATATTTCTCTTCATTTGTGTGTAAGTGTACTTTCGCGCGGATATGCCAACGCTGGAAGTCCCCACGCTGCAGGAGCTGAATGTGGATGAAGTGAGTTTTTGTGAATCAATTTCAAAACAAGACAGATTATCCAAGCTAACAGAAGCTAACGCTAGCTGCTACTGTGTGTAAAGCTTCACATTTTCTGGAGTAAACAATCGTTCTGCTGTTTCTAACTCAGTGCTGAAAGAGACAAGTGAGACAGTAATGTAGTTGACCCAAAAGCAAATGTTTATGAATGAGCCTGACTGTTCTGTCATTGTTGGGATTTCCTGCAAATGACACGACCTGTAGGACACACGCGTTAAAGTCTAACCAAACATTTTATAGATCATATTATAACTGTATTGCACTCTTACATTGACAGTATCTACACATTAGCTGCCCCTAAAACGTGTGACCACTTCCTGACAGCAGGAGTGTGACTCTTGTCCTTGGATGCCCGATATTTATGAGTGAGAGTTAGTTTCCAAAACACCTATGAGAGCATAAGGAACTTGTACCAAACCAGCTCAGGTCCTGGATTATTTTATTTGGAGTACCAGAAGAACAGTTTTGTGGACTCATCTGACCCCCACCTCCAGCAGCTTTTTATTTTGTTTTTATAAATTGAGGATTACACAGAAACATTGTTGTGTTTGTAAAGTCTAATAAGTTAAAATAACAATAACTGGTAGGATTTATATTGCGCCTTTATTACCACTTAAAGATGGTTACACAAATATGTGTAATATGAGCTAATTCTATTTTATTCTATTTCAAATGTTCGAGATTGATTTATGTGGGTTTGATCAGTTTCTATGTAAGTTCAGTATTATATTTATAAAGCATCTCTGAACTGACATCATTAACACACAAAATCTGCTTCATGCTCAGGTGACAGGCCAGACATTTTAAGAAACATCAGGATTTATTTTTTTTGGTAATCTCATTACCTGAAATAACATATAGCAGAGTCTGTCAAATTTACAGGTTAAGAAAATACACAGCAAGTTTTTTTGGTCAACTTGGGAGTGTTTGAATGTTTACTTCAGAGACAGTTTCTCTCTGTGAAATGGATAATAAATGTTTTTATTATTATACTGTCTATTATACTGTGCAATATCCCAGAGTTCAATGCCGTAAACTAGTTTTACTTGTATGTAGTTTATTTCTTAAACACTCTTTGCTTTGTACATAGCTTTATTTCTAATATTCTGCACTTTGCACTAACTGTTGTAATTTATTATTGAGCCTAATGTTATTTTTACTTTTATATTCTTCTATCACGTTTGTATTCTAACAAGTGTACTGACTGAATATTCACTGGGATAAATACAGTATTCTGACTCTGATAAATAATCTTCTACCCATCTCACAAACCTTTTAACTAAGTTTATAGTGTGAGTCAAACAGAACAACAACCCCGTGTTATAAAAATTAAGTTAAATCTGAATGTAACTACATTTGTGTACTTTTTTAATTTACATTTTTCTCTTCTTGTGTATTTCCAGATCAACGTGTCATCAGCAGTACTGAAGGCTGCTGCACACCATTATGGCGCTCAATGTGACAAACCCAACAAGGAATTCATGCTCTGCCGATGGGAGGAGAAGGATCCCAGAAAATGTCTAGAAGAAGGAAGAAAAGTGAACGAGTGTGCTCTCAACTTCTTCAGGTAATGCCGATCAGATCTCTGTAATCTACAGTATTTTTGTGCCAAACACTGAAGTCACTCAAAGACATGATTTACAGAACAACCATCAAGAACGACTACACAATGTTTAGTTGTACTTGTTCTAGCTTTCTATTTGAAGGAAGGGAATCTGAAAGACTTTGAGCAGTAACTGTAGACATGTTGTTGGCTCTGATGATGTTGACTTGGTAAACTTAACATTGAAGAGGCTAGTGTCATGTCTTACCTTGCTTGATAAAAACATAGCTTTTCTTATCCATGTAAAATAAATGAATAATACTAATAACTTAAAACACATAGAAACAGCTTCACTTGGCTCAGTGAAGTAAATGTAACCTGCATCCAGAGGCTTTAGACCTCACCCCAGTGGTCGCTGGTTTGTCTCTTGGCCACAACCCTCCACTGCATGTCATTCTCCACTGTCTGCTTCCTGCATTTCTTGTATCTCTTCAACTGTCCATTTAGTAAGGGGGAAAAAGTATGGTTTTGTTTGATTGCATGCATAAAATTTAAACAATCTTGTATACTTAGAAACAGAGTATATAAGAGTATACATTTTAAACACAGCATCAAACTGAATCTTTGTATTCAACAATAAAATTGCATAAAATGGTGGCAAACAGGGATGAAACAGAATCATCAATATCTTGCAATTGCAAGATCAGAGTGTCTTGAAACTTTTGTGGACCCATGAATTTATGAAACGATAAATCCTCTAGGGGAAAAGTGTAGTTTTGTTTCAGCTGCAGTGGTTCATAGTGGAGGGAATAAGGAACTACAAAGACCATTGTCTCATGCCTGCCAGTCTTTTTTTACACTGTGCTCACTGCTTTAGATAAGTCCACTTCAGTTAGTGTTTGAGCTTATCAGTACCTGTGTGGAGTCTCATGAGTCCCATGATGTTATACCTCAAGTTAAGCCACATTTGAATTAAACCTGTGGCTATTGTCTAATTAAGTTTTTGAAAATTTTCCGGCCAAAGAAACATCTTGGTGGTCAGCTGCTTGTGAGAGTGGCTGAAAAGGTCTTGAGTTTGGCCTTTGACTGTCTTTGGGTAAAAAAAAGAAAAAAGATTGTCCACCTTCATTTGCTGCTGCTGCTGCAGGAAGTTGACCTCCTCCTTCTACCATTTGAAGCAGCTTTGGTAATCCCCCAAACCTTCTAGCGACTAAAAAAATAAAAGAACTACAAATTAAAAATGGTAATTCAGTGTGGAAATCGCAGGACATAAAGCTTGTTGGCTAAATAAACAAGTTGCCATTCGGTGAGACTATAATCAAATATCTGTCAGAAAATAAGTCAAATGTCATCTTGATGCATTCACATATTTCATCAAGAAAAGTCTCAATTATATTCTGCTAAGGAATTTGATAATTGAGACAAAGGCCAAGGTTACACAAGTTACTCACTATAGGTGCACAAATGAGTGCGCTTTTCAAGCTACTCAGAAAGTGTTCAATTGTCTTTTAATATTGCAATAAATATCATATCGCGTAAATTAAATAATCATCAGGCTGATATAACAGAAAGACACAGCAACCCTTCTTAAAAACGGTTCGAAAAAGGGCTTGCAAATTTATAAACATTAAAAGTACCGCGGCTATTGTGTCAATGAATCTGCCCTTGGGGGGTATTTCTAAGAAGTGGTCTGGCCTTTCTTACTCTAAACTGCTGTGTCTGCCTGTGTTTACCGGTGCTTTATAACTGAGCTTTGGTTTGCCCTCTTGTTAACTGAGGTGCTTTTGTGTGCGTCTTTAAAAGTTTGTGTTTCTGGTTCTCCAAAAACACAAGACCTCTAATTCGGAGGTTGAAACAAACAACCGACACTCTCACCTCAAAGACAAACCGAGAGTCATTGCGAAAGAGTAACACCTGTAATTATTATAATGAGGAAAGATTTGAGAAAAGCTGTAATTAGCCGGTGACCTGGTTTGATTCTTGGGGGCCTCTGGAAACTGCCAGCCACATTTATGAAAACTTAAGTGTAACGACTTGTTGAGTTTGTCCATGGGAACCAAAGAAAACCTGTGACTTTGAGAAAACAAGAGATCATAAACAAAGATTGAGTGAAAGTTTAGTCATTGTTGGTTTTAAATGTAGACTTTTAATCAGAAATATTCTACAATAATTTCTTTTCTACTCCTGCTGCAAATCTGTTTTATTTGTTCTTTCTGGAATCACTTTATCTCCTTCACCATTTATTTTTTCCGCATTTTTTTTAGGAGAAACTTCGATCTCATGCATTGCAAGTGATTTAGTCTCACACTTGAATATTTTATTCACTCTTTGCAGGCAAATCAAGGCAAACTGCGCCGACTCCTTCACTGAGTACTGGACCTGTCTGGATTATACCAACTTGGCGGAGCTGCGTCGCTGCCGTCAGCAGCAGCATGCCTTTGATAGCTGCGTCCTTGACAAGCTGGGCTGGGAGAGACCTGTGCTGGGCGACCTGTCTAAGGTGAGCCTTGTGATAGAATGACTGTGCATTTACGATGCGAACGGCTCAGTTGATGGGCTCTATTCTTGCTGATTGTGGGCTGTATAAGAGGCACTGATTGCATCTGCATAGTAGCCTCTGTAAGTAGCAGTACTGAGTAGGCAAAGCATGAATTTATGACGCTTTTCTTTTCGCCAAAAGGCTTTGAAGGGGCATGCATAACTTAATTTGAAGCACTAATTAAGTTGCAGCTCTCCCAAAATACCTCAAATCAATCTTGACAACAGCTTTTTTAGACTTTTATTTCCAGACACTTCATGTCTGCTGACACTTGCTCAGACCTGAGTCTTAAGTTTTCAGAACATTTTATCAGCTGCCTGGTAAAAATGCCACTAAAGCATGTTTTAAATCACCCTTCAGAGAAAGCAGGAGAATAGAAAAAGGACTCTAAAATTTTGATTTGCCTGTTCAAAATTAAAGACTTGTGTTTGAGATGGTTGGAACAGAAAAAATTTAGAGAAATTTTGAGAGTACACAATCTAGAAAAGAAACAGACCAGAGCCTGAGGTTGCAGTGAAATGTGAAAAAATCAAGGGTTAAAGAGAGAAATGCAGCAGGTAATGAAGAATTCTTTAGACTGAACCGTGTTCGCACTTTTAATTTTGTGTATATCTGATAACAATGCCATAAATGTAACATTTTTTTTACAGGTGACCAAAGTAGCGACCTCACGGCCCCTCCCCGACAATCCTTACCACTCTAGACCTCGTCCTGAGCCTAACCCAGTCATCGAGGGAAAACTAGAGCCCGCCAAACATGGCAGCAAGTTATTCTTCTGGCCTTGGTGAGGCCGCCCCAGAGTGTACAAAGCCTTCCAAAGCCATGAGATCTGCCCAAAAATGCTCCAGCTATTGTCACCATCATGACAGCTGAGGAGGTTTTAAGTTTCGGTGTAAGTTTTGCCACTTTTGTCAAAGATCTTGAGGTCATTTTTGTGCAGAGCTCATGTGCCGACAGCGTCACAAACAGCTGTACATCCAGCACCATCAAACAGTTCAATAAAGGAAGGAGGAGTGGATGATTGTGAACGCAGCCCATGAATCCACACAGCTTTCCCAACCCCCTCTGTAAATGTAATGAGTGAACAAATGCAACATGATGTTATTATTGTTGTCCGATAATAAAAACAATATATTATAATTTTACTTTGTGTCTTCATTTATGTTTGCATCTAGCAGTCAGATCAAGCAGCGTTTCTTATAAGGCACCCGCATGTTTGCACATCTGTGTTTTGTCAGTGTGTATTGCCAGGCTCATGGAGGCTGAGGTCAAAGGTCAAGGTTGAGGGTCACTACCTGCAGCCAGAGAGAGCTGCTTCTGCTTCCTCCCTTTCTCCTGGCTTACTTCCTGCCTCTGACCTGGACTGGAAGAAGACAGGGGGAGTCATTTTGGAGATGCACAGAGAAGTCTATTTTTTCTGCTTGCACACACACTCACACACAGATACACACTCATGACCTCAAGTGGAAGGAGATGAGGAGTCCGTTCGAAGACCTGACAGCCTGTGGAACAAAGTGGACTGTGCCAGTACAAGCACACGAGCACACTGACAAGCCAGTGGGACGTTATCCAAGATCAAGGTTGGACAGTAATGTGGGTGAGGGAGTCCTGATGTATTCAGGGCTCAAAAAAAGATCAGTTCTTTTTTTTCTAATATGTATCAGCTGTTTAGAAACCTCTTAATAGCAGTTGTGACACTATTTATTCTGATACTAGCTCTGCTGAATGATACCCACCTCCATGAAATGCCAAATTTGGTGTTTGCCAGTAAAATTAGATATTTATTGTTGCATTTGTTTCATTATTAAAAGCCCATGAGCTGCATGATTTTTTAGCCAAATGACAGCCCTATTTGTGTGATTACAGTGTTAGAGTTTTTTTTATCTACTGCTTTCTAATGTCACATAATTTGGTTTTAAGACAGCAGACTTTCCAACAGAACGCAGCTGTTTATTGATTCAAGAAATAAAGGTTTCGTTCAGCTGTGTAAGGAGTTTGAATTGCCTCTTACTGAGTTTGTGACTGTACGGTAGGTGAATATTTTATGTGAAAGAAAATGAAGTTAAAGGTCCTATAAGAAACTTTCTGTTTATGCCATTTTTGGCGCCCCCTGTGGACAAAGTTGTATTTGTTTTTTACCCACTACATTATTCAGTAGACACCTTTGACAATCAAATCTATAATTATAGTGAATATTTATGTAGGAATTGTAAAAACAGGGCTGTTTCTCGCTGCTCAGGTGACACCAACCCCTCACTCCGGTTTCAGTCATTGAGAATGAACATGTTTAAATTGCTAGTCTTGTCACTGATGTTTTCAAAAGGCATCAATATGAATCTCAGTCTATTTCATTTATGTAAAAAAGCTTTAGGAGTTCCTTTGTGAATTTGTAGGATTAAATTTGAGCTCAACCAGAGATGGTGCCATAAAAACAATGTTCAGCTATGTTTCATAATGAAGACTCAGTTTAGGAACAAGAGCTGTTCACTGAGGAAAATCACCGGTAATTGAAATTGGCTAAATTATTACATTTTTATTTTTATCAGTACCAGCCCTGGTCAAGTGTTTTGCCCAAGGACACTTCAGCATGTGGACAGCAGGAGACAGGATGGAACCCTGAACCTTTTGATTGAGCGACAGCTGACTCTACCACTGAGCCACAGCCGCCCCTTCAGGGACTCTTGAGGTCAGGAGCTATCAGGGCGAACTGTGATCTTTATTTAGAGTATGAATAAAATGCTTTTGCTTATTCTAGATGGGGCATTGATATCATACCAACTGAATTTGTTTTTGATTCTTCATATTTTAACATTTTTCCCACAAGTTTTTGTTTATCCTCTGACAGCGAGTCACAGCTTTTTGCCAAGACTATTTTCAGTGTGTTCAGTAGCTCTGTATGTGCAGACATGAGGGTGCTTGTCTCCTTGTTTTTACAGGGTGTCACTGACAGTGGTTGCAGAAATCCCCCTCATAAGGTGTGGTCTGGACCTGCAGCTTGCACAGGAAAAGCCTGACGGACCCTCTTCTGACCTGGACGGTGGGACAAAGAGTGGAGGAAAGGAGGTGTGGACGGAGGGAAACAAGGAGGAGAAGGGGGTGAGGACAGATAGGAGGTGAAAGGAAGAAAATATTGAAGGAGGGGAAGAAGGAGGTGATAGAGGGGAGGGAAATTACAGCAAATAAAAAGGAAAATAAAAAAAAGAAAAGAGAAAAGTGAGATGTAAAAAGATAAAGCAGGGAATGACCTGATGGCAGACAGACAGATTGGAGTCTTTGAGGTTGTCCAGTGGCTGTCTGTGAGGCCCCCGGGCTCGTGGCAGGCCTGTCTCCATGCGACTTTCAGGAAGCGGAGGGTCATCGTTTGACACGGTACCGCCACAGGAAAAGAGGCTCTGGCACAGGAAAGAAATACAATATAGGGCTTTCACAAAGCCACAGCCCACCTGGGAGCCTGACGTGCTAAAATACTCAAACAGCCCCGCTTGTTCATAACACACGACTGTCAATATTCCCATTGTTAAAGGCCGAGTTTGAGATAATAAAAGGAATGCTGAAGTGTGGATGAGCAAGCAGAGCTGGTGGAGGATCGTGTTATTTCCTTTAATTCAACTTTGTGAGACTGAAGACGAGATATTAAGTCAGATATTGACAGTTTCCAGTCCCAGTGCTGTTGTGCGTTATATCAGCACTTTTGGAAATCTTCTTGTCCAATCAGATTACTTGATCAGAGCAAACATTTGTAAACTTTGTATCAAGAGCACAACGCTGCACTCTTCCTCTACGGGATGTCTGCTGTATCCATTAGGAGCCCTGAACATGTGGGTGCACTTCTTTTATCCAAATGTTGGTGTGTTTGATTTGTTTATGTTGGTGTACCTTCTTTGCCATCTTCTTCTGTGATCTTTAGACTGTACATGTTACTGAGTGCTGCTTTCATGTCTCCTCTTATCCCGGCGTACAGCGCAGGGTGGCTTTGAACAGCCATGCTGGCTGCTTTATGAATGAAACACACAACCACAAGCCACAAGTACCGTCTCTACGTCTACGGCCGCCACTTATGGAGAGCAGTGATCTGGGAGCTTCAAAAGAGTTACTCTCTCATAGACATGCATGTGCACACAAACACAGCAGACATTGTTCATGTAGGTTCATCAGGTTAATGAGAATAACCTTCAAATCTTTGGAGGTCTGTGTAAAAGTGTGGCCTGAAAGATATTTGAATAAAAAAGACATGATTTATTATTAATGAGGCTTTAAAGGGATATTCTGGCGTAAAATTAATTTAGGGTCAAACACAGCGTAACACAGAGTAAGACACCCCCTCGAGAGATGAATGTTGCCAACCGCTTGCTTCTCTAGTTATACCAACTTTAGTAACGACCACAGATAGCAATACATCTTTTTAACTTTGCCCGATTTCTTTAGCAAAGAGAGGAAGCACAACTCACCTACTCTCTTCCAGCAGCCGCTCGTTTGTAGCGAGACCTCGGGCCAATCCGTTATGGACTACAGCGGGGTGACACAGCTCAAGGAAGAACATTTATGATCATTTCTTCTGAAATGCAATCAGACTGAGATGCTAAGGCAGAAGAACTACCACGTCTGCAGAGCAAAATGATTAATATGATGATTATTACTTGAAGGAAATGATAAAGTAATGATCATAAATGTTCTTCCTTGAGCTGTGTCACCCTGCTGTAATAGATTGGCCTGAGGTCTTGCTACAAACAAGCGGCTGCTGGAAGAGAGTAGGTGAGTTGTGTTTAATCTCTTTGCTAAAGAAATTAGGCAAAGCTAAACAAAGATGTTGGTGGCTAGTGCTATGGCTAGGACCCTATATGTACTGTTGATGAAGTTAGGTGCTGTTCTGAGCATTATTTGTGGCTATAGAGTGGCGTTTTGGTTGAGGTTTGCTTGTAGCTCCTCAGACCGCTGTGTATTGCTATCGTGCGGTCGTTACTAAAGTTGGTATAACTAGAGAAGCAAGCGGTCGGCAACATTCATCTCTTGAGGGGATGTCTAACTCAGTGATATGGTGTGTTTGACTCTTAATTAATTTTACACCGGAATATCCCTTTAAATACAACTTGGAGGACTTTGACTTTTATGCTGTATTGGGCCGCCCCAGTCAAAACACTGAAATGTAACCTGTCCACACACAGAAGTCCTGGGTGCTCAAAGTCTCCCTCTGTGTGGTGACGGAGTGATGACCACGGCCTGTGTTTTGCATTCCAAGCAGTCATGCTTCACAGCCTCCCTTTCATGCTGCAGATTTGCCAAACGCCTCTGAATGATGCGCTTAAGACAACATTTAGTGAGTTTAAAAGGTTTCAGCAGAGGTGTTGGCTGGTCAAAGACAAGACAGAGCAGGAGAGCTCTCGCTTCAGAGCACGCTAAAGACGCTCGGTCACACACTCGCTGCAGGACAATCGAACACACTGACACATTTGCATGCAGTTAACCACAATCATGTACACACTGGAAGAGGTGCGTGATAATAAAGACACACAGGGGATCAAAACACATTTTGATATTTGCGAATCTTAATAAAACGGGAAACGTTTGATTTGAATGTCAGAACGGCTTTAAACAACTCGATGGAGATCTGAAGAGGGATTTTCCAGGAGCTCAGCCTTCGTTGAGTCTGTTTACTCAAAGTGTTTAAAAATATCCACTCATTTCTTTTCTTTGTGTGTTTATTTGGAGGTATCTGAGCAAATGCACTAATGTGAAGTATGTGTTGAAATAAGATGTCTAAATGACAGCTCGGGCTGTTGTCACACAGCTTAACACTCAAGGAGTTGCGGTCTGGGGGCCTAACAGTGCACTGCTTATGCCCGCAGGTGTGTGTGTGTGAGTGTGTGTGCATGAATGAGTGAGTGTGTCTATGTGTTTAATGTGGGCCTGCAGCTTGAAGTGTTTGTATGTTTGTGCCTTTGTAAAGTTCATGTGTGTGTGGTGCCGCTGCAGCTCCTTTCGGGCTGGCCTGTGTTTATCTTGGCCTGATCCCAGACCTTCATCACTTCTCCGCTGATAGCTCCATTCCTCCATCCCTCTGTCCCTCAGGCTATTTACAAGTCTACCGCAGACTGCCTTTTTCCCTGCGTGCCAACATCCAATCCGTTTTCCTCCCTGTCCTCTCCTCTCCTTGCTTTCACACTGTCGTCATCCGCTTTATCTCACTCTGCTTGCTTGAGGAAATCTTTCCTGTCTTTCTCTCTCTCTCTTGTCCTCTCAGCCAAAGGGACCAAATCTGGCCAATTTGGAGCATATATGCACATCCACCCTTTACTCATTCTCTCCTCTGATTCATATGTTTACACAGCACAGTGGGGACGAGAGATTTGTCTTTCTGTTCTCCATGTAGAGACACAATTTAAGTGTTTGCACCATGAACTTATTTCATACTCTAATGTGGACTCTGAAGAGTAAAATCAATGTTTTAAACGCAACTCTGATGGTTTAATGATTATATGTTCTGTGTTGTACTACAGAAAGTCATTTAGCTTTCATCAAATGATGTCAAACTTGTTAATGGAGGGGAAAAATTGAGCTTTTATTTGTACAATCCTCTGAGCGACAAATTAGAGCTTGGGTACGGCAGTTAAGGCAAAGTGCTACTTATAACCGTAGAGCTGGGGAACAGCTGAGTCCAAAAAAGTCAAACAAAAGCTAGATTTTAATCTAATATGGCAGAAATTAAAAGGAAATTTGTGAAAAAGGTAGCTTACACTTTAGAAATCTTGACACCACAACTCGGTTTTACTAATCTGACCTCTTAGCCAAACTTTTTTTAGTACTTTGTTAAATGAATGTTGTGTTCAGTCTGATTTTTTTTACTCACACCTTTTCTTTTTGTCATTTTAAAACTAACATTAACACCGATGCCTCTGAGTGACCTACCAAAGTGAAAGAGACCAGCAGGGAAAGAAGATTCACTATTTCTACAGCACATGGTTATTTTTGATGCCTGAAACTTCTGCTGAGGGTGTGTGCCAGAAAAAGTAGGTGAACACACTCTGCGGAAACATCCTTTGTTTTCATTTTCCTCTGCAAAGATATACTTGAAAGTCAAAATGAAAGTACTCCTCATCTGTTCAATAGTTAAAATCTGCTGTGAGATGAGGTATCACCATAGGCTGTAAATACTATGGACAACTTGGTTCTGCTGTCTGCCAGTATAAGGATTTGAAGCTGAAAAGCTCTCTGTGTTTCCGTGAATTTTCTCCATTTCCCGAGACCAACATTACGCAGTAGAGGGCAGATTGCGTCCATTCTATATACAGTCTATGGGTATCACTTAGATCACAGGGGGCGCCAAAACTGGTACAAATTCCTCCCAAGAGCCTCAGTATTGATATCCAGTTGACCTTTTTTTGTGAATCAAGCTTACAAGTGTGGATCCAGACTTTTTTTTTTTTTTTACTGGGTAGCACTAACTGGGGCGTGGCCTCTTCGTAAGTATGCGCACTTACACGAACACAGACTCACACCCACAGAAAAATGAACAGCTTTAAGAAACAAGTCTATCTTTAATGGACTTTGATCTGCTTTGACCTCTGTCATTTAAGTATCTACCAGTTATAACTTTTAAAAGTACGTAGTCTGGAGGGGGCATTTTTTTAAAAATTCACGTGTGATTTAGTATCTTGAACTTTTTATATATCGCACGTGCGATTTAGTATCTAGTGTGATTTAGTATCTCGACTGTGCATTTTTTTAATATGTATCTCATACGTTCGTTCTATTTGTATCTTGCACATGTGTTTTTGTAAATAATCCTCCGCGCTCCTCATTTGTGAGAGAAGAAGGACAGTGTCATGGACAGAAAGCATATTATCAACATTTTCTTTCATTTAGGTATGACTCACAAAGAGATACTCTATAGCTGGGCAACATTTGGTATTGTTTTGAGAAGGAGACACCTCATCAGGATCCTTACGGCACAGGGACTTTGCCATTGGTGATATTCAGACTTGGAAGAAATTATTTTTTTTATTAACGAACAGTTAAATCACACATGCTATATAATAAAACGCACATGCGAATTTAAAAAAACAAACTAGTTCATGTCCCCTCCTGGGCTCCGTAAAAAATGTGGCCAGACTGAGGGGCTACGTTTAAATACTTCATATTTGATCTTCATTGGAAAGGCTGCTGTGAGGAACTTTTGGATTGTGTTGATTTTGGTGCCCCCTGTGGACAGAGTGATGAGTCCTATATCTTGTGCTGTACATGTAAAAATAGTGTTTTCAGACCAAAACTTCATTCTGTAGTCTTTTCAGAGAGAAACATATCACTCAGTGTGAGTATTTCCTGCAGATTAAGGACAGGTCTGTTTGTATTTGTGGTCTGCTGTCAGTCATATGGTCTGACACCTTTCCTCTCACAGCAGTTTCACACATTAAGAGTCACCAGCTTTGTTGCAGTGGTGTTTTTTTTTTTTGCTTTGGAAGGTCATTAAAAGACACCAGCATCTAAAGCACGACTAAAAATAAGAAGTCCTCAGTTTGAATCAGAACTGCAGGGGTGATTCGTCTGGAGTTTTACATTAAAGTTTACACTTTCTGACAGGAGGACGATGACTGGATCTTTGCTCCCAGTCCCCAAAGTTCATCACTTTCCTTTAGCATCACCTCATTTCTACTTTACACAAAACTACTCTGACCCCAAACCACTTCAGAGTGACTTTTCAATTGTCACCTCTTATCTTTCTGACTGAATTACAGCTTCAAAAGGACTTTCACTCAAGTAGAATGAGCACACTCACAGTTTACACTCTAAACTCCAGCCAGCAGTTAAAGTCCTGCCAGTAGCCAAAGTTGACTTATTCCCATGTACTGTGAAGCCAGTGTCACCCTAATGCTGTTGTGCTTGTGGTTTCTGGAGGTATACTGACGCATTCCTTGGCCGTGCGCTCATCTAAACAAAGCTAGTTAAAGAGGACACACAGGGGCTCGGGCTACACACTCCTCTGGGTGGCTCCTATCTAACACAGGGCTCACGGAGTTTAGGGTTTCCTACGCATGTCAAGGTAGGTTAACTGTTCCCCGTGTTAGGCGGCTCTGAGGCCCTGGTGGGCTATCACTCAGGCTCTTTTCCTCTCCCACCACGCCCTCCACCCACCTACCGCCTCGCCTACGCTGACGCACAGGCCGTCTTCTGGCTGTCCTCCCTGGTTTGCATGCCACATTTTACCCTTTTTCCTTGTCTGTGTGTCTCAGACCTTACATCCCCTCTTTTCTTTCCACTCAGATCATGGTGTGTCAGAGCGCTCGCTTGTCAGCTTTAATTACTCTCCCTGTGCTTTTCTGCATTTAAGGAAACTCTTGCTTTCCTTGAGAGTCTTTAAAGGAGCTGATTTTCTTGCTGCAGGTGTTGAGGACAAAATAAATTATGTTCTGCTTCTTTGTCGAAAATGTCTTTTTAAAGCAAGCAGCAACCTCCAGTGTTGAAAAATTAAGTCTAAAACTGCAGTGTCTAAAGAATCCACTTGGGGCTGGATACAAAATCCAGGGAAACCCGTAAGAGCCGTTATTGAAGTATCTGTTTTACAGCTGAATAAATCATGTTTGCAGCTGGTACCAGACACAATTTGTTCTCTGATAATACTGAGTAACATGAAGAGTAGGTTATAAAGAAATATGGTGCCAATCATTGTTGGATGTTATTGCTCCTCTTTAGAAACTTTGAGACATTTCATTGGTTAAACTACGAAAGAGGATTAGGGCCACATAATGAGAAAAAAAAAATGACAGGACGGAGATTTAAGTCAACATTTCGAGATTAAATTTTTTTTTTAATTTTGAGATTAAAGTTAAAATTTCGACTTAATTCATGTAATTTCAATTCTTTTAATCTTGACTTTTTAAAATTTCAACTTTAATCTCGTAATGGAAATTCAAAAAATCTCCCTCCTGTAATTATTTTTTCTCTTCTTGTGGCCCTAATCCTCTTTCGTACGATACAGTCTATCTATATTCATTAAAATAACTTTTTCACAGACATTTGTTTAGAATCCATGAATGATTCTTAATGTTTTCAGACGCTTGCTGGTCAAGATTGGTCTGAGTTTCATAGAAAACAGCTTGCGTCGTCACGTGTGTTCAGGTCTTTTTGGATCATGTTTAAACTGAAGTAACCCTTTTTTTTTAATCATCAAGCTAAATTGTAAGCATGTCAAACTCAAACGCTGTTTTCTGTTGCCTTCACATCAACACAAACGGCGTGTTGTTTGTTTCATAATCCAGTGTTGAGGCTCTTTTGTTGTGTTTTTTAAAGCTCCCATGAGGAACTTTTGGTTTGCGTACACGTCACTGCCCCCCTGTGAAGCTGTCTTTTCTTATCTTTTCCTCTACAGGCTTAGGTATCACCTTCTTACAGAAAAATCCTATCTTCTGTTATATTTATTGTAAATATTTATTGTGGAAAAAGTTTAAAATGACTGTTTCTGTAGCTGCTTGGCTGACACCTATCTCCTATAGCACTAAAATAACAAGATTAAAACACTCTTATTACTGATGGTCTTGTTTGCTTTCATATAGCAAAAAAAATGCATCAATATAGATTTCAGTCTTTCTAATTTCAGTCTAAAAATCCCTCATAGGACCTTTAAACATGAATTTTTACCAGCTTTTCAGTTTCAATGTCACCTGCTTTCAAAACAAGGGTTTTGTTATTGTCTGTATTCAAAGTAAGAGCTATTTTTAAAAGCAGTCCTACTCCCTTTCATTCATCTTTATAGGATTTTGTCCACATATATGCATTTCTGCGTCGACTTTTTGAAGCGTGTTTTTAAACATCTGTTGTTTTTGTCCTCATTTCCTATTTTCAAGTCCCTCTCACTGTCTTACAATCATGTTTATTCCACTTTTTTTAAATGTCTAGTCAAATTCAGGATTGTCAGCTTTAAATGAAGCAAGCACCTCCTCCTCTCACCTCTCAGTTGTCTGCAGTGTTGTTATGTTTGGGTCGCTGTGAGGTAGCGAGAGAGAGACAGTCCAGTCCTTAAATCTCACACGTCTACGCCTGCACACATAAATAATCACACCACTTCCAGGTTTACCGAGCCTGTTAGTGTCCTTTACTAAACAAGCTGTGTTACAACTCTGTTGCTTGACTGTGAATGCAGGCAGTTTGTGAGTCCAAACTAAAATAACTTTTTGCAGAAGAAAAATAAACGGACAGGGATTTTTCCTGAGAGGAAACCTTTAGTTTACTATATGACATGTTTCTTAATAGTGCTAAAGTGTTCAGTGTTCTTTAAATAAACAATGTGGAGTTTTGCATAGTGGGGCATGAAAGAATGCAGGAGTCTCGCTGCCCCGCTCACACATGTCAGCAATTTGGCTGCCTTGTGTATTTTGGAAGTCGAAAAAAAAAGGAACATTTCAAAGTAAACGAAAGAAGGAAAGTCTTATCCGCCTGGCAGCTGCGCTCCGGACCAAATTGCTTTCAGCTGATGCGCTGCAGCTCAAACTTGCTTGGGTAATGTCAAGTGATGCATTGCAATACTGAGAAAACAACACAGACAAAAAATAAATAAGACGGGAGAGAAAGGCTGGAAAGTTCCAGTGAAGCCCACAAAGCCCAGCGACACACAGACACACTCATGGACACTTTAAGTTTAATTTTTAATCATTCTTCAATTTGGTCAATAAAATGTTTTACAGAGCCCCTGAAGCCTGCAGAGGCAACCAGTTTTTATCTTGTACACACAACAAATTATACAATGCACATACAATTTATGGCCTTTTTATGATGTGTGATGAATCAAGCACAAATATTCATTTTTGGCCAAAAAAATCACAATTATTTCTGAAAAGATCAAATGCATATCAGGTCTTTCTTTTGTAGTAGTAATGAGCTGGAGACAATGATTGAACACAGAAATCCATAATATCACTAATTTTGCCTTTTGAGCTGCAGTTACTCCACAGTAAAAGTGTTTGATACTAAATTCCGTTTTTTTCAAACATACCTGTACCTAAAAAAATGGACCTAGATTATTTTATTTTAGCTGAGTTTACCCTGACTGAACACAACATGTGGCGCACCCTTCACTCCTCCCAGCAGAGGGCTCTATCTTTTTAAACACAAGATGCTAGTTCGAGTGTAACGCTCGTAAAAATAAATTACAGACATTATTGACATAATCAAAGATACTGGTATATTATGACATTTAATTCGGGTGACCATACATCCTCTTTTACCCGGACATGTTATTTATTTTTTGGGGGCTGTCCGACATTGTCAGGGGGAGTTTATAAAATCCTTCAAATGTCCGGGATTTTGTTTGGAAATTTTGAGTTTGTGTTGTGTGGACTTAGGGCGTTAGAAGCGCTTAAAAAACAATCAACCAGACCCGAAATACTCTCAAAATTTACTTATCGTGACTCTGTGACTCCGCCCCTGTTTAGTGGTGTCGTCTTTTGGGGATTCAGAATATCGTCACCCTAATTTAATGATAGCAGATAATGACAAACAGAATCAGTACTATTGATGGACATGCAAGGAACAGTGCACAAGTTATTATACTGTGTACAGATTTATTACCAGTAGGGCTCTAAAGCACATGAAATTTAGAGTTATATATTATTGTGAATGAATGAATGAATGAATGAATCACAAACAGCCAAGCAATGGTAGGTACTTGCTTCCATTTTCAAGTGAAACTAATGCAATTATGATATTTTTTGTAGCAAAAGCAAGGACATTATGAGCAAAGGAGGAGATCATATTCAAAAAGGGGAAGAGCAACACTTGTAGACGTGAAATAGATCCAAACCTGAACAAACTGATGAGAAGTCACATAAAACCCCTCAAAAGTTCAAATTTGTTGTTCAAGTAAAGTTGAGAAAATTCTTCATCTCGCACACGCCAATGTCCAGGTCTGCAGCAGCTGCTGATGAAGATAATAATGATGCACATGCTATGATTTATTTCCCACATTACTTTGTGTAAATGCACGCTGGCATCAGCTGCTATCTGACAAACATGCACTGAATGCCAGTGCAAACAAACTCTTTGGAAAACAAATGAAGGTGTAAATCAAGAATTATACAAGATTTGTTTTTCTTCCAGTGTGAGAGCGTGCTTCCACAAATACACTCCAATATTAAATCTTCCAGCACATCAATAAAACCTTTGAATCACAAATTCACTGAAAATATACAGCACAATTACATAGTTTCCACACACAAACACACGGGATGGATACAGTGATGTTTCAAGGCGAGGGGAGGTAATTGGATTTTCCATGTTGAGGAATTTGTTTCAGGTTTGTTAACAGAACATCTGATTTTAGAGAGTTAAGATTTCATACCTTTAGGATCATGTTTATCTATAAATTCATGCTCATGAAATATCCCCTGATGCTGAGACTCATCATCAACATCATTTGTACCTTTTGTTTTAGGTTTTCACAGAAGCATATTCACAAATCATATCACTTTGAAAATGTTTTAACCTTCGACAGTGAGTTTTACAAGTGTTGTTTCCTGAAGTTAGGACCTAACGGGGTTTTAAATGATTGGTCAATAAAACATTTGTATAAAAACCCTTTAGAAAATAATGCATGACTGAATCTTGCATATTAATGTGGATCAATACTGTGGTGCTAATATTTGATTTCATTTTAAATCAAGTCCCTTTTATTTTCTTTATACAGACATTTAATAATTGATTTGAAATATAGCCGGAGGTAGACGTTTAAGTTACTGTTAATTTAGTGGTCTGTAACTGTAGCTCTAGGTTTATGAATCTCTAATAAACGGTCGTACCGTGAAGACATGGATGTTAAAGACTTCCATTTAAGATGACCAAAATTACGATCTTTTTAGAAGTTTAAATCTTGAGTCATGACAGAAAAAGTTCTCCAAAAAGTTGTGACATGAAAAAGTCAGAAAGAGTCATAAATTCACAAGATAAAGGCTAAATTAAGAAGATTCAAGTCTAAAATCATGAGAATAAAAGTGTAGCTTACAAGAGTAAAGTTGTAAAAGCAAAAAGAGCCATAAATTGGACTTTGTAATAAAAAGTAAAACAAGAAAAGGTATGATTAAGTCATAATACTTAACAAGGACTTATAAAAAAGTAATTAATTTATGGACTATTTACAAGATAAAGGCACTGACTATTGTTTGGTGGTCAGGCGTGGTAAACATACGGAGTTCACTTTAAATGTAGGCGAGTCATTCCCACTAATACGTTTTTTTAAGCCCCTAGTGTAAACAAAACCACAGTTTCATGGTGGCCAATCAGATTTCAAAGATGGCCGTGGTGCGGCTTATTTAGTGAAGTTAGACTCAGCAGATGAGGACAAACAGCAGCTCAGACTGTGTTTTGGGCAGTCCCAAAACCATTTATGAGATTTATTATAAAGTATAACGTCACAAGATGATATTCCTCTTTAAAATAGCCCGTAGTCCAACTCCTGCCCAAAAGTATGACTTTTTTTTGTCCTAAATTCAACCCTATTTTCTTAAATTTAATGCCCTTCTCTTTAATTCTTCAACTCAAAATCTCAATTTTTTTTAAAAGTAGCCCTAATGCTTTGACATAGATATCACAATTATTAGATTATTTGTGTGGTCTTGGATTAATGGAAATTGTTTAAAAATTTCTGAAATGAACAGTTACATTTATTGTCATGTGTAAAGAACTGTTAGTTCAATATTTGTATGCTGTTAATCAACACTGATAAGGTGAATTAGTAATCTAGAAAGAGGGAGGCAGACGCCTTCTTTACCTTAGAGTTAGGGCTTAATCATACACACTCCAGACTGTGCAATTTTCTATTTCATTATGTTCTTGAGAGGAAAACATGGCCTTGTTTTCTCACTGTTGTTAATTTTAAACATGAAGAAATAACTCCGCAGAAGTCTGGTTCATCTCAAAGGTCTCACTCTGACAAAATATTTCCCCCTCCAGATTCACCACCTGCACACCCTGGACTCTTTGAGCAAAAACAACACACTAGTTTTAAATCAGAAAAAAAAAAAAAAGAAAAAAGTTTTGGGAACCTTGGTCCAGTCCAACCAGACGAACCAGAGTGCTGCATGAGCACAACAGGTTCACTAACTCTCCCCCTCAGTCCCTGCTCTGTTTACATTGCGCTGGCAGGGCGATCTGGAAGTGTTTGGCTCGGCTCCGCGCTCACTGGGAACTATCAGACGATTCACATTTTAAACTATTTTGATATCAGCTCTGTGGAGAGTTGCCATTTCCCTGAGAACATGACTTGCCTCTGGGCTCTGGGGCCTGTCGCACGGCCAGAAGAATAAACACAGTGAAGGGGAGGAGGAGAGAGGAGAGAGGAGGCGGGGAGGGATGAAAGAGGGTGATGTGGGAGAGAGAGAGAGAGAGAGAAAGAGAGATAGAGAGAACTTCTGAAATAAAAAGAGGTTTTAAAAAAAGAAATATAATCTCACTTTGTGGCGGAAATCTCTCGAGCCTGAGGATACATCCAGTGTTATTAGACTCTGTGGAAAAAATAAGTTTCAGATAAGTGCCTACATTCATCATATCAGATGGAACAACAAAGATATACTATAAATAGAGAAGTGCAAAGACCATATTTGAGCTCATGATCATGATTGAACAGTGTTTGCTGCAGTGAGCTCCGGGCACAAGCTTTTGTGGTGAGTAAACGGCTCCTATGCAGAGGTCAAAGGTGACTGAATTATAGGGGAAACCTCCAGCCTGGGTTAATTTGGTGAGCTGTTAAATTTCACCCTGCTCATGCACTGCCTATAAAGCTGTGTATGCGCGCGTGTACGTGTGTGCAAGTGTGTATGTGTGTTGTTTGAGTTTATCCTGAGACTGTCGAAACCTCAAAAATAAAGACATGTCTCTCTGGTTTTTGACTCTAATAACTTTTTAAAAAGTTGTAAATGAGCTGATATTATGACATTAGTCCTGAACATTTCATTCAGTGCCTAGGCTACCCTGCATTAGAGAGGGAAATATCATGTTTTTAACAACATCACATTTTTATATGCTTTGGGCTATAATCATAATTAGATTTGAATATAAATATGTTACATGTGACACTGTGTAACAAATCCTATTCTCTCTCTCTCTCTCTCTCTCTCTCTCTCTCTCTCTCTCTCTCTCTCTCTCTCTCTCTAAATGGTACTTTTTAATTGACATTTCATGAACACAAACGGATTATCATCTTGCAAATTTCTGGACAGGCTCTTTCACACCAATTGTAAACATTTCACATTATTTTACCTTTGATTTTAAGAGTTTATTTCTGTTTATTTTTGTTCTTTTCAGCTAAAATCTTTTACTTTTACCTCTGAGGTCAATTTTTTCCATGTGTTAACTTTCTTAGGCGTTTTTACATGAACAAAATAAAACAAAATAGAATACAATAGAATAAAACATAACAAACCACAATTGTATATATTAGAATAGATTAGAATAGAATGGAGTAGAACAGAATAATAGAGTATAAATTAGAATAGAATAGAATAGAAAAGAGTAGAATAGAATAGCACAGAACAGAATAGAATAGTATAAATAGAATAGAATAGGACAGAATAGAACAGAATTGTATAAATTAGGATAGAATTGAGTATAATAGAATAGAACACACTAGTATAAATTACAATAGAGTAGAATAGAACAGAATAGAACAGAGTGCAACAGAATACAAGAGTATAAACTAGAATAGAAAAGAGTAGAATAGAATAGTACAGAACAGTATAGAAAAGCATAATTTAGAATAGAATAAACAGAACAGATAGAAAAGTATAAATAGAATAGGATAGGATAGAATAGAACAGAACAGAATAAATCAGAATAGAGTATGAATTAGATTTTATTTAGTGTGTCTAACAGTCAAAATGGCTATGTAGCTGAAACTGTCAGTGTTGACTGAGTTTGACTTAGGTCAACTTTTAAATGCATGTTTATTTTTTCTTAACCCACATTGGTGAACACTGTGATAGGTTTTCATGGGAATCAATTGCCTTAAACTGTCTTTAATTTAACACACTATAAAATCCAAAGTCATACCTTGAAATCATTGGTTTACACACTTATAATCACTTATGAGTGTTTTTTATTTCTCCTACTTTCTGTAAACAGAATCTTCACATGAGAGCACTATATTATACTGGATAATTGCCGTATGTAACTTTGCTATTAAAATGTAACTTTTAAAGTGGGGATGACTGACGGTGAGTGACAAATGTCTGACTTGGAGACTTTCCTCATTTTAAACTTTATGAGGGCTGACTCGTAGAAAAGCAGCTGTCTCGAACCTCCTTGTGTTGCCTTCAAAGCTCTATTAAAACTGACACACACTCCGCTAATTACAAGTCAGCTGCACTCACTTGAATGGCTTGTTTCCTTTTGAATTGTGATTTACAGTCATTTCTATAACCCGCTGTGACAGTCTTGACAAGAGGCAAACACTATGCTCTGTACAATAAAAGGATTGTGTTGTTCTATGCATGCATTCTTGCGTGGTTGTGTATGTACATATTGCTAAAATGTAATAACCCTCTGGCCAATCAGCAGGCCGGCCTTTTCTGCTGCGAGTTGAGTGACCTATTAGCCAAATGTGTTTATTCAGTGTTTAGTCACTATTACCCTCAGTATGATCCCTGCGCTAAAGGGCTAATGGCTGCAAATTTCCCCCTCAGCTTGACTCCACCATAAAATAATTGATCGCATGTGAGAGAAACTGGCACGCGTTTCCTCTTTTTTTTTTTTTTTTTTAAAAAGAGGTGATATCATGCGGTCAGGCTGCTTGTTTGTCACCGAGATAGTGTGATTGCTTCCGGGGTCGGAGAAAGAAAGGAGAGAAGGAAAAGGAGAGATGGATAAAAGCGCAATGTGGTTCTCAGTGAGGCACTTTGGCATTAAATCACATATCAGATGAAAGGGTTAGATTGCTCACGAGCCAATGAGAGTCAAACTGCAGGTTTATTTGTGTTGGTTTTATTTTCCTGAAAAATGAAACTGAAATGCAGTAAGTGTTCCTACAGGTGAGTAAATCATTCTTAAAGCTCTTTCTTTTTCAATCAGGGAGAAAAGTCTCGCTCTTACCGCTCAGATTACACGATCAAGTTAAAAGGATAATCTTCTTCCAATACAGTTCATTATTTTGTAAAAGAGGAAAAAATCTGCAACTTCTTTATTGCGATAAACTTGAAAATAACATCTGCTACTTCAGCTGACCGTGTGTGTGTGTGTGTGTGTGTGTGTGTTTGGACTAGTCTACCATGATATCTTTCTTTTTCTTTTGCTCTTTTTTTGTTCTGTGCATTTGTAATTATTCATCATGAGCATCCAATGTAACACTACCCTGAGCTTAGAGTTGTGTGTGTGTGTGTGTGCATGTGTGTGTCAGTCCCCTATATGTTACATTTACCTAAACCGCGGCTCTCTTTTTCCTGCTTCATTTTGACAAATTTGCGTTTCCAGGAAGTCTCTGAGGTCAGCGCTGCATCTGTTGTTACTTAGGTCCAAGATGTAGTCGAGCACTTGCACACACACACACATATATTCAGACACACACACATTCATGGCGCAGGAGCTCCTTTGTATAGGTTACCAGAGAACTGAGACCCAATCAGACATGAAGGCGTGTTTAAAGTCCACAAAGTGACTTTAAAGAGGAGTCCAGGTCTAGACCTCCAGATTTAACAGGAGGTTAAGAGGGTGTTTGTAAGGGAAATGGATCATCATTTTAAAGACACACTCCGATGAAAATCATGTTTTTTTTGTTTTTTTATATGTTCATGTGACGTTTTTCTGATGCTTCATAACATATCATGAGAAAACTTAATGCAAAATTAATTTTCTGAGAATTTATTCGTTTAAATCGCTGTAAATTTCTGACAGACCCAAACAGCAGGTTCAGAAACAGTGAGATTTTATACGTAACCAATCCAAGCTCCGCCCGGGAGCCCCGCTATGCAGGCCACACTCTGCATATAGAGGAGAAATAGAGAGGACGATCACAGAACAAGCGTGTGCGTTAGCGGATCACAACGCTTGTAAGAAAGCTAATTATGATATCAGCTTTTATTGTGTCCCTAAAGACATTAGTGTCCAAGAGCTGAATAGCTTCTATGTTACCTGCCACTTCTACTACACCGGCAATGTTAGGCTGCAAGCTAACGTGAAGAGGAGTGTGCAGAGCAGCGCTGTCTCTGCCCACGACTCAGAGGAGAATTGCTAATGAGCTACTAAAGCTCTGCAGAAGAAAAGCCCTTAAAATTACACAGGTAACGTGATTTTGGCTAAAAACTTTATTATCACAGTTTAAAGACCACTGAGAACAGTTTGGGTTGTAAAAAAAACTAAAACAATCGGAGTGGGACCTCAAGGGCTGTGATTTAGAGTTATGAAATCACTTTAGCATTACACTCTGACAAACTATTTTCTGGAGAAAAGCAACAAAATAATAAATCAAAATCATTAAAACACAAGAAACAAAGTTGGTTACATACATTAATGGGGTATGAATACACATAGAAATATGTATTTAGACCATGGCAGCGAAACAACTGTATCAACCTGAAACAGACAACAGCTTTTACTTTTCTTAAAATATCTCTGAGAAAAGTTGTATGATGGACGTTTAGTCATTAAATCTCAACGCTGATTACAACAGACGGCATCACTTATCTGTAAAGCGAGTGGACCCCCTCATGACTGAGGCCATCTCTGACTCACTTGAGGGTCCAGGAAGAAGAAAAAGAAGAGACATGGTGGAAACAAAAGTAATTGATTGGGGGACAATTTGGTTTTGTCCAGGTCTGATGTACGATCAAACTAGACCATCAAAAAGAGGTTCAAGCCTGAAGCTTTGAGTAAAGAGGGTGTCTGCCTTCTGGACCAAAACTGGTACATGAGGTTTCGTTTGGCATGGTTGATTGTGTGAAGCCGGTTGCCCACTTAATATGAAGTCATAGTGTCCATTCCAACACACTTACAGCCGTTTACTTGCTGCTTCTCACTTGACAAAAGACAGTATTACCACCATGTTAGTGACCAATGGCAAAGATCTGTCATCTACTGGCACATTATATCACTGGAAGTTGCTACGATAATAGGAATTAATAGCAACTGTTAAACTAAGCATGAAATGTAGATTTAGGTACATTGTGAGCCTGCACATGAGGTGGTTCATTTGGACAGGAAGGCCTGGGATTAGGGCTGTCATGACATCAGACTTTCACCTTACGATCATTGTGGACATAAAATATCAATCTAAAGATAAAATGTAGGAATTTATCATCATTTATCATCATGTGACCTAAACCTCCTCAAAGAGGACTTTGTCTATCTCAATTGTTTGTCATGCTTGATGTTTTTATGTCTTGCTTTGAGGCTGCTTTATATCCTGCATTGTCAAAGTATGCTTTTATTTTGAAGTTACAACTTCTGGTCGATCTTGAGTAACAGAACTGAAAGAAAACAGTAAACAGAATAATCAGAAAGTATAAATGTTTGGTTGATTAGTAATTCACAAAGGCAAAGCTCTGCTTTTGTTTTTCGATTCACAATAAATCTTGAAAACCTGTTTGAAAAGATTTGTCATTCAGAGGGTCGCTTCAGCTAGCTCACTAGCAGTCTGCTACTTCATCTTTTTAGACTCTCGATATTATGACATGTAGGACTCCTACTACTAAGCCACAGTATTAACATTTGCTTATTTTTAGCACAACATCAATGTCATATTTCGTAAGAGAGACAGTCACCGGTATATTGTAGTATATAGTTGCCCCACTCCCATACTCACACTGGAGATTTAAAATACAACAAACCAAGAATAAGATTAAGAACTTTATTTATCCCTAAATAGAAATTCAATAAAATTGAAATCCAAACTGGTCTGCAATGTACCATTGTTCTGCTTTAGAGGAGTAATGGGCACCAGTAATATGTAAATGAGAGTTCCTGACCATGAAAAACTCCCAGAGTAGGAAGACAGTCTTAAATGTTTATACCATGTGAGTTTGAAGTTAAAGATACCTCCTGCAGTCTGTATAATAGAAACTTTATGACTTCTTGAAGTTTTTCTAGCATGTGTGCAAGCTCAGTGTGTTTCTTTTTCAAATATCAGATTACTGACATGCAGACTGAGGTTCATTTCTCAGACTCGTCCAGCTCAAGTGAACAGCACACCTGGATGGCTACTCCGGCCAAGACAGTATGTCCACTGCCTCAACCCTTCCCTCGCGTGTTTAATCTGTCAGATTTCATTCCCCTTCATTCACATCTCTTCACCCAAAACCACATTCATGACCAAACATGGCCTGATCCCATCAAAGTGAAGCTTCAGACTACCTCAGTCGAAACCCTCAGATACTCCAGTGACACCGCAGAGAAGAAGAAGAAGAAGAGGCCTGTTTGATTCTCCTCGTTTCTGGATCAGAGAGACACTGAGCAGAGAGATGAGAAAAGCCAGACATCATAAAAAGATCTGTAAAAGGGAAACTGTTTCTGTTCTCGGTTTGGTCAGAAGCCACAGGAACTGGGCTTCACAGCCAAGTCCCTGAGCAGAACCAATGTAACCTCAGCTGGTTAAATAGGACCCAGAACCGCGGATCGCAGAGCTCTGTCCTGGTATGTAGAGGGGCCTGGATTCCAGTTAAAACCTCATGTTTGGTTTCCACATTAATGCCATGAAGAAAAGCAGAGATTAAAACATACATTCTCTATTAAAGCGGGTTTATTTTATAATTAAACAAAAAACTATATCTAATGCACCATTTATCACCTGTGAACACCTCAATGTGGAGCTAAACCATTTGCTTGGTTCAGAGTTTTGCAGAATACATGAGGAAATCCCAACACTGTTTACTCATCTTCTCTCTGATGATGATCCACAACTCCATGCAGGATTTTTAATATACTCAAAGTCTGTATATTATATTATAAAAGCCTGATTTATAATGCATTATAAGTCCAACTAATGCTGCCATACTGTGCTCCTACTTTCCGTCCCACCAACACCCCAGCATCCAGCTGCAGCCTCTGACTGAGATATTGTCTCATCACTCTTCAACTTCTGCATGTAAAAGTAAAAAATGACACAAGAAATAAGGTCAGATTCTAGACGCAAAACACAAACAGTGTTGTGTTGCTGCTGCAGCTAATCCCCAGAAACAACAACATATTAATGACATTAAAAAAGTATTCACCAATGTGATATTCTGGCTACCTATCCTGGGTGTTACGGCTGTGGGTGTGGGTGTGGGTGTGTCCTGTGTCGTCTGCTGTGTGTCTTTCTCTGGTAGGTTCCTCTCCAGGTGTGTCAGGTGAACCTGCTTGGTTTGATGAGTGGGAGTGGATATAAGAAGGCACAGCTGCACTGATTCTCTCTCTCTCTCTCAGCCCTCGTGATTGCCGCTCGTGCTGCAGACCTCCCGCTTTGTTGACTGTGTTTCAATCTTGTGCATTTTTAGTGTTCTTGAAGTCCAGGTTTTCCAGTGGCAGGAGCCTGTGGTGTTTCTTTTCTTTGTTTAAATAGTTGGCAGTGAATTTTGGTTTTTGAATAACTTTGCTGTTTCATCTTTTTTTACTGTTTTGATTGTAAATAAATTACTCACTTATTCTAAATTTCCTGTTTCCTACACTTCATTTCACCCCCCCTTCCCAGTTTGTTACTCCCCATCTTCCCCTAACCATTCTTCCGGGTCATAACATTGGGTGTACTCCAATTGACAGCACCCTTGATAATGGATGGGTGGATTTAATACTTCCTGCAGTTGGACATTATAGAAGTCCTTTTGAGTTTCCTGCTGTCATAAGATAAAATGTGGAAAAATATTTACTAAATATATATCCTTCATCGTGATTATGTTGTTACAGAAGTTTTCTGGGCTTTGATTATCATGGGGTGAGAGTGTGATACCATGAAAACCCTATTAGGGACATTTTTTGGCCTCAGCAGCTCAGACTAAACAGCAAAAAAATCATCCACCCATAAAATATGATGTGTCAAATATTCAAAGATCGCCCCAAGTTATTAGACTGAAATACATAGGTTACAGCAGAATCAGGGAACTCTTGAGAGTTTTTGACACTTTTGATAGAAACAGCACTCTTGAAGACAGCAAGAGGAAATGCAGCGGAAGATTGTTGTGTGGTTCTGGCAGATCAGCAAGAGGGGAACCAATGTGCTGTCCTGGTGGGCCAGCAGTCTAAGATGCACAGCACGTATATGCAGCATGTCTGCTGCCAAGTCTGACCTCCGGCCGTCATACAGCAGATTTCAAACATAGGCTATTAGTTGTTTTGAGTGTAACTCCGAGCTGTGACTGTGAGACATAGAGATGTGTAGATTCTGCCCCTCAGGGTGGTGGACTCTCTGTGGCCTGCCGTGTTAACAGCACCGACCTGTTAGAGGAGCGAGGACCACCCCAACGCAGCTTCCTTTAACAAAACTCAACCAGATGTGTAATGAAGGCCGGAGTACGCGTGAGGACAGTGTGTGTGTGTGAGTGAGAGTTGGAGTGTAATCATTCTCACCTGCAGATGCTGTGTGTGCCGGTACATCCCCCTGTATGGAGGCTAATGGGTGCAGCCCTGTTGGTGTCCCCCTTCATGTGTCTCTTTTTCTGCATATTTCACACCACCTCAAATCTCCTTTGTGCCATATCCAAAACTATCTGTTCCTGTTTTTGCAGTATTTCAGCTTCTCATACCCTCAGGGCTTACATGAGGGATTAATTTTCATATTCCCCTCTCTTTTCTCCAGCAGTCATCCCCTGCCTTCACCTCTTTAACCACCCCTCCTCCTCTCTATCCCCTCTTCCCTACCTTACAGCTGTTGTTTTGGATTAGTCAAATAGCTCCTGTCAAATCCAGTGATCCCTCTTCTCTGCCACCCACAGAGCTACAATACACACTCAGTCTCCAGCACGTGCAGAGAGCATATTGACGTCTTTGACAGGTGCGTGTCTAGGTGTCTCTGTGGGCAGGGCTGTGGGGTTGCCTTGGTCTCTGAGCCTTTTCAGATCAGGATAGGCGCAACAGTGCTGGTGTCGTGCTCACACCTCTCAGCAGGAGAGAAAAAAAGGTTTTGTTGTTCCAAACCAGGACAAGGATCATCAGAAATTCCCAGCATCGTACTTCCCTGGAATTCACCTCACTCTTCAACTGCTCCTCTCTTTCGTCGTTTTCTTCTTCTTGCGTCTCGAGGAGTCTTTATTATTTTTCGGTGGAATTTTGACAGCTGCAGGTCTGGTCACCCGTGCTGAGCGAGACAGACTGACACTGAAAAGAGTTTTGACATGGTGATGGCAAGAGTAATAGTGTTATTTCAGTCATTTGGAGAGAGGGAGTTTCTGCGTGTCAGCGTGTGTGTGTGTGTGTGTGGGGGATAAAAAAAGAGCGATGTAGAGTCCAATTGCAAAAGCGCAGCAAAGATTTGCTGTGATAAGGTTTGACACAGAGTTAGGGGAGGTGGACAGAAACATGTCAAATCATTGATGTTGTTTTAGTGATTACAGAAATAGGCTGTTTTTAATTTCAGTGATACAGAATAGGGGTGCGGACAAAGATAACAAAAGAGCTGTGACTGTTATGAATGACTGACATCAATCTGGCTTCTTCCTTTTGACCATTTAATGTCTCAATGTTGTGTTGTGCATAGTAAGGTGATTTGAATGGTTTAAGATTTGTAAGTAAAGGTCAAGATCAGCTATGCAGTTATCCTAAAATCTGGGTAACTTCTCAATCACAGCTGCAAAGTTTCATCTTGTATGTTCAAAAAGGCACGTGCAAAGCCTGGAGGAAACACGTTTTTAATACTGCTGGACAATATCAGGGTAAAAATATGTAGTTTGACAATCACTGAGCATAATGTCATTCAAAAAACACCAACAGCGCTAACAGGAGCTGCACTGAGATGCTTTAGGACTTGAATAAAAATGGACTAACTGTGATAACAAAAGCTCCTTGGGTATCACATTCAACAAGTTTAATGCTAAAGAAAAGGTGGTAGTAGCTACAGTTTATGAACATAATATGTGGGCAAAGACACAGACTACAAAACTAATCAAGTTAGGTTTTTTTTTTTCTTTCCTTACAAACTCATAACATCAATTCTTGCTTTCAAAATATCTAACATTAGGGCCATATTTTCTTGGTAGTCATCTTTCTGTGGTGCTAGCAAAGGGAAAGGAGTGAAAATGTTATCACATCAGGCTGTAAATCAATATTTGTATTAAATTAACTCAGTTAATTCTTCTGCTCGGTGCACATTGCACAGCAGGAGGCACATAACGGTAGCGGAGCTTTGACATATCGGCAGTAAGAATCATAGGCGTACATTAGCAGCAGCACTAAAATGTTTTTAATTTATTTTATTTTATCTTTACAATAATACATATTTGATCATACAGAAAGCATCACTCATACATGCAAAAAATAAAAAAATATTATATATATATATATACTTTATATATATTTTTTGCTATTGGGGGCCCCCTATTGGCCGTGGGTCCATAAGTAGATGTTTAGGTCGCTTATGCCTTGGGCCAGCTCTGATTAGAGTGAAGTGAGTTACATGTAAAGTCAATGCAAAGCTGCAATTAGACGTGCGTTTTACTCAGGTGACTCGGGGATACACAAGCGTTAGCAACCATTCAACATAAGCTAACATAAGGTGAAACTCAGTGAAGTGTTGATCATGACATCACCAGTTTCTGCCTTTTCAAGAAAACACTGTATTTAAAGCTAACTAACATGATCTTAAAATTGCAGTTATCCTAAAATCTGGGTTCCTGTTTTAGCCTCTCTTCACTGGCTCCCTATTAAATATAGAATTGAGTTTAAAATCCTCCTTGTGACATATAAAGCGCTTAATGGCCAGGCGCCATCATATCTCAACGAGCTAGTTATACCGTACTTTCCATCTAGACCGTTACGCTCACAGTCTGCAGGTCTGCTCGTTGTACCAAATGTCTCTAAAAGTAGTATTGGAGGAAGAGCTTTCAGCTACCAGGCACCTCTTCTCTGGAATCATTTACTGCTCGAGGTTCGGGGGGCAGACACACTCTCAACTTTCAAGAGTAGACTTAAAACGTTCCTCTTTGATAAAGCCTATAGTCAGGGCTGATTTGAACCAGCTCTTAGTTGCTGCTATAGGCCTAGACTGCCGGGGCTATCTGGCACACTGAGCTAGAGTCTGTCTCTATCTCCTCTTTAGATCTTTATGTCCCATATAAGTCACTGACCAGTTTTCTGTCTCTCTGAGTGTCTCTGAGTCTTTTAGCTGCCACTGGACTAATGCTGCAAACAGGTCTGCTGCGGAACTGCCTGACCCCAGCTGCATCCACCCTGGGCCCTGAGCTCCTCCAACTCTTTGGCTCTTTGGCTCCTCTGGACCGTTGCCGTTGCCCTCTCCCCTCTTCTCTCTACATTCCTCCCCAACCTAGCAGCGGCATGGTGGCTGTCTAGCATGAGGCTGGTCCTGCCCAAGGTTTCTGCCTGTTAAAAGGAAGTTTTTCCTTGCCACTGCTACTCATGTTAGTTGAGATGGGCCAAAACCCATCTTAGGTTGGTTCTTGATCATCAAACAATGAGCGTGGTCCAGACCCGCTCTTGTTCCTTGAAAAGCGTCTTGAGATGACGACTGTTGTGAATTGGCGCTATATAAATAAAATTTGATTTGATTTGATTTGATAAAATTCACAGTGATGTCAATCTTAGCTAGGAAAGTCAGCTAATGAGATATCCAGGATGAGTCAGCATTTTCAATATGGCCGCCACCTGCGATATGACCACCAACAGGCTTCAAAACTTCCCCTCCAGAAAAAATGGGTGTTAAGTTCATTTATCGTACAGTTTGTGGTTTTAACTTAGAATATGGTCACATAGTATCTCTTGTCTTTGTTGTGGATTATTTTAAATCAGGAAGCTGTTCAATTAAAACGATTAGTCTGACTGTTTATGATGATATGACTTTGGACAAACCAGTGTAACATGATGACAATATTGTGAATCACACAATGTAATGAGTGTGGTCCATTCACCTCCATTATTTATAATAAATTCACAGTTTAGCCCGACTGGACTTTGGTATCAGATGTTCTGGTTTCAGTTTGTGGAACAAAACGTGTCGTCCATTCGTGTTTCAGTAGGCATCTGACTCTGGAAATAAAATGTTTCCTCGCATGCAAGAACCACTCTTGGACGACTTCTCTCAACACCATTTCTATTCTTGCTCTGAAAGTTGTGAGTCTGACTGTCGACAAAAGCAAAGCACTGAAAAGGAAGTCTTGGCCGGACGTCCTTATCACTTAACACTGGTCACACAGGCAGCCCCACAACGTTTCCCATTGCTCCTAAAGGCTTTATCATCACTGGATAAAAGCCACAGGCTCCAAAGTAAATCTATCTGTAGTGATATCTAAATGTTTAATGAGAATACAGCTGATTTTGCACATTTTTTATTGCTAATCCATCTTGTAGTTCACAACTGGGAGATTTCACTTTCTACAACATGAAAATGAAGTCCATTTTCTATTTCACAAAAAGTTTTAAGACCAACACTTTAATGATTTTTTGATTAGGCTCTGTTCTGCTTTGTTCAGCTGGTAGCTGTTTGTGAGTCTCTAAATGATGTATCAATCGCACGCTCACTTAAACGCACATAGACTGATGTGGCGGCTTTAATCAGTTAGCTTTTTGCTAATGAAAAGTCTTTTATCCAGTCAGCAGACACTATTTTAAAGCCATCAGAGTCTTACAAGCTTGATGAGAGAGCATATATGCGTGAGTGCGAGAAAGAGACAGACAGCAATGAGCCGTGGAAAATACATATTATACAAGGTTTCAACAAGAGTGACAAGATTTATTTGAGATTTTCCTCTTTATGACCTCCAAATTAGAGCAAACTACACAATTATTCAATTGTTAATTTGTCTTGGTACAACTTCTCTCAAATTGATAATGCTTTAACTCATAACAGGTCAAACTTTTTTTTGCGAAATAACATTTTGCCCGCCTCTTTTTTTCTCTTCCTTTCCCTCGCTCGCATCTTCCATCTCTCCATCCTGCTGTTTTCTCTCCATCAACTCTCTGCCCTGTGCTCTCTTTCAGAGGAGGACAAGATCTGACCTCCTACTTGTCTTACAGGCTTCCTCTGTGAGACAATGGCAGGGCAAAGGAGCGGTGTGCAGAAATGCGTGTGTGTGTGTGGTTGTGTGTGTGTGTGTGCCTTTTCAAATGACTATGTACTTCCCTTGTTAGATGTTATCACATCCCGTACGGATTTGTGTATTTTTTGTGTCATATCTGTACCTGACTTTTAAGCATAATTTTGTAGTTGTGTACAAATTATAAACATTTGTGTGTTAATACTTAGATTTATGATGCAGGAAACAGCAACTGTGTCACTGTACAACAATGGAAGATCCACAGCACTTTGCTGCAAACACACACACACACAAATAGGTGCACTCGCTTGAGACCCTTCATACCACAAGGAACTCCCTTCCTGCTACAATGGTGATACACAAACACACATGCACACAGGCGCACACACACACACGCGTGGCTTCTAATTGTGTGTCTTCATTTCTAAAGTAAAGGTTAAGAAATTAAAAAAAAAAACGCACAAGGAAAAATGAAAGAGCCACAAAAGTCACTTATCAATCAGTTTTTCTGATCGTAGACTTCCATGTGCCGTTTCAATATGCTCCCCCTGTGTTAGCCTATAGCCTGCTCACTGCATGTTTTGTCTTGGAGACAATGTCCTTGAGTGCCAGCGTTCACTTATGGCCACATAATAAGCTTTCTTTCATGTGACCCCTCCCCCCCTTTGCCTCCACTGACTTACCGGAGACCCACTTCAAGCAGGCAAAGATGTCTTATCCGGCGTCCTCTCCCCCCCTGTGAATGCACACGTTCACCCTTGGATAAAGGTGATATAAAATACATGAGATTATGCTGGTTTTACTGAGCTTTTCCCCCCAGTTCCCTTTCACAATGCAGTAACAGCCAATCACTTGCATTAAACAGCCTAAATATAGGGTGTAAGACTTGTTACACCACTACCCGCAGGCTTGTAATTGAAACTTTTCCATTCTGTTTTTTTTCTCATGCTTTGGCTGCTGAGGGGAGATTGGCAGCTTTGAGTGGCCAGCAGATGAAGCGGCTGGCGCGCTAATGAATAGAACGCTGATTGCAGGATCCCCGAGATGCAAATTACGGTGCCTGCCACCCCTGACGACCGGCAATTACCGGGCCGCCGCGGCGGACGCCTCGTGCATATTCATCGCACCCGCTGGGCATATTGATCAACAACTTACTCTGAGCAAGAAGGACTGAAATATATCATGTCTATGCTGCAGTGCTAAAATCATACTTCTTTCTTTTACCGTGATAAGAACTGGCACAGAAACACCTTCCAAGGTAGTCTATATTTTTACTTTAGCCAGTCTTGGATATCAGCTAATCGCTAATACGTTAAAACCACAAAAAGAGTCAAGATGTGATTCATGAAAAATTGAAGTGAAACATAAATTTCTGCTTGTTTTAGCTAATGAACCCTGCAGTGAGTTCTCTATGGTATGGTGTGTGGTGTTTACACGACAAATTCAACTTTTTATACATCTTCAATTTCACATGAATTGGATTAAATCAGAACTTTGTTAAGAAAAGAAAGATTTAGTTTGCTCCGTCTGTACTCATTCAGGATTAGTCCTGTTCCTTTGGTTTTAACATGAATCACTGCCATTTAAAATTAGGAATAAAGTCATTATACTAATAGGTATTCATTAGGGAGCGTGTTAAAATGGCATGTATTTCTCCTGTTTTCATGCTGCTAAGAAGAACCTACACTTAGCCGCTGAGTGTTTTTCATCCTCATAACTGACAACTGAAGTTTTCCTGTTTTAGTTTATTTTTTCTGCATTTACATTTTGGAGAGCATTCATTTTACGGGCTAGCTCAAGAAAACAAACACAAACACACAAATGCACACACACAGCGTCCAGACTTCGGGACATGCAATATGAATATGAAAGGGCTCCTTTCAACAACAACGGAAAAACAAGAGCCCTGCCAGCGCTTAATGGGACCAGAATGAAGGAAAGCTGAGCAACATGGGATTTTGAGCTCTCTCCCTCAAAACAAACATCCAATGATCACATTAGCGGTGGATCACAGAGCTGTGTCATTATTGTCTTGTGTGTCCTGTCTGGTTTAAACCCTCAGCCTCAAATGTTTTTTTTCTGTGAAATAAACAAAAAAAGGAAGATTCGAGAAAACAATAGAAGGAGTAGGACGAAATTTTTATATTGATTTGTATTTCTTTTTCGTCATCACCTCATCTGCGTGAAAACAGAAAACAGTGACACAAAAGGTCCTCAACGCCAACAGTATATAACAGAAATAGACAGATTCATCGGGCTGGTTAAATGCAATTTGCCATAAACTGTGTGATATTAGCATTGGCCCTCCCAAGGCGATATCACCATGTGCCTTATTAATTGAAATCGCATTTTTCCCATAATCTTTTTACAGCATATCAAACTTACAATTGTCACTGGCTTGGGTTTAATTTAAATTCTACTATGATGTGTGGAATAATGCAGTTGATTATTGACGGCAATATCATTTTCCAAAATCCTTAGCAAAACCCCAAATCTTTGTCCTCCATTGATTTAATCAAAGTACATCAAAAGCATATTACCAAGATAACCAGTATATCAGATATACACTGGTATGTATCAGCGGTATGTCTCTTTTATTCACCTTATAATGTTTTATTTTTTTCTTCACAATTGGAGGATTGCTGGACAGAATTTAAAAAGTCCCTCGTAGTAATATTTTACTAAGTCCCATATGACTACATTTACTACCATATTGATAAAATGTTCACTGGAGTTCATTGATTTCCATTTGTCAGTTAATTTAATTGTTGTATTTTGTCAAAGCCCCCCCAAAAGAAACCCAAACTGTATGACATCGGCATCATATATCAGCCATCCGCTGACCTGCTCTCTCAGCGGCAGTTGGAGAACTGATATCAGTCGACTTTGATCATATAATCTCTAACACAGCTTGTTTTTTTGTTTAATGTACGCTCTTTCTCTATTTTTCTACAGTCAAATATCAAACACCAAACATACACACAGGCGCAATAACAGCAGATACTGAAAGACCTACAACTGGTATGAAAACAAGCAACAAGCATTCTTTTCATTCAGTAAGTCTCATTACAAATATTAAGAGTGGTTCATCAATACCAACAGATAAGGACACATCTTTTGCTCACACCTCCTGATCAGATCATTAAAAATTCTTCATTACCACTGCCAAGGTGCCGCTGAGCAAGGCATATGATTCACATAACTGGTACAACGGCTCAGCTGTCAACATGACTGTAACTGCACCACCTCCTAGATGCCAAACTCTCTGCGGCTAGTCCCATTTAAGTGTGAACAGGGTACCATGTGTTTATCTATGAGAAGTTTTCCTCCTAAGGTTACACACACACACACACACACACACACACACACACACATACAGACAGACACATACGCACACACAGCTTTACTCTTTCAACTTTTCATACACTTACCAGCTCTGCATAAAGATCCATATCTTAAATATTACCAAACTGTCTGATAATAATCTTCACACACATTGAGCTGCTTGACGTGTTTCCGTTACACAAAAACAACCTGCACCCAGGAGGAGCGGGGGCAGGTCTCCAAAGGCATGAGGGGGAAAAAAGTCTTATACTTTGAGCAAAGGGAAAGAAAGAGTGAGGGCAGGTGCTGACCTCCAGAGTTGTTCACATATGTTGTTATCAGTGTAATTATTCTGCTGCAGATTGGTATCTTCTTATCACGGAGAGGCTGGTGCACTGAAGTCCGCCCATCAAACAGCGACTCAGGGCCCAAATTGCATCAATCAGGGTCTGGAGTGCAGCGGTGCTTTGAGTTCTTTAAATTGGTGGAATAACAAATCTACATCCATTCGTTACCTTAGATTTCAACTTTAGATGGGAAACTGTGAGAAACGAGGCAAGGCGACGGAAAAACAACAAAGAATGTGACTTGAAACCCCCAAAAGTCCAGCCAGTAGTTGATGCCATTGCTCGTTTGCATGAACAACTCAATATTCAAACTAAAATCATTTCAGTGTCTTTATCGTCATCATGGGGTACGATCCTTATCACCTATTTTTTGGTACATGTGCAGTATGTGCATGACGGATAATGTGCAATAATAACTTTTTTATTGTTTGTAATGTCAGCGGTACATGCTTCTTGGTGTTCACATCATGTGTAATCTAATTACAGCGAGGGTAACATACTTTTACATGATGTTAAATAAAGTATTGTATCACAACACATTGCATCACATTGCATTGTGTTGTGTTGTATTGTAATGTGACCTGGCATAGCAAATATGACATATCATGACATATTGAAGTTATCATATGTAACTAGTGTTACTTAACATGATGTAACCCAGTGCAATGTCTTTCTTATCATCTTTTGTTTCATTCTGTGTCATAAATCAGATCATATTGTATATAATTTAATTTCATGTCAAATCATATCATTGTATGGATGTTTATTGTATGTATTATTATATTGTACCTTATCATATTATTTAATATTGTATCATATTGTATGGTGTTGTTTACCATCATGCAATATTGCATTGTGTCGTATCACATTGTTTTGCATTGATATGAGATTCTTAAAGGTGTTTTATTGTAAAGACAGTAAAAAACATTTTAAGAGTAAGTTACTGTAAAATTGTTTTGTGAAGAAGAGATATGTATCCAATTGTACAAATTTCATGGTAGAAACATATTTCCAGACCTGATTAAACTTAAAGAATGGCTTCCCAGAACCACAAAACAAAACAAAACAATAAACAGCTTTATTAAATATTTGACCACCAGCAAACTTAATTTTGAATCGTAATTTTTGTAAAACTCCAAAAAAGGCATCTGCTCTGCAAAACACTTAAAGAAAGAAAAGCGTTTCTTCAAATACCATCTGCAGATTACACTTTTATGAAAATTTTATGTTAAAAAAAGGGGAAGTCAAAAAGTGATGTAAGTGGTGCACTCCAATTACCTTGAAAACCAATCGTCAAACAGTTGATAACAGGACCACTGTCACGTAATCAACGAGTTTTAATGTTTGTCGTTTGCCATTCTGCTGTATCTGTTGGTATTACTCATTAAAGAAAGAGAGTCCTGACTCTGTAAGCTCACTTTGAAGATCTTCACCTGCGTTCAAGTGAAATTTGTCTAACTGTATCTCTGTGTGATTCTCTGTTTGCTCGTCAGTCTGTCAGCCAGCCAATATGAGGGCAAGTGAGTCATGGCAGCAGCCAGAACTGTAACAGGAAGCAATCACTTCAGGAGCAAAATGACTATCGAGAGACGTCAGTCATGCTCGTGGCCAGAGCAGCGAGGATGTTGCACAGCATGATGCTGAAGACATTTCAAGTCCATTTTTAGGGCCTCAGTTGGATCTCAAGTTCACTCTCACTTTTCATCATCCAAATAGACTATGACCCATTCTGTCCATATGCCTAAGATTTTATAATATAACTATAACCCAAGAGATGACCTGACCTGACCCGCATGTTGTCCGTACAAGCGACAGCAACTTAAGTGCTGGTGTGTGCATTTTGCTGCTGTGGTCACATGATCGCTTGTGACAGGGGTCATGAAGGGTCAAGTGGGGTCATGAGTAGCATCCTGACATCCTGCCAGCTTAATCACCTGTTTATTTATTTTTTTACTAGCAAACTCTGATCCACTCAGACAGAAGGAGCGAGAGCAAGAAAGTGAAAGTGAGAGGAAAGGTTGATTAGGGTTCAGCTTATAATGATTGATGAGTGATATCGTGCTAAGATGGGTGCCTCGTATTAAGTACACCTTATTTGCTGTTGACTTGTGTCTCCTTCAGAATCTCAACCTGTCTGTCAATCAGACTTTAAACTGTAAATATACAACAAATCTGCAGAGCTTTTTAACAGAGACAAGGGGAGATCTCACCGTTTCTCAATACTTCCAAGCATTTCAGGGACTGAAAATAAGTTTTGGGTAAATGTGTTTTTAAATTTTATGTCAAATGTCCTTTGACTGCAGGGTACAGCCATTACAAAATATGGAGCCTTAGGTTTGGATAAAACAAAAAGCTGAAGCAAGCAGAAAATGGTAAACTTGAGGATGAATAGTGGAGATGATGATGATTTACAAACCTTAAATCAACTGAAATTGCAAAATTAAAGACAACATAGTTTATCAGAGGGTTTGTAGAATATACTGAATAATAATTACAGACTCACCAGAAAAAGACACAAATTTAAATTACATTTTAATTTCACAGGCACTTAAAAATAATCTGGAAAGGCAGTCCTTTGAGAGTACAGGGTTTAGCTCTCTGCTGCCCTCTTTTGGAGGGTGCTCATGCCTGTTTCTTTGACATGTATTTACCAGCATTCACCACACAGTGGCACAGGAGGATCACAACAGTAAAAACAAGAGCTGAGAGACTCATCAGGGGTGTGCGTTTGATAGGAATGTGCATCAGGTTGACTGGTTTCAACTGTTAAGAAAGGACGACAATTTATCCATGAGCATTTATGTTTGTGGGCAAGTTTACATGTTTATGTTTTTATTCAGCCTACTTTATTTGAATCTTATTGTATATTTTTATCATTTACTCATTTTTTTATCTGTACTTACCCTTCACAAATTGAAGATAAACAGGATATACGAGGAAGAAGAGATGATCATCTTCTTAATGTTAATATCTTATTTCAATGTGAGTACAATAAGTCACACTATAGATAAACTAAGACAAAAAAAATGCATTCCCCATCATGATAATAGCCGCTAATTAGCTTATCAACTACAAGACTAACAGGTGAGTGAACTGCTTCGGCTTGAAATCTATCTAACATTTTTCAGTGGGCCTTCATATAAATATAGAAAGTCACCTGTCGCTCAACAGTTTGCAGGAAGTGTATGCAAATGGAGACATTTGCAATGCTCACAGAAACAAGGAATATTTTCATCTCGTTCTAATTTGAATATGATAATGGAAGGGAAGGACATGCTTCACCCACATATTTTCAATGTCAGGCCTCCCTCTATGCATCTACAAGACTTCATGGAAAAGGATTATGTCAAGGTGCATGAACAACCATACATTTCTCTGTATTGGCTGAACTGTAAACATAAGCGTGTGTATGTGTGTGTGTGTGTATGAATAGTCAATATAGGAAGTAAATATTGACCACAGAAGTGTCTGTTTGCTGCCGGCCTTCATGTGTGATCTCCCGCCTCACACACGCTCATACACACATGTAGAGTAAATAGATGGTGGTAAACATTTGGTCAGTTTTAACTTTCCTCCACTTTGGTTCAATTACATTGACCTAATTATTATAGTTGCAACTTTGTCAACAGTGATGTGGTCTACATATTGGAGAAGTTTTAAGCTGTACTATTTAAAGAGTTGGTGTTATTTTAGCCCTCCTGACCTGGTCCAACAGAGCCTCTGCACCCTTGTCCATGTTTGTTTCAATGCAGGTTTTTTCTTTCTCAGAATCACTTAGTAAATATTTTATCACCAACAGGAAGATGGAGGGTCCAGTTACTGCAAGATGACGGACTGCAGGACAGGAGGGCTCCACAGGACTGCAGCTTCAGCTTCACCTGCCCAGGACCAAGCAAAAAGAGATGGTCGTTATCATTAGATATTCAATAGCAGAGATACATGAGAGGAAAGGCTCTATTGTGAAGGACAGTGAAGATGGAAGCCAGGAAAAGCATTGACAAAATGTTTGAAAACATTATTTTGAAAATATAACCATAAAGCAGCTTTTTAAGTGCATATTTGTGCCTGATTATTTTTTCAAGTCTAGTCCAGTGCAGGGAGGCAACTTACATGCATGGAAATTAACATATTAATGTACAGATTCTAGGGTTTCAGTGAAAGTGAAAGCTGGAGGCCATATTATGAAAAATACTTCCTGTTAATGATTTGTCCATGTGTTATTTGACTTACAACATGCCTGAAGAGGATCTTTAAAGGTTCTGTGAGTAATTTTTGGGTTTGTGTGAGTTTTGGCGCCCTCTGTGGACAAAGGAGTCTTTTCTCATCCTGTCTTTTTTAAGTTACAGAACAAAAAGATCTCATCCTGTTGACAATAACTGAAATATCAGGGCTGTTTAATCAGCTGACGCTTACCCCCTCACACGAGTTTCAGAAGTTTAAAATTCTGGTCAGTCTTCTCACTTATGGTCTAGTTTGCTTTTCGATGTCGGATGAAGGCATCAGTATGAATATCAGTATATTTTATCACAGTTAAAAAAACTCCTAACAGGAGCTTAAATTTTTTTGGTGTGCTAACAAAGGCAAGAAGTTTTCAAGCAAATAGAAATATTGATAAAAGTAGTCCAAGAAAAGCTCTACAGAGTTTGTAAAACTGAAACACTGAGTGGATCAATTGGGTAATGACCAACACAGCAGGGAGGTGAACTGGAAAGACTTTTTCAGCTTTGTTAGAAGACAGGACATCTTGCTTCAAAGACCCTCAGGTGTAGCACTCCCTCTGTTCAGAGCTAGCCCCTCCTATTTCCTGCATACCTCTATATAAGCACACCTGTAGCATCAGCAGCACAGAGCCTCCTGTGATCCTCTGAACTCTGCTCTGCATCTCTCTGAAGAAAATAAAAAACGGTAAGTGGGATGCTTTTCTGAATAATTTGAGTTTGTTTGTTATTTCATTCAGCAAATGAATGTTGATATATCAGAGGTTATCTCTACTAGGTTCTTTTGTTTCATACGTTCATACTAATAGTTGAGATTTTGATAAAAAATGATGCAAAGCTCTGAATTAAAAGCCTAATTAGAAGTTAAGACATTTACCTCGTTCTTCGAGCAAATTGATCTTGTTTTTTTCGCTCACTTTCATTCAATACTGTCATCACAACTGTTGGTCAGCTGGTGACAAGATGATAAAAATGAAATGCAATGACAGTCCATTTCCTGCTGAACAAAGTGTCTCCTTGTGTCGCTGGAATTCACTCGGAATATTTTCCCTGATTATTTTCCCCAAAGCTCTATCTTTCATCTGAACAAGGAACTGTCTGTCTCCTGCTCCCTCCTTTGTAGTGTTGTGGGAACGGTGTTGCGAGGATCAGGTGACAGGGAGATAGAGAGGCTCCCTTGACCGCTAACACACAAAAGCAGGCATGCGCGAAGGGGACAAAGATACACACATACAAGGACAAAGATGCACTGTTAATGCGACATGAGGTTATAAATAATGGTTGTACTTGAACATCACTCAATTTCCCTTTGTTTTTAAACTGGATATCATTTAATAGAAGTTATTGTCACTCTATAAACAACAACTCTATTTTTAAACAGTTAATAGTGCAATGACGCCAAACTATCCAGGTTTTTTACCTGTGCCTTTGGTAGTCTTCAGGGAGACTTTTATCTTTCATTGCCACTCACATTTCCTCATTTTCTCCCTATTGTCATGAATATCTTATCATCATAGAAATAGGAAAATATGAGAGGGTTATTTGTGCCTTTAAGAGACTCAAACTGTTCTCATTTCCCTTCAAATCTACATCAACTTGAGTTGTTGTTGGATTTTAACCAAGCTATAATGGACAGACTGTAGTGGCACCGACTTTAAAGGAGCCATCTCCTTGTGATTTTGTGTGCTCTTTTAATGACTCCTTACACCATTCTCAGTGGGTGTTAAGTGGGCTAAAACATGATTTCCTACTCGGGTTTATGTTTCGTCCAATGTTCATTCAAAAAGACATTTGCTTAAGTGCTTCAAAAGAGCTTTTTTGACCGAGGGCTCATGTTACAATAGCTTTAAATGACTCCAGGAGTCTGGTTTTTAAAGAGGTTATGTATTTTCCTTATGTAATTTGTAACTTTAACAAACTTCTACCTTTTTCTTTCTGGAAAAGTCATTTTAAGGGGCTGTATGAATGAAGTTCGAGTGATTAATCCCCCATGTGCTTAAAAGTACAATCATCCACTTGTTTTTCTATTTTCCAAGAGCTGGTATTTTTGTATACAACGCAATAGAATACATTTTAAGAGAGTATGATACAACACAATACCATTTGATACAACTTAACACAATATGATACGATATAATATGATACGATACGATACAATGTGATACAATATGATATGATACAATATGATACAATAAGATACAATGCGATACAATACGATACGATACGATACGTTCAATATGATACAATACGATACGATACAATGTGATACAATAAGATACAATGCGATACAATACAATACAATACGATACGTTCAATATGATACAATACGATACGATACAATGTGATACAATACGATACGATACAATGTGATACAATATGATACGATACAATATGATACGATACAATGTGATACGATAAGATACGATACAATGTGATACGTTACAATACGATATGATACAATATGATGCCATACGATACAATATGATACAATATGACACGATACGATACAATGTGATACAATACAATACGATACAATACGATACAATGTGACACGATAAGATAAAATACGATAAGATATAATATGATACAATAAACTTAATAGGACCATTTAAGAAATCTGTCTTGGATTCAAGCTCTTGAAATATTAACTTGACCCAACAAAATTACTGAAAAATTAAAGCCATGAAAACAAACATTTGTCCCTATTCAAACAGAGAAGCGCCTACCAGTGAAACAAACAAACAAAAAAACAACACTACAGCTTTGCTCTCATTTGCAGCCTCTCAGCATGGCCTCCAGCATGTCAATGAGGAGTTTCTCCATGAGTCGTCAGCCCTCCTTCTCCAGCCGCTCTCTGATGGACACAGGCAGGGCTCGCTCCAGAGCCTCTGTCTCCTTTGCAGCGGCAAGCCCGCTGAGTCGCTCGTCCTCCATTAGCCAAGATCTCAATGGACCAGCCAGCCTCCAGTTAAACGGACTTCACGGGAACAGCGCCAATGAGAAGGAAGCCATGCAGAGTCTCAACAACCGCCTGGCAAACTACCTGGACAAGGTCTGACACATGAAAACCATACTGACAAGTGATTGGCCGGCAGCCAGATGAGCGCTGGGATGGATGAGGAAATTATACAATTAGTGGCTTGTTGAAACACTCTGATCTTTCTGTTTCCATTTCTTCAGGTACGTTCTTTGGAGCGCTCCAATGCAGACTTGGAGATGAAGATTAAGCAGCTGATGATTGACCGCATTCCTAAAGGTCATGACCTTGACTCCATGATGGCCCAAGCTCATGCCGTGGAGCAAGAGGTAGATTGAATCAGTTTGTAACAGGGGTTCATTGAAACGGTTTTGAATTGGTTAGTTAATAAAGATAAAGTGATTGTGGCTTTAGTTGTTTTACATTTAGAACATATTGATGCAAATGTTTGGTTTAGAGCAGCCTGTACTTCTCTTTGAGTTCAGTTGTACCAAACCAAGCCTGGAGTTAATGATTATTTCTGAGAAACAGTTACAGTTTAATGAGGCTGGAATGTGTCCACCTCTGTCATTTGACCTCAGTAACCTTTTGTAACCCCACGACAAAGTTTAAACACTCATTACTGTTATTCTATTGAATATAATCAAAACATGATGCATCCAGTTTCAAATGTAGAAGACGGTATGAGCATGGGGGACGAAACTGTGAAACGAACTTCAATAAAAGACATTAACTTTGCTGTGATATTCATCAGGTGAGGAAGAGGACTTTGGAAAATGCTCGTCTTATGTTGGAGATTGATAATGCTAAACTGGCCGCTGATGACTTCAGAATCAAGTGAGTAACATGTTTGTGTCTGAGTTATTTACAATAGTTATGTCTATGTTTCCTCTCAAAGACTTTGAATGTATTTTTGTCTCTATTTTAATTGTGTGTTTTGTTCTCCTGTTTTATTTCTGGACTTTTCTAGGTGGGAAACCGAGATGGTGATGTGTCAGTCTGTGGAGCGAGACTGTGTCGCTCTGAAAAAGGCAAAGACTGACCATGAGCAGATCATCGCCTCTCTGAGAGGGGACCTGGACAGCCTGAAAGAAGAACTTTACTTCCTCAAGAAAAACCACGAAGAGGTATTTTGTTAACTACTATCACCTGTCCTCTTTTTCTCTTCTTATTCTTTGAACACTGTCTTATCGTGTGTGCTTTGGCTGCTCCATTAGTCTACATTTCCCCCTCTCGTTTTCATTTCTGGCCCTCTCCCTGACTCTCCAGCCTGCCCTCACAAACAACAAGCTGTTTGATATCAGGCTGACCTCATTTGCTGGACTTAAGAGCTGCTGTTAACAGCCTGGGGGGAGAGTAGAGAACATGAAGAGAGGGAGTTAGAGGGAGAGAGGTGGTCTTATGGTTACTTCTCACAAAAGCAGCAGGTAGATCTGGTTTCCTGAACCGGCTTTTTCTGTCCAATCAGCTGATCCTGGGTGCCCAGACTACTTTTTTTCAGAGGGGTTGAGAAGCTCACTCCCCTAACAGAAGAAAGAATGATTTTCCTGCTCAACTAAGAGGTGTAAATATCATCAAACATATTAGATTCATTGAAATATAAGAATTTAAAGGTGCGAAAACAGATTCACTTAAATTTGGGTTCAGGAACCCTAACATAAACCCTACGCTAGATTTAGAGAAGGATTCTAGACCAGAGGGACTGGATTGTTCCACTGGATTTGTCCGCCCTCTTTGACTCCATTTGAAAGCCTGGTTGGTGTTATTTTCTTCTGAACTAGTTCATTGTGGTCTGTGACTGTCTCTTATCTGCTGACATCTATATCAGTCCATTCTGTTGAAAACAGAGACTTTTCCCTGCTCTGTAACTGAAAAAAATAGCATCTCTGGGGGTTTTGGTGGGAAATAGGTGACACATTTCTGTCATGTATACCCTCCCAAAGCAAGAAAACGTTGTGCATATAAGCAGTTATATTGTTAAGTCTGAAAAAGAATAGAATATTAAAAATCAATACATAATAAAAACATTAAAAGCAGGCTGCATGATGTTGAGACTCTAATTTGACACAAGACTCCACGAGAGAGAGAGTAAAAAGAGAGAGATAGAGTTAACACATGAAGGAGGAGCAGGAGTGGACCTGGTGTAGGTAAGGTGAGCTCTGCTCCATCAACTATTAATGGAGAACATCTAAATTATGGAGGTGCCCTCACATCCTCTCTGCCACCCTGTGGTGTACGATTCACCCACTATTGCACAGGTGTTAAGCACAATAACCAATACAATCATGTATACCGTACACAGTGTAATTCATGCTCATGATGTTACTTCAGTTAAAGTTTGGAGGCACCATGTTATCTTTTTTTTTATCATGAAATACTGCACACACTGTTAGACAAACAATATGGAAATGCTCTATTTTTATCATTTTTTCTGTTCTTTCTGCAGGAAATGGAGCAGATGCGGTCACGTATTGCTCGTGATGAGGTGAATGTGGAGGTGGACTCTGCAAGCGGACCTGAACTGGGCGCCATCCTGTCTGACCTGCGCTCCCAGTACGAGGGGATCGTGAAGAAGAATAAGGAACAAGCAGAGCAGTGGTACCGCAAGAAGGTGTGGAGGGAAAAGATGACTTTCACATGACTAGAATACTCAAAACCACTGATTCATCAATAATAAGGCATCAGTTAGGACTGTGTGTGTTTTCGTTAATTATTAGATGTGTAAAGTCTCTTTACATGTATGTAAAATACCAGAAACTTCAGACATGCAAGTTTTTTTTAATCTTTTTGCCTTCTAATATCCAAAATCAAGTTTTTTAAAATAGCTGTAAATTTTCACTATTTTCAGAAGCCCTAGAAACAAAAACAAAAAAGACATTTTTCACAAGTTATGTATTCAATTAAAGGGTTTACTTTGGTGGTTGAATTACCAGCTACTTCAAATCCTTTTCTTCACACTGAAACAAAGTTACTGTCAAACTTTATTAGAGTTTGTGCACTTGTGCTGCCAGTGATTTTTAGCCCCATGAAATTTTGATTTAATAGTTTAAGGGCCCTCACAGTTGTGGGCTCTTATTTTAATTTTTCTCCTCCATGCTTTGCTCCTGTTTATGTTAAACCGCCTATGGTTATTCCAAAAAATTCAACAATTAACTCGATTATGAGAAAAAAAAGTAGCTTTTACAACTTTTACTTCATTTTTACCTCATTTTTTTTTATCATATGTGCATCAATTTTGATTTTTTTTTTCTCCTGTGCAGCTTGAGACAGTGCAGAATGAGGTGAAGGAGAGCAACGAGGCTCTGAGAGGAGCTCAGGGCGAGCTGTTGGAGAGGCAGCGCTTCCTGCAGAATCTAGAGGTGGAGCTGGAGAGTCTGCACAAACAGGTGAGTTGATGTTACACCTGACAAGCATAGAGCTACATTCACACTGTTGTATATTAAGAATTAAAAAATGGAGCGCTTTATTCGAGGTGCCAGGAGGATTTAGTGAGAGCTGTTGGAGCATGACATAGTTGTGTTTTAGTCTTAAAATAATTATGCAATTATGAGCTGTGCAAACAAAATCTTAAGCACATTGAAAGCTCTGCAAACACATCAATCTTGATTTAAAGACAAGGTCACGAGTATTACCTCTTCACAAAGCAATGTTGGGATAAAGAAACGCTGCTTTTGAAAAGGATTTATCAAATCACAACACAAGTTCAGATTAAGTCTCAGACTTGCTTCTCAATCTGTGCACATTCATGTCGCTGTGTCATAACAGTGTCTGGGAAGAACCTTTCTGTTTTTCTCTCTCTTAATCCCGTGTTGATGGTAAACATGTTCTCCCACGCTGCTAAGTCATGCAAGGACGTACAGGACTCAGTTGCTGAATTATATGGGGGTGAGTTTCGGTGGTTAAAGGTGTAACCCTGTCTGAGCGGTGACTGTTTGTTTTGGATGCCAAAGCCTCATCAGTCCACAGGTATTTGTTGATAATGGTTTAAATTAAGATTCAGAGGACCCTGTGTTGATGGGTAAATGCTTGGAATCAGGGCATTAAGAATCATTTTGGGATATTTCATGAATAGAAGCATTGATGTGCCTCTTGTCAAGCACACAATAGTAATATGAGATTCGGGTACCACTGATGAGAAGGTTATATCTCCATTATTTTCCATTTTTCTCCTCAGGTAGCAGCTCTGGAGGGTAACCTGGGTGAAACAGGTGCGAAATACACCGGTGAGATGGAGCGGCTGCAGACCACTCTAAGCCAGATGGAGGACGACCTCTCCCAGCTAAGGCTGGACATGCAGCGCACCAAAACTGACTACGAGCAGCTCCTTCGAATCAAGCAGAACCTAGAGATGGAGATCGCCACCTACAGGCGTCTGCTGGAGGGAGAGGACACGTAAGTTGTCATGAATAAATGTCAGGAAATCAATCAGTCGATCAAATTTTATTGATATAGCGCCAATTCACAACAGTCGTCATCCCAAGACGCTTTCCAAAGAAAAAGAGCAGGTCTAGACCATGCTCATCGTTTGATGAGTTATCAAGACCCAACCCAAGATGGGATCTGACAAATTGTGTGGGTGTTTTTTCTCACGGTTTTTCAAAGACGGATATAACCCTAAAAAATACACATGCAGCCAAGCAAGAAAACCTCCCACATTAAATAATTAACCGAACTGTTCACTGTAAAAACACACCGTAGCTAACAGACTAACTCTCAACTTTGAGGTAATATACTCAGCCCTAATTTGCATTCAAAACCAAAACATAATGCAAAACATAGTTTTCTTTGCATACAACTCAGTTTGGGAAGCCTATAAATAGCAAACTAAAGCTAGGAACACGAGTATTACGGTAAAGGTGCTACCTTTCATCAGACACATCCTTGCTGCTTTCCTGTTCAGCTAAGCTAACTAGCCAGTTGCTCTCATTATTCTTTCGACAGAATGAAAAGTGACTTTAATCCTTTCATGAAACTCTTATCAAGATAGAATTGTTGGGGCTTTACTCTGAAACATGTTTGTGTTGTTTTCAAGTCCAAACAAATCTAATTCTGACATGTTTACTCTTCGCTCCTCAGAGTCAAGGATGTTGCTCCTCCACCGAAAAGTGAGTAGACCCACTTTGCAATTGATGTTCAACAGATAGAGTGAACAATTTTATCACAACCAGATGGAAAAATCATGAGGAGTTCACTGAAGCTTTAATCATGAAGGGGAGACGCAGAGTGCTAAAATATCCCTGCAGCTTGTTGTATGATAACGCAGGCTGTATGTTTTTTAAAGGGTGAATTTGAGACAGTGCTGCTTGTAAGGCTGCAGACGAAACACAAGCCTACATGACGTATAACATTACACACACACGAGAGAGGTAGATCTAGTGAGTGTTACACTGAGCTAAAAAAATGCAAACACTGCTAATGGTTCAGTTTCTGAGGCAACAAAATGTGGGTATGACAGTTTACGCTAGGTTGTTAAAATATGTCTTCATCTGACTGATTTACACTGAAGGATTAAAGGGAAATTTAAAGGCCAGAGTTGTTCATGCACACGTTTTTAGTGGAAAGTGCTCAGGCTTTTAAGACAGGACAGGGAATTCAGTGCACTACAACTTCAACTCCCATTGACTCCCATATCACCACTTAGCTTCATGTCATCTAACTTCATGTCATCTAATCAGTATGAACCTCTCCCATAACTTTTCTCTGCAGAGGAGCCTGATGTCCGCACCAGGAAGATTGTGAAGGTGGTCACCCAGACAATGATCAACGGCAAAGTGGTGGACGAATCCAGCGAGGTGGAGCAGATTGAGGAGTCCAAGAAATAAAAGAGGAATGATGTGATGATAGAAAAAACTAACTGAACAGATAGTTGCTGTAAAACATTGGAGGTTTTAGAGCAAAGGAGGGAGAGAGAAGAGTGACAGAGGAAAAACAGAGATTAGCGTCAGAGTATATATCAGGAGTATTTGAGCGGCATTTATCTCCACAGCATTATTTTGAACAGGGCTTTCCTGGGGTCATTGTTTGGCTTGTAATATCATGTGTTTTTAGAAACATGTACCGTAGCTTTGTATGCTTATACTCATTTTGAATAGAGTTTGGTGTATTTGTGTGGGTTTATGTAAGATCAACTGACTAACCATCTTCTCAAAACTTATTGTCATGCTGTGACTAAAGGGACATTTACTTCAATATGCTGACTTTACAAGAAAACCATGTCATCATCGTTGCTGTTTTGTGTTTTTAATCTGTCTGAATAAAGTTTCATTCCATGCCATTCAAAAACTACCTCTATTTTTCAATGTTTATCACTTGAAAACAGTAACCAATAGTGGGGTTACCAATTTGTCCACCTCCTAAGACCTGGCATCCACATGTGTGGACATCACATTTTTGGTTGTCAAGACCACAATATTAAATTTTGTTCACAAGGGCCTTCTCTCAAAATTTAAAACGAATGTCCTCATATGTGGACATCATTTTTCTCAGAAACTACATCATGTAAAAAGATCATTCTTTGTTTTTACACTCATCAGGTCCCAATTAGCCTAAATATCAAAGAGAAAATAAAAATGCATGCCTTGCAAGAGTTCGGGTCTTAGGAGGTTAAAGGACTTTGAGCTAAACAGCAAATGCAAACTGTTCACAGCAGGGACAATGCAAAGTTGCAGATGTCAAGCAGGTGTGATGTATTCTACAGTGAATGATAGATCCAGCAGGCATTTATATCATATACACTGTATATACATATATAAGGTTTTATTCAAACTTTATTGAACAATGTTGCATTATAAACAAGAAATGATTTTACAGAATAGAAATTATTTCTAGTATTTTTCCAGATACTGTAGTGACCAGATATCTTTACTGATGGGATGTAACCAGTCTGTGTCACTAAAGGTGATACTAAAATTGTAAAACACACCTAATCTGGCTGATAATAGCTAGGAAGATGTCACTACCATAATAAGCATTCACAAAGTAAATACAAAATCATGCAAGATAGAGAAGTTCATGTAAAATCTGAATATGGATTTTTTATAAATAATTATTTTCACTTAATTTCAACCACTGAAAATGTTCAATCATTGCAATTTAATAAACAAAGGTTTTTTTTTTCTTCTTCATGTTGCTCTATCATAACATAATGATAAGTAACTTGACAAAATAGTAAAATGATGGAAAAATAGAGGTGAAAAAAAGTTACTTTTTATCTTAGCTTATACAACATGTAAAGCCAACTGATGGTTTTGTGGACAAATGTCTTTTTTTGGAGGTAAGAAAGCAGAAGTTAATACAAAGAGGTTCATATGAGGGAAATACTATAATGACACAGAGATCTAACATAAAGGTGTTGAGTGACAATCAGATATGTGTAAGTGTTGTCTTGTGGGACGTAGATTTATGGCTCTGTTATAAATGTTAGAAAAATAATCCTGACTGATTGAGTCCATATAGATTTATATACACACAGGCTTATCTGTGAGTGCTCACATAAGCTAAAAGGGTGCAGTCACTTAAAGAAAGAGACGTTTGAGGATTTTCTTTCCTCTGCTCCACTCGAGAGTAAAAAAAAGTGCCTCTTTATCCATTGATCCCTTAATAAGCATCCACTACCTGCACTCACACTTCGTCATGACATAACAGGTCTATTGTGACTTTTAGCATCAACCCATAATTTAAGGTCAAGACCCTTCTGAACGGGGTCAACACGCTCCAGAAATCCTCTTGAAAATGTTAAAAGAAAGGAGACAAAGTGAACCGAACCTTTTTTCAAAATGTCGATTTAAAAACTCACAATCTTTGCAGACATTAATGCAGAGAAAATTCTCACAATTTCTCTCTTTTTCTGAGATTATTGCCACAACTTAACTTACTGCAAAAAAAGAAACACTTTCATTTAACAGGTATTGCACCGGCCCATTTGAGCCAAACCTTTCAGTTTCGGTCAAGCAGGTTCCCTCAATTTTAGACACGTTGTTTACTGAGCAAATGTGAAGAAAATTGTTAAACAGCAGAACAAAAAAATAAAACATCACAACGAAAGACCACCTGAAAACAAACTGGAGAGTCCCAGAGTGTTTTTTTAGGATGCAGTAGTTTTCCAACATAAAGTTAGACTCATATTTTTCTTTTCAAAGAATTATGATGAATAGAAAATGGGCCTCTTTCTGTGAAGCAAAACCAAACATGAGCAGTGAAAAACTGCTGACTCCAGCCTCAGGTTATCCTCCTGAGCGACCTGCTGCCCCACCCCCAGGCTGAGTTTGTTTGCAGAGTAGATAGATTTGTCAAGACCCCTGACAGATTCCCTCTTTGATGGCTCAGAAAGTCATAAAAACCGAGACAGACAGTCAGATGAGTCAAACAGTCGTCAACGAAGGAGGCGAGCGTTAATACAGGTAGACATTAGGACAAACAGAAGAGCGGCAGAAATGTCTCACTCTGGTGCCCTGTGATCATCATGACACTCATTAAACATCAGCTGCATTTGGTGTTTTATGTTTTATGACCTGGCACATCTACAGCCTTCACCAGGTGCCCATGACATATCGTGTAAGGGTATCTCTTTTGTGAGATGAGAACACCCCCTGTACCGTCTCTAAAGGGACCACTTCACTCAGGTGGAAAGTATGTGAGCTGTAAAAATTAATGAGCTATTAACCCCCCAAAATAGTCGCATGTTTAGTCAGAGTTTTAATAACCAGGCACAGTTAATAACAGCCAGCACGGTCTCTGTTTTGAGAAGATATCTGCAGTTCGTAGCTGCCTCTGCCTTCAGTGTCAGATGATGTAATGCTCCCAGAGTTAGATGACTAAAAAAGCACTTAAAATAGGGGTCTATTTACCAGGTAATAATAGTGTTAAATTACTTTTTTCCGATTTAAGACCTGAAGCTGAAGGAGCGCACAGGTTATTGCATTTGATCACAGACAGACATAGAAAATCTGGTATAACAGATGCTATAAAAGAGGAGAAAAGGGGCCTGAAAACACCCATATTTGACTGGTTACTCGACTGATATCATTGCAGCCATATATATTTTACCTCTTACATTGCTTGCTTCAACATAATCAGAAGAAACACATGAAAACTGTTAAACTGATGAATGATTGCATACTTATAACAGGAAGCTTATTTGCAATTTATCATATTATTTTGGGAGCTTTTTATGCTTTTATTTGAAGGAGGAGACGGCAGATACAGCTGGAAAACAGGAAGTCTGAGAGGGTTTTGACATGCATCAGAGCCAAAGGGTGAAAGTCAAACTCAAGGCCACTGCTGCAGGATTAGTCTCTGTACACATGTGATGTAACTCTGAGCTAAACCAGCAGTGTAGAAAACATGTATTACACTTTAAAAAAAATCTTTATCACGAACCTTTTGGTCTAAAATGAGCCTACACACACACGCACAAACAGCCAATGTGTCTTTACTGCTATGTTCAGTTTTTCTCTCCAGCAGGTCTATAAGGGAAGGATCCTGGATTGGTTAACTGTAGGCTGTTACAGTATGTAGGTGGTCACCTTCTCTCTAAACACGGAAAAATGAGGCAGAAAAAATGACGCTAATGAGCTGGTGGCTCACAAATTATTGGATTAAACAGTCCTTGTATGTTAAAAAAACACACACCTTCAAATATTCACCACTGCAGACACTGTGTCAGTCTCTATTTAAAAGCTTACATCTAAAAAAAACGTTCTCATTCCCTTTCTTTCTTTTTGTGCTGCGACTGAATGACGTTTTAAAGGCACAACAAAAATCCCCTCAGTCAGATCAAATCTCGCCCCCACCCTGAGCCCACAAACGAAAACACAATAGCACCAATTATCTGCCAAAGCCTTACACCCTCACTCCTGTCACGTGTGTACTCTGCAGCTGACACTGAGGTATAGTTTCAACATAAATCTTTTCACTTTGAAAGCCCATCACTGACTCAAGATAATCCCTCCAAACCTTTGCTTTTACATGCACTTTTGGATTTGGACTTTACTCACCAAGATCCCTGTGAGAAGCTCAAGTTAACTATAAATAAAACTAAGATCTAGAACAACAGCCTATTAGATATCTCCTAAAATACAGTATCTGGAAATAATGATGACTAACTTTATGGCTTCATGAATAAATCAAGAAAGAAAAAGCCATTTTGTTACTGCAAAGGTTTACAGCTGTCTGACTGATTGTAAACACTGTAAAATACAGGAAAAAACGTTTTTAAAAAAGCATCATTGATCCCAAAATAGAAATGACTTTAACTTTATTTTAAATCAGCAAACTGAAATTCTTACAAATACAGGTAAAGTATGGCTTCATAATCTTAAAATATGTAATGAGGTGTGACTGCACCCTAGTGGACAGATGTGATTATTTCACACTACAAATAACATTTCGAGGTAAAGCAGATATATACAGGAGGTGAAACCTTCACAATGAATAAAGAAAGATTGCCATGCTGGAAAGTTAATTTGTCCATGTTTACTGTGAGGATGATCGAGTCTGCTTTAGCTAAAAAAATAAATAAATAAATAAGTAAAGAAAGATAAAAACTGATCGAAAGGGACTTAAAGTCTAAAATGTGGCATCACTTAAGAGGAAAACAAAATAGTTTGGATAACAGGAAGAGTATGACCAGACTAGGACTCAGGAGTAGGAGGTAGGAAAGTTTTCTGACAATACACAACAATGTACCAAACCAGATTTCCTAAATTCCTCTTCCCACAGTAAGGCACAAGGAGATTATATGAGAATAAAGTAAATATAACCTAGGAAAAGTGTTATAGATTCATTGACACAAAAGCCCATTTTTTACTGTCTATTTTCAAGGTGTGAGTCAGAATCACCTGCACTGTAACCTGCTGTTTCGTCTGTTTTTCTGCCATTTCTAAAGTCTCATTCTGTGTTTTTAAATGGCTAAAGAGTTTAAATGAGTTTAGTTAAAAATTATTGTGTCTAAAGAGACTTCAAGTCTGCAACATGTGAATTGCCGAGCAGAGGAAAACAAATGTAAACATATCAAAACTTATTTTAATAATTGTGACTTAATCATGAATTTTTCTATGAATAAAAGAAGTTCACTTTAGGAAAGGGGACCTCAAACCTGGTCCACTTACTATGCTTGGTGAATCCCCGAGGTTGAATTACCCCTGTTTTTATAGCCCACGGGTTTTGTTGTGTATTCAAAAGAGAATCAGCATCACTCCTAACTCCAGCATCCCCCAACATGGAGTATTTAAGTTGAAGCATCACCCATCCAAACAGAGTAATCCACTTATATTCTTACCTCAGGTTTGTCTCTCATTTAGTGTGAAAGCAGTAAGGCTTTCCACCAAAATTCCTACTCTTTTTTTATTTTGTTTTTAATTCAGAATACTTCTACAGTTTGGGATGTTAGTGTTCACTTGCTGTTCCTAAATACCATGCCTATAACATGTAAAGACCAGACTTGAATGAGGCTGTGAATAACTAAGTGTAAAGCATTGTTTGTGTGTAGCTGTTTTTAATTGTAGATTACTAATAGTTTCTTTAGTCTCTAGTAAGGCCAAACAGCTGATCCCTCCAGAGTTAAGCTAGTTTAGAGGCAGAGCGACTGAAGCTTTGACCTGGTGAACTACAGATACACACTGTCCTGCCAGCTACTCACAGATTACCCACAATCCTCTGTCAGACACTCATTCACAGATGAGATTATTGTCATTGTACACTGAGTACTGTAATAAACATAAACATGTAAATTTATGAAACCTTTGAACTTTTAAAAATAATTGATCACAGACTAATATTTTTCCCCTGTTAAATTGTGTCAATAGATGGCGCCCTTGGGTTCTTGTTTTACTATTCTGTTAAAGGTTGCACCGTGCGTGCAGATGTGACATCATTACACTGTATGTACGGCTTGTTAAGCTACCGGAGGAGCAGACACAGCATCTGCAGTTGTGGTTTTATGCCAGAGTGTTAATGATGAAATCTCCTGTAATGGCCTCAATAATTAAGACAAAGGCTAAAGGGAGAAGAACAAGTCAGGTAAGAAAGTTACGATCGGAGTAAGTGTTTACATGGACGCGTTTCGGAATAACGATCGGCATAAACCACCCCTCTCGATCGGAATACAATTTCTTTCCGATTGAGCCGAATTGGATCAAAATCTTCCGATCGATATGTTTACATGACACATTTTTACTCCGATCGGGCCTTTATTCCGATTATTTGCGCACATGTCAATGCAGCTAGTGTTAGCTTTGAGACACACAAAGAGCTTCTCTGCTCAGTGCTGTCTGTTATCTGTGAGGTCTGTTACTACCTCCAGTGTTGGCTCTGGTGGCGACTTGGCCTCACATGCCTCCAGGACAGTCACACTGATGGCAAGGTGTAACAAGGAGGTAAAAGTCCTGCCTTAAACTGGCAGTCAACAAGGGAGCTTTTGTAATTTAAACTGTTTTGACTGACTGTCCTCTGTGAGGTCAGCAAGGACATCAGGTGTAGTTTACTGAATTACAATAAGGAGTGTAATTGGCTTTAGCACGATGCTGCCAGTATGTTGCATAACATCAATAAGATTACACAGCAGCTAAAGAAACAAACAGACTCTTTATTTCTGCTTCTCACGCTTTCAGCTGAGTTAACATCAGAAATTATTTATGATGGTATAGTGTGGAACAAATCAGGGCAATCACCTTTACAATCCTAGAAAAACAAGGCGGCAGAAACTTCCTGATACGACCCTTGACCCCAGAGCATGTTAAGGGGCCCTTACAGTTGATTTGGTGTAATAGGACTAAGGTCTGTGAGCATCAGGCCACCAGTAAGCCCATTACTGCTCGGTGTGTATTGTGTTGGGTTTGGCTACAGTCTCGTCAGCCACTTACATGTCCAAAGTTCAACTCGTGTCGAAGCTTGATCTGCTTCCATGAGTGTTTATCCCTCAAGCTGCTTTGATTTTCAACCACAAACACAAGAAGCATGTTTGTTTCCCAGCAATGATGACAAAAATCCAGTGACATTCAGTTATAAAAATATTTTATTTTTGAGTCTCACATTTGCTGAAACACCACAGCATCAGTAAATGGATGAACACAGAGTGATAAAGGAGGAAAAGGATTTAAAAAAAAAAAACAGATGAAATCTTTGAACTGGGGATAAACATTGCAGATTTATCAGTCTTGAAGCTTCATTCATTTTTTTTGTTATATTTGTATCCGTCCACTTGTCACATGCAGTCTCTCATTCTCCTTCCTCTTGCTCTCCTGCTCAGCTTCACACTCTTCCTCGTTGTTTTTTCTTTTTCCTTAACAGGCTCCAGACTGCAGGACAGGCTGAAACTCTCCAGCCATGCAGATTTCTTCTTGTTTCTGGCGGATGGTGCGCTGTATGGCAGGAGGCAGGCCGCGGGGGTTCCTGGAGAAGATAATGGCATAGCCGTCCTCGCAGCTGCCGTCTTCCTTCAGGGTGCGGCAGGCGTAGGTGATGGCGTAGTTGTCGTAATCAGTGTCGATTACCCAGTAGTTGTCACCTTGATACACAAGAAAGAAAGACTCAGTTTGAACAGGGTTAGGGAATGAGGATGTAAGACAGAGTAAAGGGTGAATTGGTGCACAGCTAACCTCCACTGGACAAGTAGGTGGCCAGGCCCTGGTAGTTCATGAACATCTTGCCAGGGGTGCCAGGGTCAGGGACTGTGTACTGGGCAGCCATGTCAGCACACACAACCCAAAAGCTGCAGCAGGATGAGCAAAATTAGCATCACAAGAGAGAAATTTATATTTTTGATGCAGAGTGGAGACAAAAGTTCATGAGAAAGTTTGGGATTCTCTGGCCAGAACAAATCTTTGTCTAAGATTGTGTTTCCTCTCTCTCCTCTATTCTAGGCAAATACGGTGGTCTTTATGAAATTAACTTTATATACATTTTCTCTTAAATCTAGATGGAAGAGAACTGCATGAGCAATACTGAGGTTAATTCAGGAAGCTGATCGATTAACACCAAAGTGATTTCAGATGCTGATACAAATGCGCTCAGATATAACTCTATTTTCTCTTCTATGTTTACAACACTATAAAGAAAACTCTAACTTGACTAAACAAACAGATACTTTCTGATAAGTAAGACAGTATTTAAGTAAAAACCATGATCCTGTTTCCTCAGAACACAATCTTTTAATTTTGTAAACCCGAATTCATTCAATTATAAGGTGCTGTATTAGAAGCATTCACTTTCAGAATACACAAACATTTCTGTAAACAAAGCATAGGTACCTTTCTGACCATGTCATGAGGACTTAAATCAGCTGAAGTTCTTACGTTTCTTTGTAAAGTGCACCTAAGACCACATTCCTGTGTAAAAACCCACCTCTTCAACCCGCATTTTCTCCTAATCCCACATAATCCAGGGAAACTCAGTTTGACGCTAATGCTGTTCAGAATGTGCTTCCAGAAAATTACACATGTTCCTCACTTAAGTCTTCAGGTGGATGCTGAGCAAGATCCTGACATCTTTCTTAACTGCTGACCAGAGCTTATCCCTCGGGGTCTTAGTGTCAAGGAGGTCTTTGTGACCAGACTGGCCCTTTGCCCTAATAAGATGATCATCATGATCATCAGCTGGTTTTACTTTCTTAAAAGTGAACTTTTTTTTACTGTTTTTTAGAAGTCTCTCTCCGTCATTCTCACTCACCCAAACAGAGTGACCCGTCCTTTGGAGGAGGCGACCATGGAGCCATCATCATCGATCGTGTATTCAGCTGAGATGTTGTCCTGCAGGAAGAGGCCTTCTGGATCTTTCTTCTGTAGTGCGTACCATTTTCCTACATACTACCAAACCAGGGACAAAAAACAGACTTTATAAACACACCTTTCTTTGGAACTTTTTACACATATAGGTATACTGCTTTTAATTTTCAAACTACTCACCCTTTTGGGTTCAAAGTCCTTTTTGACTGTGAAGCTATCAACGACACAGGAGGCAGACAAACTGCGCTCGACGCAGGACAGAATGACCAGCAGCAGGGCCAGTTTATAGGCGCCCATCCTAAAATCAAAATTCAAAAGTATCAGCCCAAGACACAGATTGTGAGGTTACCTCTGATTAGTTATATGGATTTAGGGCAACAACATCCAAGAGGAAGTTGAACATGGACTGAAAAACCTCTATTATGCTATAAATACATGAACACCATGTTGTGTTGTGCAGAGCCTATAGTGTGTTAGACAACCACGGCATCCTTAAGAAACCTTTTTCAGGGATCAAATATCTATTATACAAAATGCTACTTTGATCATCCTGCTCGTCTCTGCAAAAGTGATAACATTGATGAAACAACATTTACAGCTCTCACTCTGTTGATTTGTTAATATGCACAAAATCTCTGAGTGAGTAATTTTGAGGTGATTCATATGTCTTCAAAAAAGCGTAAATTTGAGTGTCTTACCTGTTTGAGATGAAAGATGCAACAATGAACGAAACTCAAGGACTTTTTCAATGGTTATCCACCAGAATGAGTCCCGTGTCCGTGACAGCCTTTATATACACTTTCCACAGACAAGCTTACTGCTGATTTTCATTGCTTGGAACTAAATAAGGTGCTTAAATCTAGAGGTAATCCTGTTGGGTTGAAATCCTTACTGTAATCTGGCTTGTATGTTCAAAGCTACCCAAGTGTTACAATAAAAACAATTGGACCTTTATGTAACTGAGTAGAAATGCACAAGAACGTGCAAACAAATAAAGTGAATTAGAAAGCTTGAAAAACTCATTTAAACCATAAACTGAGCTTCGAAGGAAAAGGTCAAGTTTTTGAAATGTAATGAAACAACAAAACCTATCACAGTGGTAGAGAGTCACAGATGAAGGTTTGTACTTTTTCTCGCTGACGTCATCTTGAGTGAACAATGAGAAACCAAAAAAAGCTCAGATGTAATAAACTGAGCTCCTTGTTTTAGCCCGATCAGGGAGCAGCAGCCTCTGCGGATCATGTCCCCTAAATGTTTGGCTGCTGAAAAACATACAGTATGTTCAGTGTGCTGTCTGAGATAATAGGATCAGTGTGTGCCTGTAAACAAACTTTTGCAATAAATCTGCACGAGTTTAACCAGGATGTAATTTTTTGTTGTTGTTTGTTTTTGATGAAAAGATTTAAGTTTGTTTCTTTGCTTTTGTGCTTTTATTTTCGGAGTCAAACCAAAAGAAAATGTTGTAAATAAAAGCTCTTTCCAGCTGCACATGTAGAAAAAAATAATAAAAAAGATTTCCTGTCTGTGTGGGGTCAACAAAAAGAAATACTTGAACATTCTTGGCTTTCCACTTTGTAACATGAAAAAAGTTCCCCGTATAATATAATAATGCTATAATAATGTTATGTTAATTTTAGGTACAGGCTTGATTACTTGATAGTATATTTAAAACTGCTGTTACTGCAAAAAAAAGTCAAATCAGCAACCTGCTTAATTTTGAAGGCAAAAGGAGAGATGAGTTGATTGACTCTAACTTTCTTCATGAACCAAAAGACCAGATCTCACCCACTCACTCTCTCTGCTGTGAATGTATGAACCCTTGTTTCCTGGATTAACCCCAGTCACACGACTTCATTTCCAACTTTTGCTTTTAAACACACTCAGGAGGTATAATTGAATCAGTACTGACTCACCACTCACTGTTGGTAAACACGTCTCCATGGTAATGATCCAGACAGACAAGCCAATTAAGACCGAGAATAGAAATTAAAGACCTGCTCTCACTGGTCAGGGAACCGTCACTCCTTGATGGACTCATAGTACCTCTTAGGCCTGCTTGTGGTACCTCAGCTTTACAAGAATAGTGCAGAAGACAGAGCCTGCTGTTATCAGAGGCTTCTCTTTTGAGTTAATCTATTATTTTGTGTCTGGGAGGCAGACACCTTGTTGGAGTAAAAAGTCCTTTCTGATAAAGCTGATAGTGTGAGCTGGATTAGGCTTGTGCCATCCTTAACAAGAGTTTATGTAGTTTTACTTCCTCTCTTCTGTTGTATGTTTTAATTTGAATTGAATCTATTGAGTCCGATTATTTGATTTATACCCATATAGTAAACTCAAATCTGGACAGATGTAGGAGTTAACTTGTGGTGCAAGAGTGTGAGTTTTAAGATATGTACCTACTGCCATCTTGTGGTCACTGACAGCACATGCATCTGGTCAGTTAAGGTGTGGATGGCGTTGACGTGGAACAACAGATCTCCGGTTTCAATAAAAAATGGTCTTCAAGTGAAGTGGTGAGTTTTGTATGATATTTCTACAGCCTTAAAGCGCAAAACTAAATCTCCACTCATGTCCTTTTCATCCAAATAGAGAACTCTTCCTAGTGCAAGTCAAAGCAGGTACCCCTAAGACGTAAACCTCTCTATTCATTTAAAACTTCACTGATTGGTAACTGAAGACAGTTACAGATATAATTAAGATCACTAACTCACTAACATTCACTTTTTATATAGGCCTACACTACAATCACATATGGTATAGTCCACTACCTTTGGTGATCACCTAATGTTTTCTGCCTCCTGACTCTTCTTCATTGTGTTATGAACAGTTATCTGATTAATACAAGTTCTGCTTTATTTCCAATTAGCATATATAAACATGCTAAAATGCTAATCAGAGTCACTGTTTACTATCTGACTATTCAATCCTCAGGACCTCCTTTTTGAGTTACACTACAAATAATATTAAGATGTGAAAAAAATATATATATGTTTTTTGCCATCAGCATTGTTCAAAAAGAGCGTCCTGTGCTCAGTTTTTGTGGCTTTCCACAGGAGACGTGACAAGTTCACACACACAGACACACCCATACTCCCTGGACTTGCTGTAATCTATTATAGTGAAGGCAGATTATCTATCTGACCTTTTGTTTAAGGTGTTTATGAAACCTTATAATAGACAGGACCTCCCTGCTCTGAATGAAAGGATTAACTATCTTTTCTCACTTTGGGTCTGTGTGTTATTGTTGCTTTCGACCCTTTTCTCATAAAAGTAGAACTGCGTGGTATCATATATCACTGTGATGACTGCATCAGGCTTCTTGGAATATTACTGAAAATAGTTCATATATATACAATGTTGGCAGTCACTGCTCTGCAAACTCATTAATGCATTCACTATAGTAGAGAATTGGGGTTACTGAGATTATCAATCAGTGTTCTAACTAAACAGAGTTTATGCCAGAGGAGGTGATGTTTACAAAAGGTAAAGAAAAAACCACACAGTTTACACATATCTGTACACTTTCACAGAGACTGGATGTACTGAAGCACTCTGGATCATTTGGCTCACAGATCCATTACTACATGATCAGCTGACCAGTTTAGCATGAGCAGATCCCTGCTAACCTTCAGCTCTATCTGCTGATGACAGAAGGATTGTTTAGGTTCAGCCCTCTGCCTCCTCCTCAGGGCTCACCCACACTTCACTCATCCCACTAGCAAGGGGGAGATTATTATTTGCCTGCCATCACATGTGTCTACTTCTGGTTTTCACTGTTTCCTTTTTTCTTTAGAGGATAAACCAGGATACCGGCTGCAGTGTGTGCTGTTTCTATTATCCTGTTTATTTTGTTTTTAGGCTTTTGCTTTTGGAAATCTCAAAGAGCTCATTCACAGCAGATCTGGACCAATTGGGAGCTGCATTTCTGAGCTTGAGGGAGAGACGACAGGGACACTTTTGGGGAAAGAGAGGAGGAAGGAATCATGGGTGTGCAAAAAGAAGATGTGGAAAAGTTCCTGAATGAGAACCCTGTATTTGCTAAGGAGTACTTTGCCAAGACGATGAGCTCTGCCTCAATATCTAAGGCATCAGGGAAAAAGATGGACTTCAGTCAGTATCAGGAGCTCAGTCAGGTAAGAGAATAAATTCATGACATGTAAATAAAAAGTAATCACTAAGTAAAACCTTTGGGAAACTTATGAAGTTTTTTGCTCTAACCAAATCCTTAAAATCTGACTATTTTTTCCTTTTGAAGTATGAGGAAAGCCAGATCCTGTACGATCTGATCAAAGACATGCAGGAAAACATCAACATGGAAAAGGTGATCTTCAAAATCCTAAAGAGAATCAGCGCACTCATCCACGCAGACCGATGCAGCTTGTTCATGTACCGACAGCGGAACGGCATTGGAGAGCTCGCCACAAGACTCTTCAATGTCAACACGGAGGCGCAGTTTGATGACTGTGTGGTGCCGCCGGACTCTGAGATCGTCTATCCTCTGGACATGGGAATAGTCGGCCATGTGGCGCTGACCAAGAAGAATGTCAACGTGAAAGATGTCACAGAGGTAAGGAGGAGATCATGTAGAACACGGTGAAGCTTTGAGCGTATCTGAGCTGCTGTCTACTATCTCCAACTTCTGCTAAGTTTTTAAAATCAGCACTTTTTACTTTAGTTTTGTTTATTACTCGTGTACATCAACAAACAGGTAGTGTTACTTCTAATAAAAGCTCCTGTGAGGAGCTTTTGGTTTGCATCTGTTTTGGCGCCCCCTGTGGACAAAGTAATGCTTGCTTATTTTGCTCGCTAAATTCTTGAGTACTGATTTATTTACAAAAGTTCTCATTCTGCTGAGACATATTACATGTGTAATTTGCTTTTCATGTTTTATGTGGAAATTTCATCAGCTGTTCATCTCACCCCTCACACCAGTCTTGTCAGTGATGGTCTTGTTCGTTTTTGAGTGTCATGGCGAGGCATCAGTATGAATTTCAGTCCATTTCATGAATGTAAAACACCCTCATTGGAGCTTTAAGTAAAATGTTATCAGATTGTACTTTAACCTGAGTAGAATATTTAAGTAATCTGTCCATCTCTGCCACGAGAAGATGCCTTAACATGAAATTTCTCAATCACACACTTATAGTATCTTTGTCTAAACACTGTGCATAATAGTGTTTCACTTTTCTCATTATTTACATGTGACAAAGCCAAACTGTATATCAAGAGGAGGTCCAGACATCTGGTTCACAATGCATTTTGATTTAGAGTGAAGCAGTCACAGGAGATAGTAGATCTTTCACACTGTGGTATATTTTTGTCCAACTCATTTATTTAATATTAATTTCACCAACCTCGTGAGTAAAAGATTTCTATAAGACTTCATTTTACGCACGACATTACTTACACTAATGCAACGTCGGTAGCAAGCATGTGCTCTGATCAAAAACAAAGTGTAAATCACTCCACCAGATATGCCTGCTATTTCAAAGCTATAATTTCTTACTCTTTTATGACTCTGTATGTTAACTTGTGTCCAACGGGTCTCAGTTTCACTGTAAAATGTAGATTAGGCTCGGCATTAGCTTACTTTAGTACTTTGTCCTTGAGAGAAGAAGAAAAACGTGTTTTTTGTTGAAAGAAAGTTGAATTGGTTCTTTTTGAGGCATTTAAAGGAGAAAAAATTCTATATGCTGATACCTCTTTTCCTCCAAACTGGACCCGGTGATAGATGGTTAAGGGTTAATTCAAAATATCTGGCCTTCATGACACGTATGGAGCATATAGTCTCTCAAAATGAAATTTGACCTGGGACAGGTTGTTGACGGCACTTTCATGCAGATTTCAGTTTCTGGAGATGAATGAATTCTCTGTACAGACAACTGGAGCCACGGTGTCTTCAGGGTGGATTTGCCCACTTTACAGGTCATCTTTTTTGCATAAAGCATAATCTGCTAATATAAGTGAGTGGTATTTAGATTTCAATCAAACAAGGACCAGACTCATATTGAAATCCCGACACCTGTATACAGATTTTACAGATGTTGATCCAAACTCAAGAGGACATGTGAAGAAACGTGCTGCTTGATATTCCTAACCCCCTTCAATAATCTCAGAGTAATAGACCCAGGTCAAGGCTAAAAATAACATTTGCTGACAGAGAGTCAACTGTGTCTGATTTGAGGAATTTAGCAGTAAGGGTCGAATTGATACTAAAATATGCTCTCAGCTAGCTTTAACATATGTGCACAGAAAAGTATATATCTATATCTATATAAAGTTTTCACAATGGCTATCGTTCATCCTTTCTGGAGCTCTATGTTTTCATGAATCACTCTCTGCTTAAACACTCGTCAGTGCTGAAGTGTAAGAGTAAGTCACATGTAACTATACTTGACCGAGTGAGAATATTAATCCCCGTTCAGACATAATCCATTTATTTCCAGATCCCATCAGCCTCCGCTGTAACTGGGGATTAGACGCCTCTGGCATTTAGTCAGCAGTACTCTGACACAGATCAAAACTATGTTTGTGGTCACTGTGTGGAAACAGTGTTAGTGTTATAGGATACCTTTAATCAGGTATACAACAGGTTACACCAGCTTTAAAGAGACCAAATCAGTTACAATCAGGGATTTTCTAACGTAGTTTTATTGAGATTGTTTTTTATGACAGTTACAATTCAGGGAAGTAGTTTCAGTTATTTTTCATGTATTCATAAAATTTTATTCTTTCAGCCACTTGCCATCTTAGTTTTAATTATAATAATGCTTTTGGCTGCTTTAATTCTAGGGTCTATTTACCTTGTGATAAAATGACTGTGAACTTGAATTAAAAATGAATAAACTCAAACTAATCCTCATCTGGCTCAGACAGAAGTTTAACCACTATAGCACTGCATCACAGTACCTCATATACAGTATATTACATGAAGAATAACTTTTACAGTTTTGATGAAAGTCAGAACACGTTTAAAAGATTATTTTATGTATATAGTTCAAGGAATTTATGAATAATGTTTGTGTGTATACCACAAAAACATGTATTTTCTATCCCCCAGAGCCAGCACTTCAGCTCATTTGTGGATGAACTCACAGATTACAAAACCCGCAATGTTCTGGCGGCTCCTATTCTGAACGGCAAAGACATGGTGGCTGTGATCATGGCTCTAAACAAGACCACAGGGCCTCATTTCACCGCTGAGGATGAAGATGTGAGTTCATCCTGCACAAGAAACTTTGCAAACAATGACTTAAAGCTTCCGTCCGTGATGTCTGACTGCCTTCTCTTTTCAGCTTTTTCTAAAGTTTTTGAAAATCGCCACCCTGAATTTGAAGATTTACCACCTGAGCTACCTTCACAGCTGTGAGACTCGCAAAGGGCAGGTGAGGAATCTTAATCTGCGTGCTTTGATTAAACTTCCAGAGTTTAGGTTTTCTTCTCATTTATGAAATTAGCTGGATTCATTCTGCATATCGTAACAGCTGTATGATTTTGATGTTTTCTAGCTGCTGCTTTGGTCTGCCAACAAGGTTTTTGAAGAGCTGACAGATATCGAGCGACAGTTTCACAAAGCCTTGTACACGGTCCGAGCTTACCTCAACTGTGACCGATACTCTGTGGGTTTACTTGACATGACAAAGGAGAAGGTATTGTAGCTACAGCTTTTCTACTCACTGTTCTGTCTCCATGATGTGCCGATCTTTTACACGTTTCTTTGTCTCTTTTCTGTTCAGGAGTTCTTCGATATCTGGCCGGTGCTGATGGGAGAGCAGCCACCTTACTCTGGACCTGTCACACCTGATGGCAGAGTACATTTGTTAATTTTATTCATCAAACACAATCAACTCTCTGACTTGCAAATGATTCATTACACTAAATTTCAGCTCTCATGATGTCTGTTTGGGACACCTTTGGAGCAGTTTAGGATGAAAAAAACACATTTATCTTCATCCGGTGCCTCTTCTACATCGTTTGACACACAATCTCTTTAACTTTTTCTCAGGAGGTGAATTTCTACAAAGTCATTGATTACATATTACATGGAAAAGAAGACATTAAAGTAATACCGTGAGTATTGATTTCTTTTAGAACTATTTGAACCAATTCTCGGCTCGCATCTGTTTTAAGGAGTCATCCTTTCTCTGTTACACAGCAACCCGCCTGCAGATCACTGGGCTTTGGTTAGCGGCCTGCCTACTTATGTTGCTGAGAGCGGCTTTGTGAGTTTGTTTTCACTCCATTTTTAAAACTATTGTACTGGTTAGAATAAAAATGAAGACGTCTTTTACACACTTTTAAGTTTGCACTTGCATTGTTTTGATTCTGCTCTCCAGATTTGCAACATCATGAATGCAGCTGCAGATGAGATGTTCCAGTTTCAGGTAAAACACTCGGCTAAAAGAAAATAAGATACTTTATACTTTGGAGAAACTCCAGATTTTCAGCAATGTTACTGTAGTGATGCATCATATTTTACTTACTTATTTTTGCAGACTGAGCCACTCGACAGCAGCGGTTGGACAATAAAAAACGTTCTCTGTTTGCCGATTGTCAACAAAAAAGAGGAGATTGTGGGTGTGGCCACTTTTTACAACAGAAAAGACGGGAAGCCTTTTGACGACCAGGACGAGCAGCTCATGGAGGTGTATTTCACAAGAACTACGTTTGATAATGAGCGCTATGCTCCATGAATAGTGGTAGAGTGATGAAATACTTCAGTTCTTCTTGGTATGACTTAGCACTTTAATTTTGCCAGTCGTGACTCCTCTTTGCTTGATAACACAGCTTGAAATGTGCTGATAACGGTTACCTGTTCCTTAGGCTTTAACTCAGTTCCTGGGCTGGTCTGTTTTGAACACAGACACTTATGACAAGATGAACAAGCTGGAGAATCGCAAAGACATCGCTCAAGACATGGTGCTCTACCATGTCAAATGTCGGGATGATGAGATTCAGAACATCCTGGTTAGTGTGTTTTTTTTTTGTCATTGGTTGCTTAAATGTAAATATTGGAAAAACACGTTTAGAAAAGTTTCAGGATTATTTTGGTGATCTCATCTTTCTCAGAACACCAGAGAGGTTTATGGCTGTGAGCCCAGAGAGTGTGAAGAGGAAGAGCTGCTCGGTATCCTGGTAATTCAGTAACTTGTCCATAGTTAATAGTTATTTTACTGCTGTATTACTCTGAATACAAACTCCATTTCTGAATGGATTCATGGAAAAAAATTTGGAGATTGATTCCTGTTTTCAAAGTTTGCATAAAAAAAGAAAAAAGAAAACTTTGTGCAAAAGAAAGTGAGCTGTTGTCTTCAACATCTTTATTGATAAAATTGTGTTTTCAATAAGAACAGTTAATTGAGATTGTAATTACATGTGTAAATGAAGCACTTGTGAAAGTAAATTTGCAATTTATCCAATGGAAATGGTCATAATATTTTTTTAGGTATTAGGTCATTTGTCTTAGACTGATAGCAGCTATAATGCCTCCACAGCGATCTCCAAGGCTGCTATGAGGGCTCTGGTAATGAAGCCCCTTATCTTCTCTTTATTTCCCTTTTAGAAAAAAGACCTTCCTCCTCTGATTAAGAAGTTTGAGATCTACGAGTTCCATTTTTCGGATTTTAACTGCACAGAGATGGAGCTGGTGAAGTGTGGGATCCAGATGTACTATGAGGTTGGGGTGGTCAAGAAGTTCCAGGTCCCCCAGGAGGTGATCTAGACCTATCAGAGACACCTGAATAGAGCAGTACTTTACATAAATTCAATAGAAAAGATCTAATCTGTTGCCTCCTGTCAGGTGCTGGTGCGGTTCATGTATTCAGTCAGTAAGGGCTACAGAAGAATCACCTACCACAATTGGCGTCATGGTTTTAATGTGGGACAGACCATGTTTACTCTCTTAACGGTATTTTTTCTTTTCTTTTCTTCTTCTTTTTTTTTTTTTATTCACAACAATATTTGCAATAAAAGAGACTTTTGTTGTAACTTCTCTTAGACTGGAGTGTTAAAGAGGTACTACACTGACTTGGAGGTGATGGCCATGATTACTGCTGGCTTTCTTCATGATATCGATCACAGAGGAACAAACAACTTGTACCAAGTCAAGTAAGTAGTGATCTGTCTTTCTCTGAAGAAATTCACACTTACACCCGACCCCTCACATACCTTGCTAAATCAGTGCACACTCCCTCACCAGTGTTTGAGGTTAAAGGTCCAGCTTTTTTTGTGATTAGCCTATGAAAATGTTTTGTTGGCTTCCATACATGTAAGTAAGAAATAAGTAAGTAAATAACATTTTTTTCTTCATATACCTCAAAATCACAAAACAGAGGTTACCATTTAATATGTTGCAAAATTGTAACCAAGATAATGCACACCTGCTCTTATCAGCTCTCACTGTCTTTACACCTTTATAGTTTCTTTTTACCCACCAACATATGCTAAATCATTTCTGTCATAGCTTATATTGCAGCAATGTGGTGAAAGAACCACAAATCATGTTATTGAAATTTAAACATTTGGATTTTTGGGGAATCAGTAAAATGATCAAAACACAGTATCAAGATAGTATAATGAGCATAAATGTCCTCAAATGTACCTCAGGAAAACTCTTCTTTTTAAGCTTGCAAAGATTGAGATTCAGCTGTTGACACAACTTTGATAACAATAAATCTGATTTCAATTAATACTGTTTTTAGGCTGACCAAGAGAAAGTCAGTCCACCAATCTTGGAAGCTCAGAGAGAGAAAATTAGGAGAACTGTCTCAAAATAAAACTTAATAAAATATTCCCTCTCTGATATTTGTTATGTCAGTGCTGCGACATTGTGTTTATATCTGAGAAATCTCATTCACACAAACAGGTCTGGCAACCCTCTGGCCAAGCTCCACGGCTCCTCCATTTTGGAACGACACCATTTAGAGTTTGGAAAGTTTTTATTGGCTGATGAGGTGAGGAAAAGGATGCCCAACTTTTACTTTAAAGAGATTATTCCTGATCAAATCCTTTACTGACACACTTTTCTCTCTACTTTGTCTCATCTCCAGTCATTGAACATCTACCAGAACCTTAACAGGCGACAGATCGAACATGTGATTCATCTCACGGACATCGCCATCATCGCCACTGACCTGGCTCTTTACTTCAAGTCAGCAAAACCCCTCAGTGACCCACTCTACTTAACTTATCTGTTTGCCTTTCCTTTATTTTCTTTTGAAGAGTAAAAAGTTAACCACTAAGGCTGAAATAGTTCCTCTGTTCACACCTGACCAGGAAGAGAACCATGTTCCAGAAGATCGTTGACCTTTCACAAACATACGAGGACGAGAAGAAGTGGGTCGACTTCATGTCTCTAGAAACAACCAGGAAAGAAATTGTCATGTGAGTAAAACACGGACCAAAGGTTGTGCTTTGACTTTTTACGTCCTTTTCATCCTCTTATTCGTGACTGTTTCAGGGCTATGATGATGACCGCCTGTGACCTGTCAGCCATCACAAAGCCTTGGGAGGTACAGAGCAAGGTGAGACACACACTTTAATCAGGGAGAGCCTCACTGAGATTTACCAGCATGTGATGACCGTGTGTGTGTGTGTGTGTGTGTGTGTGTTAGGTTGCTTTGTCTGTAGCAGCAGAGTTTTGGGAGCAGGGTGACCTGGAGCGGACAGTGCTGGAGCAACAACCGATTGTAAGTTTATATGTCATAGTTTAGTATGTACAGTCCAGTATATATTCTTTAGTTTGTGTAAAAATGTGTCGATGCAGAAGTGCCTGATAACTAGATAATAACAGGCTAAGCTTTATGTGATTTGGTGTGAGGCTGCACCTTTAAGTGTATTTGCAGTTTTTTTCTGACAAACAGCCAAAGCCCTGACATAATTACTAAACAGCTACAGTTGAAAACCAGAAGTTTACATACATGTTATAAAAAGGCACATAACCCTTTTTTTCTAACATTAAATCTAACATTAAATCAGATTAAACTTTTCCTGTTTTTGGTCAATTGGGATTACCAAAATTATTTTTATTTGCTAAATGCCAGAATAATGAGAGAGAGAATTTTTTAGACAACATACACTAAGATGACTTTGCCTTTAAACAATTTGGGAAAGTCCAGATGGTGATATCATGTCTTTGGAACGGCAGCTTTCAAATACTATTGTAAACTTTTAACTCTCAAGAAAATAATAAAAAATTGTCTAAAAAATGATCTCTCTCATTATTCTGGCATTTAACAAATACAAATAATTTTGGAAATCCTAATGGACCAAAAACAGGAAAAGTTTAATCTCCTTTCATGTTAGACGGTGAGGAAAAAAAGGTAATGTGCCTTTTTATATAGTGTATGTAAACTTCTGGTTTCAACTGTATATAAAATAAGTTTTCACACTATCAAAGCCAGGAACAGAAATATTTGATTTTTTTGTTAACAAGTGATTAAAAAAACACCTGAGTTGTAGAAAAAAAGATTTTCAACTTAAAAGGAAAAAAACACCAAAATTGGTGCACATTATGCAGCATTGTGCTCGGCTGTCACAGACAGCTGTTTTAAAATGCTCTTTACACTGTGCTCTTCTCACAGCCCATGATGGACAGAAACAAGGCAGCAGAACTCCCAAAGCTTCAGTGTGGCTTTATTGACTTTGTCTGCACATTTGTTTACAAGGTAATGTTTACATTTGCTTCATGATAGATGAAATACACAGTAAATATAGTAAATTTTGTTACAGTCACTGAATAATTGGATGATTTTATTTCTAAATATCCTGCCCTAACTTTCTTGTCTCATATGCTTTAAAATAAAAGCCATACTCTCGAGTTTATTTTCTTATACTCCTTAATTTTCAGGAATTTTCTCGCTTCCATCCACAAATCCAGCCCATGCTGGATGGCATATTGAACAACAGGAAGGAGTGGAACGCCAAAAAAGAGGAGTATGAGGCAAAACTCAAAGCCTTAGAGGAAGAGAAGGCTGCCAAAGGTAAAATGATACCCTGGAAAATAGACACAGCTGTGCAGCTGCAGTGATATTTTCTCCTATTGTTAAATATATACAGAGGAAAACCCCTGCTTGTGTTGTTTGTTTTATTCTTCCCCTAGGTCCTCCAAACAACCACGGTGGAGGAGGTTCAGGTTCCAAGACCTGTTCATTGTGCTGAGAGACCACAGAACTCTGAATATGATGTGACTGCACATGGACCACCTATGACATGATCTGAACACCACAACCAGCCCGTTTGACTGTTAGTTCACTGGGGAAACAAAAATAAAAAACTGGCATTTGTAAATTAGCATATAGACCCTTTTATATTTCTGGATTCAGTCAGAGAGGAGAACCTGAAGCAGGAGAGAACAGCACAGGGAGGGGGTGTTCAGTCATAGAGGGACTTTAATCAGGTGAGCTGAAATATACTGTCAAATCAGGCCACCAGTTTGGATCCATGAGTTTTGATGCAGTATTATTTTCCTTTTCTTTTTGAGGACTTATTTTAATTTCTCATGGTACAAATACATAGTGTGAATGTTGTTTGCTTTAGTTCCTTTAGATACAAAGCAAAAATACGAGGGTAAAACTTGTACATAAATCTGTATAGTTGTTAATACCTTTGTAAAGTATGTAATCTTTAAAAGCACACGATGTACAGAAAATTCTTTGCTATTATCACCAAAAGGGTATTGAGAGATGATGGTGAGTCGTTTTAAACATTCAGCACAACATATATACTTAATGATGGAACTCATACATATAAAACTCTGTAAATATATATATATAATTCTTCATTTCATCTGTTAATAACATGTACACTACTTCCAGTCACTTACCATGTATAAAGTTTGATTACCTTGATTGCAAAGAGCTAAACATAGAAAACAAGCTCAAGAGCAATAGTTAAACATACGCATTTATACGTGTGGAAATCCAAACTTACGAGTCATAAAAATACCTGTAGTCACTTCCTCATGATGGTTCCACACTGTAAATATGTGTAAAAGAGTAGCTGAAATGAAACAGTACAAGTATAAATGTACCAATGTCTTATTGAATAAGATCATAAAGTACACACAAATGCAAATATGGAGAAAAATCAAACTCCAAAATCAAGATAATTAATTTTAAGAGTGAAGGTAGTGCAATTTTTATGCAGTGACCGGTTAATCACTAAATACAAAGGAATTTCTTATTCCTTCAAATGCCTGATTTTATGATATTTTTATTTTCATATGCTGCCCACTTGTAGTTTCAGATGTTAAAGCATGGCTGTGTATTTATAGGCAAATCATGTACTTAAAATTGCTCCAAAAGCTCTCAGTGTTTCAAAGCTTGCCCCTGTCATTTGTAAAATGATGATACAATAAAGCAAATGTACTTTCAAGGAGGTGTTTGATGCATTATTAGACTGCGATGATTAAAATTGTTCATGGGCGTAGAACTTTAGGCTGTTTCTTGGTGTTGGTAATTCCCATTCTTTACAAACAAATCAAAAGCTCAATATGAATATTTTAAACATTTTTGTGGGCCACCTGAAGCAACACTAATATATCTAAACATTACAGTCATTAAGTGCCAATGATATTGCTCTTATATGTACTATATAATGCTACCAGACACAGAGTTCATAGTTACACAATTACAACACACGGTGTTGAGGGGATGCTTCTGTCCACACTGCACTTTCTACGACTGGTCACTGACCCTAATCCTGGGATTGCTGCTAAACTAGGCTGGGATTAAAACCATGCTCTCCCCCAGGCTCATCTCTTACTGAAGGACAGGTGCACAACATACACACTGGGCACTTTCTCAAGTTTGTCATCTTTGCATTGAATTAAAATAAACCACATTTTACCTTAAATATGTTTAGTCAAAAAAAAAAAAGACCTGGTAACATTAGTGCAAAATTAAACCCTGTTATTGCAACACAAATAATAAGACAGCACTTGAGTACCACATGAAAAATAATATTTTTATTTGGACTGAAACATAGTAGGACTGGTCTGGTGACAGTTCACTTGAGGATGGTGTCAGAATTTGCTGCAGAGAGAGGAGGAAAAAAAAATCAATAAAATATTTTACCACTGGTGGACATGATGGTAAAATGTGAGTTGAAAATGAAAGTGATAGACAGTAAATGTGAGTGGGTGGTCCCATCATGTCACCTTCAGAAAGTTGTTTGTAGATGCGCTCTTGCTCCTCTCTGAGCTTCTTCTCTGCCTCCTCAACCTTTCTCTCCTCCTCAGCGATGGGCTTCAAGTAATCTGAGCAAGAACAAAATCACTGGTTAAACAATAAATAACTTCTTTGTCTTTCTGTCACTCTTAAGTGACATGTTCAATCTGAAGAGATAAAAGTAAGTAAGTAAGGGATATTCGGTGTACAATTAATTCAAAATCAAATTCTGGTAGCATTTTTTTTAAATGAGCTTTTATACAATGAGTTAACCATGTGCCTTATTTGTAGAACCCAACAAAAGGAGTACTGTTGTGTCGTTCGTTACTGATTTGTTCAAAAGAACCGAATCTTTTAAGTGAACACACTGAACCGAGTAACTTCCATGAGTGATTCGTTCTTTTTTAACTTCAGTTGAGCTTAAGTGAGAAACAGCATTGCCAGTCGAACAGCCGGCGAATGAGGGAAAGTATGCATCGACACCTCAATCACTTGGTGAACGAATCACGCATTGAACTACAATCTCTGGAATCATTTTTGTCAGACAAAACTATCTTTTTTTCCCCATGATGTGGCTAAATTGCTACCACAACAACTTGCATACAATAGGACACAGGATGTAAAAAGTAGTGCATTAAACCCACAGCACCTATCATTGCAGCGGTTTGAGAGGGAACGGTCAATGTTCAGTTTCAATTGAAACATTCAGTGAACGAATCACTCACTGACCCCAATTTACCAAGCAGACCTGATAACCATAGGACAGTATTTGCCAAAGCAACGCAGCCAAACACGCTCGTCTCCCAGTCCCAGAAGCTATGAGTCGCAGGCTTCTCCCAACAAGCACTACGATACGGTTATTTAGTGAACGAATCTTTTTAGTGAACTGATTCTAGTGATTCAGTACATCTAAAAGAACTGCCATGCCCATCACTACAAAGGAGGACTTTATTCAATAACTTTCTCCAGCGCATGCGCAGACACAAACTTACCAAATCTTTGCTTGCCGTAGAAAACACCGAACAGCAGAGCAGACCACCTGGCCGTCTGAAATATAAAGGTTTCAAACATGTCAGCTCATGTGGACTCACTGAGAGGTCTTAACTGTGTAAGAAATGTTTACAGTGGAAATTTATTTTATCAACAGAGTTAAAATGTCACTTCTGTTTCAATGAAGACATTGTGATTGGTGGCGAACATACACCTGAGGATTAGGGACCTGTCTCTGTGACCTTGTCTGTCTCAGAGTGTGAACACCTCTGATCAATACAGTGTTAGACAGCATGTTGAATCACATTACTGAAAAGCAACATTTCACCTAGATACATTAGTGATCCCACCTTTACAGCTCCGTAGCAGCCCCTCAATGTCACTGATAGCAAACATTAGCTTACATGCTAACATGCCACTTAAAACAGCTAATATGGTGACCACAAAGCCTACTTACTAAGATGATATCAAAACTTTCTATATGAGCACCTCTTTGTCTGATTTATGAACCATATCTGTGACAAAAACAGGACAAATTATTTGTGTGATTACCTTGATGAGCGGCGACACGGCGACTGGAGGAACCATGGTGAAGAGAGTGTCGCTACCCGAAACCCAATTTGCACTGCGCATGTGCGAAATGTACGTCACTTCCTCTATTAGCCATCTAGATCATAGACATAATAAAAGGGTAGACCCCGCTGGGGGTGCTGCGCAGCGAGAAATGCGGCCGCCATCTTGGTCAGGTCAAGCTTCCCATACGCTCCGGTCAATCATATTCATTCATTCATTCATTCAGCGATGCCGGAGCACTGTGCGGCGTATTCCTGTGCCAACAGGCGGACAGCAGAGAACAGGGCTCAAAAAATAACTTTTCACAGTTATGATTAAACGTTTTTTCAACATTACACTTGACTGTAGAGTCATTTGTAGGCCAAAGAGGAAGACTATCGGTGAACTCCAAAAAGGAAACAGCATTTGCGAACAGCTAGCTTATTCACAATAATAGCAACTTTGCTCTATTATCAACAGATTTGCATTAGATTGAAAAACTTTTGTTTGAGAGAGGTTCTAAGAAACGTTAAGAAACAAAATAGAAAGAAGAAGGAAGAAAGTGAGCTCTGTTTTATTAAAGATTTCTTTGTGGTGATCTCCTGTTTCATTTTGAAGATTTCCTAAGGACAAAAACTTGAGGAAGAAGTGGGAGATTGCTGTTAGAGGGAGAAATTCGCAGCAAGTGATTCCTCTGTGCTGTGTAGCCAACAAGCAAATTGATATGTAGTTTAGATGCTGTCCTGTCATGCTGTTCTTGTGTTTAAATTTTTTTGATATGTAGGCTATATATTTGTGTGTATTTCTTTGTGTGTATTTTCCAGTTATTAAAATAGTGCTTCTATATGACATTATTTGTGTGTGTCTACAAATGGATAAATAAAATTAAACTAAATAAAATAACATCAAATCAATATATATTGAATCGGCCTATTAAAACCGCCAGTTATTAATAATTATTGAGACATAGCAGGAACCTAGCTCTAAACCTAGATATATCCTTGATTAATTGTTATACTATAATACAGCCACTGCTGCCATGTTCTAAAATATCATTTTATTCATTCTGAGTATTTGAAAACGCCAAAAAAAATAAAGCCTCTATTATGCCTCTTTGAATGGCGTTTGCAGAGAAGAAAATTACGTAGTATTGAGCGAACTATGATTCATTTAATGCGCTCAGACTTCATTCCGCCGGTTAAACAGCGGTGCAGAGTGAGGCGGATGACCGGACCAAGATGGCGGCCGCATTTCTCGACAGCGCCCATTCGTGGTAGCGGCCGATGCGGGGTCTATCTTTTATTATGTCTATGATCTAGATCATAGACATAATAAAAGGGGTAGACCCCGCTGGGGGTGCTGCGCAGCGAGAAATGCGGCCGCCATCTTGGTCAGGTCAAGCTTCCCATACGCTCCGGTCAATCATATTCATTCATTCATTCATTCAGCGATGCCGGAGCACTGTGCGGCGTATTCCTGTGCCAACAGGCGGACAGCAGAGAACAGGGCTCAAGAAATAACTTTTCACAGTTATGATTAAACGTTTTTTAAACATTACACTTGACTGTAGAGTCATTTGTAGGCCAAAGAGGAAGACTATCGGTGAACTCCAAAAAGGAAACAGCATTTGCGAACAGCTAGCTTATTCACAATAATAGCAACTTTGGTCGATTATCAACAGATTTGCATTAGATTGAAAAACTTTTGTTTGAGAGAGGTTCTAAGAAACGTTAAGAAATAAAATAGAAAGAAAAAGGAAGAAAGTGAGCTCTGTTTTATTATCTGTTTTATTAAAGATTTCTTTGTGGTGATCTCCTGTTTCATTTTGAAGATTTCCTAAGGACAAAAACTTGAGGAAGAAGTGGGAGATTGCTGTTAGAGGGAGAAATTCGCAGCAAGTGATTCCTCTGTGCTGTGTAGCCAACAAGCAAATTGATATGTAGTTTAGATGCTGTCCTGTCATGCTGTTCTTGTGTTTAAATATTTTTGATATGTAGGCTATATATTTGTGTGTATTTTCCAGTTATTAAAATAGTGCTTCTATATGACATTATTTGTGTGTGTCTACAAATGGATAAATAAAATTAAACTATATAAAAATTTATAATCAAATCAATATATATTGGCCTATTAAAACCGCCAGTTATTAATAATTATTGAGACATAGCAGGAACCTAGCTCTAAACCTAAATATATCCTTGATTAATTGTTATACTATAATACAGCCACTGCTGCCATGTTCTAAAATATCATTTTATTCATTCTGAGTATTTGAAAACGCCAAAAAAAAATATGGCCTCTATCATGCCTCTTTGAATGGCGTTTGCAGAGAAGAAAATTACGTAGTATTGAGCGAACTATGATTCATTTAATGCGCTCAGACTTCATTCCGCCGGTTAAACAGCAGTGCAGAGTGAGGCGGATGACCGGACCAAGATGGCGGCCGCATTTCTCGACAGCGCCCATTCGTGGTAGCGGCCGATGCGGGGTCTATCTTTTATTATGTCTATGATCTAGATAAGAAAGCGAAGCTCCACGGCGGCCATCTTACTCCAGTATATCATTCTGGAAGCTCTATAGTAGCTGACGGAAGGTGAATTATCGGCATGATAAATATACTCTTAACTCGCTGAAATCTTGACAGGTTTACAAACGGTTTTGTTTATTACGGACCTTAATAAAGTGGCTATGAGTCGGGATGCTTGAACATACTAAAATGGCAGCTTTTCTTTAAGGAAAAAAAGACTTATTTATGACTTAAGGTGAGAAGATTTTCTTTGTATCATAGTTTCATGTTTCAGCGCTGAGATTTAACAGCTAAGAGTTTTGCTGTTTTTTAGATGACTATGATATAGAAGAGCATAATGAATGACTAGATGACTATATTATAGATAACTTTAATGTAGATAACTATGATATAGGAGAGCGTAATAAATGACTAGATGACTATAATATAGATGACCATAAACGACACTAGTATAGCGGACTATAACATAGATGACTACAATAGATGACTAGATGACTATGATATAGATGACTAGATGACTATAATAAATATTGTAATCATCATTTCATCTGACTTGTCAAAAAGTCATCAATTTCTTCAAAATTTCACCCACCTCTGACTTCCGGTTTGACTTCTATGAACTCTATGTTGTTATTAAAAACAGATTATTCAGAATTTATTTTGGTTGACATTTATGCAACCAATAATAAAAAATAAAGTGCTAACTTACTTTTAATTACAGAAGATGCAAAAAGTAAGTCATGTTTTAAAGGTTTATTTGAATATGTTGTTACCTTAAAGTTGTAAAACACAATGAATGCATTTACAATACACAGTATGTAAAGACAAGGCTGTTGAGTTTAAGTCCAAATGAAGAAAAAGTAATGCAACAGAAATCTGCAATACTGTTAAAAGAGACACACTTAATAAAGCTGTTTTGAATTGTTGGAACTGATGTCATTGTTCAGATGAAATAAAAACAGCCTTGGTGATTCAAATTTAGATTCATAAATAACAAAGTGATTATTTACAATTATGATTCAACCTGATAACCAGGCTCACCGTTAAAGCCCTCAGTGTGTGTCACCGTTGAACAAAATAAATAACATGAACATTTCAGGGGTCCGTATTAAACCCAGTGAAGGATGGTTCTTCAGTCGTTGTCATAGATGCAATCTGAAAAGAAAAGTGAACAGCAATAATTAAAGATTAGGCACTGGGAATTAGGCCTGTTGTGTTAGATTTACTGATCAACATACCATCACCAATGTCATCGTAGATATCACCATCACTGTAATCAAGAATGAAACAATCAGCACAGACCTCATTGAGTAAAATCTCTACTTCTAAACATGTGTGAGTGTGAATATGTGAATCTTTCTGTTACTTACTCCGTAGCAATGTAACTGGTTGAAACATAACCAACTGTAAACAAAACAGACGGATTCAAGTCAAGGAAGCAAATATCTCAAACGTGAGGCTGTGCAGGGAAATCAAATGTATATTTCGATCCATCAACGAAAAGCAGAAGTGACTCACATTTGCCCTCCTCGTTCCGACAGATCAGTTTGTTGTCTACGGCTTTAACAATGACGTCAAGTGTCTCTCCTGCTTTGATTTGAAGGTCTTTGCTGCCCCACTTCTTATTATTCAGTGCTGGGATGATGGTCACCTGGTACAACACCTGGATCTCCCCATCATACTGAAAGAGGTCAAATTTGTTTCAACAGTGAATTTGGGTTGAATATTCTTAATTTATTCTTGTTATGTAAGTATTCTCGATTACTTAAAAAAAACTGAAAAACATGACTAATTATGAAAAGAGAAACAAACTTTGAACTTTTTCCTGAACTCCTTCTCCTCTTTCTCCATCTTCTTTTGCTTCTTGGAGTCCATCTCCTCTGTTTTGCTTTTGCCTTTCATGGTCGGAAGGCTGAAAGAAGAAGAGAGAGCGTTTGGTAACATGCTTCACTTCCTGTCTGTAAATGTTTCAGAGATATGATACAAAATTTTTTTAATTTGACATTGATGTAGTTGTACCTGCTGATGGGAGGAAGGGGAGGCGCGTTTTGAGAGTCAACATCATCATATATCTCCTCATCTATTGCTGCTTCTGGCTGATCTGTGATCACAGAGAAAGGACTATATTTTAGACACTTAAAATTAAAAAGCACTTGCAAAAGACACAGTATGACCTGGCCACATTTAATGAAATAAAATGTAAAAATATAAGGAGAGATTGTATGGGAAGTTTGGTTTCTTGACTGGTGAAGCTCAAATGCCAACAAGGGCTCACAAAGTCTGCTTGTTTGAGGAACAGTTTTAAAGATTTGTGAGCGGCCGTCATGTCCCTTCTTTAATAATCTTATAAAATCCATACTGAAGATCAATTTAGAATCAATCTGGGGTTTCAAAACAGCTCATACAAAGTGCTTTTATTGGAATAGTAGAAAAGAGAATCCAGAAAAGAACTTTTCTGAAAAACAAACATCAATATACCTGAGTTCCCCTCTGCTGTGAACTGGCTGGGTGGAGGCACTCTGGCACAACAGAAGAAATAATTTATAAAGACACATAATTTATGTCATCACAGCATAACTAGTTAACATGTTTGTTAATATGGTTCAAAGCAGGCCAAATGAATCATCATGTTCATGGATTACAGCCCCATATTTCAGTGAGTATAGCTGTTAAAACATGCTTTTTCAGTGTTAGCAGACGATGCCTTGATTTGTGATTAGGTCAACAGCCATGCACCATTTACAGTCATGCAAAGAACTTGTAGAATTAGTAGAATTAAAGAAATCTTTCAAAACTGAGGGTTAAAAACTGTTAAATTAATTTGATCCTGCAATTGTGTTCATTTAGAGGTGATAGTAATCCGTTATGATGAGAAAATCAGCTTTTAAAAGGAAGTTATTATCAAAGCTGAGAGGAGAATGGCAGATAGGGATTAAAAACAATGGCAGTAGATCTGTGATCTTACTACTTAGTGTTTTTTTTGTTTACACTTTAGTGCTGACAAGACGTCTGCTTCGCTCCAATATCCGCTGGAAGTTACTGGGCTTTGTAGAAGTCCTGGGATCCAGGGGACTAGAGAGCCAACCAAGGGTTAAAATACCTGCACTTTTCCCCCCTGCGTATCCTTTTTCATTTTAATGTTTTGGAAGTTTGTATTTTTTCTTTCTTTAAAGGTTTAAGCACATCATACAGAAATACTCATTGAGCCGTTACCTGACTTCCAGATTTGGATCGACGACATCATCATATATTTCTCCTCCATCTCCTGGTAGTGGAGGCAGGACAACTACAGGACCGAAGGAAATACATGATGAAACTGATGACATGCACATTCACTGGTTACTGATAAATCATATTATTCTAGCATTTTGAGCATACCTCCTGGTCCTTTGATCCCACTGTAGAGAAAAAAGATTCAATACAAAGATGTGGTTACCAGTCAAATATCACACTAAGAAGGTTGTGGAGAATAATCTGATTTTTGCATGCATGGTTTTAAATTACCATTTCATTATTTTAATTTGATCAGAATAGGTTTTAACAATTACATAGACTGGTATGGTAAATCCCCTCTATCCAAAAACTCTGCTTTTTAATTTGCTGCAGGTAAATTGAACTTGTTGCATCAAATATCCAATTTCAGGAAGCGTATGTATTTCATTTTACATTTATGGAACATGTGCTTAATTTCTGTGCAAAAAGTCTTATTTGACTAAGTATCAGTCTAACAATACAATACAATACAGGAACTAAATCCTGGATCAAAATGTGTTGTACCATTGTTCACAAATGTCAGGACTGATATTGATGTACACTGTAGTTCTGCATGTGATCATTAAGGCATTGGTTAATATAGTTTGACATATAATTTGACATTTCTGTACCTGTTATCAGCTACATCAATGTCATCGTAGACCTCAGGCTCATAGTTCTGTTGAGCAGCTTTGTGATTCTTCAGAGTATTGAAATCGATTTCCACTGATGTCGTCTTTACATAACCAACTAGAGAGGAAAAAAGCAGACTCCATGACCCTGACTATGTTAAACATTGTACAGTTCTGATGTTAATGTTTGCATTTCTGTGGCTTAAATGTAGACGAATTGAATGTGAAAAGAAAATCAGACTGAAACTTTAAATAGACTTTTATGTATTTTTAAATGGAACCCTTAAGATGTCATAGCAAAATTAACAGAAGACAAGTGGACAAAATGGGGGATGACTATTTGAACTTACTGGAGCCGTCCTGTGTCCGTCCCAGCCATTTTCCCTCTGGGTTGCCCTGAACTCGTATGATGTCCAGGCTGTCTCCCTGCTTCAGGGAAAGATCGGTCTTACCGCCTCGACAGTCCACGCGGGCCTTTCCTTTCTGGATCACCTCTAGAGGACCAACCAACTAACACACACAACCCGACACATACACATTACACAAGCAAATAAAGAAAATAGAGAAACATGTGATATAAATATTAAAGAAAGAACAGGTCAAGTACATGCATCGTTGTTCACTATAGATATCACAGGTCTTGAAAAGGAGGCAGGTATCATATGTGCTGATTAAGAAATACTCTGTTGTGGTTTTCATGCTTCGCTATCTGTGGACTATTAGCTTTGTCAAACTTAGTTCAAACGCTGTTACTGTGTGTAAACAGCTCATCTGCAAATGTACAAAGGAGTTGGTGGTGGTTCACTCACTTTGAATTTCTTTCTTGCGTCTTGTTCTTTCTTCTCGCGTTCCTTCTGCTCCTTCTTCTCAGCCTCCAGTCTTTTTTTCTCCTCTTTTTCTTTTATCTTTTCTTGTTTCTGTTCTGCTGCATCCCTGTTAAAATTAAGAGACACCACTCATCAGAGGTAACATTAGACGAGACCAGAGAGACCGTCTTTTTTACATTTCATCAATGGGCTGACAATAAAGTGGTAAAAAAAAACTCATGTTATAGTATTAATGCATATGAATCTCTAAGCAAGGGTTTTTGTTGTAGTTTTAGTCTGAGTTTGGACTCCATGTAACATCATAGGATGATTTTTCCCCTGAAATATTCCCTGAGGAAATACATCAGTAACCATGGTAACCACTGGGGTTAGGGTTCCTTATTTGGGGTGCTTTTGCTCTAGTTTAAACTGATTCTATTTCGGACCATTAGGGGAACCACCAATACTATAGAGCTGTTTGAACAATAATGTGTTTTTCAGCCTTATGTGTCTGTGAATTGCAATAACCAACTTTTATCATGGGTTCTTGAAGTATCCCTGAAGCACCACCAGAGGGTGGTGTTAGGTTTGAACTGGGGTTTTACGCTGATGCTTGTTTGAGCAATGTGAGAAATTTGAGGTGATGTGTTAACTCATCAAAGTCACGTAAATTCCCCACGTAGAGGTGGACAGAGGTGATAGCACATCTTAAATGAGGTGCAATCTCTGTGCACAAGATAAATCTGCTTCACACCCTACAAACCCTTTCCTGCTCCTCAGCACGTGTACATTTAAACTGAATGCAGCTATGATAAAAAACCAAAATAAACTGTCATCTTGGATATGTTGTGAACAGTACACTGTACCTCTGCCTTGAGTGAAGAGTGAGAACCTTTGAGGAATCTACTCAGACTGAAGTAAATGGAAACAGTCTGGTCTAGATAGGATTACTTGTTTGTGTCAATATAGCTAGCTAAAGGTCATCATTATTATAAAGGTAATTTCCTGTTTTCAGTCATCTCTTTAAAAATTTGTAATGTTCACTATTTCATTGAGCTAAAATCAAATACTCCTATATAACATGGTAACAGTCAGCCGCTTGAGACTCTGCCATCTTATCTGCATTTTAAAGGTATGACACGTTTGTATGTCACATTGAAAGAAGCCTCCAAACTGGGACGACCAGTGACAGTGACACAGTTGTTCTACAAGTGCACCCTTTAATGGATGGAGTCCCTAAATGGGGGTACAGCGAGAAACTTCTGGATCTCCTTTTACTTCTTTGCCTCCTCTTACGTCCAGCAAAGAAAACTTCAGGGTCATGTAAATGAGTAACTCTGGAAGATCCTGGGGTCAGATGCCCTGAAATTTTTGAGGTACCAAAGCTTTTCAACTTGAATTTGTTGGTTAACGTTGAATAAGACACTCAATAAGTCCATCCACAACATGATAATCAAGAATCGTATTTTTTAAACTTGTGGATAGCGCTAAAGGTGGGGGCGATGTGGAGGGGTCTCTTACCATCGTTCATCAAGATCCTCATACATCTCCCCGTCATCATCGTCACTCTCCACCTTGGCCAGAGAACACATGAAAATGATCGTATCACCTTATGATGAACTAATTTGGCATGTGCCCAATTTACACTTGTGTATATTTTGTGAGTGTGTGTGTGTGTCTGTATTTCAGTGTCTCACCTTCCCCCTCTGACTTGGATGACCTAAAGTGAAACAACAAACATTACTTAGACTTTGACACTTTTGGAGTATGACTTCAACATGTTTTCACACTCTCAAAACTAAACTGACCACCGCTCCCCCAAAGAAGGAAACAACTCGATGCTTCTTTGACCTATCAAGATGCTTGTCAGTGCCTCCTGTTATATGTAGGCAGTGCAAAGTTCAGCATCACACAGTCATTTTATATCTTCCTGTTATACTGAGAAAAATTATCAAAAATAACATCACATGGTTGTTATGAAAGATTACTTTTTTTTTTTAATGGTGAGTATTACTAAACCTGTTGTTGGTGGTAGAGGAGGAGGAGGAGGGCTGCTGAATTCATCCACATCATCGTAAAGTTCTTCTTGAGGAGCCCTGAAATGCAAAGCTTGGATTGACCAAAAAAACACAGTAGACGTGTGTTTTTGTGTTTGTTTATCAGCATGAAAGTGTGACTTACATGGTTCCAGGATGACGTGGGGGCAGACTAGGAAGTGCAGGCGGCGGCGGGGGTTGAGCCGGGGTCACATGGTTGCTATTGTTACTGGGTTGAGAGGTCAAAGGAGTCGGAGGGACGAGTTTCTTAAATTTGCCAGGGCCTGTGACAAAAACATGCCATGTTACAGAAAGAATTCAAGTGTCTTTGAAGACAATCTTACTTAATGAATGTGTTGCTGTGGCGATATGTGGGTTGACGGACAACTTTTCAATCCCAATAAGGAGAAAATATTAGATTTATTTGGCAAAAACACGTCCCAAGCAGGTCCCAAAATGCAAATATGAAAAAAACTGTGGTGAGATGCCTCCACCTCTTGCTTTAATTTGGATGGACTTCCTGTTTTTCTTGGTTTCCCTGGTCTGGCTTGACTCTTTTTCAGAGCACCCTCCCCCTCCCCGGTCGCTGAGGCTGAGTGAGACTCCACACCTGCACTGCATCTACAATCAAGGCCCTTTAAGAAGCCAGCAGCCCTCAGTCTCAGCGCCTGAGTATTGTCTTCACTCCTGAGTGGTACAGACGTGTCGCCTAGCCTTCTTTTCGGATAAGTGCTTGTGACTTTTTGCTCCCTGTGAATTTTTGTATGTTGTCTCACTCCCATCTCCTCTGTTTTTCCACAGTGTCTCCAGCCCACACAACAGCCAGCCAGCAAACCGGACTTTCCTCGTGTCTTTTCCCCTTGAGTTTGGACATTAAACTTACATCTTTAATTTGCTATCTGCCTCTGTGTCTGCTTCTGGGTCCTCAAAATACACCACATGCCACAAAAACACTAATTTACAAATAAAAGTACTGCATCTGAAATGTTGAAACGTCCATTGTTTTTTGTTTGTAAAATCATTTTCAAAACAGAGAGTATGTTTTATATTTGTATATTTATTTGTATCGAGTGAAAGTAATGACCAGGTGATTGTTTTAATGTCTCGTCTGCTTCTTCTTTCACCCTGTCGAGATATTTTGCACAGTTCCCTACTTGCTGTAGCTTACCCCTCACCTTATTACAGCTTGTGGAGGTATTCAGGCTTCTGAACAAGTGAGGAAGTGTTTGTGAAGTTTACTGCTACAGACTTCTTTAACTAACCAAGCTATGGTAACAACATCAAAGGCGTCAGGTGTCTATATTTTTCACCCACGGTCTTTCCTCTCTAAATGGAGATTCCTTTAGATGAGCTATGTCTCTATAAACAGAGCTGTCTGCTGACATGAAACTCTCCCTGTTTGCAGGAACTCACTTCCCCATGCCGTGAAAGAGACTCAGCTGTCAGAGCGCAGGGCGAGGGGGGAGGAGAAAAGAGAAACTGGAAAGGGAACTTGTCTGAGGAAATAGAGGAACTTAGTGTGTTTTTGTGACTTTAATCTTTGATCAGAAGCACAGAACAAATATGCTGCAACTTCTACGTAACTGACAATACATTTGTACAAAATCCATGTTCAGATCCTGTCGAAAGGATTGCAATAAAAGGGCTTTTTGTGCCGTCAATTAAGGGGAAGTTGCTCTCTGTTTGGATAGATGACCCACGGTCGACTAAAAAAACTGCAGGCTACAAAGTGTGAACATCACTGTGACCACATTTACTTGTGAAGCATCCCCTTTTAACACCTCAGATGTACTTTCACACAAAGATGCCCGAGTGATAGAGAGGAAACCTCATGTTTTTTCAGACTAGACTAGACTAGACTAGACTTTGGCTAGACATGTACAATGTTTACCACATTCTACCTTTATTATACTAAGACCATTAATTCAGCTCATCTCAAAACAATCCTGATTAAAAAACTGCTTGCTTCATGATGTGGAATAAAGGATGCTGGTATCTATTGCAGATTTTGATTTTGCTGTAGTGCTTGCACACTGTGAAGGAACTGGAGACTGAAGATATAGTGTACAAAGCAGAAAACAAAAGCTGAAATTCAGGCACAAAAAGTGAAACTATTGTCTGCGGGGTGATTTGTCATCTCTCCTGATATCTCCTTCCTCTGTCTGACCTCTGATTTTCCAGATGTTTGTGAGCAAAGTATGTGTTCATTATGATAAGATGGAAAGACAAGAAAGAGATGGTTTTTCCATCTTAAGTCTGTGGTTCTTTTGTGGGTGAGTTATGCTTTATTTCTTTTTGTCTGTATGCCTTTTTTGTCGTAATCATTCTTATTTACATGTTTAAATTCAGTCCGGCAATATTTATTAAAAAAAAAGCCACTGTCTATGCCACTTTTAACTTGATGCCAACTAAAAGCAGAAGCTCATCACTTCATTTGAATGATGAATGCTTGATACGTACGTGTTTTCAGGGCCCTAGTAGTGTGTTTGCATAATTTCAAGACACCAAATGTGACACTGTTTTCTTCTAAAGACCTTTTAAGGAGTTGTTAATTCATTGGAAACAGATTAAAATCGATAGGGTTGCCTCTTTGTGGCCTACAAACGCAAACAAGACTATCAACAGCGAGACACATCATTTCTAAACCGCAAACGCCTGCAGCGACTCTGAGGGGGTGGGTGTTAGGTGAAGTGACAAGTGTGCAATGAAGAAATGGCCTTTTATGTTTCCACAAGCAAAAATCACAATGAGTGATATATTTGACGGTTAAAGAAGCAAGCTAAGGATCAGTTAGAGATTTGTACAGTGGGTATAACTTTATCATCAGAGAGCGCCAAAATCAGCACATACCTGAAGTGAATCCAGTCATGAAATACTGATGAACTGTTACTGATACAACAATTCTTATTACAGCCTGCAGCGTAGTTCAAAGTTATTCATTATTCAGTTTGAAGTTAGTAATTAATCTGATTGGATGATAATGTGTTATTGTCGTGTGCTGCAGAAATACACCGTGAAAATGACTGAAAATTTAAAAGAGAAATGTTGATCTCATTTTCTTTCTTTCTTTTCTTTGAGCTCAGGCCCAAACAGGCTCTTTAATGTGTTACATGTTGAAAAGGTCATGTGGAGGAGAATTTGTGGTGTCACATGTAAAAAGTCTCAGTCCTTGTTTAATCTGATTGAATTAAAAATGGAAAAAGCAGCAGGACTGGATAAGAGGTTTACTTCATCCTGTACTAATTTGGAGCTGATGTTATGAACAACAGCACAACAAAGTGTGTTATTACTTATGTATGAGATGCAACAAGCTCAACTCACCTTCACCCGAAGCCTCAACACCTCTTTTGAAGCTCTCCAGGTTGACTTTGGGAGGTCTGTTGGGTTTGGCAGGAGGAGGGCCCAAAGCTAAAGTGTTGGGTAGAGGGTTACGTTTTGGGCCTGTGGTGGCATCACTGTTGACTTTGCCAAATTGGGTTTTGGTCTGTGACGGCTTCTTGATGCTTGGTTTAGCGGCCAGAGGTTTGGGAGGAGGAGTGGAGTTAGCGGCAGAGATCGGTGGCTTAACAGCTTTGTCAGGTTTGACATCCCCATCTATCTTCTCAGTCTTGTCCATGTCTTTGTTGAACAGGTTTTGAGCGTTCTTAAAGTTGGACGCAGTCTTAAAAGCCGGAGTTGGCACAGGGGCGGGTTTGTTGGCTGTGTCTGTATTGGATCCGGCCATTTCTTCATTTTGCTGTCGTAACTTTCCAATGCTGCTGCTCGGTTTTTGTTGTAATGGGATTTTGGGTGGTGTTGAGGTGGTTGTACTTCCACTGTTGTCCTCTTTGACCCAGCTGGGCTTGGAGACAACTGCTGGAGATGGTTTAGGAAAGGTCGGTTTGGTGTCGGATAAAGTGTGGCTCAGGGAGGGCTTGTTGAAAGGAGGCTTCTGCAGGGGGGGTTTACTCTCAGTTGCCTGGGAAAGAGATGGCTTAAAGGGTGTCTGCTGTTTATTACCAATGAAGGGTTTGTTGTTGGTTTCATCCAGGGTGCCTCCAAACCTGCTAGCCAGGGCTTTAGTTTTGTTTGGTTCATGAACATCCGTGTCACTTTTAGTTGATACAGTGTTTTTAAGATAAGAAGGAGGTTTAAGAGGAGTAGTTATTGCACTGCCTGAGAGGCTCTCCAGGACAGGTTTCTTTGTCTGGATGGTTGGACCAGAGGAGAGAGTGGGGTGCAGGGGTTGTTTGGGGCGTCCCACTACCGGTGAGGGGGTCTCATCAGTGCTCGCCCCACCTGCCTGGAAGCGGGCCATCATGGCCTTTACGTCACCTTTGTTATTCTGTGAAGAACAGAAAGAGAGAGAGAGAGTTCATGTCCAGAAGTGAAAATAGATTTTCAGATCTGCTGAAGATAGAAATGCTTCAGCCAAAAAGCAGAAAAGAAACTGCTGCACAAAGCAATACAGAAATAAATGAAATTCCCACTTTGACCAACTTTGACATAATTTCTTTACAGGGCCGATCACAACCCTAAATCCTGACTTAGAACTAACAGATCCCTCTTCAATTACCAAAATAAAAGCCTTTTTTTTACTGAGACAATTATTTTTATAACGTGACTTTTCAGGGCATTGTTAATGTTAATCTCACATGACACTGAAATACAAAAAGCATAGACAATATAATGTGTATCAATAGCAAACATGATAATTCAAAGAATAAATCAGACTCTTATGATTAAAGTAGTAAAGAAACATTCAAGAGAATGTCTAACATACAAGTTTTGCAGCGCTTAAAAGAAGATGAGCTCTGGGCATTTCAGTAGGTGACAGTAGGGACTTTATTATCATTGCTTACCTTTTATCATAAACACCTCAGTTTATATCATATCTGTTCTTCCAGCATAAGTAATCAAACGGAGGAGAAGGGGATATGTTTACGCCTGATTCAGAGGGTACAATAGTTTGATTGTTTGCGTTTGGTGAGTTTGGTGTGGCATCAGTCAGACTGCCTGATGTGAGTGTCACCTCTGTCCAACAGAGCGGCAGCCACACCTTTATTAAGAGCAGGCTTGTTTGACCAGAGCCAGAGACACCAAACCAGGAAGTGAGATTGTGTGTGGAGATAATGATTATGAGGACACACAGCTGCAATTATTCCAACAGTCACACGGTCACAGCGAGGGAAAGGACCAGCAGAAGTACAGAATTACCAAAAATGACTCTAAATGGGAAGTAAAACTGATAGGAAGTTCAGGTTTGGTTTTTCTCACAGTAACTGCAGAGCAGAAAGTGTAAAAACACTTACAGCACAACATGCAGCCGCCAATTAGGGAGAGGAGTTTTATTTAATTTTAGACTTAACTAATCGCAGAAATGAGGAAACTGAAGAAGAAACTGAACAGCTTCGACTTAAGTTGAACAAGACATTAAATGAGTTAACTTTGTTCAATAGTAACCTTGTTTTTTAAGTTTCCCAAAGATAAGCAAACGTGCATGCAACAATGCTGATTTCATTATTCTGAAAAAACTCTCAACATCGCAACCAGTGGGAGAAAGATTTATGCTACGTCTAAGTGATTTTTAAAATTTGTCCACAGCTTAATTTACTCTGCTGGAGGAGGCAGGATTTATGACCTAAACCGCAACCAGTCACCAGGGGGTGCTGTTATCGCAGAGGCAGACAACGTCCATTGTATACACAGTCTATGGTGCCTACCCATCAGTCCAGTCAGCTTTGCAGAAGCAAAACTTCAAAATGAACACATACAATGAGCGTGACCAAAGCCTGACCAGCCGTGACCAGTTCAGATGAAAACCTTTTTGAACATTAATAAACATTATTTATTCTTGCTGTAAAGCCAGCCTAAAGCGGACACCTGACAAACTGCTGTTTTTAGCACTTCTGCATCAGCTTCATTTCTCAAGACCGGACGTTGCCGCTTGAAACCACTCTTTCATTTTCTTTTAGCTTGTGTCATTAAATAAGCACTCAGTGTTGAATAGATTATAATATGTTTAAGAAGTTGATGTTTTAAAATAAGATTGACCATCAGAAATGCTCCGTAGGTTTGGTTCATCATCAACCAGAGGAGCCTGTTCAGTGACAGACCGCTCCTTCCTAACAGCAGGACTAACAGACTGAAAAACTCCTTTGTCCCTCATGCCATCAGACTGTACAACTCCCCTTTGGTGAGGAGATGAAGAGGTAACAGGAGGACAGAGGATGGGAAGGAGCAGCAGTCGTAATTACTTATTAGACCATTCTGTTTTTTTCCTGTACACACTGTACACTGCCGCTGGACTTTTAACTTCCCAGAGGAAACCTTCCCAAAGGAATTTAATCTAATCTAATCTAATCTAATCTAATCTAATCTAACTGTTCGTAGAAATTGAAGAATTTGTGGAAGGTATCCACGAAACTTTGAAGAGTTAAGGTTAAATTGCGTTATAATGACTGTGGTGTATTTTTATTTTTTAAGCCATATCAGACTGTCCTACTCTTAATCTATCAAAATTTGTGTTTTGTGTGGATTTAATGACAACAGTAATATCCTTGCATTGGTGGCATGACAAGGCTAACGTGACGGAATATGAAATCAGAAGTAAAGAAATAGAGGAAAGTTCCTTTATCACACTTCTGTTTTTTAACCACAGCAAACTCGAAATTACCCAATACCAGACAGTTGCGTCTCTTCTCTAAACATTCGTGCACTTACAATTTTTGTACGACCCGGTGTATTCTGTAAATTTGGGGAACTTCGTCAAGAATAATGAAACACAACTCAAACTATAGCGTTGTTGCTACTTATAATCTCCTTACAGTTATACCGACACGTCTCTGAAACTGATTTTCATAAAGGTAGGATTTACAGTCCCGATCTTGTTATTAAGCAAAACTGAAAACAAACTGTACTAGTACAGCTCAGGCCTGTATACAATTTGAAGTGCGTGGTCACTTGCATACGTAGCTATGTTGGACACAAAGATATTAACCACTCATTGGTTGATTCAGCTTCTCGTGTTGTTAATAGAAGCAACACGAGTTGCTAAAAAAAAAAACAGGACTTTTGAAAGGGGTCAAGAGAAAAGGATCAAATCTTCTGGTCAAAGCAAAGAGGAACCTTTCTGTCTTTTTCCACTGTGATGAAAAGCAATGGCTGAAGTTGTCTTACTCAATAGATGTATGTCAAAAACACCTTAAAAATTACTATCAGTGACTTCTCCTATTTTTTTTACACAATGAATGTGAAGAAATATAAAAGGCATACATATCAAACACTGGTCTTCAACACTATCTCGAGGTGAATAAAAGCCCTTATCTCCACAACATACTTTAAAGTCTGCTCTGTTTTGTTGAATGTAAGGGTGTCATGTGACCTCAACAGATCCATGTGTACAAGAACAAATGACTAGTTTTGGTTTTGGTACAAACTCTTAACATCCATTTGAAACAAGGCAGAAGAAATGTAGAAAAAGTGAGAGCAAATACTCATGATTGATTTCTTCTTCTTTAAAAGATGTCATTGTACTCACCATTCTGAGGACAGAAACCCCGGCCCCTCTATCCTGTCCGAGTGGTTGGTGTAAAGTGAGCGTGTTTGTTCAGTCTATCAGCGAGAGTTTCTGCCGCTGTCAAAGAGAAAGGCACCGAGAGGTAGTGAATGACAAAGTGACTAAGCACTGAGTGAGCATGTGTGTGTGTGTGTGTGTTTGTATGTAGGGGGATGTATACGCTTGTTCACCAGTAACTTGACAACTTCCTCTCTCTGTAATGTGTGTTTAGTGTGAGTGTGTGTGTCACAGCCTCTGTTATCTGTGTGTCCAGATCGTGTTGATTTGCCTATCCCTGACTAACTCCAAGCAGTTTCCCTCTGTGCTCAAATACTGATGCCCACTCTCTCACTTACTGGCACAACAGGAACAGTTTATTCATCAGTACTACTCCTCTCTATGACATGGAAAAACAGTGGAAGAAAAACATGAATGATAAGTACATACGTCAAATACATTTCTGCAAGGCAAGGTAATGTAAGTTTAGGTCTGTATCACTACTGCGATATGAACACAGTAGATTTACTTTGTCTGATAAAATAACTTCTGTGAATCTTAGAAGTATGTTTATTTTTATCTATTTTATGCATATCAAATCTACTGTGTATACACTTGAAAAATCAAACAATTCATGGAAAACATTTTTTTTAAATCATTGGTCATAAACAAACATCTATAATCCACAGGTATACTGCAGGTGTTCGAAATAAAGAGCATACAGTAACTGTCATTTGGCTACAACCTTTAAAATTGATAACCCCCATAGATTAAAACATGACACAATATAAACATCATGTTGTGGTGGTTATAAATTATCGAATTAATACTGACAGGTTTTGCAAAAATGTGAGTCTGCTGTCTGATCAAAGAGTTTGAATATCGACACAAATAATCACAAATGTGTTTGTGTTGAAATACACAATAAAAACAATACCTTTGTTTCTTACTGCAAAGGTTACTGAAGATTAAAGATATAGAAGTGTCTGAAAGGTCATTATGGTGAGATTAACTGTAATACAGGAACAGAGGCAGCAGTTATAACTTTAGACAAATACATACCACAACACAATACATACAACTTTTCTTCAGCCTTGACATTTTCCAACATTTTCTGAGTTTTTACTTAAGAAACTTCATGTAACTAATGAGATTCATTTCCAACAAGTTGGTAACATCGCTGTAAGAAGGACCTTCAGAGTGTAGAAGGACCCTAGCCTGGCTGGGCCATCCTGTTGCGTGAATCACTTGCTGTTCCTTCCCAAGTGATCGGCAAGTGATTCACGCAACAGGACCATGCTAGAGGGACCCACCACCTTGTCATCAGCTCCCAGTTCAAAGGATAAGGGTGAGGGTTACTCTGAAATGAAGTAAAGATGAAAATATTGGAAAAAGTGACCAAAAAAAAAACGCTTAAACCATGTAGAAAGGTGTTCAGAGTTATTTTTTCATTGGATGTTGTCACTCAGGATTTGAGGAAAATTTTCATTTTGCAAAAGTTTCTATCTATAGACCCTCCAGTTATTGGTTCTTCGGATCAAAGTTAACAAAAAAAAAAACACAAATAAAAAGTAGAACAGACCATGTCAGGTTCAACCTGTTCTTGAGACTTTGGCTCCCCGACTACTCTTAGACACCTCTTATCCTTTCAGAGCGGACTTTAGACTTTCCTTTAGGATACAGTTTAAAGCTGGGGGGGGCTCAGGCTCAGACCGGCTCACAGTTTCTCTGCTATAGGCTCAGAGCTTAGGTCTTACCCACAGAAAGACAGGTAGGAAGGAATTTTGTGAGGCCATTTATTTGAAAACACACAAGAACAATGTACAGAAAAACACATCAACAAGCTAAAGACGTGACCAAATTATTCATAAAATTACACTGTTATCAGCCAAAGTACATTTCAGTTAATTGATATCAAAATTGTAAAATGATTAAGACAAATGGGAAAGTGGAGAGAAACAGGTTTTAACAGGTATAAAATGAGGTTAAAAAAAAAAAAAGTTATGTTAAAATTTTAGTTAAAACCAAATTTACATTAAGACCTCCAACGTGGCAAACCAGACAGTGGAGTACAATCTTCTTAAAAATATGTTTTCACTGGGTTGACTCAGTACTGGACACACATAAAGCCTGTTTGATTAAAAATGAAGGAAGATTTGATTTTTAGCTCTAGTTGGAGCTCGTTTGCATCTTCCCCTGAAAGAGTAACTCAGGGACGGATTAAGAGTGAAGTGTTAAGGACGATTGTGCTGCTGCATTAAACTAGAACTGGAGTCTTGGGTAAAAAGTCCCAGTTTCTACACTGTACACCAGTTAATCAGTGATCATGTTTTTAAAAAAGCACATAACTTTTTCAGGGTTAAGTTACAGATTTCAGGTGCTGGAGAAAAACACACATTTGCAGTGTGTCCGTCTTCCAGCTGTACTGGATGGAGTTGAAATGTTTAGATTGGGCCTTCACCGCCTCCTTTTTTCTTCCCATTTCGAGCCTGGAACAAGATGGAGACTAAGACTGCAGCGAGCAAGAGGACAAAAAGACAGATCAGTGCACTCCACGCTGCCGGGGTCAGGGCCTTCCTCAGCCCCACTGTCTCTGCAGGTAACAGGTTGCTCAAACTCAGCATGTAGCCCAGAGCCCAGCCCACTGAGGTGTCCCCCGCCTGAAGATCAACAAACAAAGACTCTGAGTAGCTGGAAAATAAGCCCTTATTGACCGATATACAAATGTGCTTCTAGGGTGTGCTTTCAAGTAATGGTGAAGCTCTCACCTTCTTCTGGAAGGAAATGCGTGGGAATGATGTCTCATCAAAGCCGTAGCCTCTCAACATGAGGACATTAACATAGACAGAGGAAGCGCAGTAGTCCTGCAAACGAGGCTTCTGCTCCGGAGCGAGACGCAGCAGCTGAAAACAAGCAAACAGGGAGAGTTGTTTACAGGTGCAAGCTATTCTCATTTCTGACTGAACAAGACATGAAAGCTTTTTTAGGCTATAAACAACTGTGCTAAAAGCTTGAGGCATGCTTAAGTGCTCACAGTGACAAAGCTCGGATGCTGATATTCGGCTTTTACGGTGTTCACCACATTCGCTGTTTTAGAGCTCAAATGTGAAGTTTTAATAACAGAAACACACCTGAGATTGGTGACTGTTAGTTTGGCAGTTTCATGGTCAAGGATTTTGTCATAATAATCTTTAAAAAGAGAAACAGACTAACAATGTACGACAAGTAGCTGTTTTTTCTTGCCAATGGACCCATGAAATCTCTATGAAATGTGTTGGTCTGGACAAAGATGGGAACAGGGGTAACTGAAATTCTGTGAATTGAAATTCAAGGTGACCTAGAAATCTTGACATGTGTACAAAACAAAAATACTAGGAATAAAACTAGCAACTTTAAGGTAAGTGACAACATCTCTTGGAAAACTCAAGTTAAAGTTGCAGGACTGGCTGAGTGAAAAGTAAAGGTCCTTACACACTAGGCGCGAATTCGCCAGGCGAATTTTTCGCCTTTATTCGCCTTTTTTTAAAACAGCATTAAGTCAATGCAAGCTTCCACACCGGCTGTGATTTTTCCGCAGGGCAATAAGCGTCTTTTATTTTTTCGCTCGTGTCGAATTTTTTGGAGATTCGCAGGTGAATATCTGGACCTGCTAGACCTCTGGCCAATCAAAAGTCATATTGTTGATGACATCACAGACCCATGCGGCTGCAGTTCACACGACACACACCACCACCGGCACCAAGAGCAAAGATGGGAGAGAGTGTGTACCACAGAGTGGTCACCCGGTGTGTATAAGCGAAAGCGATTTTTCGTACCGGCGAATATTTTCGCATTTTCGTCTCGCTTTTTTGCTTCGCTCTGCAAATTCACTGGTGTGTAAGGACCTTAAATGTCAACAACAAAGTTTTGGATAAGTGGACCTCATACATGTAGAGCTTTTATTACCTGTGGCTGTTGAATAAGCCACAAAAAAGCTACTGATTTGACCTCACTGGAAATGTTAAGTTAAATACTAATATACCCAGCCAGTCGTAGGCTACTGCAACTTTATATGGCTGTTGGGTAATATGCATGATAATTTATAGTTAGCTGATGGTATGTAAAATAAAAACCTGGCAAGTCAAGACCCGAGAGGAAAGCAGAAAGGTCACAGAGTATCAGTAAAAGGGAACTTTACTTGATCGAAGCTCATGTTGCACACACTTCTGGCCGCCTCCTCCAGCCGCGTAGGAGAGTTCACAAAGATGCCAGAGGTGCGGTTAAGGAAGGAGTGAGTGTAGAAGAAAGCAGAGAACGCCTGATGATAGAAAAAAAGAGAGTAACAGGAAAAATATTATGGATAATGAACACTAAATTTTGTTTTTTAGAAAGTAGAAACCTTCAGTTAAGTGCCTGTCCAAGCAGGAAGTTCTCCATTGTCACCGTGTCGGCAAAACTTCACAAAAGACACACAGAGGTGTCATTTCCTCAAGATCATTTTTCTTTCAGTCATTTTTAATCTTCAATTTTTAGATATTTTGAGATAGAAGCTTTTGGGTTGTGGCAGTTTTGGAGCCCCCTGCAGACAAATAGTATAATAATATATCTAACACATTCTTCATGGTTCTTACACGAACAGTCACTATCATGGACATAGTCGTGTTTTGTCCTTGCCTTTCTTGTCTCATTTTTGGATCTGTCTGCCTTTTTGTGTACCGAACTCTGCCTGCAAATAAACCTTGCTTTGGGGTTTTGGAACCAGCTCTGTGTCATGCATTTGAGTTCTCCCTGTTCTGTAGCCTAGTTCATGACAGTCAATGTATAATCAGGGTCATCCTACATAGTGTCAATATGATTTTTTGCCCCTAGGGGGCACTGTATTCAACAAAAAGCAAAAGTTCCTCATGGTTGCATAAACTAGGGTGACCATACGTCCTCTTTTACCCGGACATGTCCTCTTTTTTGGGGGGCTGTCCAAGCTTGTTCGGCTTTGTCCAGGGAAGTTTATTAAATCCTTCAAATGTCCGCGGTTTTGTACGCAAGTTTCAAGTTTGTGTCACGTGGTCTTACTGAGTTAGAAGCATTCGATCCGATCCGAGAAACTCTCATAATTAATTTTGTGTGACTCTGTGACTCCGCCCCTGTGTAGTTGTGTCCGCTTTTTGGAAAGTCAGAATATGGTCACCCTACTTAAACCAAATATGATCTTGTGGACTGAATGCCAGTGACGTTCTTGCTTGTATGATGTACATTCATCTTAGTTTGGCACAATCTTTAACATTCATAAGCAGACTTAATAAAAAAAAAAGTCCCATGTGTCTTTCTTACCATGAAGTTGCCGGTGATATTTGGCTGAAAGACTTTATCGAAGGAGCACCGGGAGAAGGGGCAGCCGTCAAAGGAGAAGATCTCAGACACGTTGCCCAGACACTGTTCATAATGTCCGCTGCCCTGTACTGTCAGGGAGGCCTCAGGGTTGAAGGGGTTGGGTCTGTACTTATCTGTACATGAGGAATCGAATATGCTGCTCAGCTTTAAAGTTTGACTGTGGCCTGCAGGATAGCAGGGGTGAGTGACGGAGCCAGAGAAGCCCTGAGACTGAGAGACAGACAGAGAAAGACAGAGAGTTATATAACATGTTCTCTTGGCATTGATACATGTTAACTAAACTCATTATAATCTCTTAAATGAACAGGATTATGACAAATGCGACTTAATGAGTTTTCAAAGTTTCTTAAAGGAATATTCCAGCGTAAAATTAATTTAGTTAGACACCCCCTTGAGAGATGAATGTTGCCGACCGCTTGCTTCTCTAGTTATACCAATTTTAGTAACGACCGCAGGATTGTAAATGATCATAAATGTTCTTCCTTGAGCTGCGTAACCCCGGAGCAGTCCATAAAGGAATTGGCCCGAGGTCACGTTACAAATAAGCGGCTGTTGGAAGAGAGTAGGTGAGTTGTGTTTAGTCTCTTTGCTTAAGAATTTGGGCAAAGTTAAAAAGATGTTTGGTGGCTTGTGCTATGACTGGGACCCTATATGTTCTGTTGATGAAGTTAGGTGCTGTTCTGAGCATTATTTGTAGCTATAGAGTGGCGTTTTGGTTGAGGTTTGTTTATGGCTCCTCAGTCCCCTGTGTATTGCTATCCTGCGGTCGTTGGTATAGTTGGTAAAGTTGGTATAACTAGAGAAGTGAGCAGTCGGCAACATTCATCTCTCGATGGGGTGTCTAACTCGGTGTTATGGTGTGTTTGACCCTAAATTAATTTTACGCCGGAATATCCTTTTAAGTTGACTCATTATGATAGAGGGATTATGACCAGACCTATGGTTCCATGGCTGATATTATGGTTAAATCTTATAAAAGCCAAACTGTACTGTAGTAACATCTAATGAAAGTAAACATATTTGTCAAACCAGGGAGTTCTGAATCAGAATGAATTAAACCAAATTCAATCTGAAATTTCAGTATGGGCGTGTATTTTACTCAAAAAACTTAAAAACTTAAAACCTAAAATTAAAGAGATAATAATCTCTTTTTTTGTGAATGAACAAAGCTGGCTGTATTTTCAGGATTTCATGAATGTCTCTACAACGTCTCACCATGGCCAGCCTGAATGCATTTCAGGTGCATAATTTTATATCTGTTAAGCATCCTTTTCTTTTGGCCTCACTGATCCTTGAGAAAGACTGCATGGTCCAGCAGATCATAACAGGCACATAAATGCAGGTGCATGTGCAAAATTGCAGCAAAAAAATACAAGATATTTAAGACAGACATTTCCCAGCACACAAACCCAAAATGAAACATAGCTGGCATTTAACCAAACAGTTACAGTAACAGTCAGTGTGCCTGTCTGTCAGTCAAGTGAGCCATGCCCTTAATTCGTTGATCTTGAATCCTGAATAACGTTGACAGTGTTAAAAAAACAACCACTCCTTGTACCAGGGGTGCCGAGGCAGCCCAGAGCTTCTCAGACCAAAGCTGTTTTTTGAACCAGGCTGGAAATTTGTTTGTTTTTTGTACCCCAAAACAGCTTCTTTGGCTTAGTGTGTATGTAGTTTCTGGTGCTTCTGCAGACAGCCTCAAGACGACACTACGAGAACTGCAGTTTTTAGCACCTCCATCTCTCAAGACCAGTGGTTGCTAAGTGAGATCTCGTGATTTAGGTGGATAGATATCTCAATAATCTTTGTATTTTGTGTGTTTTAACCATCAATGGGGTGCAACACAACAATTGTTCAAACAATATTTTACAGTGAACAGAAGTTGGTATAAGCAGCCTATAACACTACCTTGAAAATGTGAGCCAGCAGTCTCCTGAGGACCTGGATCTGTCCGTAGCACAGGAAGCTGTGTGTGTACAGAGAGTACTCCTGACCGTAGAGCTGCAGCTTTACCCCGTCCTGTTTTTCCTCCACCTCCTCCTTGGTTGCAAACGTTATCTGGGTCGACGCCCCGCCAAAATCAAGCGCTCCCACTGTGGGCCTGCCAGAGCTGAACCAGCGCCCCACGAAACCATACTGCAGGAAGATAACAAGAGGAGTCAGCAGAAATGTACGTTAATATCACATAGAGCAGCTGTCACTCTAGATTAGTGGGCTCTGATAACTGAGGGAATAATTATACAGTTTAACGCGTTTGATGCTTGGTGTTGCAGGAACCACTAGGTGTCATCAGTAAAATCAGCTTTCAAGAGACAGCTGTCTCCACTCTGTACCGTGCTGATGACAAAAACACACCTCATAGCGGTTATCATACCTTTATGAAGTTTTCTAGGAGGTAGTTGACAGTAACCCAGCCGTACGCCCCCTCCTCCTGACCACTCAGTATGGCTGCACCCCGGTAGTTGAAAGGGTACGACTGGATTTTGTGGCCCACTTCCATCAGGATCTGATCGGACTGCTCCGGTCTGGACATACTGAGAAATAGCAGCCATTTAACTAAATCATTAAACTGAGCAAGAGTATTAAACATACTTAATTTAAAGACCATTATTTCAAAACGAAATGCTTCCATGAAATTCTCCTGCAGTTACACATTTATTTACATTTCCCATTAAGACCAGAGACAATTAGATGATTAGTAACAACATCGTTATTGCTCACATGATTGAGATGAATAGTGATGATTATCACTGACTCTAAGGGCCCTATTCAAAGGATCTAAAATGCACAGTCTAACTGCACGGCACAAAGGGGTGGAGGGGGAGAGCTCAGAGAAGTTGTTCTAAGATCCTTGATTGTATACATTATTATTAACTAACTCTGATGTAGCTGACTTCAAAGAAAGGTCACCTTTTTATCTTTATTCGCTCATTTTTGCTGCTGGATCACATTGCTGTATTCTCTGCTGTATACTAAATGGATAGGGGTAGTAAAACCAGTGTCTTCTTCAGCTCCAGTAACAACCATTAATTACAGCGCATAAGAAAAATAAAAGGATATTTCCCTCTGAGTGTGAGTATCGCTGTCTGTCTGTGCAGGAAAAGTAGAGGATTACATGCTGTAAACTCTTACACCACCTCACTCATGTTTACTCCAAACAGCAGGAATACCCTGCCCAACGAGAATAAAGCTTCAGACCAGGTTTTTGTTGGTCTAAGGTGCAGGCTCTCTCTGCATTCTCAAGATAGCAACACACAATCTTTGCCCCTGACCGCGCGCCCTTTTAATACTAATACTAATGTGGGTGCAACTTAAATGTGTGCACTGGCCATTGTGCATTGAGAGGAAAATAACATCACAGTTATCAATGAAGGAGGCCCTCAGTTTCAAATTGTTCAAAATAGATCAATTATAGAAAACTAACTATGACTGAAGAACCCGGACTCAGGCTGTTTTTAGAACCAGGCTGTAAATATTTTCAATTTTGCTGTTAAAATTAGCATTTTAACACAAATGGTAATAAGAATTCTACAGCTTTTGCATCCAGCTTCAAGTAGACACTAAAGGATCAGCTGTTTTTTTCAGTAGTAGTAGTAGCAGTTTTTTTTCACTGGACTCGCATTTCACTGGACTCATATTTCAACGTAGAGGTTCCACTCAGCAGAGAGGCTGTGGGCTTGATTCAACCTTGTCCCTTTGCTACATGTCCCCTTACACTGGATCCTGTAGGACAGTGCCATCAATATATAACTGAGATGATGTGCGTTGTTTAGAGCTATATACTTATAAAATAAGTATCATGTGCAGAGGAGGCAGGTTGTTGTCTCTCATTGAAATTTCAGGACACATTTGCACTGAGCGAATGATTTCCATATTCACCCACGATGGTGCGATTTGGCAGCTGTCTGCAGCAGATTTGCATGAAGTCAAGTCTCATATGTCAGGATACTGACAGTCTGTCAAAACATTTTACGCTCTCGAAGAATCATGAGGAGTCACACCATGTTATTCAATAAACATCAGGTGCATAATAGATTAGGAGGAGGATGCAGATAGTTAGAATCTGAACACTGCCAAGACAGCAGTCATGAGACACGACTACATCCTGTCAGGGGAGTGATATATGTGCTATCATACAGGTATATAAACAGTTTGTTCATTTCATCTTGTTCTGAAAGCAGATAATATACAGTATCCTCATTTAAACAGATAAGAACAGATAGCACTCTTGGATCGTAACAGACACAGGCTGCAGGCTCTTCGTCATGCAAAATATTCAAATATGTAATTTAAGATAAGATATTCCAGTTCACTGAGCTAGAAGGATGTCAGTAGAACTACTGCCAGTCCAGATGCTAAATATATATATATATATTTTTTCATACAGCCAAAACCATGAGGTTATATAAACAAAAGTCACTGATGATGTTATTGTTAAAGCTACTGTGAGCAGTTTTTTATGTACTGATTATGACGTAGATTGAAAATATAAAGCTGATGCATCCACAGTATATGATGAACAATAACAAACCAGACCATCAAAAGGAGTCATTTTTATATGCCGCAAGGTGAGGTGTCAGATGGAGCGTTTCACAGAGAGATTTGTTTTGTTTTGTTTATAATCTCCATGGTGATATGTTGTGGTGATACAGAGTACAAGGAAACGAGATGACACTCTCTGCTGGAAATCACTGCAGGAAAATGTCAGCAGGGATATTTGGTAGGAGACATACAACTTTGTCTGTTGGATTCAAACTAAAGGCTCCTCTTCAGTGAAGTACATCGATTTAACTGCATCTACTTATCTACCGCTCCTATCTGTTTCTATTGCTTCTGTCTTTTTTCAACATTTTTCCTGCCTCAATTGTTTTATCAAAGCTTTTTTACAGTATGATCGTTTACATCTGTAGGCCTCTTAGTCTCAATTTATGTTGCTCTTTTTTGGTGGATATATGCATTTTTGCATCAGAAGAGGAGGGACACATGCAGGATAAAAATAATTGAAAACTGGACATTCAACTGGGCAGCTGAATCAAAGATGAAAGTCTTTTTAACCAGTTAGCAACCCGTTAATTTAGAAAGCACACAGTCACATGGTCCCTTTAGAAGTGACAGGCAGAGTCAATCTCTTAAACCCAAATACATAAATACATACGCACATAGCCTGACTCACTTCAGAAGCCTCATGCCGGCTGTGGCACCCAGGTACACAGGTGTGTGCTTGTGTCTCTCTTTGGGGATGTCCTTCATCGCCTGGTCCAGACAAACCTCTAAACTCTTTCCTGCTGCCCCCGACTGGCCTGCATAGCTGGAGATTCCTCCACCTGAACCGGCAACAGAACCAAGGTAATAAAAAAATACGATTACAAGTGGACGTGTAGGAACTTGTTTCTTTGTCAGAACATTGTGAGCAGACGAGTGATGATACAAACTACTCACACCCCTCCAGGGCTGAGTTGCCCCAGTTCACTGGAAAAATAATTGCGGGACAATTTACGCACAACTGTGGGAAACTGAAAAAAGCAGACATATTTGCTTTTCTTGTCTCAAGGTAAAAGCCGTAAGAAGGAGCAGTATGTTACTCCTTTTTATGGCTGAAAACGGACAAATATAACTGGTCAAATACTCATAAAATGCCTCTTTTATTGTTTTTATTGGGTGATTAAATTTAACCCAGTTATAAAGTTCACTGTTGAGCCTCTTAAATAAACTTGTGGCACATGAAGGTGTAAACAGTATGTTGAGAACAAAGCATTTGTTCATATGAGTGTGGAAACTTCATGACCTTATGGCAGAGTCAACACTGACTCACACCTGATTTATGATCACCTTGGACAAAGACTTGCTCCACTGGCTGTCACATAATTTCTTTTTACGTCACTCTTAATACTGAGTATACAAGGGGAGAAAATGGCTGTCTGAAGATCAATGGATAAAAAGTAACCAAATCAACCAGTATAAGGAGTTTGCTGTCAGTTCGTTTAACCATCAGATGATTAATGTTAAAGCCAATTGAGTTTAGTTTATGTTTTAAGTATTAATAATTAACTCTTGGGATTCAAAAGTTTGCTGAAAAGATGCTGTTGACATTCAGGTAATGTGAAAGAAAAGGATTTCCTCATGCATTTATCACAGAGCTTTAAAAAAGATGCACAGTTGGTCATATAAGGGTTAAAAACACTGCTCATAATCAGTAAAGCATTACACTGACTAAACTAAATCACCCTGAATGACAGACTCTATCAGTCATGATTAGGACCTGAATGTGGACCTTGGCTTGGGCGTTAAAACTTTGACAGTAACAAATGATCAGACATCTGCTCTGCAGCATCTGATGAGTTTTACAGCATCTATAAAATCTTTTAAACTGTGACCACGGCCTCTTCCACTCTCCCTCTTTCTGTTTCTATACACAGTTTATTTCTTATAGTCACAATACTAGAATTTATCAGGGCTTTTATTTAATCCCGGTAACAAATGAAAAGATATCAATCTCTAAAAATCTCCAAGGCACCCAGAATAGATATTAGATCTTTATGTGATACTTTCAAAATAAAACAGATATTAGATCTCCATATGATATTATGATAATAATCAAGATCTCCTTTAAGCTTTTGACACAGTTCACTATAAAACTTTAATCAACTGTCTGGAAATTTTTGTTGGTATTTGTATGTAACACTAAACTGGTATATTTCTTTCAGTAAATTTGGTTGGTTTTCTCCATCTACTGCTTCTTCACATGTGAGATTCCACAGGGTTCTATTCTGGGTTCATTGTTATTTTCTATTTACCTACTCCCAATATTCAGTTCTGCTGCTATGCTGATGACACTTAACTTTATATCCCACTATGATGTGTTTTCCATATTGTCAAGCCTTAGTGACATCAAAGTGGATTTCTAATAATTTTCTTAATTTTTATGACTCCAGGAATCACATCAACAACTTCAGATCTACTTTGGGCCCACCATCTTTTTAAGTCAAAGAAAAAGCCAGAAACCTTGAAGAAGTTTTTGATTCGAACCTTTGATTCTATTGTGTCAAAAGTTGTCCCGTGTTGTTTCTACAATGTCAGACTCAAATCCAAAGTAGGGTCATTGCTGTTTTCCCAGATTTAGAGAAGCTCATGTTTACTGTAATGCTCTGAACTCTGGTTCTAGAAAAGGAAACATTCAGTCGATACCGAATGAGGTGAACACATTTCTTTAAGTTTTTCTTAACTCAACTCTTTTCTTTAATCGATATTAAGATTTTACTGCTTGTTTTCAAACAGCTGCATGGTCAGACACCACCCTAAATTGGTGATCTTTTGACCCTTTATTACAACAGATCTAGGATAGACACCCTCTGGTAGGAATTTTTGGCTTGTTCCTGAGTCTCGGCTGGTGTCCAAAGGTGATTAGGCATTCACTGTTTGTGCCTCTAAGCTCTGGAACTCCCAGCCAGAAGACGTCGGATTAGCTGAGTCTGTATCCTACTTTAAATCCGCAGCCACTTTTCACAACTGCTGTACTAGTTTATTTGTTTCTCCTTGTATTTACTGCACTGGGGTTATTTTATAGTATCTGCTTGTACGGCAGCTTGTAACCTGGTTTTGATAGAAAAATAATTTAGTAGTTACAAGGACAACAATTTTTTCAGTACGTAGTAAATCAGCAAACAATCCTTTCATGGAGATATTTCAAAAGATTTAATCCTTCCATAGTGTCTTTCTCTGCTACTTTGGTCCCGTCACAGACACTTGCCACCAAGAAGGAAAGATTTGTCTTTCCAGAGTCATGTCTCAGGTCAGTGAGTAGGAGGATTGGCCCCAGAGGGTTTGAAATGCAAAAGAGGGATTACTGGGGGAGAGAGATTTCAAACTTACCCTTCACATGGCATTCAGTGTGCTGGGTAACCACGCCTGTGCCATTCTGCTTGTCTGCCGGCCATTTGTAGATGTACAGAGCTGTGTGTGAAGACCCAGCATCCAAGACAATCCCGTACTGTTGAGACACACAGACACAGAGGACACAAACCGAGATGAGGTTCAAACGACAGAAAATTCAAAACTCCAGAATTAAAATCTTTATGGAATGGAATTAATGGGACAGATGAACATAAAACAGTTTAAGATTGTTCCTTCCTAAAGGTTTGACATCTGGAAGGCCTTGATCGCAGACTCAGTCAACTCCATCATATCACACAAGCAAGTTCCCACTGAGCAACAGACGGCTATTAGACGTCTAGTTTTTTTTTTAGACCTAATTTCAACCGTCTAGATTCTGTATATTTTTAGACAGAATTTAGACGTTGCACTTTAACCCATTATACGATATCTATTTATTTCAAAAAGCATCTGTGAGATGCATAACTGATCTCCAAGTACTTAACCAAAATAATTATGATAGCCGTTGAGCAATATACAGTTAGACCTCTGTTAGCTGGCTAGTCTAAATTTGGTCTAAATTTAGACGACTAAAAAAACTTTCATTTTCAGACTTGTGGTAGACCATTCGTCTAGGCTACATTTAGACGTCTATTAGACCTCTTTTAGACCAAAAAATGCTTGGTGGGTTGTCCTTTTAAATCTAAGTTTCCTCTTGCAACTTATTTGCCATGAAAGATCTAAAATAAAACAACTGAGCTGAAGATTTAGTTGACGGAAAGCTCCTCTTTGGTGATTAAAATTTAGAAATATTACAATCAGGGCCCCGTATGGCTAAGTGGTTAAATCTTGTGATTTTTGTACAGTGACTGCAGTTCTCAGTTTCTCTTTCCCTTTTTTGTTTTTCTGCTCTATCTTTTGTCGTACCCTCTCTGAACAAAGGAATAAAAGCCCCACATAATGAGTATAAAAAGGAAAAAAGATACAATTACATCTGATTTGGTTAAGAATATTATTCCTGTTTTCTGAAAATGAACTGTGACCATGTAACAGCTACACATGTCTGCTCATGCCCCACATAGATTGAAAACCACAGCTCGACTCTTGATGACAGCAAAGAGATCAAATAACCCTCATTTCAGGTTATTAAGCTGTGATTGGCCTTAATGTCTTACCTCTACGGTGCTTCATGTTCTAACATACATTTGAGAGTTTCTGTACGTAATAATATACCTGTCCTCAGCTCTTGAAGACACCCTCTGGCAAACTCTGACTCCAATGTGTGTTTATTGTCAATGTTCACTAACTCTAAAAAAAGAGTTTCCTGATGAAACTTATCTCGCTCCTCCAGAGACTTCCTTTACATGTGTATTCATGAAACTCATCTTCATCCCTTCTTACTTCATACTGCTTTTATCCCTGATTACTATTATTATTATTATTTTTTGTGCTGTTTTTTAAGTTTGTACAGCTGCAGCAAGAACTTTTCTCCTACTCAATATTGTTCAAGAATTTTTATCTTTAACGGTGTCATTGTTTCAGCTTTTCAGGGCCCCTCATTGAACTACTAACAAAGTAGAGTGTGACAGTGTGACAGTGAGACAGTGGGGGCGGCACTGGCTTAGGAGGTTTGCAGAATGCAGAGCGGTGAAGTGATGTAATAATCTGTCGCCATGCAAAATTTTAAACTGTTGTGTAATATTGGCTAAACTTTGAAACCCCTGTTTATTCTTGTTGGTTAGCTTCATGTTAACCGTCATAATGTACCAATAAATATCAGAATAATTTAAATATTAGGGATCTTCTAAATCCACTTATTTCCTTATATTCTAAATGACATTTTCATCATGAAAATCTGACTAGTGATGAGATAGAGATGAAATATACTGAGTAATACAAATACCAGTGTAATGTTGTGCTTTGGTTGTGCCACCATGTACCTTGACTCTGTGAACTTTATGATTTTAATATTTCCTCTGCAATTACAGCTTCAAATAATAATGAAGAAGGGGAGTGAAGGGATGGACAGGAGTGAGCTCAACTGATCAGTCTCTGAAGACCCCCCTTCTTCTTCAAAGAGGGTTATCTTTGTAGTTGGATAATAAATATAAAGTTGAATCTTCATTCTGTGTCAGACTATTCAGACTCGGTATGTGTGCCGTTCACTCTGACCCTGAAACAAGAGTGCTGACTCTGTTTGATTATTGCCGAACACCTACCTCCTATTAAATCCAATTAAAGCTCCAGTGAGAAGTTTTTTGATTGGTTTTTAAACTGGCTAAAACAAACAGCAAAAGCAAATGAGACCACTGTTGACAAGAGAGACAATTTCTATTATCTAATATTAATGTCTGTAACTCCTGTAAGGGGGTAGGTGTCTTCCTCAGGGTGTCTGTATGTGTCTGTACTTTTGATGCACACCGGCTACCTGCTGAGAAGAGTAACACTGATACTTACTTTCATGTCAGAGTCTTTAAACTCCAGAAAAAAAATCGTTAAATTTGTCTCTAGGCGCTTTTTTGGAAAATAACTCGCTAGGAGGGTCTGAAAAATCGCTAAATCTGGCGCCAAAGTCGCCTGGTTGGCAACACTGGGTTTGCTAAAGCTACAGTCTTTGCTACCTTTTCCACCACAAACTCACAACGAGTGATAAAATAACAAGAAGAGGAGATTTCTGTCAATCAACACCACTTAAACAAGGACTAGACAAGTCAACAACAATACAAGGGTTACCACTTTGGCCACAGGGGGCGCCACAATCAACACAGACAGACAGCTCTTCACAGGACCTTAAAGTTCTGACTTTGTTTTGTTTTACAAGTTTTCAGTCGCCTCGGGACACCCCGATCACTAATAAACTCATCTTGCTATGTAGGTCACAAAAAGGGAGTCAGTACAAGAGTGGCACTTTTTCAAAACCAGTTTCAAGCTCCTCAAAGGGTCTTAAAGTGTCAGCAGAAGTGTTTTATGCTGAGAAACAACAGCTTCCCGTGTTGGTAGGGGACCAAAAATGTTGTCTCTACATGTCCAGATGAATAATTTGTCACTCTGACCGCATTTCCTCTCTCACGACGGTTTAGAAAGTTAAATTGAATCCACTCCTCTGCCCAAATGAAAGGAAACACTCAGAATGTGTAGTAATCCAGCCATGCAAAAAGGAATGTGACAGACGATCCAAGGGAAAGGGACTGAACACACACACGCACACACACATACACACGTAAACACAAACATAAATACTTGTGTAGAAATAGACACACATGCTCATCCCTCCACGCTCAGACATATATGAGTATTTGACTTCTACAGCCGGTGGACCAGGTGCACAGACACCACATGGACCTGTGCCTTGTTATGCCTCATAATATTTTCTCGTTAGTGCGGCGGTGCAGTCAGTTGAAAGGACTCGCTCTTACACTTGCCAAAATCACAGAGGAGCTCTAATGACCTGTTTCCCTCTTTATTTGAGAAGCTATGGGAACTGTTTTACTTGTCCAATGCAAAGTGTTAGGAAAAGCTTTTTGTGTGCTTTTTTTTGTGTGACTGGTTGACTATATTGTTACTAAGTGAAAGGGGGGCTGCAGCGCACGACAATGGCACCGTGGGATATTTGGCCTGTGAGTAAAAGAGGGAGGGGGATGAACAGGAGCTGGAGCAAAATCTGGTCTGTCAAAACAGCACAGCACTAAATTTCCCTGCCTTTCATGTACTCTACAGAGGGTTAAACTAAACCTACTGTTCAGGTTTTTTAAGGGGTGGGAAAAGCTTTTGAATGTATTAATCCCTGGTTTTCATTCTGAATGAGCAGCTGCCTCTGATCTCACCAGGAGCCTCATGTTACAAGAGTTTGATACCTTTTGTTTCCATACAATAAGAAAATAATACAGGTCATTATTTCACATCCCTGAGGTGAGCTCATTTCAGCCATGACACCACTTAAGGGTGTGTGCATCACAAATTTACTGATAAGAAGGTTATCTCTAATTTCATTTTAAAAATAAAGAGGATGAGTATTGTTTATCAGTAATGTTTTACTTTCCAATTATTGTATTTGATTCAAATAGACCACACTCTCCTTAGAGTTATCCCTTTGCGACCTCACACTCAGAGTGACTCATGCACTGTCATCATGTACTGTTACTGTGCTCCAGGTTAAAGTCACAGATAACTCAATAATGTGACACACTAAGTACATTTACATCCACAGTATAGTCGAGCTACAGATAAAGTTCAGGTTGGAGATTTAACCCAACTGCTGTTGTTGTCCCACTCTACAAGCACAAGAATCTAATTATTGACAGAAGCATGTCCGCCTCTGCTGCAGTAGGGGGCGACTTGCCTCCTTTCAGCTTGTTGCTGCTGGGTTGTCTGCCTAGTTGATTTATTACGTACAATAAAAATCCATAAAAGAGGGAAGCGTGGCTACAATTTGTATTTGGAAAATGAAAACATGTCACTGATGAAGCGCTAAACTTTTTGTTTGTACGATCGAAAAATTTCATTTTTTCCGCCCTAGTTTGTCTGGAAGGGTTTCGCTTTCTACCTGGCTTCCTTGCAATGCATTTCTACAATCTGACTTCTGCACCTAAGCAAAATGCCAAACCCAAGCCAAGCCAAGCCAAGCTTTGAACACCATATACAGGAGCAACAGTGTACCAATTACACTTATCTCTGATTGGCTTAACATCTAGCCAGTCAGAGCTTGTTGGTGACTGGGCATTTGGTGAGACAGAGTGATGAGTAAAAAGAGACCGTGGGAAAAGACTCACCAACAGTCGAGTCAAAGTAGCATCAACCATCTGTAAAGTAAAATGTCAATAGAGATAACCGATAGTAGCTAATACTGCTAAATGTCACAACTAAATGGTCTTAAAGGGATATTCCGGTGTAAAATTAATTTAGGGTCAAACACACCATAACACCCAGTTAGACACCACGTCAAGAGATTAATGTTGCCGACCGCTTGCTTCTCTAGTTAAACTAACTTTAGCAATGACCGCAAAAAGCAATACACAGTGGTCTGAGGAGCCATAAACAAACTCAACCAAAACACCACTCTATAGCCACAAATAATGCTCAGAACAGCACCTAACTTCATCAACAGAACATATAGGGTCCCAGCCATAGTACTAGCCACCAAACATCTTCTTAACTTTGCCTAATTTCTTTAGCAAAGAGACTAAACACAACTCACTGACTCTCTTCCAGGAGCCGCTTGTTTGTAGCAAGACCTCGTGCCAGTTTTTCAAAATGCATAGTACTTTCTTTGCTGTTTGACAGTCAGTCTGCTGCTTTTTCTTTACTATAGAAAAAGGTATAATTCGGCCTCACTTGTCAGTTAATAAAATCTACTTTTGTGCCGCTTGTGTCACTCTCATGCACCTCTTCTCTTCATCTTTCATCCCCCTGCAGTTGTGTGCAGCAGCTGGGCTCACTCAGGGATGCATTTGATGAACAGATAAATGAGTCCATTGTTATGAGTAAATATTTATAGTTAACCAAACATAAGATAATCCCACTCTTTTAAGATGAATTTTGTGGTAAAACTTGTCCAATATTTGGCTCCATATGATATTTACAGTCAACAGTTTTTAATAATTTCTTAAAAAACATCTATTGATTTTAAGTTTCAGTCACTTTTATTTGCTCTTTTCAATGACACATCCTGAGGCTGGCAACATTTTTTAAAGAGCTAACAGCCAAAGGGTCCAAATTCAAAATGACTTATTGTCATTTTGTCTGTTCTTGACTCCCATACATTCAAACATAAGGCAGGCTAAATTTGCCAAAGTGGGAATATTAAACTAAAGACTAAACTACAAGGTTACGCAATTATTATGAAGGTTGAGGTAGATGCACTTCTGGACTACAGTAAGTTCTAGTGAACAACTCTATTTCATATCTAGACACCAGTAATCGTGTCACCCAATCCCCTCAGTGCCACCGTTTTGTGCATAACACCTCTCCACTCCCGGTTTCTCACCCTGGCCAGCAGAGCTTTGGTTACACCACTCCGAAAACTTAGACTCTGATCCAAAAATACCCAACAGACTGAATCGACCTTACCATGAACCCCGGAGCCTCCTGGATGTCTTGAGCGGGGATCGTGAGCAGCAGAATTGCAACAAGTCCAAACAGCAGCAGCGCGATGAGGACGGCAGGGTGAGCGGCGCGCTGAGCCATGAAGTGAAAGTGAGAAGTGCTGCGCTCCTCTGCGCCTGATGGAAACTTGAGCGTCGATTTAATAGCGGCCAAGTGGGAGAAGAGGCGGCTGGCTTCACGTTATCACTGCCCGTCCGCAGTTCACGCTTCACCTGCTGTCAGACTCCTGTTTTACATTTCACTCGAGCTTGCAAAGCCAAGTCTGACCTGAATTTACGCTCCGACTTCCGCGCGCGCAGCCAAGTCTTCCTCCATGCGCCTGAAATCAACTCCTCGGTCAGTGAATGAAAACAGCTCCAAGGCTACTGAAGCCATGGACAAAAAATGTTTTTATCACGACTTGGGCTGTAAAAGAATAAGCTGCTGACTCCTTGAATTTGAGCTACACTGATGATCATTTCCGTGTTTATTAACAAAACAGAGAGAAAGTCACATGATTCTTAATTATTCATGTATCATTAACGGACAAACAAGGACTGGCCTGAACTGGCACCGGTCCATGTTGTAGGGTGTTGGGCCGAGGAGCTGCTAGACTGGTTGTTGTTTTCGTCAAGTATTTGCATGTAAATGAGGGCAGCTTAAAAACCTGACTTGCAAATAGTGCCTTATTTGAATGCCCAATTTACGCATGGAAATAAAGTTTGCACTTGAGGCTTAAGTCTTTGTGGCTTTTTTGAAAGTCTGTTTTGTTTTTTGCTAAAATTCTGAGTTTACGGTGTCTAAACTTAGCAGATTATTAGTTATCTGAAGGTGCTTTGGAATCTTGTAGTGTTCATTCAGGGCACTGGTTTTTATTTTGTATGGGTCATAATATGTTGGATTCAGTAGAACCAGCTGACTATTGTTTCAAGTTCAAGCTGAGACCTGAAACTTGAACTTGAAACTACATCTTGCAGAAATGGCCCGTGCTTTGTGAAGTGATAGAAAAGTAGGATCCTGTTAATAACAGTGTATTTGAAAATAACACGTCTGTACATGTCTTTGTGTCTCAAATCAGAAGATGTGGAAATAATCTGACTTTGAATGTAAGGTAAGAGACAAGCCATTAAAACACGCTGTCCCCAAAAAATAAATAAAGGTGCAGTATGTAAGATTAAGAACATAAGGCGAACTATGGCTGTCAAATTATGGACTGAAATACTCCCTTCTGTTTGATTGGGGCTTTTGAGGACAAGAAGCTCCAGAGATGCATGATAAATATGATCCACCATCTTTAAGATTGTACCATGAAAAAGTCAATCTGGACCTCAGGTTGTATGTTGAATGGAAGCCATTAGTGTTCACTGAAGCTAAAAGAGCAAGAGCTCCCCCTGCTGACTTACTTCAGTGTGGTCATAAACCTCTATCATGGGGAACTGAGGTCAAACTGTAAAAATTAAATACAGGTCCAATTTTTTTTTTCCGAACACTATGTACAAGTATGTACTTGATAAAACCCGATCTGGAGCAGAGATAGTTGTCAAGGATGGGGACGTCTGTCTGACATGGGAAGACTTCTGGAGTTTGGGCCTTCCTCAATGCATAGACTCCAATGTAAGTACATTAAAGCTACTGTATCCAGCTTCAGATGAATGCTCAAGCAACTTACTTTTGATTCTCTGTTGCAGATTGGAAACACATATTTCAAATTGGTCAAGGAAGCTGCCCAAAGACATGTACAGTTTGCCCTTGTAGAAATAGGCCCTTATCATTTGTATGATTTTTTTTTTTTTACAAATAGTATATTCTAAACAGTCAACATCTCAAAATTATAGTTCAGTAAGCTGTAATTCTCTGTACAAAATGGAGACAAACGTTCAAGGTGAATTCAATAAACAAACAAAAATAAAGACAATCGTAAGGGGCTTTTTACGGAGCACATCTGGCTCTTATTAAATGGGGCCTTAAGTAGTTTGACCGAGTGGAGTTGCCGTAGTGTTACGTCATCAACAGGCGCAGGGTCACAAGCTGATCTGGCAGCCAGAACACATCTGGTACGTACACCGGCAGTGGATCCCTTATCGTTACCCGACCATAGAAAGCTACTCTTGACTGCGGTGAATTCATACAGTGGTGATTTTCTACAAAAAGGAGGACGTGTGCCACAATGAAAGGCACCCTGAGTGGACAAACATGACACCAAAACATCTAAGGAGCTATTTTGAAAGAATTTTACGTTCAATACCACAGATAGCAAAATAAAAGTCAAAGACAACGCTGTATGTCAACTTTGTACAGAGCAGCTACTTACCTTTGACAATAATGTGCTATTGTTAATAAGGGGTGTTGAATACCACAGATGTCATTGTCATGTTCAGCCCAAATATCCAGTCTGTGATCATATAAATTTGCGCATCCAACAACCACCACTCCCTTTGTCATATTCAGGTGATTAAATTCTATGCCAAAGTCTGCTCTGCTAAATGGTGATAAATGCTGCTAAATACTTTGCACTGTACCTTTAATGGTGTCAGTGTCTTGTATTACAAGTCCTTCTGCTTGGTTAAAGTCCCCGTCTCGCAAGTTCCACGACACCGGGTTGTGACACAGGCTTTCCGATAAAATTGTAGTCCCCAAGCTGATGCCAAAACAATGACTGAAGCATGAAAAACATGTAAAATTTGACAGAGCGACTGTGACGTCAGCTTTCAGTTTTCATTTAGTCTGCTTAAAACCCAAAGCTGCTTCTCTGGCCTAGAGCGATCTTTTCTGTTGGACCGTCCTCATGAGGAGGATGAGGTTTTATAAGTCCCTGAGCAGTGAAATGGCCTTTGAGGTCACCATGAAAGCGGATGTTGAGTCCACCACATTAAACAGATTTCTCCATTGCTTACAATAAAAAGGGATATGAGTAAACTGGGATATTTTCCCCAGCATTAACCCCTTATTGTCCTTTTGCTTTGGGATATTTATGACAATGAACCCACCAAGCATTTTTTGGTCTAAAAGATGGCTAATAGACGTCTAAATGTAGCCTAGACGACTGGTCTAAAATCAGGCTACCACAGGTCTATAAATGAAAGTTTTTTAGACGTCTAAATTTAGACCAAGTTTAGACTAAATCTACATCTGGGCTATATCTACAGTATACTACACTGTATATTGATCAACGGCTATCATAATTATTTTAGTTAAGTACTTGGAGATCAGTTATGTAACCTACAGTTGCTTTTTGAAATAGTTATCGAATAATGGGTGCAACGTCTGAAGTCCTTCTAAAAATATACAGAATCTAAACGGTTGAAATTAGGTCTAAAAAGAAAAAAAAACTAGACATCTAATAGCCGTCCATTGCTCAGTGGGAGGGTAGGTAAGGTGTGCTGAATTTAGGAGGAAGATTCTGAATCTTCAACAGTAAGTTAAAATAGTCCATGAGTTGCAGTATGCAATGACAATGAGGGAAATTAATCTTCAGAATCAAACAGCACCAATAAATCACTCTTTGTCTTCTCAGCAGAGGACCAATCAGCTCTCAGGGTCGCATTAATCTCTCTGACAGGGTGACGGAGTGTCTGCTGTGACAGAGGCAGAGGGCCATTGAACCAGAACTAATGGCTCACCTGTCAATACACCACCACCCACCTCTGCTCCTACGGGGTCTGTCATTAATAAACAGTGACAGCCATTAATCAGTGAATGACAGAACTCATAATTTAATAAAAGATCACAGTGGGTGTGACAGTAACTGTTGGTGCAACGTTCAGCAGGGGGAGGTGTTAGATTTGTAATGGGCCTACAGTGTCTCAGGAAAGTACTCACAACACTACACTTTTTTTACCTTAAAATTCAACACACAGTACCTCATAATGACAAGTGAAAAAAGTTAGTTTGAAACTTTTGCAAATTTCAGTCTACTTAAATTTTGGTCTTTGTTTGTATTTGCATTTTGCAGCTCTTGAAAAGTTTGCTACTATTACGTGGGTATCTGGAATTTTTCCATTTTTCCTTTTAACAGTAATAATCCAGTTCTGCTCTGCTATAAGTTCACAGCACAAAGCCTTCTTTAATCCACTGAGGCTTTTACGTTGATGCTCCTTTGATTTGATTTATTCTTAGAATTTCCATCAGATGCTTTTTTTCCTCCTCTTTTGTGTAAGTGCCAAACGTTTTCTGTTCTTTTGTTGTATTCATTTATACATTCTTTGATAACCACACTTAGTTTCTTTTTGATAAAGTATGTACCTATTTTTCTGTACTGGTGACCATGAAACCTTTTGAAAAAAATAAAATAAGGTGCTGACATTTTTCCTTGTTTTGAAAACTTTGTATTAAAAATCTTTTGGTTTTGAATTGTTTGTGGGTTTAAGTTATTGGTTTTAATGGAAGTGCTTTTAAAATTGACCAGTGTTTTTTTGTCTGCATGTGATTATCCTGTTCAGACAGTTACAGTACCGTAAACTTCAGGCCTTAAATTATCAGCATCACACAATAACTTAGATTTAGCAATGTAAGTATATTTATTTACAGTTTTATAAACAAGATGATTCAATGCAAGATCTTTTTGGAAAAAGGTAAGAAAAACAAGTGACTCTTTCATTAAGGGGTTTTGTCTTTGTGTGTGCATGTGTGTGTGTGTGTGTGTTAATGCATGCCTGTGTATCACAACTGTTGTGTGCGTGTGTTAATATAATTTAAGACATTCTCAGTTGCAGTCGTAATACAAGCGCAGTACAATCTCCTCAAACCTATCCACACTTAGCCGGACTCTATTTACAGTTCATTCAATGGAAGCGCTCCACACAGCTGGGCTGACTGTACACGGCGACAACAGGCATCCAGAAACAAACCGAAGCACTGATAGGAACAAGTTAAGCATGCATACAGCAGAATGAGAATATGATCTGAAGCAAACTGTAGGTTTAAGTTTAGAAAGTAAACTGTGTTGCACGAGTGTAAGACTTTGTAGATTCTATCTTCTTGGAAATAAAAAGAAAAAAACAAAGAAATTAAAAGAAAAGTGAGGAAGTTAAGTGTCAGACTGATATTAGTTCTACTCTAGATAATCAATAGTTTGTTTTTACAGATTTGGAGACCCCTCAGCTTAAAGTGCTCTGCAGTGCCAACACCAGACAGACGGGATGTGATAGTCTTTTCATCAGACAGCAGTGGTTTCTCAGCTCCAGAAAATGGGAAACGGCCTGTTTTTGCATCTAACCACGACCTGCACACAAGCTCGCAAGCTAAGCAACGCTTTCAAATCACTCGGCTTCCTTCGTGTAAAAGTTCTCCGGCGCTACATGCACAGTGGAGGAAGTTTTGCATGAAAGACCAAGTGCTGGTTGGGTGAAAAACCTGGCCCTTTGATGCAACCCCTTTGGAGACTGGAAATGAGAAAGACTGCTGCAGCAGGAGAGAGGAAGAGAGAGGGCGTCCCCATGTGTAACATGGCTTATGAAAGGGTGTCTCAAAACAGGATCGGAGGTAAAAACAAGCAACTATACTGAACTGTTTCATCAGAATGTCAACTAATCTGTAGTTTCATGAACTATACGTCTAGCTGTAAAGCTTCAGAGATTTTCTTGAAGAGGATTTCCTTTAAAAAAAAAACAAAAAAAAAACATTTGCCTGATTTGTACAAAATTAACGAAGAAAAATATAGAATTTAAGTATCTACAGAATCTAGTATATAAGCTTCATAGTATCATTTTCATCATTCAGTTACATAAAGCTCTAACTCATATACAAACACACACATGCTTGCATCATCTTCACTGGTAGACAAGATTAGTCATATCCTTAATATTAGTGCCATTATGAGTGCTTCCAAATGAGAGAAAATTCATCTCAAACATCTTCAAGTGGAGATAAAGATGTAAGTAGTTCCTATTCAAAATAAAAGATGTCATTGCAGCGTACAGTACGTCTTGTATTGCAGTATATGTTGTTAAAAAAATGTTATTTATTACTATGGCTAAGCTCTAATTAGAAGTGATATGTCAAGAACAGTAATTTCACCTTAACTGATTGATCCTGAAACCTAACTAAACTAAAACCTGATTTGCTAAGTTATACAGCTGGTCAGGAAATTGAAAAGGAGTTAACACCAAACATTAAGTAAATTTCTGCAGGTAAAGTTAGAAACAATGATAAGTAAGTAAGCTAATAAGATACAGAAGGAAAAGATTGTATACGTGAGTTAGATGGGATCTTCAGTGCATGCTCGGGGATCCTACGAATACAAACAACTATGGCCAAGTAATCCTGGCTTTAAAAAAGGTGCAAGTTCAGTGTTTTCAGCCACTTCTCCGAAAAGCAGTTTCCTTGAAAAGCTCCGTTGGCAGGCGGTGAAATGAAAGCTCCAGGCGAAGGGAACAAGGAGATGGTTTCTCCTGTCCTCTTCCTCCTCGTCTCGTTTCCTCTCTCCTCAGGGGAGCGAACCTCGGTGTCGCCCTCTCTCCCTTTACACCACAGTGCTGACAGACGGGTCAGACAAGTTGAGTTGGCCCGTGATGTCAGTGGGTGGGTATTGCTGCAGAAGTGGAGACAAATGGGGGGGAGAGAGGGAGGGAGACACAAAATCGGGAGTCATTTCTGGACGAGAGCAGAAACTGTCAGCTTGGGTTCTTGCAGTGTGAGCAAAACCACATTTGACTCTGTCTTATTTTAAGAACACCTTTGCTTCTTTTCTTGCAGAAACGTAGAAGCAGGAGGGTTCTTTAACCCCTCTCAGGCAGACCTTGCATTTTAGTTGAATCACTTGAGTTTGCATTTTTCTCAGACAGATTGGTTGTGCCTGGGGTGGGCTAAATAGGAGCAGACACAAAGTCCTGAGTCTAGACAACAACAGCATATTTGATTCAGGAATAATTTGTTTTTCAGCCTTGAAACATGGGTAAAAACATCCCGCCATGGGTAGCACAGTTCATTTGTAGTCCAATGCATGCAGACCGGAGGCTGTTCTGATTTAAAGCGATCAGACGGAGAGGAATTTAAGGCTGATTCAAAGTGCTGTTGTGTTGGACCTTTGCATCCAGCTCTGGCTTCACTCTGCTTTCTTTTAAAGCAGAGTGTGTTGAATTGTAGGCGTCAACAGTGCTGAACGGGTAAACTAGATCTCGATTCCATGCATGTGCTTAGTTGCTATGGTAACAGTGATATTGATTTTACTGGGTCTTTTGAATGCAGAGAGATCTCTGACAGCGTTTAACCACAGTTTGACAATTGTGGGCCTGCTTCTTCTGTCAGGAGCAAAATTAATAGGAACCTGGTGAAACTGAAATTTGTAGGACATTGTTAATAGGAACAATTAGATCATTAGAGAGCGTATATGCATGCTTTTTTTAAGGGCAGCTTTAGTGAGACCGGGTGTCGTGATAAACCTGTCTGTGTTTCCAAAGGGCCAATCTGAATCCTGACTCACAACTACATATTGACATACAAACTGTTTTAGTACATCCAATGGGCAACAAAGTACCTCTTGTTTGCACATTGAATGCATCACAAATCACTGGACATCTTTAAATTGCAGAATCCTGGTCCCGTCTCACATTTTTTTTTTGTTTTCAATTCAGCAGGAATTGATGTGCCTCTCGTTTCAAGCTGACAGAGCCAATACATTCAAGCGTGTGAGCTTCAGGAGCTCTTATGATGCAACTAACATGCTGACAGATGAGGACACATCCACTCTGAGTTGTCAAGTGTTCAATTTTTCTCCATATAAAAAGGAAGCAGAGTGGATGTTCGTCATCCCCTTGACCCGCAAGTTGCATCATCATACGGCTTACAGCCCCCCGTTTGGTTTCCCCATGTCTTGTACCTTGAGGAGCTGCTAACAGCGCACCCTAATGGGGTCAAGTGGACCAGCAAAAGAGACACTTCACTAACATCACATCCACAGTTAATGGTTAAAAAGCTACTTATCCCAAAAGCTAAAGGTGAGTCTTATCACTACACGTCTACTTTTTCTACTTTGACTACAGCTATGACAGTTACAGTCATCGGCATGCTTGCAGAGGGAGAGAGGAGCAGTGTGGCATGTGGGTGAGGGACACTGACATTTAAGTCCATTGATATCCATTAATATAAAAGAATAACATTTATATAAAATCAAAATAATGGTCAAAGACTGAGGATGGTGCATCTTTTTTTTTTCTTTTAAAATATGCTGAGTCCTGTTTTAATTTTTCAACTTTGAGCCTTGGTTTCAGACCATCACTGAAATCCTCTGACATATTAACAATGGCGATCCCACTCTTCTTCTCTTCAATCCACAGCAAATCTGAGAATCCTCCAGGGGAGAGTAAAATTGGTTTGGCTAATTGCAGAAAACATTCAAAATAACAGTTGAAACAAGAGAAAGAGACAATCAAAAACATCAAACTTTGACTCTGACCCGTTAGCTTCCACAGGCTACATCTCCCCTGAGAACACAGTCAAAACACAATGTTAGAACAGCAGGCTTATTCCACGGCCGTTTGTTAAAACTCTTATGCCAAGTTTTTTTTTAAATGACCAGCTTAGTCTGGCGGAGCAACCGGGCGTAGATGACTCTGGTTCATTAGTTTATCAGAAGACTTCAAGCCTGTGACATTCAATCTCCCAACAAGAAGGAACTTTCCAACTGAACTGTGAAGAAATTAAGAAACCTGACACTCTCATTGTGCTGCAACCAGCCCGTTCTCACTTCCAACTTCCCAAATACAGCAGCTTGTTCAGTGGCCCAACACACCAAAACACAACACTGTAATACCCATTCAGTGTTATTTCCCAATGTTGTCCTATTGCTTGATGTGTCTGTGCACAAGAGAAGTCTTTTGATGCTGTAAAGGGTTTGAAAGACTCATGTTTTATATGGTTTACAGTCTGATAAGTACAATCCCACTTACAGAAAATAAGAGGGCAGGTTTGACACCATCTGCAATGAACTGCTAGCCTAGCTGGACTGCAGGGTCTCCCAACAGTTTCTCATTAAAGGGGCAGAACTGACTGGCATCTATATGGGCTAATACACTTACTGGTGACATGTAACTCATATAACCCCATTTCAAAAACACTGAACTATTCCTTTCATTAGGATACTTTGCAACAGGCTTAAAACATGTTGGGGTATTGGAGTCAACACATTTCAGTGTCTTCTCTCAGGAGAAGTTGACTGTTCTATAACAGACTGTGTTAGCAAATAAAACTATTTCAGAATAGTGTTCCTAAAATCACGAAGATATTGAGGATTTCTTCATCTACAGTAGCTAAGTAGAATCATCACATGGTTTTGGAGAAATCTTTGTGGAAAAGAGAAAAGGTTGAAAACCAATGCTGGATGGCTGTGATCTTCAGGTACAGCATAAAAACAGAAATGACTAACGGAGGTCACCATATGAGCTCAAAATCCCTTTCAAAAACCATTTTTTTTGTGGACACAGTTTTTCACCGCAATCACAAATGCAAGTTTAAACTAAAAAATACAAAAATACAAATCAAAATTTGACTTTCTTTTTGGAAAAAGGTTGACTTGTTGCACCTTGAGTTTTTCTTATCAGCGCACACTGCAAAGGCCAGCATCCGTGATTGTATGTGTAAATGCACATGGCATGGGTAGCTTACAAATCTAGGGAGGCATCATATGCAACATATGCTGTTATCCAGAGCACTGCTTTTTCAGAGAGGAGCTCACACTGTAGAGGAGTTGGTGTTATTGGTGCAATCCATTCACCTGGACAGTTGAATGTTGGAGCCGTGAATTACGTCACCCCTGAACTGACTGTGTTCCAGTTACCATTTGAAAACAAGGTCGGACAGAAGCATGTACATAACATGTCGTTCCCAAAGATAAAACTTGCATCATGGCATCAGTGAGATCAATTGAAGTTGACAAAACAAGACTGAATTGACACCATTAAAATTCCATCTGTTTTTGGAGCTGATGCAGTGGGCAACCATCTTGGATTTCAAGCTCAGGATACCTGACGTGGCCCAGAGTTTCTGAGTATGGTTGTGGTCCAGGTAAGGAAGAGGACAGTGATACCAGAAATGTCTGCCACTAACTGGAAGAATCACCAGGCTTGTAATTTGTGTTGCTTTGACAGATAATTGAATTTTTAAAGAGTTGATCATCAGGCTTCTGAGGAGGTTCAGGGCGACATGGACCTGCGTAGGCCTGATGCTGCTGTCTCCTCATTCTTGCATGTATGGAGGTTTTGTTCATGTATTTTTCCTCAATGGATCTGCTTGAGTACACCTACTACAGTAATTATAACCAGTCAGTATCTCTAACGTAACCTTTATTCATGCTAATACCGGTCAATATTAGCATTGCAACTATATCCTATATTATCTATTGTCATAATTGTTGCTACTGTTGTTAAAAGCGACCTCATGATGGATACATTTTGGATCTTGAGACTACGCTCCATGTTTGACCATCTTTAAGACTGGAATTACAAAAGTGAAGATACACTGGGATCTACAGGGTCATTTTGAAGCTGCAGGGCCACTGACCCAGCTGCTGCATTTAACAAGTAGGTAGTGATATTGTGCAGCCAGTATCAAAAGGGGTCAGGCAAGGACGTAGAGAAAGTGATTGTAAGAGAAAAGCTTGAATCAGAAACACAGTGAGAGTCTCAGGCTTCACAGGGTCTGTGGTGCGTAAAAACAATCATTTATACAATGAAGAAGACAGTCTTCATCACCTGAAAATACACCCTGAAAGAAGCATGCACAGTTAAGACCACAAGGACACTGAAAAATAAAACAATAATTATGACAAACAAAATAATATGACAAAGCAAAAAGAATCGATTAATAGAAATCCATGAGTGTAACCCTGAAATAGACATTTGGGTAAAAAAATGAAATAAAACAACACATTAGTTTTCTTCTCTGCAGGGCTGGCCGTCACGACTGCCTTGAGGATGGTTTTTTGGGAAAAATGACAGGACGCCAGCGCATGCTACTCAAACCAAAAGCAAACCAAAAGCGGCTGAAACCCAAACAGAGGAGTGCGGGCGGGATCGATGCAAAGAAACAATGGATATACAGAGGTTCAAGCAGTCAAAAAGGACAAGACACCAAGACAAATATAAAACACGCTTACATCAGTATACACACGCACCACAACGCCACCATTAAAAAGACACAATCGCCAGAGTCCACGTCCAAACCAGAGGCAGGGAAAAGAGCAGCCCAAGACAAAAAAACCACTAGCAGACTGCTTGCTGTTGTCGCCCCCCTCCTCAAGAGGAACACGCCACTAATCCCATCGGAACCCGCCAAATTCGAGGACGTTTTTCTCACCCTTTCCCCAAATTAAGAACCCAGCTACTGGCCTGGCCTGACCTGAGTTCCTGCACTGACGCCCTCGAGCCTGTAGAGGAGCTACAGATGCTAAATGGTGATGGCTGATCGATGGTGACCGGACAGACACGTGGCGAAGGCCGCGGAGCCGTGTGGAAATGGGTGAGTGGAGCATGGCACTGTCTCGCGGGTATGTCGGATATGGAGATGTGGGAGAGAGAGGACAGACAAAGAGAAAGGAGAGAGTAAAGACAGACGAGGAGGAGCAGAAGAGGAGGAAAGAGAGGGAGTAAAGCGAAGATGTTGCTTCTTCGTCTTCTTACCGTGTCTTTGGAGGACCTACGTCTCTTGATGCTGGAGGCCAGGGTGGTACTGATGGACCTAAAAGAGGCTTTCTTTTTGGGGTCGGGCTCTGCTCTACCACTTTTCCTATCCTAAAATGAATATATGTAGAAGCATTATTCATGTTCTCTGGCTGGGGTGAAAACCGTGGTTCCAGTCTCACCCGTTCTCTCTTCCCGCCACCATCACCACCACCACCACCGCCACCCATCCCCCCAACCCAGTAAATTACCTTGCTCAATATGACTAAATAGAGGGAAGGTCCTTATAACAAAGACTACAGCAATTGAAAATGAAAATTAGGAGGGAGAAAGAAGGGATACAGCCTGTTAGATGTCAGAGTGGAAATAGTCTCTTCAGTCTGTTATGAGGGCATTTGTCTAGATCTTAAGCGACATTATCACAGCGGGGCTGCACAAGATGGCACAGTAGTCCTCTAGAAATGTGCTGACACATTCACTTGGCCCCTAGAAAATGCACTGGGATGAGAGATGACTAGTAAGATGTCAGTGGGTGTGATATCTACTTGGACCAACTTAAATATTCAGCTCTCTATAGCCTGATCACACTTTCTTATTCCGGCACACAAGCGATCTTACAGAAGGAATGGGTCTACAAAGCGCTTGCCAAATATGGCCTTATAAAACATCTAAAATTATGGCTCTGAGAAAGGTCAGACCACAATAGACATTTAGCAATGTAGTCTTTTCATATAAATAGATCAGAGAGTCATAAAAGAAGCAGTTTTTTCACCTATGGCGAGCCAATTTAGTGCCCTCCCTCCCTCATTCCATCAGAGTGCCCCACCGCTACTCTCAGCACAATAACTGTGTGTTAATGTATAAAAAATGGACAAAACTCATATTAAGGTATTCTTACATCCTCAGTCTCTAGAGAGGAAGAGGGCTGCATAGGGGAAGAAAAGAAAAATAAAATAAATTTCCATCCATTTGATTGTTATTACTCTAAAGAAGGTCCTTATGCAGAAGCCAAGGGAACCAAAAAGGGCGATACTTAAGAAATGAAATAAAAGAAACTAGCAAAGCAAACGTTCACATTCAAAGCCAGGCAGGTATAAAAAGTCGAGTAGCTACGATATCAGAGGCCATTAAATGCATATCAAATTGGGAAAACAGCGACAAAAGTCAGTAGTTGAAGCCCATTTAGTCATTATACCTCAAAGCGGTATAATGGAAATTCACCCCACACACAAGGGAATGAGATGGAGTATGAGATGGAGTGCAAAAGAAATTTTATAAAAAAGGAATGGTCGTCTACTGCAGCTGCAAAACGTCATCTAAGTGCAGAAAAGAAAAGTTTTGCAGTTCTGTGCGCTTGGTTTGATAATCTGAGCAGATGGAGACTGAAAGAGTCTAAAAAAAGAAAGTGCTTTAAGATGGATGTTAGTAAAGGATGAGTGTGGAGTTGCAGGGGGGGAGGCCCTTTGGCTGGGCGGGGCAGTGTGGTGTGAATTTCAACATGCCAAAACGTTTTATGGATGGAGAAAGAGGTCAAAGGGGGAAAACAAAGTATAATAAGTAAAGAACAGAAAACAAAGAGCATGGCAATCAATCCTGGCCAGCACTGGCCCCGCAGTACATTCTTTTTCATCAGGTCACATGACTAGGCACTTTTGGGGCGCATTTTCATCCCCCATCAACCCCCCACTAACCAGCGCTTTCCACTCAACACCCTACTGACATGATATCAGGTGGCGAGCAGGCATTAGCTGGCGTTGAGGATAGATGAGAGCTGGTGCACAACATCGCTTGATTTTTAGTGCAGCTGATAGTAAAAAACTGTTTTTCCTGTTGGAAGATGATATCTCATGTTAGTAAATGGAGAAAGTAAATCTGCATAACAAATCATTCTGACTGATCGTGGTTCAGAAGAAAGAAAAAGTCAATGCCCAACTGACAGCAGTTGTCTCCTTTCAATCTTTTATTTTCCACCATTTCTTACACTTGTGGGACTGCACTCCTGCAGCCTGGCCACTCTGAGCCCTGATGAGGTGCTGCGTGTGCACAGTCCCGGCCATGCATGGCATGCTGGACCATCAGATGAAGCGTGGCATGGGACTTGCAGAGAACAGCAGCTGCATGTTTCTTGTCAGAAACAGTTGCATGCCGCTGCAGTGCATCATCATTATACACCATCATCATCATCATCATCATCACGCAGCAGTGTTTCTGACACTTTGTGTTTTATCCCAGGCTGACATCAGCTTCAGTCCTGTTCAGACTGTGCACTTCTGAGAGAACATCTGTTTTCAAGGGGAAAACTAAAAGCCAGACCGGCAGCCTCTCAATGTTTTTTAAGAAATGTGTTTCTGTACCCGGAACAGCGATCACATCGAGAATAATCTGTTAAACTTTTGAGACAGGAGTAAAAATCTGTATGATTTAAATTTCAAGAACACATTAGAGTTGATACAGACCAACTTGATTAAAGATTTTTAAAAAAACTTTTAGAAGTAACATTTCATTGGACAACACTCATTCTTCAATGATAAATCTGCATCAGCATCACTATAGCATCAATGAGTCTTTTACAAATTATTAAATATAAAGAAAACAAGTGTTAGGTCTATTGCATGTCATCTGTAAGATGTGAGATATTTGTCAAAACTCTCTGTAATAAGACATTTTTGGGCCACTAGTGGAGGTAGAAACAAGATGTGAATACCAAAGTGACACATAAGCTCTTCCTTAGTTTATTTATTAATTCCAAGCATACAAAGAGATACATTAGCATCTATTATGAATACAGTTTCAAGCCAATTAGGGAGTGGTTCTATTTTATTGCCTTCCAGCTCAGGAGTAGTCCCCACCAAATCCTGAGAAATATTTTTACTGGGACATGCGCCGCCACGTTTATCCACAAGTTAGCTAGTTTAAATTGTATATAGCAGACTGCTGTTTCAAAGCCTTGAGTTAACTTGGTGGTCATTGCATGGAGCTTTTTGTTTGTTGGAGCTGGAGGAAATAGGTTGGTAAATGTCAAGTTATTGGGGCTGTAGAGTTCTGCAGTCTTTTTACAGGGTTATTGTTAGCTAGCAACACATAAAGCTAACAACACATATTTGTATCAATGAGATCGTATTTGAGATTTTAGTAGCAGATAGATGTAGTACTAGTATTCATTAGACCAGTTCATTAGACTTACATGTGAAGTTCAACACAAATAAATCTGTTTATGAGAAACACTGAAAAAGCTAACAAACACATCGACGTGAGCACAGACAGACATCTCCTGGTAAGTGCTAACATTTAAAAAACTGTTCATGCTCACTGAAATACCTTAAGTACAGATTTCTTGAAGGCATGTGAGCCTTTTTATTATAACTGCATGAAAAAATGTTACAAAGCAACAACACCACTATATCATCCTAGGTATGACTGAGCGACTGGTAGCAGGGATGACGATACGCAAATAGCTAAGTGGGGCACCTATCACACAAATGGTGTGTTTCCACAAAGTGCGCTGACTTAGTTTGATTTAGTAGCATCAGACTGATTCACCTTTATGACTTAGTATTAAACCTTTCAGTTCATCTAATTTTTCCAGTAGCTTTTGCTCAGTTACAACCAATGCAGTGTGTGATGTAGCGCAATGCAACAGTTCGCTTTTGTTTTAATAAAAATACATCAACCAGCTACTTTAAAAAGCAGCAAGACAGAATTCAGCCATTGTCTGTTTGTCCATCATTACCGCTGATGTACAGAAAGTGACAATTCTTATACCAATCAGCCGATCGCAGTGTGTCCAGCTCGGGTTCAGATAGGTTTGGTTTAAGGTGACCAGATGTCCCCGATTTCTGGGGACAGTCCCCGTATTGGATGACCTGTCTCCGGCAAAAGCTGTCCCCGAAAAATGTCCCAGATTTAAGCGTTTCATGAATGAGAACAAAACTGTTTTGTGTAGGCGAGATCAACGGTTATTCACAGTAGCCGAATGGGTAGGAAGCACAAGTAAGCAGTCCTGAACAACAGTTTTTACGGGGGTTATTACAAGGGGCGTGTGCTGCTACTAAATAGTACCGAGATGTTGTCTGTGATCACGCAGCCCATGCCCCATTATTCCATTCCATAGTCCATTATTTTAGTGTAAAAATGCAAAAAGAAGCTGACTGAACCAAACTGGACCGCTTGGTGGAAACACAGCTGAAGTGTCCCAGCCCCTTCATACAAACAATATGTAGCTTGTACTGGTTTTGAAAAGAATTTACAGAACATTGTATACACTTTGTATAATGTAAATTCTGAATTTTGATCATACAGATTTGGAAGGGTTACTAAATTATCTGACTGAAACTGAAATTCTTGAGATTAAATAGCTCTACTGCTGCTTCATCTTTGTGGCCAGAGCTCATGAAAGGCATGCAGTCTTAACAATGCATGCACTTTTTTAAACTGTTTTGATAAAGATGGTGAATTGGTTGAAATATTTCTTTTTGGACGTAAACAGCTTTAGTGCTGATGTAGAGTCAGCCAGCAGTAGATAAGGGATGTTTCACATGAACAGATTTTAGCCAGTCAGAAGTGCACAATCTCTCAGGTTGCATCTTTGTGTTGAGATGTGTGTGGTTGCAAAGTACTGCGCAGTGCTGCACCAACCTGAGGCAGCACATAAGCACATAATTACATTACAAACACCAAACAAGCAGTCAAAATGATGCCAACAATGGGACTCCAGGTGTCAGTGCAGTCCTAAGAAAGGAGGAGGCCACATAAACTGTGATAATACATTTTTTTTTATCATTATATGTTTGTGTCTCACAGAGCTGAGTAGTCACTGTAAACTTGTGCAAATTAGATCAAAGACAATAATCAAATCAGTGCACCCAAACAGTATGAATAATCTCTGAAACAATAGTCATGCAGAGCAGAGCAGATTGTATGAGCTGGGCTTGACTTTGTGGGCTTCCTCTGTGTTCTTGTGCATAACACATTGGTTATATTTAGGGCAGAGGAGATTGTGAGTCTATTATTTTAGCTCCAGGGCTCACAGCGATGGTCGATGAGCAAGATGAGCATGCATGAGCCGTCTTTGTTCAGCGGAGCATAGAAATCATCCTGATTATTGCTGACATGGATATGTAACTCGCTGGTCTACAGGCAGTTTAGTGTGTCCCTCTCCTTTCTCAGTGCTGCCTGCCCTGCATGCATTCGCCTGCTGTCTGCGCCTAGGGGACGCACATCCATATGAGGACACTCATGACAGTGACAAACAGTTGTCAGGTCGATGGCAGACACTCTTAGAATGACTTTGCTGACAGGCACTTGTGATTTCATACTGTACCTTCCTCTGACCCTGCTGTCTCAACTCAGCAGGGCCAAACTCTGAGATTTGGTTCAAGAATTACTAAGAGTCTGACGACAGGCTGCCAGAGCCACGTCACAGACTCACTGTGAGACTAGCCATCATGTGTAAACCATGTTTCCCCCAAGCAATTCAATCAGGGAATGAATCCATCCAGAGAGAAAGTAGGGAGGAGTGTGTGGATGATGGAGGGCTGCTCACAGCTTCACAGCCAAGTTTGACAGCGTACAAGTACAAAGAACAACTCTTGGAACTGACTGGCTGAGCAGAGTACTTTTTTGGCTCGAAAGTTTGTTTATTGACATCCTTAAAAAAGAAAAGTAGTAGTACTTTGCCATGTTGATGTCTTCAGTTTCCAAATGAAATTCCACGTAATAGACCATATTCCCTCAGCAATCTTATTCTTGTAACGACAGGCTCAAGGTGGGAACTTTAACGCTGTTATCGTGTCTTAGTGATGTGTTACAGGCTGGAAGCCGTACACACATTGTTAATTTGAAAAACTGTACTTCATTTTACAGCCACCTGTTTAATCAGCTAATCAGTAAGAAACAGGAGAGATTGGGTTATAGTTTAAGCTAAAAACACGTTCAACAGCACATTAGCTCACATGATAACTCAGCTAATGTTTACATCCAGCTGCTGTCTAGTTATCGGTTTATTAAAAAATCACAGACGTGGTGGGAAAGAAGGGAGGCTGGCACAAGAAAGATGATCATTTTATTGGTGGCTGCTTTGGAAATACTGATGTTGGTATCTAATGTTGGTGTCTACTTTTACACTCTGATCTCTAGTGATTAAGGTAAACCACAAGTGTAATGCCTTTTTTTTTTACCAGTCAAATGCTTCAGGGATTGTCTGTCAAAAATACAAAGTAAACTGTGGCCCAACTTCTGCCTGTGCGGATTTTAAATGTTTTTTCACCCCTAATCTAAGGTAATTCAAAACTGTCATCTATAAAGTAATTTCTCTTGTGTGAATATTTCACCGTTTCTATTGTGCCTGTGGTTTTTAAACTTACTGTAAAAGCTAACTGAGAAATGACTGAATGTTAAAGTTGACTGTGTCCTAATGCTAGCTATCTTATATGGCTCTAACTTGAAATATGGCCATTCTCTCTCCTGATTTGCACTTTGTGGAGCTACTTCAGGCAGGCAACTTGAGCTGCACTGATTCCAGGCTTGATGTGAGTGATTCTCTAAATCAGGACCAACATGTCCTCCCAAACTGAGGCTCTTTTTAAGCTTCCAAATTCCCCACTCTTTGCTTCTGCTTTGCTGCAGCCACCTCTAGTGCTGAACATTCTTCTGTTTCTGCAGGTAAAAAGTATGAGGAGTGATGTGGTCGAACCCAGACACCAAACACAATGATCTGCTGCAGCTGCAACGAACAGTTGAGAGTTGTCTGACTGAACTCTCATCTTTGAGGCCGCTTATCAATAGAGGAGTGGTTGAAAAACCATGTTTGTCATATTATTGACCGTAAAGACTTGATAACACTATTAGAGTTCCCTACCTTTGAGCATGACGCCACAAGAAGACGGGGTGTAGTGTGATTTTTCGCTGCTTTGGAAGAAAGGTTTCATGAGTTGATTTATTGAAAGCCCGGTGTTTGTTTGCCTTTACTTGCGTCTCACTGTGTAAAGCCTCTGGCACGCTAAAATAATTTACATTATATTTGGTTTTTAAATTATGGACACTGAAGGGGGTTAGGAGGGATAGTGTTTACTCTAGCACGGCACTTGACACAACAGCTCTGCTACTACACTGCGAGAACCACTGGGGTGTGATTGAGCCGCTGAATTGATTTTAATCATCATGCTCTATTTGTATTGCTAGTTCCTGGCTGCTGTGAGTATGACTGAGTGAAGAACGGCAGAAATCAATGATGTAACTACTATTATTCAACTCACTGTAATTACTGTTATTTTTGTCTTTATGGCAGGGCGTCATCTGACCTTATGAAGCTTATAAGCACCACGGCAGCAGCTTAGAAACACTAGTTCATGCCATAAATGGAAGTTAAAGTTTCAAGTTTGACGTCTATCATGTTAGAGAGTTACTACCATCTTATTGTTAGTCTTACAGCGAAAGGTAAGTCACATACTAAAGAGGGGGTCCCAGCCACAGCTTGACTTCCAGAGGCTTCCTTATTATCCTGCAGGCACACACAAGAGACACAAGGGCTGTTGGCCTCTCCACATTGTTTTCAAGACCTAGAGGATGGCCAGTGAGGATACCTTACAGCAAATACAGGCATCAGAGATCACAGTTTCTCATACGGTGATCTAGAAGTGGGAAAAGACCGTAAAGATCCTAGAGGCTGGGAAACAGAAAACGACCCAGTGACAAGGAGGGCTTTTTTTGGGCTCAGAACCTTCCACCTTGCGTGTGAGCAGGCAGAGGGGATCAATCCTACCTGCAGGTTCTTCCTCCAGACATTGACGGCCGCAAAGGCCAGCTGCATCTGCTTCCTGCGGGCGTCTTTATGGCGCTTATAGGCGATTTCGATAAAGATGAGGAAGATCCCGGCCGCTATGCCTCCAGCCACCAGCATGAAGACACCTGTCGGGAGGGGGAGCACAGAGAGAAACAGAGCACAGGTGGAAACATGTGAGCAGATGAGCGCCAACGCCCGCCGCTTCCGCCGAGAATGAACGCTTGGTCATGCTCAGCGGTCGCGCCTTCTTTATCAATCGAAGCCGACTGATGATGGCGGCTGGAAATCACACAATTTTGATTTAAAATCACACCCGCACAAAGCCACAGCACAAAATACTGTACGGCACACTTCCACAGAGCAATCACGTCGACACTAAAACAACGATTTAGGAAAGGAATTGGACAAAAAAGCGCTACAGTACCTTACCACTGCAGTTTTTGTCCAATCACTTTTAACGCTCTTTTTTACGCGATATGGACCATACCTGCCATGTTTTCAAAGGTGAGTGTGGCTGGGGCATTGCTCCTTGAGTCACACTCCTGGTATCTCACCCAGGTTTTATCTAGGTCTTCCATGAAGCCATTCTCATGAGAACTGTAGGGGGTCAGGGGAGGTAGGGAGAGAGGTGACAAAGTTAATACAAGCCCCAAAAGAGGGTTTTATTCGAGCCGCTCACTCCCAGATTGCAATCACAAATGAAACTTGAGACAGTAGGACATTTGACAAACAGACAAACATTTGACAAAGACAAACAGACAGCAGGAGGCAGGAGAGGGAAGATACAGAGAGAGTAGATGTGACATAAGGCGATGTATCGGATGGCTTTAAAAAGGTCAGGACATGACCAAGAAATCATATTGATAAGAAATAAAAGAGTCATACGAGTAATGCAGCTTCGGCTGGGACAGACCTGAGAATGGCCAGGGACACATTCTGTTTCCAGGGGCTGTCCTTGCGCATGCCTATGCCAAAGCCCGAACGGAAAAACAGCTCTCCCGTGGTCACCAGGTCGCACTTCTGCGAGGCTTCAAACTCCAGCACCGCAGAGTCCCAGATGAAAGCATGCAGCTTGCTGTGGGGGAGGGGGAGGGAGGAGGAGGAAGGAGGGAGGAGGAGGAGGGGAAGGAGGGGGTTACGGTGCGACAGTACAATGATTTACATACACATTTACGGCTCCCACCCTTCTCTCTCTCGCACACCAGATCTTGTGTGTCATTCAGCGATTACCAGCAATCTCTACCGATGCTTATGGGCCAAAAGAAATCCAATGCCAGATGGGTGAGGGCGCGTCCCCCATTGGATTCCCCCCATCTCAAAGATGTTCCTCTTGGTACAACCTGAAAAAGGGTGCTCCTCCACTCAATGTTAGCTTAACCTCACACTGGTGCCAGTGCTGACGACACGTCCACACTTACTCCTGTCCCTCAACGTCTATCTTGGCCGGGCGATGGACCCGGATCAGAAGGAAAGCAGCAGTAAGCCCCACCGCTCCCCCCTGGTCCAAAGGTCCATGACCCCCTTCCCAATCTGTCTGGACTGGCCCTGACCTGTGCGCCTGAAAGGTTCGAGCAGCCGGCCGACACGTGCTCGGGTCGGCCCGGCCTGGCCGAGACTCACTTGTCACGCACGGCCTGGATGGCCTCGGCGGCACTCTCATAGTTGTGCTTCTCCATGTGGCGGTACATGGTGCTAAGCTCCACTTGCCGCCGGAAGTAGATATCCACGGAACTCTGCTTCACCGTGGCGTAGATGAACTTGTCTGATGGGTTTCTCAGCTGTGGGAGGAGAAAGGAATGAGACACAAGTCAAAGTCTGTCCACTTTTAACAGCAACTCTAGGTCAAAATCTTCTATAACACATGTTTTAGTAACATTTCATAGTACAGGTGCAAACTAAACATTTAAGTAATACTTGAACAGCTTGACCAATGATTGGTTAAAGGTTGCATATGACGAGAATTTTTTTTTTCTTGCCTATACATTAACACTTTGGTCATTTTTTAGCCTAGCAAACCTGAAAATTAAGAGAAAATAAGAATCTACATTGTTTTTGTTGCCCACTTACTGGAAAAATATTGTTTAATCAAGGTGATCTTAATTTACTCCTGTGGTGATGTAACAACAGGACTGATTTGCATAAGCCTGCATGAAAAACCACTCTAACTTATTGAACAATCTTGTTGTCATAACCACTGCTGCAGCACTGCAAAAGTTAGTTTCTCCTGTTTGGGGTCAGATCATAAGTGTAGTCATGCAGGTTCTTCTGGAGGGCTCGCCATATTTGTTTTTCCACCTTTGCATCTGTCTGCCTTGGTCTGCACTCTCCCTACCCAGATAACTTTGAGGCAGCCAATCAGCTCAGAGTATCGTCATCATATCATCTCAGCCCATTAAGATTACTGTATAGAAAATGAAGCCAATGTGCAGATCATGGGGCACCACTGACCTAATGGTCTAACCCCCAATTTCCACTGCATCCGGAATGGCTACGAAAAGGCTGAATCTGCTGATCGTAGCTGACCACAGGTTCTTTTGAGTTCTCGCGATTCCTGCTGTCTGTAATCCGGCATCAAATTCGCGTCACAAACGGACACTGTAGGTATTGGCGTATGGCGAAAATCGCCGCCGTTACAGATCAGAGCAGTTCCCGATGCAGAGAAAATCATGGCTAAGTGTTCCCTTTAAGTGTTAAGGTTTAATTCATGCCTGTAGCTCCTTTCCTGCACATCACTCCCTATCCTCTCTTCCTATTTCCTGCTCTATCCACTACCCTGTCCTCTTAGATAAAAGCCAAAACGTCCAAGAATAAGAATCCTAAACATTTGCTTAGCTTGACTCAGCGAGTGGTTTTTGTCATTTTCACACAGATAGAAATCTTCAGTCAAAGCACGTTCAGAGTATCATCCTGTACTCACCCTTGGGTCATTGATGCCGGTGATGCGCTCCTCAGGCCGGTCCAACACCAGGAAGGCAGCCAGGTTGGCAGTATAAGAAGCCACAATGATCATGGCAAAGCCGGCCCACACCATTCCAAGGATTCTCGCTGAGAAGCTGCGCGGGGCGCCTGTGAGGTGAGTTCAGGTTACACCCTTTAGATGCGTGATCATCAGTCACTTGTCGTCAACCTGCTAAAGTTGAACTATAATAACAACACTGCGTTGTTACTTCAACATAAATGTTCTCCTCACATATTAAAAACAACACAGAAGAGATAGAATAATAAGAATTAGCAACAAATATCCAGCATGAAAAGGAAAGGCTGAAAGACAAATGAGACAAGTCAAAGTAACAGGTCCAAACTATTAAAAGACAAGCTGCAGCAAACACTTTCTTCGCAAAATGAGATTTCAAAGGACTCAATTTGTCATCCTAAAAGAAAAACATGACAGTGAGGCAACACCTCGAGCCCCAAACGCCATCACTGGTCTTTTTACACATGCAAAACTGTGTGAAGACTAAAGTGCTCGACAGCATTACCATGTTCTGGGAAAAGGGGAACATAACTAATGAATAAATCATGATTTGGACATTTTTTCAGCTGGGTTTTCCATCTTTGTTTTTAATCTCAGCCCACCTTCTCCTATTCCAGAGTTCAGCAACACTCCCCAGGAGAACCACATAGCAGATGATAAGGTGAGGGCATCTTCTTCTTCTTCTTCACTGTTTACTTTAAATCTTCCAAACGGGCTAGAGGAAAGAAATTGGGAGGGTTGCAGGAGAGAAAAGTGAGAAATCCCCAAGAACCTGCATTGGAGGAAAAGCCCTGGCAACCCCAGGCAGGGAAGGAAACTGAAAAATGAGCGGGCAAAAGCAAGAGGAAGACAAACTGGGAAAGAAATCAGACAAAGACAGCTGCACAGGGACAGAGCAGTGGGATGGTTGGAGATGATCTTCACCTTCGAGTCCACACTGAGGGAAGATCTGCAGCGCACAGGAGAGTATGTGCACTCACATCCACACACACACGAACACACAACCTGTATATGTCCACTCATTCAGCTGTGGTATACATAAATGCAACATATGGGCACAGCCACACAAACACAGTTCCCCCGTGTACCTGAACCGGTCTAGTAGGTAAAGCATCACCGCCACCACATGCACCGATAGACCCACCAGCAGCCACAGTGTGCTTTGGAACGGCTGCATGAACGAGTCCAGTGTACTGCGAGGGATTTCCTGAAAACACACACCGCAGTTAGTTACAGGTTAAAACACAACTATCTAAATATTCTAGATATCTATAAAACATTAAGAAGTTAATCACTCAAATATTCAACCTCAGTTTTGCTCGTCACTGTCTGAATTTTATATACCTGAATGGCTTTGCGAAAAAAAAAACATATAAAATGCAGATTTTCTACGATTCACTGGTGTGCTTAGAGACTTTTGATAAGTTCAAAAACTGCTAAAAATATATCCATTACAATATCATACTTTCACCTAACCTGGTGGCCAAAAAAATCACAAATTAGCAATATTGTCATGATAATTTTCACCATCAGTCTAGTGAAGAAAAAGCAAGAAAAGTCAAAAGACAAGAAAGCCTTACCAATAAACCCTACTTGGTCTCCTCCTATCATCATCCATTTCCAGTTATAGTCAGAGTTATATGTGCTAACCGTCTCACCAATATAGTGACTTTATATACACTTTATATGCCTCAATGAGCTTGTTTTCTTGTTTTCACAACCATGTGTTACTTAAATTGGTTGTACCTTGGCTGAAATATGAGGCACTATTAGAGTATTCAAGCAATTTTGAAGAAGGTCACATAGAGGACTCCATATGAGGCTTCAGTGTGAAACATCAATATCAGTGTTGGTTGTAGAAGTCTTGTGCTCATTTCTAGCTCACATCCTTCTTAAAAGCCACGTGGTAACCCATGCTCAGCTGCTTGTGCCTGATGCGTTCGTGTAAGGCTTGAGTAGTCCCACTGGAACATGTCAGCTGGGGTTCATCGCTCATTCTCGAATTCAAACATTTGTTTATGGATAATTAGTTTGGGGCAGATACAAAAGACACAAACAAACTAGAGGCAGCCATCCAATCTCAGTGTCATGGTCTTTACAGAAGATGTTTATTTGTCGCACTTGTCCCTTGAAGGGATTTAATTGTCAGGTTGCTGCTCTGTTTTTGTGCCGAAGAAATCAAGGTAGAAAATATAAAAGGATTCACAGGGGGGAGTAAAGGTCTTCATAAAAAGAGAACAATACATGCATTGCTTGAAATAACAGAGCAATAAACTGGCTGTGGATGGTACTTACCTTTTTAACAAGGATGGTAAGTCCTTGATATTTAAAAGGTTTCGAGAACTCGATGTACTGGGCTCGTTCGTTGTTTATAGTCAGCGGGGCCACAATCATGTCAGCCAGGCCCCCCAGGAGCTCTCCCATCATGCCATTCCACTCTTTCTTGTTACTGTTGTTTACCTGGAGTCCCAAAAGGAAGGTGTTAACATGAGAATGAGCTGTCAACCTGCTGCCGTCTAGACAACAGAATGTTTCCAGGCTTTCAGGATTAGAGTTTAGCCTTCTGGGGGTTTAGGGTTTTGTCATGCTTCACATCTTCGGGACTGGATCTGGCTCGGATATCAAGAAAGCTTTTTTTATTCATCGGTTTCTAGTTTATGCAACAAAGGACATGAAACAATCCTAAAGTTTGGGAGTTATTTTCTTCAACAACAGTGCACTTTTTTTCTGTAGATATGTCAGTTTTTATGCTCATATCATATTCTTTGTGGCACTTTCACTTTCAGATCGTTAAATTACCTCCAAATTGTTGTTGTTTTTGGGAACTACAACCTACAACACTTAAAGTTGAGGTTATACATAATAGTAACCTCTCTTTCCTGGTTAAGTGGTGGCTATTGTAGTGATTTGTAAAGCACAAATAGTCCTGTTTTCAATCCTATTATGTTTTGTTGTTGATTTCACTTCAAATGGGAGCATAATTTACCACACCAACACCATGCTGTATTGGAGAGGACTTTAAGTGACCATCTGAGACCACAAACGTGGAAAAAAAGGTTTGCTGAAGTAATAAATTAAATTTCTCATCTGGTTTTGTTCAATTTATGCAATCAATGGGTTGACAGGGGCGCATCCAGAGGGGTAGTCAAAGTGGCACAGCCCCCCTCAAAATCCGAAAATCCGATCAGCAAATATAATTTACCACCTGGAAAGTTTATTTCTTTTGCACTTTTAATGTCCGTGAATGTAAATGATCGGAGAGACTGCTAATAACTTAAAAACATCAGAATTATGCGTCATATCAAACATGAGATAGTGCATGTAACTCCTGCAGCAATAGGACTCTTCGTGTAAAACTTACGCGCTCTTGAGTCCCAAATTTCCCATCAGCCACCAGATGCACTTCGTAGGTGAAGTTCATGGTCATAGCCAACTTGATCAGGAGATCAATACAGAATCCATAACAACACTGGGGTACAATTGGGCGTCCTGTAACCAAACCAGCAGAATTTTTCAAGTTACAATCACTCTTGAGAAAACACGTTGGATTTTTTGCTGTTAATCCGGAGGCGGCGCACGTAGACGGAACGGAATGCGTGACACGGTGCACTGCAGACGACCACACACGCAATCACGCCGCTTGCCACACGGAGCACGCACACCAAGCATCTTCCAGCAAACCTCTCATTCTGAATGGCACACTCAGCTACATGCATACATATATAGATACCTACTGCATATATATGTATGCATCTCCAGTGGGTGTTTGGCGGGTGCAGTAAAAGCACAGTGATAATATAAACGTCCCTGATGTGTTACCTGGGATGGTCTCATTGGGCCCAGTGCAGATAACCTTTTTAATTAAGACTCCATTTAATGTCATTTCCTCCTTGCATGTTCCATCCGGCATAGTGGGTTTCACATACACAAATGGCTCCTGGTGTATCGTCACTATCTATAACAGACGGGACAGAAAGCTGTTTATCACAAAGCCAGAGCTGGATGTGTTTGATCCTGAGGGACTTGATTGCGGCACAGCGAGAGAAAGAGAGAGAGAGAGAGAAAGAGAGAGAGAGAAGGAATGCTCAGAGAAAACCCAACAAAGGCCAACATACAAACCCCCAGATACACATGGACACACAGAGACCAATGGATGAATGTTAAACAACTGACAAGGATACAGATGAGAGCATCTTCGCAGGCCTATGACAAATTTAGAGAGATGAAAGTCATAACAAATATTTCATTGCAGCCTTTATGAGCAAAGATTAACTTCATTCCCCCTGGAGAATAAAATGTCATCACGCTGTCCAACATGGGTACATCAGCTTAGGAGCGTCCTCTATCTGTGTGGACGTGAATGTCACATTGCAGAAGGAACCCTACCTTTAATCGAGTGGACATCTGGAAGCCCTGTGGTTTCTCAGTCTCTCCCCCGGGCCAGATGATCTTCCGTTGATTGTTCATTACCACCTGTGGGGGGGATGCCACATGCAGTATTATAGGTGAGCGCTGGCAGAAGGCGTGCTGCTGCTGATGAGGCTCCAACACCGTGGGTGAGCTTCACTAATGAGTCAGCTTTATATAACGACGGCTCAGCGGTTCTTATATTCACTTCGAGGACCTCTGACTCATGTATCATACCTGAGGCTTTCAGGAACTTGCTATTAACAAACCCCAGTGAGCACATGTGCTGGTCCTGACACTGCCAACTATTTACTGTGTTTTTTGACCGGCCCATTAAACTATCCATGAATATCCAGGCAGGTTTTTTCACAAGATTTCAACCAAGTCTAGAAGCTGTCTTTAGCAGACGTGGTTAGCTCGAATGTAAAGGAATGACAGAGCGGGCCCTGCTCGAACACTAATGAAGAATGTTTCCTCATCTAAAAATGAATAATGACTCAGAGTATGGCATACATTTTTAATGAATAGCGGGAATTACAGCTCTGTAAAGCCAGCCAGATCACATAGCTCTCCATTCTTAGCAAGAGCTGTCATAATCTTATTTCTGGAGAGAGGGGCGTGACGATAAGCAAACATTGCTCAGCCCAAATGTTTAACTGCACTCAACGGTGTGCAACACATAGCTAACAGGATTGAATCTTGTTCTCAACTTGATGAAATTCTGTGAATTCATGTTAGTTCATCAAATATATGCAGATCACCTCAGATCTGCGCTGCACATTCAACTGGGCAGGGTTGTAGATTTAAGGACGGTTCTCCACTCTGCCAGAAACCAAATTAGCCGATAGTTCAAAAGTTTCAGAATAAAGTTCCTGAGCTGAAATTTCAAAGAATCTGAGTTTCTCATCATCTACAATATATAACCTAATTAAAAGGTTCATAGAGTCTGAAGAAATCTCCTCAGGCCCTCAGGAAGTATTTAAAAAAAACTGACATGACGATGGAAATCACAGCATGGGTTCAAAATCACTTCCAAAACCAAATTTCTCTGAGCAGTTTATGTTACATCTTCAAATGCAAACTAAAACTCTACCATGCAAAGAGGAAACCATCTATAAACAAGAGCCAGTGAGGCATACACATTTTCTAGACCCAGACAAGATGGACTATGGTGAGGTGGAAAACCGTCTTTCAAAACCTGACAGTGATGTAAATCACGGATGCCATCCCCTCTCCAGAGGAAAGAGACCATCTAGACTGGTAAGAGTGATAGTATGGGGATGTGTAGGTTCCCACAGTATGGGTAACTGTCACATTGAGGAGAGGCATTTTTAATGGTAAATTATTACTACAGGTTTTGGATATTGTAATAATATATTGCTGCTATCCAGGCCTCAGGGAAGACCTTGCACATTTCATAGGGATAATTCCAAACCACATTACACACATGGATTATAACAGCAACCCTGTGCGCAGTCCTGACATGTCACTCATTGACAAACTGCAGGGGAGCTGAAGTCTTATATCAGGCAAGAGTGGGACCATATTCCACTCTCCAGAGACTTGCCTCTACAGTTCCAGAAATTTAACATTATGTTGTTAAAGTATGAGACAATGCAACACAATGGCAAACACGTCCCTGTTCCCGATTCTTAGGTTTCGAAGCAGTGCAGACTTTTTATAAAACAACATTTTTCAGTTTCAAAATTTGATATGTTGTCTTTGCACTATTTTCAATTCAAAGGTAAGAATGATTTTCAAAACATAAGGATTTGTTTTTATTAATATTTAACACAACCTACAACCTTTTTTGGAATTGGGCTTGTAAAGACTTTTTCTGTATGGCTCCACTGGATTGAGTAAAGGGAGCTTTTGCGGGTCAAATGCTGCTATTTTAAATGGATTTCCAGGCAATTTTTTCCCACAAAATTAAATACATAATCAGTAATGACTTTTGGTAGGAAAATACTTTTTTACTGCCACAGGACTAAAAGTGAAAAATTGGTTTTCAGATAAATGCAGCTCCTGGTAGAGATGGTTGAATGGAGCTAAATGGAGCTGAAAAGTGGACGGATCTACAATCTTCCTGCCGAGAAGAAAATACTCCAGGCTGATCAGATAGCCTGACTTAACTAACCAAAGCAAAAAGATGCAGTCGCAGTTAATTCTTGCAAAAATCTTGTGGTTATAAACCCAAAACCTTGTTTTTGCTGACCTGCAGCAGTTTGACTTCTCCTCACACATGCAGGCTGTAGTCAAAGACATGTGATTTTATATCAGAGAGGGCTCTTAAAGGCTGCTTTCCAGCCAAATGTTAAGTATTCAAACACCATACTCTCACATGCCTACTCTATATTCAGCCTGTGTAAATTTTTCATCTACTTTCCAACTCATTATAGCTATATGAAATGTAAATATTTGAAATGCCACTCAGATTCACTGTGACAGCATGCCAGAGCAGCCTCGGCAGAGCTGACTGCCTCCTGTGCAGACTGGGGTTGTGGATGTGCGCTGCATTAGTTTCATTTCACCAAAGACACAAAAACGGGAGCTGCAGCCCAGCATGAATAAAAAAGAAGATGACTATGCAGGTATGACACACACCAGGAGAGCTGGTGTGCAGAAAAACAAAAGATATCAAAGATTACTCTCTGTGATTCACGTTTTCTTAACCCTCTGAGTCAAAACTGTCTTTGTTTGTCGGATTACCTGTGTCCCGTTGTAAATCCCAACTTGAATGAGTCGACTCTTCTGGTAGTTGAGGATACTGTAGTGAGCGTACTTCCTGTCCCCGTCATCGTTGAACTCCACGCGCCCTGTGAGGCCCTCTGGGTATTTAGATGACATCAACACCCTGTGGCGTGGGAAGTAAAATTACCATTTGCTTGAATTAGTACACATTTGTGCTCATGCATAGTTCCAATGTATGATCCACTGGGAGTGTGCACTGTGTTGAAAAGATCTTGACATGATGATTCCACAGCAGAAGATAAGACAGAGATGACAGAGCTGTGGGTATGGGGTGTGTTGTTATTTGCTGTTTTTATCACCTCAACTAATTAAAGCAGCGAGTTTGCTTTGTTTTACCGCTGAGAAGCTACTTTAAGTGGGTCAGTCGGAGATAATTAGCTTCTCTTGGATGTGGGAAACTACACATTTCTGGTATATTCTCAAACGTTTGGTAAACCTGTTTCTCTGTGAGGCAGTTTTCTATTTGAAACCATAAAAGATGTAGACGGCAGAAGTTGAAAAAGGGGATTAATCCATACACTTAAAATGAAAAGTGCACCAGCATCATTTATCTCTTTGTTATATCAGACATTTAATCAATTTGTGCAGTCAAGACTTATTATTAAAAAGCTTCTGGCCTTTCCTTCAAAAACCAAAACGTTGCTGGATCCTCAGTTGCTGTTCACTCAACTACATTGGTGAGACACTGGTGGTGGATACAGGTCCTAAAGGTTTTAAAATATGATGGATTTCAGACAGATTTAAACTCACCGTTTAAAGAGCGGCCCTGTTTTCCAGATGTTGGTGTTGCCCACACATCCTCTCGGGGGTTCTGTGATGTTCTCCTTCTCAAAGAGCTCCTGGATGGACTGAGCCACCACCGCCACGGCATCATTGATATGTGCTGACTCATTCTTGCCGTTGATGAGCTGGAGGCCGATCAGACCTGAGACCAGGCCGACAGGGGAAAAAAAAAAAAAAGATAATCACTATCCCGAGCCGGCTATGGCACCTTGTAGGATCCTTTTGCAATGCACAAAGTGGATTAAAAACTTATAGGGCCTCCGGTTTAGACATCCTGGATAAAGGTCATACATCGGCGGCATGATCCATCTTCTTTGCCAGCTAATCTCAAGAATAATAACAAAAACAAAACAAAACAAAAGATCCAGTGATTCATGAGACGAGGCAACAGAACGGATGGATCATCATCCTGATGTTACCGCTGATGACCTTTTCACAGCATGTTTAGAGAGTCCCTTGAAGTTGGATCTATTTTTTCTGCCCTACCAGCTAAGGTTTGGGAGTCGGCACAGGCAAAGTAGTTTGTGTGTTAGGGGACAAACAAGATTACTCTCAGCCCTAAATCTAAACCAAGCAGTAATCCAACTTCAGCTAAGTTTTCCGATTGCAACCAGGTCCTTCAAGTCTTGCAGACTCTGAGAAGAAGCTGCAGTGGAAAGTGAAGGTATTGCACAGGACAACAAACGCTCTGCAGGGGTTGGTCGTGTCAGGTGCCCGGGGGAAAAGACGCTTGACATTAGTGAGCACAAAGTGTTAAAATTTGGTGAGAGACTTGTGTGAGAAACCCAGGAATAGAGACAAAAAAACTCTGTTGTAGCTTACCATTCTATCAGCTATCTGTCCCAAAATTCTCCCTTCATAATTCATTAGAAACCAGGGTATTAATACGGCAGAATAGCACAATGAATTGAACCTTTGGATTATCCAGGAAATACACAGCAAAACTAGAAATGTACCGTAGATACTAAGTGCATTTAAACCTTTAAACATGTAATGCTTAAATGTTTAAATACTCAACACAAAACAAGCAGTCATACAGTTAATCATGTAATGCATCCATCGTTTAACGGTTAATCCCACTAATCCTGTCAGTGTTATGATCGGCCTGCAAGTAAAGCCGGTGGTTAACTCGCCTATTCCCACTGATCTCTGCTGGATGAAACCTACCGTCTGGCGCCTCGCTCAGGGCTTTACCCGACATCTCCCGCTCGCCCACCAGCCATACATAGCCTGAGCCCGTCATGTTGAGGAAGCGGGCCGCCTTGTACACTGCAGCGGCGTCCTCCTCACTGGGAAAACAAAAGGCACAAGATCGGTGAACTACATCGGACTCTGCAGAGTGAAATAAAAGGCATTGTGGGAGTGATTGATTAATGTACGGTTTTACAGGATTGATACGGGTCCAACTGATTACGGCAAATTGCGCTATTGATACTGGATGTCTTAATTAGGGATGTAGAATATTGAGTCTTTGCTGGTTTCTGATATGCTGAGCTCATTTGGGTTGATTGCCAGCCCAGATATATTTTAGACAAATTTGCAGAGGCAGTCAAGTCTCCCATGCAGGGAAAATTACCATAATATAATGCTGACTCTTACACAGGCTGTGGGCGGACTCAGTTATAGACCACAATCTTCAACAAAATACATACATTTACAGGCAAAATACTCAGATTTAGTTCACGTGAATAACATATGTTGCATTTTACGAAGTGAATACCACCATCAAGTATGAAAATGGCATCAGATATATCTGTAAGGTTATTTGTTTTGTCATAGAAGAAGTTCTTCACATCAGCCTGTTTCATTAATGGTAAGAAAACTAGTTTATTGTAGACATAGATGTTTAGGCGTTTTATTCAGCTTCTCCAAAAATTTAGTGAAAATATCTTTAATCTTTTTAAGTTATTTTTTATGTACTTATCACGTAACGGGAGAGCTGTTGCTATGGAAACAGACAGAAAACTACAGGAAAAAGAGAGTAACTATCAGCTGCCTTACTGATTCAGGCACTGAGGTTCAGCTTTAGCCTGGCAGTGCTTACATCCCTGCTGCTAGAATCAGATCAGAGCGTACACTTCAAGTTAGAAAAATGACCTAAATCGACCAATGCGGCAACTGGGACACCTTACAGCATCCCAAAAATCTGCCTAAGACGCTCTAGAAGTACAGGATGGGTTTGCAGGATGTAGCACTGCACTGCACTGCATGTTTTGAAGAGCATTGAGACCATCTGGGTTGCAGCAGAAGATAGCCCGGGGGGCTTTCTGCCAGAACACTCTCTACCAGGGTGAAAGAATTATTTTTTTACCCTGGAGAACGTTGTGTTCTGATCAGAGCGTCAACACATTGCTGATGTAAAACCACCTCCAAGACCTTTAAAAGCCATACCAAACCCATGATTGTTGCAGGCCCCATTTAAACACCAAGAACAAGAAAGTACTGTTAGTCATTTAGTTGTCACTAAACAAGATGTCTTCGTAAAATGTTTAGATATCTCACCTGGCGGACAGGATGATGACTCGGGCCTCCAGCTCTTTGGCCTCCAGCAGCAGAGCAGTTAAGTTAGTCTCCTGGCTGAACTGGAGGACTTTCTCTGCCTGTGATCGGGGCATAAGAAAGGTCAAGCCAGCTACTTTTCCCTACCTCAGACACCATGCTGCCTCTTTACCTGCTGGGTTCGAGCTTGGCCGATATATGTTTTTTTTTTTTTGGAAACGGGAGACAGAGATAAAAAGGAAAGCGATCCAGGGGAACCGGCTGAACTAAAAAAAAAAAAAAAGCTTGAAGGGAAAAAAAACTTTTGCATTTGTTTGCATGCAAACTGAGGGTTATCAAGGCTCCAAAGAAGGACGTGCATGTGTTAGGTAGAGGGGTAGAAGAAGGTCAATGCAACCAGTAACTAAAAACGGGTGAAGGGGGTGAGGGGGACTTTTTCCCCCAACAAAAAACTGCTGAAAATCAGGGAGGTGCTACAGAACAGGAGGAAGTAGCATCTGGGAAACGGCTTTGTCCCACACTACCGGTTCTCCACAAAGGAATGAACTTGCAAACTCTTTTTGAGTGTGAGTGTGTGTGTTCAGAGTACATGCATTCCTTTATTGAAGGAGAAAATGAAAATGATAAAAGCGGGGCGCTGTTCACTGTTTTTTTTTTTTCTGGAATGACCGAAAATTATAGATTTTTCATAACAAAAATCATTCTTCATTTAAATCATAGGGAAATGTCTCAAAGTAAAAAATTAAAGAAAACACGTGCTACCAAGAGAGGGACATTTCTGGGTCGGCTGGTGACTGGTTTGGGCTGGTTTCTAGTTGCTACGATTGGAAAAGTTGGTGGGCGGCGTGCATTGACCATGCAAATATACCTTAGGTCCTCGCTTGTTGTCATAGGACAGTTGGTCGAGGTTTTCATAGTTCCTTTTTTTATTCTGATGAGTAATGTGCACAGAGAAAATATGCAGACACAGAAAAATATTATAAACAGTTGAAAATGGAGGGCAGTAAAGCATTCCAACAAATCTCCACTTTTCTGCTTCAAATTGGGATCCTTAACAGTGGGGCTTGCAAAAACATCAGAGACAACCGCCCTAGGATAACACCAAAATCATTAATACTAGCTGAAACGATCAAGTGCGGTCGTTCTGTTCAATACACAGTCTGTCTGTAATTGTACCAACACTGTGACTCTGAAATAATCACTGCAAAATACTCTGAGATAAACCTGCAAGCCTGTTGAATGTAGCTCATTACTTGTTAAGAACACTGGAAACAAATCCTGCTCAGCCACAAACTTAACTTTCAATAAACAAACACAACCGCCTCGGAGTGAGCCTGAACAATTAATCAAACTTTAATCAAGATCAGGAATTAGGCAATTGATGGCAATTATTGACCGCCAAACTGCATGCTCCACAGATAGAAAACTCTACAGGTCAACTATAGGGCAGCTCAGTTAAAAAGCATTTTAAGACCTGTGTCACCTTGTTGGATTTACACATGGTTGAAGGTATATTTTGCTCTCGCTCTGTGTGTGCTCTCAGACTGATATTTAGCTTTGTTCTCAAACAACACTGATCTGATCTCTTTTTTACACATGCACAGATGCACAAACACACCCTGTCAGACCTTGTCCACATGAGTATTTTTGCAAACGTAGCTCTTCCTGTGAAATGTGGCCTTTTGTACACGGGCAAACAGTTGTAGGTCACTGAAAATAGAGGTATTTTTAAAACCTCCATTCTCTGTGTGTCTGTGTGGAGAACTAAAAACTAACGTTTGGGAGACATGGCTCTTATTTTCTATATATAAAAATAACACATATACTGGGAAATGCTGTTTCTGCAGCATGCTGTAAGTTGTCTAACACCTTCTTTCTCCCAGTGGAAGTATTGAAATGGAATATAGAAATACTCATTATCATCACTGATGGTCTGGTTTGCTTTCATGAGATGTAAATTGGTGTCAATGATAACACCGGTCTGTTTCATAATCAGTCGCGAAATACATTTTCAACAAAGCAACAGAGAGCAGGAGGTCCAGGTGTGTGTGTTAGTAAAGCAGAGGGACAGAGTGAGCATGTGCTGATCTACAACAGTATCTAGTGTTATTGGGCTGATAACTGGCAGGCTGGAGTAAGCAACCATAGAGGTCCTTATCACAATTAAATGTAATCATGTAGTTTCTCCCCCGGTGCAACACAAAGAGACTAATGATGACCAAAGAATACAATAAACCAGCCACAATGCAGCAGCAAGAGTGTTGACAAAGGCTAGAAGGAGAGCACACATTATTACAGCTTTCTTAAAATCTCCACACTGGATTTCTTATTGATTCTAAATATTCTTTAACAGTCTTTTAGGTCATGCATGGCTTTGTGCTAGACTACATAGAGCTGAACCAGGCCCTTCAGATCCTCCAGCTCCTCTCTGTCAGCTGCTTTACAATAAAGAACTAAAACATTTAGTGATGCTGATTTCAGCTGCTGAGCTCTGAGACACTGGAAAACCCATCTGAGAGGAGATACTGAGACTTTAAACCTAAATGAAAAATTGATTCATTCAGTCTGGCTTTGATGTAAAGTTTCATATTTCTACATTTAAATGTTTTATATCTCTTTTGTTTTATTCATTTTTATTCAATTTTTAATCACTCATTTTGATGACATTTATTAGAGCTTTAATTCAGTTTAAACCCTTTGCTTTTACCTGGCGTATTATTATTTAAACTGGTTGTATTTAATGTTCTGAACTTTTTTTTCTATGGTGTACATTTCTCTATTCTGTTTTCAATTTTTCTCAGGTTTTGTTATCATTTTTCCAATCCTTGTAAGGCACTTAGACTCTCATTTGAATTGTATAAAATGTGCAATATAAAGAAAGCTTGATTAATTGAGCATTATTAAGAGTAAGACAGCTCTAAATCTTCAGAGGAAAAGAAAAGATATCCTTGGAGAGCTGATACGTTTTCTCTTAGTGTGGCAGTGTGTTGTCAAAAACAACACACTGACTCCGACCCGAGTGTGCTCAACTCTGTTTGGTCACCTGAGGTCCCCATTTTAGTCTCCAGTCAGGTTTCCTCTCATGCACGAGGAGCCATTTTGCAGGAAAACACATCATCTCTCTGCCTCACAGGCTTTCCTTCACAGCTGCCCGGATTCACGGCTCACACCTCAGTGCACTCAGGGTCCATTTCTCTCCCTCAGCCAGGTTGACGTTAGTGCAGCAGCGCAGTATTAGAGCTGACAGGTAAATTCACAGTAAACACCAGTGTAAAACTCCTCCATTCACAACTTAGAAACATGTCTGATTTCTGCTATGAGTCAAGGCCTTTGTAACCTTTTGTGTTTTAGTAAAATCATTGAAAAAACTGAAAGGTAATTTTGAATCCTAATCATAGTAATCTCAAATTAAGAAGTCGATATGATACAAACTCAAGAACTGATTGTCAAAGAGGTAAAAAAAGGATATTGTTTTTTCTTCTCTTTTTTTTCTAGAAAATGTTAAAAATTATGTGATTTTCTGGCTGTTTTTTTCATTAACAAATATTTCATACAGAGTGAAAATGAGTCCATCATAACTCAACACTCGCAACATATAAGTAAACATGGAATTAAACCCAGAGATCCCCCCTGTATGTTTTCTCTGAATACGACGTATTCTTAGTACGCACTCTGCAGAGATCTTTTCTGTGAGTAACATCCTGCAGCACTGTGGCCAAAAAAAACACAGCCTTTATTTTTTTACTCTGGAGATTTTCCCAGCACTCTATTTTTGTACCCTCAGTGAAGCATTAATATTTCAAGTAGCGTAGGTCGACTTTGCACTTTGAGTGAGTCCCTGTGTCCAGAGCCTCTCTGCTGGTGGTGACAGTGATCCCCATGCGACTGTGTGACCTCGCTAACGACACGCTGCACTGCTAAAAATATCATGTAAATGTACCAACTTAATGCAGCACAGTGAGGAATTAGCAGGGATAACACCGCTGAGTTTTAATGAGAGTATAATGAGACAGGGCTGCAATCTGCCATGTATAAACGATCACCTTAAATAGGCAAACTGTCACTGCAGTAACAGCTGAGGTGTGAAGCTTTGCACCATGAAAACAAACTCATAATAGAGGCAAAAGTTTAAAAAAAACAAACATAATGTGTTGTATTCATGCCTGATATGGGGCAGGATTAGCAATAACTCCTGATGACGTATTGTCTTAGATTGAGAAACTCGACAAAAAGACCCTTATCAAGTCACTGTGGCTGTAATGGGTTACGTTAGATTGAGACGTTTTTTAATCTAAAAGACTAATGACAGCCCGTCAACTAACATTTCATTAGCTAGCCAAAAATTCAATGTTTAAAGGTGCAGTATGTGGTATTTGGCAACATTTAGTAGAGCAAGAAAATAATATTCATAAGTAGGTTTCAACTAGTGTCTGCGAAAGAATGTGTTTTGATAAACATCTTTGATTGGGAAAATGTGACTAAAAGAGGATCAAATGTGATGAATCATTGGAGCTTCTTGTCCCCAAAGGCCACCGTTGTTTCACTGATGGGAGGGGTGAGCAAGGAAGAGGTGTAATTTAAACATAACTGCTTGATATTACTAAATATTACCTTTTTTACTCACTATACCAGAACAGTACAAATGTCACTTTAGACTATGGATTAAAGACGAATGTATCCTTTAATCCTGTTATTAAATTTAAAAAATATATCATTTGTCTAAAGGAAAAAGATGGTACACAAGTAAGATTTCCTAGATTTCCTAGACACAGCATAAAAACTAGCGCTGCTAATGTGTCTGGTCACTTTTTGTAAGCTAGCTAGCAGTAAAAACATCTTATGCCGCGTTGGAGTTACCTCGGAAGTCAGAAGTCGGAGCCGAAAATGTTCCCAGTTCCCAGGGTTTATTTTAGCGCTTTCCTTATATTCGGACAAGGCAAGCGCTAAAATAACTTTCAAAGATGTAGCCACCTTGTTTCAGGCCTCAGATTTATCTTTTTTCTCACTTGGTAACTAAAACACTGGTAACTCTGGTGTGACGATATTTTCAGCTCCGACATCTGACTTCTGAGGTAACTCAAATGCAGCATTGCTCTTGGGAGTTGAAGTCCTCAAATCACAAAAGTCGTGCTGATTTCATTCAAGAGGTTCACCAAAACCAACACAGCACAAAACTTCCTTACAGCGCCTTTAAAGAACACCTCCTGAGAACCTTGCCGAGAATTATCCCCAAGAGATGGCAGGTGGATATGTTTTACCAACTGTGTACAAATCTAAAGAACTGTCAGTGGTATCTAATCCTGAGCTCACTGGTTCTTTTAAAGACATTAATCTAGAAAAGAAGGTCAAAAATATCCAGATTCATTGTATTGTTAAGCTCAGTAATGTCCTAAAACAGCTGGGCTCTGGAGTTTTAAGCAAACATCACGCAAACAGGAGAAACTCGAGCCGTTAAAGGGGACTATTTTTAGCCATGGATTAATACACATTTACTGCTTTAGTGAGCATTACGTGCAGCAGAACTGTGTTTGTATGAGATTAAGTCAAAATAAAGTACTTGTAGATGTATTTAGCCCTTACTAAAAAAATAATATTTGTAATCTTAAGCCAGATATTGTGTGCCTCGGTCTTTTAAATAGACCATAAAAGAAAAAATATCAACAGATGATTCATTCAGTTTCTTGCGAGCCTTTCACTTTAATTATTGGTGCACTTTTGGAGAGAGTCTCTCATAATTCCTGCTCGGGGGCCTTAAAATGCTAAGTCTGGCCCTGCAGTCACATCTAAACGTATGCATAATGAAAGCCTCATAGTAGAGAGAGTTGCAGTAACTTCTTTCAGCATGATGGGATTAAGTGGGATGAACAGACGGGTTAGTAATGAGATCTGAACTCAGATGATGCAAACATAAAAGGAACTTCCTGAAATCTCATCAAAAGGCTTTGAAAACACAAATTTCCCCTCCCCGGTGCAGGATGTGAGTTGCATCTTGATGATTTCACAGTATTTAAACTGCGTGGATGTGGTTGCACTGATCCCGGTCATTTAATTTAAGCAGCTTTTGCTTTAACTGCAGCTTGTCTGTGAATTACCTCGGGTGTGTGTCAGACAGAGCGTCTCATCCTCTTTTGATTTAATTAAAATCTCAGAATCAGGACTCATTTCACTCTGCAGCACAATTACAGCAAAGAGCCCCAGAGAGGGGCGAGTATCACAGAGGATACTGGGAAAAAATATCCCAAGGTGATTTCGTCATATTAAAAGGAAGCAATAGATGGCACTTGTTTTCCTTTTTCTGTCTCAGTCTCAGTTCCTAAAGGGCACTGTTCATCGCGGTCTCAAGTCTGTCTTGGCTCAAAGACGATCAGCATTTCACTGACCCATATTCGCGGCTCAGAGCTACACTTAAAATGGATGCATCAGCGGTATCTGAAAAGGCCCCACAAAAAAAACCCTCTCCCATGTGAACATAACCAAGCAGGGTCTAACAGACACAAGGCCTGTGTGCACAATAATGAGGCCGGCCGTTCATCACACTCAGAGAGGACAGAAAACGCCTGACTTCCTGCAAGGTCTTAATAAATCCCTTCTGTCTGTGATGGTTTGCAAAGCCCCAAGTTAAAGTCCACTATTTGGCTCCCATTGTGGATAGACACTGAATTTGGACTATGGTGAAAAGCAACGTGAAGATGAGCAAATAAACATACAAACTTTTGTCAGATTAGACCACATTAGACGCTGTTGATGCCTCTAGGAATGTTAGCCAATGTTTACACAATGGTGAGAAAGAGATGTGGCCACACAACAGAAAGGAAACAGTTACATACATAGAAGACTACTGAGGTTTTTTTAAAGCCCTAACACACTCACGCGCTCATGCTCACACACCCTGCTGGCGAGCTGGAGCGTCTCACCTTTGTTTCTCTCTCCTCCAACAGGGTCTCGAGCCTCTTCTGAGCAGCCCGCCCCTCGTGGTCGTCGCTCACGATCAGGATGATGTGGTTCCAGTTGAACTCTCGCATCAGGTCGAACCACACGTGCGCCTGGTGGGAGTACGGAGGGACTGTCCGCAGGAAGGACAGGTGGATACTCTGAGGAGCAGGAAGCACAAAGCACAGCTTATCAGGTTGTCATAACACTTTGAGTTTTTCAGCATGACTCATAATTCTCAAACGTGTGCAAAGCAGCAGAAACAAACAACCACAAGGGTCCACTCTGGACAGGTATGTGAACACCACTGTCCTCTAGCATTTGTTGAAACAGTTGGGAATTATCCTCTTCTGTTTTTAGATAGCGATGCCCCTGTGCACCAAGCCGAGCCCATTACAGCGACTTAAAATCCAGGCAAAGTGACAGGGTCGGTTGGCAAAGACCTCTGGCTGCAGAAGTCATCATGACTCTAGTTAACTGGTAATTTAGCCTCATGGGGACCCCTTAAAAAAACAGCACTGTCCAAGTGTTGTCTTTTCATGGGAACTGTCACACTGTGTCATGTTGTCATTTTTGTCAGAAGCCTCCAGAATCGAACAATTTCATCCCTGACTTTACTCTATGTTTAAAAATACAGTAGACATCACTGGTGCCCTTTCTATAGAAAACGCATGAAATACAACTTTCATAGCAGTTCCTCTAAATGCTGCAACATGACAAAACGCCCTTTCAATGCTCTGCCTGCATACAAAATGTAAAAACATGCCCTCTGGATGTCATTTCATGGGCTGAAACAGAAAGGAATATCTTTGAAATGCCCATTAAGTAAATGACACATAGAAATGTGACCTCTAGATGCCTTTTCCAGTGCATCAAATGTATTCAAAGGGATTCTTCTGAATGCCCTCCCAAATGTCCAGTATCAAATGTAGTAAAAGTCCCCTTGGATGTTGTTTCAGGAAATAAAATGTTTAAATGTGTCCTCTAAGTTCTCTCTCAGTGCAAAAAGCATTGATAAAACATTGTCTGGATGCCCTCCCAGGAGAAAAAAAAAGTTCACTCTAGTTTCCCTACCAACAAAAATAAATAGATAAATGAATAAAAGAAAATACATTTTTTTTAAATCTCTGAATGCCCTTCCAGTGGATAAAAAGTTGAAAAATTCCCTCTAGTTTCCCTTCCAAAAAAATAAATTAATTAATCAATTAATTAATTAATAGATAAAAATATATATCTTTAAAAAAATCTCTGGATGCCCTTCCAGTGGATGAAATGTAAAAAATTGTGACCTTCAGATGCCTTTCCAGTGCATAAAAAAAGAAATAATCTGGATGCCCTGCCTGCTCAAAACACTTTTTATTCCAGTGCATAAAAGTATAAGAGAGAGCCCTCTGGATTCCTTTCTCTTCCTCATAAAGGAAACCCTCTGGATGCCTTTCAGTAAAGGACGTTTGCCTTTTTAGGTAACTTAATTATACATTATAGTGTTCATTCAACAGCACGGTTTGTGAGGTGATTTTAATACTTCAGGAAGTCTACATTTAGTTTAGGTGTTAAAGCTTTTTGTTCTTTTATCTTATTTAACTGCTCAGCCGTGAATTGACTCTGTGAAAATAACAGATTAAATCTGTTCAGGATGTGAGTCTCAAGCGGAATAAAACATTTATTTTGTTTTATTAAGTATTTTGTGTTTTGCTTTCACATTATTAAATTTCCACTGCTAATTTTTTGTTTCTTGCACCGACAAAAGTTCTCCAGCCCAGATTTTGCAAAGTGTAAAAATATTAGCAAACATGCATCTTTGCTCATTAAATTTTGGCTTTCTTACCCTGAGGTGTGCATAAACTACATTTTAAAATACATGAATAAAAAACAAAAATGGTAACCTTGTGGATATTTTCCATCAGATGCAAGTTGCTATTAATTATGGATATAGCCTCAGAAAAATCCATCTCATGCATCCCTGATTATAACCTCAGTGAAGCATGATTCTCAGTTTATTTGTCATCATCTGTTTAGGGAGGTACACTTCCTTTTTTCTGTACAGTGTGTCAAAACATAAACACACTCTGATATCCGCTCTGTGCTCCGATATCACTACGTGAGGCCAACATATTAGTTTTGCTTCAGGCGCAAACATGACTCGCTCGGATCAAGAAAAGGTCACTTTTTTGGCTACATTCACACTGTTTTTTGATTTTATTCAGGACACAGCAGTCTCCTGGGTGAAAGAGAAACAGCTTCATTTTGATGGTCATACAGCTTGTTGAAATGAAATTATGTCTGCTCTACTGAGGCTTTTTGTGGGGGAAGTAGAGTTTTTAAATGCTCCCAGTGTCAAAATCATGCATAAAGTAAAGAGGTTTGGATATTTCTGAGGATCAGTAAAAGGTCAGATTGATTAAATGGAGTCCTGTAACCAAACCTTTACTGTTGAGCTTAAAAACTAAGAATAGATTTGATTATTTCGGACAGTGTTTAGTAACAGTGTGTAAGACGCTACGTCAGCAGACAGAAAAGCGTTTGATGTGTTATCTTGAAAGTGTTTTCTCATGCTCTTGTTGTTGAATGGAAGTACTCACAGGAGGCTATAATAGGAGCAGAATAAGACTTGTAGTTTTTGAATGACGTTTTCCCTAATGATAGATGGTTGTAAGGTTCAGTTTGCCGGAGACATAGACGTGCAGTACGCTGAAGTTTGAGAGCGCCTGCAGCTGCAAGTGCTTCAGAAAGAAAAAGACCATGCGCAGTAATAAAACTAATTCATTACAGGTGCGGTACAAATGTCAAACCAGACCACTGATGGAGAAACTGCCATAAAAAATCCATACAGATTCGCTGAAGTCTCTAGATTTCATGCGTCTAATGAACTTGAACTGGTATGATCAGGATGAATAGTTTTTAAATTGAGTTATCGAAGATTGCAGCATTTTATTTCTTTGACTTCTTTAAAGTTTCATTCTAGTGACTTGTGCTTCATAAAAACATTAACTAAGGTCAGGGGCATTATTAATGATGCTCTTTCAGTTTTCAGTTGGAAACCCATTTAATCACAGCTGCTCTAATGGACAGTGATGGGATGTTTAATCTAGGAAGCTTTTGAAGCCGCCCCTGGGGAGCTCCTTACTGCCTCTGTCTGTATGCGCTCTCATCCCGTTTCCCTCCCTCTATATCTCTCCGAACATCTCCGACTATCATCCATCACTCACCTTGTCGGAGTAGATGGACATACGGGTGGTGAGTCCCACCACGGGGATGCGGTAGAAGCCTGCAGTGTAGGAGACGGGCGTCGGAGTGAGGTGGTCATTGGACTGGGGAGGGTGACTCACCAGGATAGCGTAGACCTGCAGAGATGAAGAAGAAAATGATTTATCATCCTGACACTGGAATAGAGACATTGCATTGTGATTTAAGTCCCTATGATATCCAATTAAAATGTGCTGCAGATTCTCTTTCATTCTTTCTTTATTGCAAACTGAGATCACTACTAACATAGAGTCAAATTTAAACTATCATCACACACGCATGTTAATGGAAGGGTGCCCTGTTTCTACATATGGACTAAAAGCACGCAGTAAATATGAATTCTTATAATGTCAACGACAAACAGCTGCTCACAACAAAAAGACTAAAAATGTATATTTAAGTGTTGCTGACATGTTTTTGCTGTGGGCTGTAAAAACAACAAACGCAAGTCGACAAGCGGTTAACGTAGAAAAACATCTTTTGCTACGCACTTACAAGGCATGACTGCGTGGTATTTACATAAACTAAACTTTATTTCAGCCTGTCAAAGAGAAATAAATGGTTTAAGACAAGAAACGCCCTGTAAATAGGGTTGTGTTCACCTCCTAGATGGTGTTCAGGGCAAAAAGTGAGATGCAGGATTCCCCTTTTATTTTTATTAAACTTTACTTATTTTATGATAACTTTAACTTATTACTTTACTTAATTCTATGCTTTAAAAAAAAGTAATTATGATTTGGGTGTTTTGACTTTCAACAATATTATCACTGCTCATCTGTTTGTACTTTCTCTCTTGTCAGACATTCACTACTTCAGCTTGTATTTCTTCTCTTTGTAGTTCCTTCTGTATGAGTTTTCACAGCAGTCTCAGAACCTAACAGCGCTCCTCTTCTATCACAGTGAAGGATATGTAGAGTGTAGAGTGGATGCAAACGTCTCTGTAATTTCTGTGTAGCTTCAATAAGTGGATCTTGATTTTATCCGAGTTACATTTACCCCTGATGACCCCTCGAGGGCTGGGACTCCCACTTTTACAAACACTGTTCTCATTTACTGTAGTTTTGCTTTTTTTAAATGTCATTAATATTTAATCTGCATTGGCTCAAAAATTACACTCAGAAACCATTGACTATGAAAACGGTTTGTCACTGCACTCACAGACGTGGGTTTCCAGGCCCTAAGGTGGTAGTGCTTTAAAAACTGAAGTGACTCTGTAGTGGAAATCACTGCATGGGCTCAAAATTACACCCAAAACCATAGTCCATGAACATAGTTTGTCACTGTATGCACAAAAAGGTTAAAACTGTTCCATTCAAAGATATAAACAATGATTTCCCTGGCCTTGAGGTCATTAAAGAAGAACTGGACTGAGCTCCCAAAAGCATACAAAGAATTGTAAAAAGAAGTGATGCTTTAGAGTTCAAATGAGTATATACTCGTAGTATGAGTATATGTCATTAATTTTAAAATTTCAAGATCTGATGTTGTATTTTGACAAACAATAAAAAACTGTTTTTATGAGTATTTTTGATTACATTCTTTGTAAATTCTGTCTGATATTTTAATCAAAAGCACTGGAAGATAAAAAAAAGGGGGGGAAATCACGTAACACAACATGTTATCTTCTATTTCCTTTTAAACTGAACAATATTTGAATAGCTTAGACATGTTCACCCAGCATCCATGTGCACTTATTAGAAGTTAAATGAATCTTTCACAAGCTCAAGGAAGCACGCTATCTGCAAGAAAACAGCAGGACAGGACGGTCTAAGATGTTAAACAACGTAAGATGCAAAGTGCTGTACACTGTCTCGACTCAAGGAAGAGCTTTTACATGTTTGAGGAGCAGCCTTTGACATGTCTCAGGTTGAATACTTTCAAAGCTCACTCAGTCCTGTTCAGATGTCAACATTGCATGACGATGGCGTTCAGGCAGAGTCGTAACGATAGCTTTAAATGCAGGAGCTGTTTTAATTATTTAAAATCAATAAAATGATTGCAAGCTGGCTGCCGTGCTGAATCTAGGGCATTTGAGGCCACTGAGAATCTGGCAGCTCTGTAGTCCAGCCTTGGTTGAAACATTGTTTTTTTTGTTTTTTTTCTCCCTCAAGATAAATTACACTTGTGTGTGCTAAATAAAACACAGTCATCCTTCATTGGCTGTGACTGCTGCCCTAAAATGTTGTATAACAAGTTAAAAATAACATTTTTTAACTGTGAACATTTACATAAAATCCAGTTAAGGACAAACTCATCGACGACAAAGAAGAAGAAGAGCAAAGAAATGGTTTCCTTTGTTCGAAATGTCCTGACTGTGTGGGCTGACAGAATAATACTAATTTGTGGCTGTTTGGTTTTGTCTCATCCCAGCAATAAGCTGGACAACTTCTTCAATAGAGAGAGAATATCTGAGCTCAGCCTTGGGAAATGCCTCAGAGATGTGACAGAGGAGGAATAAAGCTGGCAGAGCTGAGCGAGCATGGATTATTGGATGTGAGCAGTCCGTATGGTTGGGTCAGAAATGGGGTCTATCTTCCAAGGACTGCTCCCAGGCATCTACTCGTCCATCTGCCATACACTTTCCTTCTCAGTACCCATCATCGCCTACAAGCCAGTCTCATCTGAGCTTTGGTCGACAAGAGGTGTGATTCTACTACGCTTACGACCTCAGCTCCATAAGAGTCATGATGGTGTGAAAAAATGTTGATTAAAAACGAAATGTGATGATTTCTGAACAATTCAAACCCTATATTTACCACAAAAAAGTTTAATGACGATAAATTACATTGTTTTATGAAAAAAAGGATGTTTTTAAGCTCAGTACCAGCTGTAATATCAAACAAGTAAGTAACATCACAGAGTATATAAAAGGCTTTCCAGGAAGAAAAAGCCTCTAAAAGTAAAGATGGGAGGAGATTGCCACCCTGTGAGAGACTGTGTGAGCAAAGTATGTGGAAAAGGAGAGGATCAATACTGGATGATCATGATCTTATGGCCCTCAAGTGGCACTGCATTAAAATAAGACATGACTCTGCAGTGCAAATCACTACATGGGCTTTAAAGGTAATTCAAAATCATTGTCAGCAAACATAGTTTGTCAATGCATCTATAAATGTGGGTTGAAACTGTAAAGTGGAATGAGAACACCACATGAAAACATGATTCAGAAGTGTTGGCAGCTTCAGTTAATTGAAGTTGAACTGGATAGTTGTAAGGATGCCTAGCCCATGTTCACACCATAAGAAATGGAAGGTACGGCTTCAGCATGCCACAAGCATAACAAAGTGTAACAAAGATTGGTCTGAGACCGTTCAAGTATATATAGCTGTTCACATTTCTTAACATACTGCTGACATTTAGTTGACCCTAAGAAAAATCCATGTACGGTAAGAACAAAGGACAACATATTTTAAGGAGCTTTAGGTGAACATATGGAAGGTCCATAGAAGGAAATACCATGACAGAACATATTTTGGGGACCTGTGTGATGTAAAACATGGGTACAAGGTCCTTGTGGAGGATGGTTGTCAGAGGCCCCCAGCTCCAGCAATCTAACACTGAAGTATCTGAGGTATTTGAGTGACACAGCTCCAGCACTCTGAAGGCTGACATGACTGGCTAAAGAAACTCATCCTAACAATAGGATTGGTAAATGCTTAAAGGGTGTTGTTAAAACAAGACGTTTTACTACAAAATGGTTAACATGACCTGTCCTGATTGTTTTGAAATTGTGTTCCCAGCATGGTATTTTGAAGGACCATATATTTTTCCATTTAACAAGCATCATCAGGTGTTATCTTTGAAGCATTTTCTATCAAAAGTGTAATTTATACGAACATTTTAAACTGTTTACCAACTCTGGTGAAATTGGGTTTGGAGATAAGATTAAATTCTCCCTCACTTCCGAGATATGTTTGGTTGTGTGGCGAGCCTAACGGTGGATTTCATAAGTGAACATATAACAGGAGACTGGGTGCTAAGGACTTGCTCTGCAGACTTGTATCAATTAGCGTCATTACACCAAGCAGAGGACAAGAACATGAAACAGCTCTGAAACTGTGGGTGTTGTTTTTTTTTGTTCTCATGAAGCTTAATTACGTGTGTGGGAGAAAGAGGGTGAGAGCGAGAGGACTTCACGCCCCAGCACGCTGTGACATAATGTTTTTAAAAGCCATGTAGAGCATCACAAGAGTGGATGGTCCCTACATTTCAATGTGCTCAGAGGCACATACAGTCTTCATGTATTACTTATGAAATACGTTTTGTCTTGTAGATGTGCTGAACATATGGAGCGAACCTTTCAGCTTGTTAAACAGCTGGTAACCCTGCATTGAAGCGCTTTTAAAACAGGACGCTCATACTTATGAAAACAGTTGTTATCCTCGCACCATGTCACACAGTCTGCAGCCCTGTGACTGATCCACCCCTGCAGGACAGCATACAGAAACTCAAACCGTCTGCGGCCGCCGTAGCCTCTTCTTTGCCAGAATGTTTTCACGCAGCACGCACACGCACCCAAATGAAAGCCAAGTTCTTAATCGCGAATGACATATCACACATTTTCACTCCTCGCCGGTTACCGTGCAGCTCAGTAGATCTGCAGCTGTGTGTCCTGAAATGCAGCCCACAGATGCCCTCTCATCCGAGATATGCCTCAAACCAAAGACTATTTTTGGATGTCTGTAAAGCAGATGGGTCTGCAGGGAGTTCTCTTTATTAGAACTATACAAGGTGGACTACATTTTTGGGTTATGTGTGCAAGGGGATGCAAAGTTATACAAATGGCAAACCTGTAGTATTGAGTTGATTGATTAATAGATTTGGCAACATGTTTCCTCTGAGTGTAACCTGCTATTCTGGATTAAGGTTCACCACTTGAAATGCGCTCTGCTCACTTTTGTGGCCCTCGAGTGAGAAAACACATCTGATCCATGAAATGTTTCCTGGAAGAACCAACTTTCTAAAGCAATGCACATGGCTATCCCCTCCAAAACACTCAGCTTTTCAGTTTGTGCATGTGTGCTATGAAGGCTATAATATAAGATTGTTTAAGGGCAGCTGTTTGCAGAAGTGTAAGCAAACTAACCTGACTGGAGATGAGGTCCTCGCACACCGACAGAGCCATCTGAATGGCGTTGGGTTTGTGCGTTACGGAGATGGCGGTCAGCTTGAATTTGTCCCTGCCGTAGACCTGGTTGGCTTGGGTAACGGCATCTTTGAAGACCTGCTCATACCTCTTTTGGCTTAAGACGGCCCCGATGTTGACGATTTTCGGCTCGCAGCCGGCCCGCGCGCAGGAGCACAAGAAGAGCACCGCAAACAGAAACAGACGCATCGTGTGGACCACCCAACAGCACAGTGCAACCCGGTCGCTTTCCTCTCCGGTGGCGGGTCGGCTCGAGCTGCTTCTGGACAGCGGCACGGCTCAGCCCGATGAATGCGCGACTGCAGACACGATCCAGGTGGGCGGTAAGAGCGGGGGTGGCAGGCCAAGAAAGGGAAGAAGACTAAGAAATGGGAGGATTTATGTGCAATGCGGAGGAATGTGCATGATCATCTTAGTGGCAGTCATTTAAGGTCCTCCAAATCGCATTGTCAAGCCGTTTTTTTGCGCTGTCCCTCGCAGATTTTGTCCAACCTCCCCTTCGGCTTTAAAAACGAGTCAAACCATATTTTCAAACTTCCACGCGCAGTCCTCTCCGGGGCTGTGTATCACTCCCTGCAGCCGCTGCTCCGTGCGCTCTGTGCGGACTAATCACACCGATGCGTCGTTGGCTGGACGCTCCAAACTGAGCGGCTGCTGTCCTTGGTGCTGACAGCTGTGCATGCGCGCATTGGTGGTGGTAGTGCGCGCTCCCGCCGTATCAGCTCCCCACTCTGGGTTTTTTGCGCGTTGGCGTGCTGCTGCTGCTGCTGCTGCTGCTGGTGAGGATGATGATGCTGAGAAAGAACTGTGAATAATCGGTCAGAGTACACTCGATCACCATGATAGAAAATGAAAGGCAAGACGCAGCGTGTTGGGTTGCATACCTGCAGGGGCAAAAATAATCTGCAAAATTAATTCAGATTACGATGTTGGCTTTGTTAATGCGTGGGATTAGTAATAAGAACCGCACGGCTGGGATATGAGATTTCCCCTCAAACAGCCTGATTGCACCAGAGCAGATGGAGGGAGGGGGGAGGGATGAAGGGGGTCGCGTGTTTCAGGGTTCAGAGCTGGGACATGGACCCGCGCTCTGATGTGACTTATTCTCCTCCAAACAGGAAGGAGGGTCTGATGGGTCGTGTATCTCCTTGGACGGTCCATTAATCACGCCGCATGTCAGGGCCGTGCGTCTTTACAGCAGTTACCTTTCACCACGAGCGAACCCGCCTGTCCTATGTCTCCGTGGACATGTGTGTGTGCGTGGACATGGAGTGGTGTGGTATGGGTGTTGTATAATCTCTGACCCCCTCGCCTTGGAGTAATAAAGGAAAATGTTTGGAGCATCCTTGCAACGAGATCCATGAGCAAAATCAAACTCCCGGTTGCCTTGGAAACAAGATCTTTTTTTACAATGCACGCATACGCACGCGCACTCGCACACACAAAAAGGATCTTTTCAGAGAGGAAATATTCTCTGGCAAGCCGACAGTGAGTTCATTCATCACAGCAGGAGAGATTTTGAACAAAACGGACATGCACATGAAAAATAACCAGATAAAAAGACATTTAGTCCAAGAGACGCGCTTTGTGAAGCACTTTAGCAGCCGTTTATCATCTTTGTTTTAATTATTAAAAGGAAAGTTTCCCAATATTTAGCCCCAAGAGTATTTGTATTTCATGTGTTTATTTCTAGTATAAATGTCAGCTCTCGCCGCCATTGGAAAAAGGTGTTTTGAAAATGAGGCCAGGATGAAAATCATCCAACGGTGTTTGAATTATGAATCACAAACACTGTGCTGTCTCTGTGTGTTGCAGTGAGCTGATAAATTAATCACAAGGCTGAAGAGATCAACATTCATCAGCTGCTGCCTGCGTGTTTCCAAAATGAGCCTGTCTCAAGTATGATTTGGTGGGGTGCTCCTCCTCTCATAAGGTTGGTGCAGTGGGGAAATTTATGTCCACTGATAAAGAGGATCAGAGTGGCTTCATGGAGGTTGAGGTAACTCCATAGTCCCTTGTTTCTCTGGTCTTTCCAGACTCACTCAGTGCGTTTACATGCACAGCTTAATCGGACTAAGCTCATAATTCGTTTTTTTTTCGCCCAACTGGATTTCTCTCCTTGTCCACATATACATGCAGCTGAGGAAATCAAATTATTGACGTGAACGTGTCCTCCTCTTCAAAACTAGGGGGTGATATGGGTCTTTTCAGCGGTGCTGTTTATGGTTGACCCCATACAACTACCCACAACAACAGAAGGTCCATGCCAGATGTCAAAAGGGGCTACAACTGCTGCTGGGCATTTCCAAGCAAGAAGATGGATGGATACCTTTTCCCCAGATGAGGTGCATGCTACTACTCTTCTCTGGTGTTTTTGTTCCGGGGTTATGGCGGCGTGGCGCATGTGCACATGCGTTGTCCATCATACTCCGACTATGCTGGTTACTTGGTAGAGAAAATCGAATTCCAATCGCATTATCTGGGTGTCTTAATCAAAGTTCTCCAACTCCAATCAGAGTTCTCAAACTCTGATTAAAGTCGGACTAAGATGTTTACATGCACTTCAGTTATCAGGTCTTAATCCTAGTAAGGCAATAATTCGGTTTTCTCGAGTGTCATGTAAACGTACTGACTGAAACTCTTTGTGCAACACTCCTAATTGAGAATACAAAAGAAGATCATTCCCCGCATAATCACAACAATGTTGTTTAAAGTTAAAAAAAAAAAGCCTCAGAAAAAGGGTCAAGTTCCTTTGACAAGAACAGACCAGATTGATTACTTTATCACCAAAGGCTGTACCAAGTGTCAATCATAGAAAACATGAACCCCCTAATAACTTTTAAAAATGGAGCTGTACAGAAAAAAAGAGGAGTTGAGCACAAACCAGACTTTCAATAACTACATGTCAACATTGCAAGTAGGGGAGCGAAAATTTTATATTCTGTGTAATAAATTTCATAAGTTTGTCCACAGCTCCATAGGGATTGCTGGAAGAGCCTGGATTGATGACCTATACTGTAGCCCATCACCATAGGGTGCTGTTCTCGAAGTGGCATCACTCAGTGAGGAGGCGGACGACGTCCATTCTATATACAGTCCATGACTCAAAACCTCTGCTTCACTTTGAGGGAGCTGTGGTGTTATCCAAATTATGAACAGTCTTCTGAACTGGGTCATGAGTTTGCATTCATGGTCTATTTTAGTCATTTTCTGTTACATATTAACATACCACGTGACAACCTCCAGGGCTGAGAAAAGATGCCAGTGTGAGAGTGCAAAGATCTGTCCAAAATCATATTTGACGATCATCAAAACATCCATATAAAAGAAAGGGTCATTCATTTTATCCCCAAATATGGTATGTGTGATGTTTCTCAAGACTTCATTGTTTACCTAAAATTATGCATGTTCAGTGGCACAGCCTAAAGCTGCATTTGTTTAAGGATATTTGCACAAGGAGGGTTTTTTTTTTATTTATCAGTAAAGTTCTGTTTTCAATACCTTACAATGGTATTTTTACAGTTAAATAAAATAATGACTGGCATCAATGTGGCACCCATTAAGCTGAAAAAGAGTGACTCTTTTTTCAAACAGGTCTATCTTTCATATTTCTATACTGTGAACAGACTGTGATACCTGTCTCGGGCTTCACTGGTCACTAAATGGACCTTTACAAGTCAGCCAACCACTGATACAGCCTCTGATTGGACAAAGCAAAGGTGGCAGCCTTTATCGAATACTGCCAGCTTACAACATGAATGAGGCTGTTTTACCAAAATAAATAGATAAATCATCACAGATTACCTCCCCTATTAATTGATTAGATTTAGACAGTCCCTGAAATACACTGATATTGACCAGACTTGCTGCTGAATGTTGCAGAAAAAGTTTATTACCCAGGGCTGCTGGTCTCACAGAGTGAGTGGATTTTACATCAAGTTGGTATGTTAAACCATTTTATTTTTTAAGCAGATATTATCAAGACATCAAAACTGTGCCAATACAACCCTGAATATGTAAAAAGGAAAAGGAGTCTGTTGGGGTCAAAACTTGAAGAGTTTACTGTGTGCTATTTTCCATCTTTTTTTATGATTCAAAGCCACTTTCATCTCAGTCCAGACTGATGTTTGCTGTATATCCTCTTTTGCTTTTTTTTCATTTGTTTCTTGACTGTTCATCCATGTTTTAAGGATAAAAACTGCTTTACTACATCGAAGTCTGTGTCATGAGTTGTGTTCGTGTTCTTGTTTTTCCTTGCAAAAGTCAAGTTTTTACTAAACCCTCTCTCACAAGAAAAGAAAAATGCAAAAGAAGAAGAAAACCTCCCGTAAGGCAACACAACATTAGTTTCAAAGGAAAAATGACATTTCTAATATCCGTTACATAACAGGACTAAGGCAGCATGTCTGGAACAGAAAATTAGAATACATTTTGGAGAACCTGAGGCTAGTTGGTTTGAAGATTTTAATGCACAATGCCACATAAAAACACAGTACCTACAAAAATTCAAGCCTAGTTGACCAGAGGAGATATTCGTCAGTCGCCTTTATTCCAGTGAGAGTAAAAATAAAGGTGTCGAAGGGTAACGTTGAGGCTTTCCTTCCAGCCTCTTCATCACTGCCACAAACGGTTTGTAAACTCACCACTTTCAGGATGGTCCAGACTGTGTGACGGCCTCTTAATAAATGAGGTTATGAAGCCCTCCTCTGCTGCTTCTTCAGCACACCACACTTACACACAAACACACACATCATTAAAGCTGGACCAATCTGCTCCACAGCCGTTATATAATGAGCAACACCACACAAGAGTCCTGTAAAGACTCAGCGACAAACACACAAGCTGTCTGCAACACAAAGAACGTTGCAGGCTTTCAAACCTCACTAACACACATGCTGCACACAAAGGGACGCACTCACATGGACACACTTAGTGTTCACACTTCGAGGAGCCCACCCACATAGAAGTAATCTAGACCCGTACACAACACCCACACAGTCCTCTGCAGGGCTTCATGAGGGACGTTTGCATGTAAGCGCGTGACATAACTGGTCAAAAAACATTTCTCTGGACAAGCCAAGGCCGAGTTATTCAAAAGCACATTTCATTCACAGAGCTACTTTCAATGTCACTCATGGTCTTTGCTGATACACGAGCTCTGAAGTGTAAAAAAACCTGACCACGTGTATGAATTCAGGAGCAGCACTGACAGTAGACCACTTTGATGAAGTGTCAAAATGAAAGGCATGAAAAACACTGATTCATTGATCTGTCATAACAAAAGCTTGTTATCAACAGCACAGGATGAGTTATTCTATATTTTGCCCCAGATTATCCACCTAAATACTGAACAAAAAGGGGCCTAGTACAAAGCCCTGATGCACACCTTTATAGATTGTTATGTAGCAGAGCATAGACCATCATGCCTCATGCGCTGTGACTGATCTTAAAGATAATTTGAAAACCAAGCAACTGCATCACCAGAGTCCAATACTCACATATCTGTCCAGCAGACTGTGTAAAAGGCTCTAGAGACAAATGAAGGAAGAGAGCAGCACGGTGTATGTCATTTACCATCTTCAGTATACTGCTGTGATTTTGAGCATAAATCATCATGACACCTGGGAAAAACCCACATATTATCTCATCTCTCCACATCTTGCAAAAAGTTGTACTGAAAAAAAAAAAATGTTAAAAAGAAGATCTGTGGGGCGCCATTCATCCAGCAGTTCAAGTGTAACACCGAGTTAGACCCCCCCACCCCCCACCCCACCCCCCAAGAGATGAATGTTGCCGACTGCTTGCTTCTCTGGTTACACCAACTATAGTAACGACCGCACGATAGCATTACACAGCGATCATATATGTCCTCACTTGAGTTGCGCAACACAGCTGCACTCGGTGATGGACTCGTCGGAAGCGGCTGCTGGAAGAGATAGGGGTGAGTTGTGCTGTGGCTGGGACCCTATATGTACTGTTGATAAAATTAGGTGCTGTTCTGAGTATTATTTGTGGCTATAGAGTAGCTCTTTGGTTGAGGTTTGCACATGGAGCCATAGACCGCTGTGTATTGCTATCGTGCGGTCGTTACTAAGGTTGGTTTATCTAGAGAAGCAAGCAGTCAGCAACATTCATCTCTCGAGGGGGTGTCTAACTTGGTGTTACAAAGTGTTTCAGTCTTAAAGAATATCTCTTTAAGACTGATATGTGACATGTCATCCCTCCTCTCTCTGCCCACATTTCCTGTCTTTATTAAACTGACCAATCAAAAAGGTCCCTCAAATAATCCTCCTATAAGAAAGGACTCTGTATTCAATTCATTCGCTTCCATGGCATTGAATATGTTGGGAAGAGTCACATCTGTGCAGCTTCGGGCGATAGTGTTCATATTCACATGATTTGTTGTGGGTTCTCAATAAGGAAAATGTGAAGAGGGCTTTCTTAAGCTGCAGCAAAACCTCCCCACAGGAGCTTTAAAGATAGTACCTTTATTGTCCTCTATGTTTTCATGAAGTTAAAGGTTATTAAAAGGCTTTGAGTTTATAGTTGTATAAAACAGGGAGAAGGAGTGAAGGGAAAAAAAGCACAAACAGACCTCATCACATTTGAACTCCCACATACTTTAGCGCTTAGCATGACAGCTGCGTGTTGGGCTGCCAAGTGCATGTTTTCAGCTCTCCATGTTCCTGTTTGAGCCACATGAGAACATTTTGCACCGAAGAACCGTGCTATGATGATACATGAGGGTCACTGAAAGGGAAGAAGTCAGCTATTCAGACGTGCCCCGTGTTTCTGTTTAGTCTGCCTCTGCTGTGACGCCTCATTATGTGATTAAAGGATGGGGAGAAACAGGTCACGCTCTCACGCTGTGACAACAGAGCTGATGAAGTCTTGCAAATGGATTGCCTCAATGAGTCATCTGCAGATGGATGCCTGTCTCTGTGATGTGTTTCTCATGTAGTGTGAAGTTCTTGTATAAATTATGGATGTTTGAGCCCCCTTCATGCTCGCTCACTTGTTCACCCTGATGCACAGCTGAAGTATTCATGCCTTGGAGAAAACAAAGACAGGATTTGAGATTCCAGCCTTGCTCCAAATCTGCTGCGAAGCCTTGCGGAGGCCTGCTGGCCTGATCAATATGGATCAATTCCTAGCTTCAGAGAGGAGAGGCCTGTCAGCTCCAGATTTATGTTTCAGTGACTGAGACAGTCCAAAGAGTCCAGAGAGATTACGATTTAATCTCAGGAAGAAAAGGCTGTCTTCTGTCACTGATGATTCTGTTCTAGTTGCAAATGATTCAATATTTGATGTAGATGTTAAGTGTATGGAAATCACATGCTGAGTGTGCAGATTCAGTCACGCATCAAGTGCCTGAGACGTGTCTTGGAGATTTTTCACATAATGCATCAGGATGAGATGTTTTAATTTCTGATTTCACTTTAACTAAATCAAGCGTCTTTTAGGCCAGTGGTTCTCAACTGGTGGGTCGCGGACATGTTCTGGATGGGCCGCAAACAGCTGGTGAAAAAAGTAAATATTTAGTGCGCATCTAATGTTTGACATGCCTTTTATTTTGAAAAATAGCTTATTTTGTGCAATTTGATATTTTCTGTGTATGCAACTTTAGTAGTTGTTGTTGTCCTCAGTTCATGTGCTCTGAAATGCACTGTACTCAATAACACAGGTGTAATTTTGTTAAAGATTTGAGGGTTTTTTTATGAAAAATAAATTTTCTTGGTTTGAATTCATTATTGACCATGGGAAAATGTGGGTCTCAGAGTGAGACCAGTTGAAAACCACTGTTTTAGGCTGTATACCAAACATGAAATCATATTTGATACTTTTATCTTATATAATTTTAACATGTTACTTATGGTTTTTAAAAGAATAGTTCTTTTTTTTTCAGAGGGGTTCTATGTGGCGCTTGTCGATTAGACGGCGTATTACTTACAAGATATTTTGGTTAGAAAAAGAAACTGAGAGCCAAAGAAACTGGAGTTAAGCCTTTGACCGCTGCATATGTTAACATGATGTTTACTGTGGATACAAGAAGACGCCTTTATAAGACAGAGTAAGAGAAGAAGTCCAAGACAAGATACAAAAGCAGAGATGGGAGAAACTTCTGGGCAAACTGTAAGGTCACTAACCCCAAAAGCTCCTACTGTCACAGGATGTCACAGTAAGAAAATATCAATACACTACAGTATTACAGTATCTCACGACACAGTGCTGTATTGATACTTTGAAGGATGTAATAGTATTTCAGGTCCTCACAAGGGTTATCAGGGTATCAGATTTTCATCCCATGATCATCATGGTCTTGAAACATCATGATAGAAATATTATTGCAATGATTACAGAAAACTTGGAAATAAAAACAGAATTTGTCAAATTAAGGAAATGGAATAAAATGATCAAGCCTCTTGCTGGGCCACAGAAAACCAAACTGAAATGGGTCTTTACTTAACAGCCTTGTCATAAAGTCTCGTGCTGTTTCAGTGGAGCAGCTGACATCTAGTACAGTAAACAGTGAAGCGTCCCTGTGGGTGCATTCATGTGAATGTTTGTGTGTCCCTGCGGAGCCCTAGCCTGCAGACGGGTGAGGAGCAGTGAAAGGAGCTGAAGCGTTGACTTAATGTGGTTAAAAAGCTCTGCATAGTCATTTTAAAGGAGTAATATGTAGTTTAAGGACCAGGTTTTTAAGAAGGGTATTACAGTCTGTATTCAAAGCACAGGAGAGCACTTTCTTTCCCTTCTTCTTAAAGCTGAAGCACATATGGGTTTCAATCTAACATTAGCTTCAGTAAGGAGATGAGACTGAAACTCTGCTGGAAGTTCTTCTCTACATGCCAAATATGCTTTTCTATGTTTGAACAATGGGCCTCTATTTACAAATCATGTATGCTGAGCTGGCTACAAAACCATTAATCTGCTAATAGTTTGTGATATTTTTCAGTAACTTATAATGTGAATGTTTTACCTAACTTCAAACAACTCTACTGTCCACAGTCTCATGTTTCTTGACCTCACTAGTGTGTTGCTGCGGCCCAAATCTCTATCTTTCGTTGAAACAAATGGTCTGTTGATTTTGAACAGAATTGCAGGATTAGTTGTTGATGAAGTGAAAATCTTTGCATACAGATGAAAAGTGAATGAAGTTAAAGGTTTGATTAAGTGTGCCCATCTTTGTCTGCATGTCTGGCTATGTTTGCAGAAG